AAGTCAGTAATATTATACTCCGGGAAGAGAACTATAGTGGTACGGGTGGCGGCGAACCCGCACCCCATCAAAAATTCCGTCCGCACACCCATCTGACTTTGGAGGACATTTACCAGCGCACCGCACGAGCGATCGCGATCAAAATCAAACAGAAGGGAAAGAAATGGCCGCCGAGGAAGGGAGCCAAGTTTCAGCGCGCCCGGCCGCCGGGAAGCCCAAAAGTAACGGGTGGGAAGCGGGCAAATCCAGCGGACGCGGACCCCAAACCCTAGCGCCCATACCAATCCGCCGAACCCGAATGGTAGCGGAGGGCCGCTACCCCGGGGCTTCTGGGGTAGGGCATTGTTGTGGTATTTTTGACAGGCTAAGGCCCCAGGATGACCGTTTAAGATCCTAGAGACTGATATAAAGTAAGACAGAATTAAGGTTTGCGGGAGATCTATAGAGGTGGGGCTCTGCGTTAGTGAATAGGGACCCGCATCCGCCTATGGAAAACGTCTGCAGATCGGTCCCTATCAAAGTAATGTAGGAGTTCGGTCAGCATATCTAAATAGAATAACCGTCCTACTGGCGATTATTCGGGTCATGTCTAATTTCCAGTCATGACTGAAAAGTGCCCTAGGATTCCACCGGCCGGTTCACTTCTGAGATAGTCATATAATCGCTATGCTGGGGGTACTGCGCGCCTACAATAAAGTAAAAAACCAGAACTAGCACGGAAAAGAGAATAAATTGCTAATGCCTGCCTTACTTCGGAATCGAATATTACAAGGGGCGGATCCATGCGTATGGCTTTTGTCGTTTCCGGTTCTCTTTTTCCTCTTTGATGACCTCTGCAGGAATCTGGCAGTAATAGTAAGAGTGAAAAATCATGTGCAGGCAGTCGGCGTAATTGAGGAGCAAAAGCCTTAATCGTGCCTTCGTCCAGGCGAGGTCGATTATATTGCTTACGATCGCGACAGATGAGTTCGTACATCCGCTTCTCGATCTGCTGAATATACTGGATCAGCCGGGCTTTCTGCGGTTCGATTCCCTCTTCATCGGAGGTTTGCTCATCATTTTCGGCCGGAGGCTCGGGCTCAGTGTCAGAGTAATAGTCCGGGTAGGAGGAGGGATGGCGACGACGCTGGACGCACTGCCGACGGTGGTGAAGAATCTCATATTTATATAGAGCGGGATGGAGCTTCCGGCTACACGCGGAGATCGACCATGTCTCAACCGGACCAGTGATCGGATCAAATGGATTCTGGATCCGCTCCTGATTCTCAAAAATTACTCGCGAAGATTGGTGTACCGGTCGTTGGGGCGGCCTATCTGGCGACGTCCATTGGCTCTGTAGGTCGCGTAGGGTCTGATAGAGCTCGGGATCTGATAGATGCAGAAGGCGCTGTTCAGGTTCAATTGTATAGTCAAGATGGGCGAGAGAGGGCTGCGATGGGCTCCAACCGGTCGTCGGATGATGCTTGATATAGGACGCCGGAAAGGGGCGGTCAAACACATTCAGCTCGTGGTAGTACAGATCCATCCCGCGATGCACGCTGGACCACCACATCACCTGGCCACTCTCCTTCGACTTTCGCATGAAGCTATTGTTCTGAGGATAGGGAAGCATCCAATGGCTCTGAATAAAGGAATCTTTTAGACCCTGTTTCCACTGACGAGCGGCGTCCTTGCCTTGGATCAGGGTAATCACCTCGAAGCTCTTTTGATAAAGAAGTCGGTAGGGCTTGTGATCCCATCCTTTTCGTTCGAATCGGCCATCGCGCCACTCCCATAGCCATGTAAAAAGGACATTAATATGTTTGACCGCCATGCGGTTCCCCGACGCAATATAGGGCGGACAGTGTTGGGTCTGCAGCGCGCCTTTGAGACTCGGCCAGCAGAGCGGGATCTCTCCCGCTAACGCTGCGCTTACGGATTCAGGCTTTAGAAGCCGTTTGATCTGCGTAAAAACATCCTTGCGAAAGGCCCGCAAACACAGCTGCCGCAGATATTTCTGCAGATAGTCTTGGCACGTAGGAATACTGCTAAACTCGGTCATCCACTGGTGGATCTGGCTGATGCGAATGAAGTCCGTGCGAACATCCCGCACCTGGGAATAACGCGCGTGATACGCGGCTTGGAGCGACGGGTTGTTGAATTGGCATGTATTGCGTGGCCGGCTGTCGGAACACCATCATCTCCCAATCCTATCTTCTCCAGGAACCAGCCGTACCCAAATTGCTTGCATATTTCCGCTGGAAGCCCAGCCCCTCGCACCGCCGAAGACCGTTCCGGCTGGGGTGGGAATCCCGGGCGAAACCAGACATCGCGCCAACAGCCGGAGACCCGCTCCAAAAGGCCGCCGGAGTAGGAGAATGGAAGGCAGCGGAGGAACATTAACATGACCCGGGTATGCTCCCAGGTCACAAAATGCCCGGTCATTTAACGCTGTACACCATTTCAAACCCAACACAAAACTTGTTGATATTCCCATCGGAACCAGCGACAGAAGCGTCAAGGTCGGCAAAGCGTAGTAACTCTCGACCCGATCTCCCGAACCCAGAAATCGGGTGGTAGACTGTTGCCGGGTCTGAAATTCGTGCAGAATCTGGACAAAATAAAGCGTGAGAGACCCGGTGCTCTTCGCGCAGGCCAAAGACCTTAGGGACCGATCCTTGTAACGCAGCATGGCACCGTTGCTTTGTGGTGAGATAGGCCCGGTTGAGCGCGATCGGATTATGGCTAAGACCACCGCCAACGGTCTGCCACGTCTTGCGAAGCTGGGGATCCAGCGCCAAGGTCTCCGTTGCAGTATTGGTAAATGGATATGTATTGCCGGCGGCGAAGACCTCTTTCACACTAGCGTAGAATTGACTATAATAGAGACCGGCCCGCCGCTGCGGTGATGTTCGCCGGTGTCTCTAACGTCAGGCTGCCGGTGTCTTCTAGCATACTGATTGGGTAGAAGTGCTGCAGAGCATGGGGCGCGTCCGCTGGCTGCTTGCTATGGATCCACTGGCTATACGCGTTCAGGCAACAACGCCGCCAGAGTAAAGATTGCGGCGGCCTCTCTCGCTCGCTCGCCGTGGTTGGGCAGGTTTCTTTTCCAAGGTCGTAGAAGAACGGCTCAGCGAGATAGTCCTCATTAATAGCGTTCTGCCAGTGTTGTTGAAAGCCCGCCATGAGATCGGCTAATGTGTCTGCCTTAGTCAAGGTCTTTAGGTTTTTCCCCTCGATCAGAATCTTGAGATCCTGAAACTGGTGGAATCCGGGGCGGTGGGTCGCCTCTAGAATCTGTTCCCAGATCGTAGGAAGCGCCTCGGGAGGAAGAAAGTAGGCAAGGAGCTGCTCGCGGGGGATGGGATCCACTCGCTGGGACCGCATTTCTACTCCCCGGGCGGTTGCGTTCAGCCGGCTATGGTCAAAGCTAGAGGGGTAGTGCTGGATTAGGTCGCCGGAATAACACCGATTGATGATTGGGAGGAGGATTTCGTCCGTCCATTGCTGGAAATCCTGGTCTAGCAGACGGCTGGATTGCTGATCTTCCCGGTACAGTCGGGGAAAGAGCAGATACAGAGAGAGATCTTCGAATCCAATCAGACGACCAAAGGTATAGTGCGGGACTTGATGGACCGGCCGGCGAACATGGTGGGCCTGCCCGGTGGAGTCGAAATACTGGACTGAAACCGGATCTATATGCAGGCTGGACTGGAGGTCGGACACCGCCATCTGCGTAGGATGCCATCGGATCCCCCGACGAGCTACCGCCAGACTACTGACAAACCCACCCACGCTATCGATATCAACAGTCACGCCCAAGGAAGGATCGGGACGATGGTCGGCTGCCACGCAGAGATGCGTTGGGGATTCATCGGGCTTGTGAGGATCGATGCCGCAGTAGATCTGTTGTTTTCGTGCCTTGGTGACTTGCTGGGCGAGATTGGACTCGCGGGCCGCGATTGTAGCCGAGCCCAGCACATCCGGGAAATCGCCAGCGATATTAATCTGGTCCACATACTCCCCCAGCCCGGTATGAACCGAATGCGTCTCTTGGTGCGCCGCGCAGGCCTGCTCATGGCACTCCCGACAACAGCCGTGATGCTGATATAGCTGGTCGGCCAGCACGCGTGCCAGCGTGCAAACATCCTCGCCATCCTCGGCAGCCGCTGGGGCAGGGCTTCCGGTTTCTAAATTTGATAGATCACCCTCGAGGTGCTCACTGTGCGTCGGTCGGGACTGTTCGGGAAGGTTAGGGGTAGGACTAGCGGCAGGTTCGAGACTGTTAAGCTCTAGAGGCGGCTCGTCAATTAGGATAGAGCTATCTTCGAGCTCAAGAGGAGCTGGATCAGGGCTTAACGGCGGGAGCAACTCTTCCAGTTCATGGGTCACCGACAACGCCGCTATGCCAGGAACAAGAGCGATCGGGCGTTCACCAGTTGCAGATGGACCGGCCGAGTAGTATTCATCAAAGAAGGTGTTGCGTTTAGCCGCTTGGGCGGCTTGTCGCTGATTTCGTTGTCGTGTTATCTTCGCGGCCTGTCGCTCTTCTGCAGACTGATACTTGGGGGGCCGACCGCGCTTTCGGGTGGAAGTAGAGTTAAGGGGAGACATAATAACGGAAGAATCACTAGAACCGAAGCCTAAGAGAGGGGAGAGAAAGTAGGCGGCGCTATAAGATAGAGAGATTTCAAGTGCCTTGGTCGTCGAAAGTTGAAATAAGAAAAAGGGGTAACAGGATGAATAGGTCGGTTTCTATTCTGTCTCGAAGATGATCTTAAAACAACGCATTATTACAACCTTCCCTAGCCAGGCAACCGATAGCAAGGTTTTCGGACATGACCGAAAGTCTTACACTTCCCTTATAAGTAAACCAGTGTCAGAATGTGCAAAGCATAGCGGTTGAAAGAAGCAGTGTACAGTATGCCAGGAAGTAGAGGTGATTAGAATATAAAACCAAAATAGGTCTAGTGTTGAGGACAAATCTGAAAGTAGTTTAGTGTTGAGGAATTTAATCGAAAAAGGCTTAGTTTTGAGACGTTAAGTCGAGCGGGATGATTAAGTAATCTTCCACCCGGAAAACCTCAAAAGTTGCCAACTTTGGCTAACGATTCCACGCGAACGGAAGAAGATATTAAAATTCTGATTGAAGGGCAGGATTGTGCATTAGCTACTCTATACCTCAGCGAATTTTTACATGGCATCGACGTTGTTGGGACTCTAAGTCTAGTCGGCAAACACCCTATGGCGTGTAACCAAGGTATGTAGCATTTACGTAGCGGCAGAAATATCCGGGAAATTTTGATTTGTAGACCAGGCCAGACCCGTTATTAGGTTTAAAATTGACTTTCAACGACTTTGAGTAAAGTTGAACTCTACTCTAAACTTACTAATCGACGATATGTTTAACCGCCCCCTGAAAATATGTACTTACTGCATGCAGTCGTAAACCGGCTGGAGCTAGATGCTTCTAACAAATTTTTTTTAACGCTGTAATTATACATACACAGTGGAGGCTATTACAGAGTCCGGTGCTTCCCATACACCTTTTTAGTAACTAACATGGTTCCTTCTGATTCGGTCATTAAGACTCGTTAATGTACACTCGTATTACCGGGTTTGTACTCTATTACCTAGTTGGAACCATACGTTTAATGTCACAGGGTGGAGGAAGTATGCCATTGATAACCCTCTTAACATAAACTGAATTTCCGTCCTTCGAGCTGTCCAATCATTAATTGCAAGTAGCGCTTGATTGATCAATTCACACGCTAAACGTGAACTTGTTGCCATGTTGGATAGGGGCAGATTCCATAGGAGTGCGGACCGCTACTAGGAATTTGTCTACTTTGTCTGTTGACCATTACAGCTTCAGGAGGAAGGCAAAGGTACGCTAGTTATGAAGGTCCTCGTACAGGAAGAAAACATCCTCATGCGAGATAGCCACCACTTATATTAAGGTTTATATAATGCTGCAGCCCGGAGGGACAGGCATCTCCTGCAAATCGAAGAATTGCGGTATTGCGGCATAATGATTGCATCATTCTTCCTTCGAGAGAACACTGCCGTCAGATTGATGAAATGCCGACATTCACCAGAACCAGAGCGATGGCCTCGAGTCCGTTATAGTTTAAGCCATTAATGGGTCGGAAACATAGCCATTTCTGCTGGAATACAGGGTAGGCGGCTGGTCATGATTCGAAATCACAGCTCAATCAAGAGCCAACCAATTCATAAGTCAGGAAGCCGATAGTGGATAATATGTGCAAGTTGAAAGCAACGGGCTTGGCCACCGCGGAACGCTGGAAGCTCAAGATGAAAGCGTTACAACTGCAAACATCAACTTATCTTGTCAGGGCTCTAGATGAGTCCAGAACCATCTAGGCTCGTTGTAGCTTTGCCGAGCTTTCTATGATTATGGCAACGAGGCATCACAAATCCCTATGTGGTGTAAATTTTCCCACTTTTCCGGTCAATATGTGGCCCTTTTTCGACTTGGTTAGGTTTGAGACAGACTGCAAGTAGACTCCAAAGTGAAAGGCATTACCGCATGCGTCAAGTCCTAGGCATAGTTAGTCTGCTGAAAATCTAGATTGAGCTAAATGATGAAATGATCATGTCGATCAAACGTCATTACTACGTCCAAGTAGTTTCAAAATCAATCCCTGGTTGCTGTGTGATCTAGAGTTAGAGAGTTCGGATAAAGGTATAAATACACGTTGTCGAGCCCTACTTTTTGTCCCATTTCAATACCCATCCATTTCCCAAGAGTACCAGAATCCAAACACAAGTGTTTCATCTAAGTTTTCCTATAATGCCTGCTGAGCGAACCGTTCATTGGGGCCCTCTGACCGGGGGCGACAATGGTGGCGAGTTTACATTTTTTAAAGAAAACAAGTCCTTGAGACGGCTGGATATATGGTACGGTAATGGCTCGGGAGGTGCCGCGCCGTACACTGTCCTGAAAGGGATTAAGGTTACATGGGATGGAGGAGATGAACAACACACAGAAAACACACCTGATCCCGAGGCAGCAGACAAGGCAAATATACTGCACTCGGCTTACGTTTTCGAAAACAATGAGGTTATTGAGTGGATGGATGTCTTTGGGCACGCCCCGGATGGGCGTGCTGACTCACTCAGATTTTTCAGCCGAGACACGGGAAAGTTCTTTGCGGCTGGAGGAACTGGGGGGGAAAAAGGTATTCAGCTTGATGGTCACAAGCGCGGAATACTATGTGGGCTCAAAGGACGATCTGGACACGACATTGACAAGCTGTCTGCAGGCTTTTATCTTGTCTAGAGTAAGTATATACGACTGGTTCATACACGTTTACTAACAACGGGGGCAGATCACGACTTGAACTGATGAGATTTCTCCATATCAGCGAGGAACAGTGACTCAACCATTCCGTCACAGATTTCGCAGACAGTTTCCGCGTTCTAGGACCTTGGTCTTGTTGCCATCAATGCACCATTTTGACACTGGTGTAAACCGTAGGACCTAGCTGCTTGTTTACAAAATGAGGCTTTTACGCGGGGTTGCTACTATATTATGTATAGCTACAGGAACCCATGAAACTAGTTGGAATTCATATGTTTGAGCAACGCCAGTCCAGATACTTGGTAATGCAATTAAAAACCTATTGTACACCTTTGGTCGAAACCTCTTTCCGCCTCGCAGTGATGAGCTTATATCTAAATCCTCTAGTTCATAGCCCCACTCTATGCACGTGTCTCTATCTGGCAAGATCGTATCTTAGTTATATTTAGAACTCGTGAATAATACGCAACTGAACCATGCTGACTAGGATATTCTTATTTTGTATTGTTACGGATGCCCCTCCTCCACTCCAGATTACCCACCCTCCATTCCTCTCTCACTCTACCCCATGGGAGCTCCACGCATGGGACGCCACCTTAAACCCTGGAAGCATACACGTATTCGAGACATGTTACGCAGAAAATGCTTTACTAACTCACAGATTGCTGATGCTGCCGAATGTAGCGAACATTCTGTCAGAAGTATTCGTTTATACCTGCGCATAGTTAGTGGTGAGAGTCCACCAGTGCATCCCGGAGGTCGACCACGCAGTATAACCCCACCGATGCTCGAAGCACTCCTCGAACACCTTGTCGAAAAACCCAGTCTATACCTTGACGAAGTGGCAGTTTTCCTGCAAGACGAGTTTGATATCACGGTCTCGCCCTCGAGTATAAAAAGAACCCTTTCTTCGGCAGGTTGGAACGCTCGAGTGGGTGGAACGCTCGTATGGGAAATACGTTAAACAACCAACTCAGCTAAACAGTCCAAACAAGGCAAACCGCCTCCCATCCTGCCTCGCCATCACAACCTGACAGTCTCGGCACGTGACCATGACTCTTACTATCAATATATTCGATGAACCACCAAGCTTGGAGGATCCTGTTGACTGTACATGCCCTCTAAATAACTCTTCATAACCTCATGATATATTGACTCGACGGACTCTTGTGCATTCGTTGTCTTGTAATTGGTGATCGCAACAATCGTCAACTGCGCAACATAGCGGCAGTTTTTCCAGAGAAAATCGTAACCCCTCTCGCACAGTTTTTCCACTTATTTGACGAAATATCAGCATTAGTTAAGTCCTGAAAATTAGACATGTACTTACTTAACTGTAGGATTTGACCATCTGTCCAGTATGTTGTCCCCTTATATTCATATTCATTCCCCATGGATTTTTCCTCTGCGTAGTCGAATATTTTCTTTTTCGGCCGAACCCCATTCTTCACTAGCCGACCGTTCTCAAAACTACCTCAATGAAAGAACACACCCTTCGTGGAAGGAGAAATTTTGTGTGTTGGTACATTGGTGATGAGGACTGTGTGATGGAAGCTGATCCGACCTCCGGGAGATTTGCCCCATTTGTCAAGGAACACAGACCTCCTTGGATTCGAGCTTCGAGCTCGCAAAGATGCATCTGCCTTGAAGGATCCCAATCCCACTACCTTGGAGTGATCCGAGCCCATTGAAAAGGCAACGATAAAATGAAACAAAAGGAGGTATGTTGATCAGTCGCTCTGCTTGGAGATGTCAGGCTTCGCACTCTAGGAGGGCAAGACAAGTATGGATATAAATATCCCCCTCACGAGGCGCCTTTTGATCATTTTCCACTTGCCGCTCTTGCCTGCCCCAAGCTGACAATCTGCCTTAGTTCTGAATAAAATAAATGCCGTTTTGCAAGGGTGAATAAGAATAGGCTCATCTTGGCCAGTCAAGTAGAGTGAGGCTGGTGTCAATGCGAGGATCTGACCAACAACTTCCTTCCAACCTCAGCCTCACTTGTATCTCGACCAATAGACCCACAGTTCTTCAAACCGACTCCTGTTCTTGGCCAAATCTAACGCGATCATTTGATCAGTACTTCCCACACAATCTCAGCCTCACTCGTTTTCTCAACCAATAGGTACCTAGTTCTTTGTAATGACCTCAGCAGAAGTTATAAGACTTGAATATGGTTGTAAAGATGTCTGCTGCCTTCTTACTCCCAGCTATATATATGCCATATCTCAGAACAACCATGGAGATGCTCAATCAAAATCTTTCCCACTTACACCTATTTGGCTATCTTGACCATGTTGAACTGGAAAGAATTACCCCACAAAATACTGCCATTCTACTTTAAAGCATGGAAAGCCACGTATCAACCAATCAACGCCCTCCTAAAGGAACCGAATCCAGATCTTCGAAAGGCACTTACTGCCAAATGGTACCATAACATGATCTCTCACTTGCAGGTTGTCTTAATTACGGTATTAAAACTGAAACCTGCACTTGACTTTATTGTCTTTCTCTTTTGCTGCAATCATTCTAACGATCTATACCTGCTACTGCAGAGCACGCTCATCAGCACTATTGTCACCAGCTCTCTGACATGGCCGACATTTGCTGATGCCAACGATTCGTTGATCAGGGCAGTCCGCGCAATCATGTATAGCAGTCTAACTCTATCTATGTTTGCCGTCGCAACTTCTTCGCAGCAGGGTTGTTGCTCTACAAAGGCTAGATTGTTACCAAGACGGACCGCAACTAATCCGCAAACTCCTATCCAACCACCATAACCCTGATGAACCTCAAATAGGACTGATTCAGATTCCAACCATCTCAAGCTACCACTGGCAGGTGCCCTGTTATGCTGCAAGGCCAAAGCCTATATCTTTTCTTATTGGGGATGGGACTATTTGCTTATCATGAACATGGTATAGTAAGTGCTTACCTGCGGGCCTAATTGTCTCATCAAGGTGGGAATTCACTGAAATATGGCAGATCCTGGGCTTTTTCCTCGCCTTCCTTCTCCTTGGACTTGGGAACTATTTGTTATGCTCGATTGGGCTTTGGCATTGGGTTGGATCTGCTATTACGACTTGAATATAAATTGTTAGAGAGGGGAAGTGAATCACCATACGGCACGCTTGCCAGTCAACTAGTTGAGGATGGCCACGCCAGGCAGAAACCGCCGGGTCACGACGACCAACCGAACCCCACAACAAAGAGACGCCCGCGACTTGCCCGTCGCTCAGCCCGAGGCCCTGTGATCCTAGCCTGAGCGCTAAACCCGATTGAGCGAGACACAAGATAATCAGCCATGTATGGCTGTGTTAGACTTATTTGGCGGTAGTAATAACCGAAAGTTTAATTTTAATAGACCGGGCGAGATTAAATTATTAGATTAGATATGGGAGCAATTTCCAGGGTGCTTCTAAGCTGCTGGGCCTAGGCCGCCTAGCATACAACCACCCGACCTTGATCATCCATGTCTAGGACACCCAGTTACATCACACAGAAAGTAACTTCCGCGAAATGTCTTACAAGGAAGAACCGAAGCAGATGATCATCTTGTCTGTGTGGCAGCATCTATATTTGATGTTGTGTATCCAAGGGATGGAGGTTATGGGATTCTTAGGTCTCCCATTATACGTGGCCGTTTCCGGCGCTCGGTTAACGGCCAGACCGGGTCCAAAGGTATCAGATTGGGTCTTGATTGCTTGTTAATAAACCATGGAATCTTCAGAATTATCATATGATTATCACATGAATATGTGTTAAAGGCTACGTAAGATCACTGTAACTAATTCAATCTCTGTATTTTAGTCCGGTATATAATCGGCGAACACCTCTGTGAAGAAAACAGGTCATCGATTGTCTAACAATTGTCAAACGGAAGAAAACATATTTTCCACTTTTATAACTCATCCCTGCGATATAAAGCAAGTATGGTCGACGTCGGTGGCGTACTTAGCTACGCTACAACTTCGGGCGTTGAAGCTCTGAAGATTCTTAATAAATGGCTTGATAGCGAAGAAGTTGCACTGGCCTGGTATGGCAAAGAGAAAGACGTTTTTCTGCGGAAACAAAACTGGCTTTTAAAGCTACTTTCTGGAAAATACAAGCAGCCAGAGATCCAAAAAGTCTTCACCATTCAGAAAGAAGATTGGCAGCTTGTTATCGAAGAATCTCTTCCAGTCGCCCACACATGGTACCGCAAAAGGAAGGATGAGTCGGGCGAGTGTTCTTGGCTTCCATTATTCTGGGCATGCCGTTCCCCACTTGGCGAAACCAGAGTGCTCTCCAAAGCGGACAAGGCATTTACTTCTCTTGGTATTGTGTCTAATTTGCCAGCAGCACGCCTTGACCTTTGGGGCTTAGTCGTCATGGCCTATTCTAATGGTGCCTGGAGCCGGGTCGCCTTGTCAAAAGACGGAGGTTTCAATGCAACTTTACTCTGCAAGAACTTCATCCTGAATGTCAGCCAGACAAATGTCAATGCACCAACTATAGGGCACTTGGAGCCTAGAGAGCATCCGGCTGAAGACCATGAGCCTCTGGGAGTAGATGAGTCACGGTCTCTTCTGGTTCATGGACATTCTTTCAGCACTAATGATGTCTCCATTGGCTGGCCTTTGAACGGAAGCATTGACCCTCCTCCATTGGAGTTGGCCGATGGCCAGTGGGATAAAACGTTGAAAAAAATGGTCCTTGACTACTTCCAGGTATGCAAGCTGAAGGTAACATTTCATAATGGTATAGTCAAGTACTGGGAAGAATGGGCGAGCTTTATGGCCAAAGTTCGCCGCGGGTTCGATGGGAGAGCACTCAGCAATCTTCCCACAGGCCCAGATCAAGTCAGTGATCGCCCTGCCAGAGAAACAGAACGGCGTGCCGGCGGAACCGCCCCGCGTATACGTTTGGATGACATTGTCATTCAAGAAATAGAGAGCCGCCAAGAACTTCGAGCAAAAATTGCGGATCTTGCAAGCCAATGTGATTCGGAGGAAGACGATAAGGGTGACACAGAGCTTCCTCTAGAGATGCAAGATATACTCGACAAAACTCGCAAATTAATCAACAAGCAGCTTTGGCGTCTAAAGTTGCTTTTGTACGATGATATTAAGCTTGTCGACAATCTCGATCAGGATGATATTCTCTATTTTTTCAGGGAGGATGGACGACTAATCAAAATGCTCACAGACTGCCATCTTGCAGGGAACCATGTGGATCACAGTCGAGCGGCAATTTCTACTAAGCAGGAATTGAAAAGGCTGTTAGGTTCTCATCATGCTGTAATGGCAAGGGCACGTATGCTTAACTTCTGCGAGCGAATTGACTTGAAGCTTAGTGTAAGGAACACAGGACATAATGTTCTACTTGCATGACAGAGCGTCCTCTTAGCAGGCGGTCTGTTAATCGAAAAGTGCTTTGTTGTACTACTCGCCATCCTACTGGTTATTTTTGCTTGCGTGTTATCAGAATGATAGTAATGTCTAGGAAGCACTTGCATTGTATACGTTGTTCTTTATTATAAATAGTGTCAAACCCCTAATAACTCAGGGAGTCGGGAAGCAGCCATCACTCCCCCATACAAAACTCTGGCGGTAGTGGTCCTCAGTCCGCTCTTGGGGGGTAGATGTTTGGGAGACGATCTAAATGGACCTGCTTGATGGTGTTGTAACCTTGCGGATGGTACGGGCTACACCTCGGAAGCGGTGAATTAGTAGACCTACTGGAATTCTAGGCAAGTACAAATGAGGCGATGCGGCCCATGAGTCCTTAATAGGTAAGATCAACATGAGGTATGTGGTGGCTGCGCACTGTAGCCGCCGCACCGCAGCCGCCGATTTCTTCGCCAGCGAGTCCAACCGCTGGCTGTGTGAGAGAATGTGAGCCCCATAGTCGTGATTGGAAGGTTCTGTTACTAGGACTGTCTCATGAGATGGTTCACAAGGCCCTTGTTCTCAGCTGGTTGTCTGTTCCAAGTCAAGAATCATTAAAGTTCTCTTGCAGCATCGAGGAGAGAAACTCCCGGTCTCAAGAAGACTAGTTTGATTTTTAGGGCATAAATTGTATCTCCTATCTTTCCTGTATCCATGCCAAAGCAGACCGGCTTCCGGCCGATCTCGGAGGATGTCCGTTACTGAGGCCGCTACCAATGGACTTTTTTAGGTGGAAAGACGCGGCCAAACGCATGATGCAACGATGGAAGTCCATGCCGTGAGTGTACGATATGGCCCTAGAAACCCAGATTGACCTAATTCGATACTCGGTGTGGAAGCGAGGGAAGGGCCGGAACGTGGCAAGGAACCCGAAACACTCTCATGTTGGATTGCTTACGCCACAGCTGTTCCTGTGATTAGCCTAGCTCTTGTCCACTCGACACCCACTTCGTGTACCGAAAATGTTTCCCGAGTCACATGAGCGACACATTGTGATATTTCCAGTGAACGACTTCTTAGCAATATGATCTATCAGGCGTTGCGAGACTCTCGCCAACAACTCTCTACTTAATGTGTCAGACAGCCATATAGAACTACATTACTAACCAGATAGAGTGGCGTCACGCTTTTTGATCTAGTGGTATAGTTCAAAATAATGGATATCAGATACATGGCGTTGGAAAGCTATCTTATATACTAGAAACATCTTATAATAATTATATCTAAAAAAGTTTTTATATAAATAATAAACGTTAAAATACTGCCGCATAAATATATAGAATTCGAATTTAGGTTTCGGAATATATATCTATACCAACAGGAATACGCAGAAACATTAAAAATTAGCTAATTAGACAGCGAGAAAAAGCAGCGAGGGCACGATGTTTTTGCTACTAGGGAGTAGGGGCGCTCTGGCCATCGTCGTTAGGGACGAGGGACCGGGAAAGATATAAATAGGGCCTTAGGAGATAATTAACTTGCTGCGAAACGGGCCGCGAGATAGGCGAGAAGATAAAGTATCGACAGCGTAGAGATAGAATAATAGATTGACCGCTAGTACGGGAGATAGACTCGATCGAACAGACAGCACTACTACATCTTCCACCGCTAATAGCTGGCACTAGTTATATAGGGTCTCCTCCGGATAGTCAGAACAGTGCTGCCAAAGATCGCCATCGACGGCCCTGTCTAGATACTAGTCGAGCATCTACCGACAGCACGATGCCTACAGATAGTCCTATACCTGGTCCTGCTCGGCCACAGATACTGTGCGTATCTATGCCGCTAGCGCGTCCTATCTTAGCGGCTAGATAAGAATCGCCTAACTACTCTGCCTATTCTGTTCGGCGCGCCCACTCTCCTGCGTATAGTTAAGTAATATCTAGGGCGGCCCGAGATAGATAATACATCGGATATCGGGAATATTAACGCCTATCCCTAGCGTACTAGTCGCTACTAGCACGGGCGTCGTCCTATCCACAAACCGCTGCAGCATGTCTACCTAATCTAGCTGCCCGCTGTAGTACGCCGGACAGCCCAGCAGCCGCGCTATCACCGTTACCTAGCTTACAATCGGCGCATAGATCACTACCTTGCTAGGTAGCGCCTGCTGTATCTGGTGCTGGATAAATCGCTGCACTACCGCCGTCTCTAGCCACACTGCCGACCTACGGGGCGTATCCACAGGGTATAGAGAGACGCCAGACTACATAGCGAATGTTCCCCCCGACTAGTGCGGCCCATAAAACATGCGTACCGTATTAGGGAAGATACTAGATACGCGGGAAGAAGCGCGCATCTTCGTAGAAAACAGCGTAGCTGTAAGATACACCATCTACGTACGGGACTATGTTAGATACCCAAGTCGATGCATCGCCGGCCGAAAGTCGGTCTAATCTAACAATACTATATAACATTCGTCGACGACGATCTAGTCTAGCTGCTGCTACACCCGCAGCCGATTAAAAAACAAGTGGAAGTTGGGATATTCGGTCGATTCAGGCGTTACTAGTACAATTAACGCATCGTCCGGCGAATAACGGCTCTCCTACGCCACACATATAATCCCCAGCTGCTGGCACCGCCGCTATAAATCCTGCCGCAGTAACAGCAGTGGCACCACCACAATCATCGTCCTCTCTAGCTCCAGCCACGCGGGCAGTATAAACAGCATACTCTTATCCCCGCCCGTCAATATCACCGCGACTACAGAGCTCTCGCCGTTCTAGATCGCCTGCAGCGCTGGGCTCTATACTCCCCGTAGCTAGAGAGCCCGCTGCCCCGTTATCTGCCGCGCCGCCTACGTTATATCAGCCTAGTTCAACCGGTAGAGCTGCTACATCTAATGCTCGCCCGCCGCCTCCTCCCACAGCGCCTGTTTACGCTTACCTAACGCCGATAGAAGCGCCGCTGCCTACGCCGACGTAAACCTGAGAAAGCAATACTAGTCCTCACTGCTAAGCCGGAATATCGCCTGCTAATGCGCCGTCGTGCCTGCTGCCTCCATTATCTGGCGCCCGTAGATTAGCCCCGCGAAATAGAACGAGTGCGTCGCCTAGAGATCGGTAATATAGCTAACCCACTGCGCGGGGTCTATATAATCCTTGTCGTTGGTATCGACCTTCGCGACCTCTCTTTCCCGCTCGTCCTGCTAGTTATGGACGAACTAGCTGCCCGGCCGCAGAAACCGCCGACTAATCCCGACGGCAATGTCCTAGTATACCAGAATCCCGATGCCTTTCCGGCTTAGCCGTGTCTGCGTCTCCCGTTACAACACCCAACGGAATCGATCTAACGTCCACTATCGGCCGGTGCCGGGGTCGGCCCCCCAGAGATACGACCCATCGCGCGACATTTAGCCTACGGGCAAGTAGGATAACTCGCCCCTGGGCGAAATAGGGGCGTTTTCGACCGGAGCCAAGCGCGGGAGATCGGCTCCGGTCAAAATCTTATCTTAAGGTAAGCCACCTTCGGGTAAGAGATCGGGGATAGGGTCGGGGGTGGGAGGATGGGTAACCCCCAGCTGCTGGATAAATAGTAGAACCAGCCAGAGATAGTACACGACGAGCGCGCCGACCTCTCGCGGGAGATATCGGTGGATAATCTTAATATCGTTGCTGACGTAGAAGCCTTTGTGGTATACACTGACTAGTGTAACCATCCTATCCTCGATATATATATTGCGCCGACGGTTGCGATCCGTGTTAACATACTGTAAACTAAGTAATTTAGAGATCCGTCCGGGTTGCCCGGCGACCACATACACGAGCACTGCCAGTTTCTCCTTAAATTAAGCTACGCGGTCGAAATACCGCCGTACCTTAGAGGGGTAGAAGTAGTAGGTGCGAAAAAACTTATACTGTAGCTACGGATCGTCCTGTACCCGATTAATTAGCTACCGCCGCCCTACTACCGGCTATAACATACAGCTGTCGCGGAGAAAACTTTAGCCGGGCGTGCTCTCCGTGGGATTATTATACAGTTTCGCCCATAGAATCGCCGGGGATATCTTAGTAAAGAGTAGCTTATGCAGCAGATCCTTCGTCGCCCCTACTAACCCATACATAAACCCCCGAAACCCTTCTATTATAAACTAGATGTCCTTATATAAGATCTCGTCCGCCTTTATCCACGCTACGTGCCCCGGGGCCGTGCTATTAAAGTAGATCTTTAGCCCGTACGTGCGCCAGTCGAGCAGCGTCTACATTAGCCTATACGTCCCCCGGATTATAAACTGCTGTACCATCCGCTCGACCTACTTAGGGAACGTCCGCCTACTCCCGCGCGAGATAGTTAATATAGGGCCGCTAGACACGGGGCGGCGGGGTATAAAGAAACGCCTAATTAGATAGACCGGCGTCCTAAATCCCTCGCTTAATAGTTTACTCGACGACTTGCAGGAGCAGTTAGCCCGAAATAACGGGGGATCGCTACCTATAGATAATAACGCAGGACTGCTTAATAGCGTCCTACTTACATACCCCTTATCTAGATTCTTAAGCCTATTGTTAGTATTAGTCAGCGCCTACGGCACGTCCATCTGTTTCTTCTGTCAGAGATTAATAATCTACCGCGCTGTTGGATCTAACCACAGCATCTTCTGCACAATAAAGAACTGCGCAATCTTAATTACTTTAGACAGAATTAGCGGGTAGCTGTCGGCCGTCCGCTATTCTTCCTCGCTACGCTCTAGCACTGCTATAGCATATACTAGTGCGCTTTCGTACTCGTAGCTACGCTGCCGCTAGTTCAGCAGCTCTATATAAAACTCTAGATACGCCTACTCGCGCGCCGTTATTACCTACAGTTACAACTCTTTCTCCGCCGCTATAATTATATCTGCTACTTACATCGCTGTCTATAGTCGCTCCTACTTCTGCTGCTACCGCGGTGTAAAGTTATACATAGAGCTCTGCTACTCGTGCGGTAGTTGCGTGCGCGCAAAGAATGTCAGCACTTACTACTATAGGTAGACGTGCCGCTAGATACTCTTCTTATCCATATACGCTAGCAGCAGATGGTACGGCAGTTCCTTCTACTACGTGCACACCGCCTCCATCCGAATCGCCGACCCGCAGTACTACACTATCCGCTAACTCTTCCGCGCTAACTAGTCGACTGTCTCCTACAATATCTAGATAGCTGTTTTAATAGAATCCGTGGGCGCATCAGACGGGGGCGGATAGAATCGACAGTATTAAAGTCGCACGACTTCCTTATTTAATGCCTTGCCATCGCGATGTCGCCCCTAGGCAGAATCTCGCCTCTAGGCTAAACCCTTAGGGTCGGGCGCGACGACACTCCGTAGTAAGTTATCGGGGGGAATCTCGCGCAGATATACCGCCTACTATATAAACTACAGCCATAGGTTAGCGTCGGTAATAGAATCGGCTTAAATCGGCGTGTTAGCCTGCGCTCGCTCCGCTGCTTCCTATATCTACAGAATTTAGTCGACCGCCTACTGCGCCTAATCAGGCACCGGTAAGAGAGACTGTTAGCCGTCGGGATACTGGATCTAGATATAATACAATCCGCGGCTACTAGGAAACACTTACTGTCACAAGACCGTCTAATATAATTACTGCAATACGGTCTTACTGTAAGCCTATTCCGCAAGCGGTAGTCGGCTACGGTAGATCTGTTATAACTATTAATAAACCTAGCGCCAATACTTCCGTAGAGAATCGAGATTCGACGCAATAAAGCAGCACGGCTCAGCGCCACGTTAACAGAGGAAGCCATTCGAATAACATAGCAGAATAGGCAGCGGGTTATTTAAGACTGTTAGAATCTAGATCGTAGAGCTGTCCTACGCAATCTAGAGCTACTGCTAAATCGCCTGGACGATGGCGACGACATCGCTATACGGCAGTTAATGCTGCTTTTTAAGATAATTCTCCAGCTCGACCGGTCGGATACTATACTAGCAGTAACAGCAGATAAGCACTTTTAATCCTGGGAAAGCAGAGAAAAGCTCAGTTTCCATTCTAAACAGTAATGGTAGATAATAATAAGAAGACAAGATGTGGTAGGGTAATACACTATTCCCCCTAAAAAAAAAATATATAAATACTGGTATAAGAAAGCATGTATAGATCAGATCGGACGGGCGGCACCCCACCAAAATCTATCCCGACTACCTACTACTTTTAAACCACTACTATCCAACGTATAATCGAGCGAATACGTTAAAATAATACAGAGTTAGATTTAAATAGCCAATCTGCCAACTAGTAAAATTAGAAATTTATAGCGGCGCTGTAGCAGACAAGAGAGAGAATCAAACCGAAACCGACCAAGCCCCTTCCGGGGAAACCGACCATAGGTCAACCCTAAAAAATTTCAGCCAATCAGCGGCCTTCCCGCGCGGAACCCTAGGCCGACCAAGCCCTTGGTCGTTCAACCCCAGTTGGTTAGGGCTTATAGATCTAGATTTAAAAGAGTTTATAATAGGTAAAAAGATCTATTAAAGAAAATAGATAGTAATAGGCCTAGGAATAACACTGTATATTAGCCTAGATTAATAAATAGATATATAAATATATCTACTATTTATAGAATAATAGAAGGCTAAAATAAATAAGAATAATAGTATAAGAGAGAAATAGAAAAGAGAACTATTTTTTATATAAGACTATTAGAGATTAATTATAAATATATTAGTAACGCGGAAACACGTGATAGATTTATTAATATATTTAAATATATTATATAGAGAGGTTACCCTTTAAGAAAGGCTTCTTTAAAAGAACTATAGTATATAGTTAGTATATAGTATATATTGTTAAATAAAGAAGGCGTTTAGAACTTTAGAATATATACTGTACTAGACGGGAGCATGTAGGAATATTTAAATTAAGCAAATGAGAGGGTGAGAAAAGCGACCGAGGGCACGGTCGATTATGCCCTAGGGAGTAGAAAGTAGAGAGATATTATTGGTGGGAGGTCAAGTTCCAGATACTTGCCTACTAGAGTAGCTTTTGCAACCTACACTGTACTGCTGCACGTTACAGTGCAGGTTAACGACCCTACTAAAGACAGTCCTTAGCTTTATAAAGTACTTTACTCCTTTTAGGTAAGATCAAAGTTTATGTCTAAATAAGAGCAAAGGCCAGACTGCTAGCTATTGTCCTTTGATATTGTATAATCATTTAAAGTCGGCCAATATCTTCACAAGACAAGTTATTGCTATCCGATAATTTCTTTACGCAGCCATCTCCAGAGTCTAAGTGCCTAGATAAAAGATAAGTAAAATCGTGAAATCAGTTTAGTCTGCATTGCAAGAGGGTCTAGATTGGTAGTGAACAAACCTATTTAGGATCTCTTGTCGAGAGAAACGCAGGCCGCACTCTTGGCAAGCAAACCTCTTAATCCCCCGGTGGACCTATTATCACGTCAGTAAATAAATACATACATATAGATAAACCCTAGGAACAGACCGCATCTTTATGTCTTCGAAGATCACCATTCCTTCCAAAAGTCTTCCCACAATAGTCGCAGCGGTGCAGATTCTTGCGACTAGGATCATGCCTTTTCATATGTTCATGGCAGTTTGAACGACGAGTGAATACCTTGCCACATATACTGCACTGAAGTTCGCTTGCAGATGGGACCTTATGTTGTCTGTCGTTAGATATTTATTCTTTTCTTTTGGGTCCATTTACGGTTACCTCTGGGACATCGGGGTGTACTTTGGTGTCACCCTTAATCCTAGCAGATTCGGATTTGGAGGGTTGGTACTGGGCTGAATCTGCAGCGGGGGCAGAAGACTGTCTTGACAACCCGAGAAGGCCTTCAGTCGCCGGTAGTAACTCAGATGACCGTTGGAACGCTGGTGGCTCCTGGCCTGGTATCCCTTCCACCGGGGTTTTGACTGGTGAGCCCATTGGCAGGTCTTCCAGATCAATAGGGTAGGATAATATTTCGTCGTCTTCCGACTGGGAATCGGTATCATCGGCACTAAGGTCTTCCACCACAGTATGATTGTCCACCGCGACTGCAACCGAAGCGGCGTGACAGGAGTTTTCGGGGATATCCTCATCTTCATCATGGTTTCGAGGTAAAACAAATAAAGCCAATTCCTCCAAGTGTCTGCCCACATGCCGCTCAAAGCTCTTTGCTGAAAGGATCTCACACCGACATAATGGGCATATAGAGCTTGTGGCGACATCGCCTTGGAGGGAGTGTTCTTCAACCAAGTGATGGTACCATTGTCGACGACTGTTGTAGAGCCTTGAAGGAGTGGAACAATCCGTAAACAGGCAGATATAGGGCTTCAAATCGCGAAATATATGTCGGGCCCAGTCTTTGTGTTTCCAGATAGAGATAATATGACGGCAGTATGGACACTCGAATGGCTGCCCTGCTGCACATGATTTTGGAAGGGGCGGGATTGATAGGCTCTCTTGGCTGGCCACCAGACTCAGTGCGTAGGAAGTCTGTGACGCTCCCGAATTTGACAAAGATTCGAGAGACTGCAGAGGATCAATAGTGATGTCGGCCGGTTCAGTCGCCACCGTGTCAGAGAGGATCGTCGACGATACTTCAGTCGATGGAAGCAGACCCATGCCGAGTTTCTGGCGATGTCGTTCGCGGTACTTCAGGACTGCCTTTTGACTTGCCATCGCGGTGCACAATCTGCTGATCACCTCATCTTCCGCATGAGGGAACTTATGAGTGATATGCTGCCTGGCCCAGGGCTTGAAGAACGCAGCCTCCCCGACTCTCATTCCGACAAGTTGGTCATGATGAGCGGGCTTCCGTATGGCTATGGACAGCCGAAACAAGAAATTGATGATCTCGACCAAGGATTGATATATCTGCTGGACTTCAGTGAGGTCGTGGCTTTCATCCAGGTCTAGGTCACCGTCAGGAGAAGAAAGTCTCTCCTCTACTTCGCCTTCGTCAAGAACCTCTTCGAGGTCCTGGAATAAGTCCCGCATGCACCTTAATAGTCTGATCACCTCATCGCGGATATGTGAAGCGTCGCGCAGGCGGTAATCGAGCGACGACTGGCCGGACTTATGAGCGCCGATGTTTCCGGACCAGACGCGCAGTCGGCCCAACTCATCCTCCCATTGACGGAGCGATACCTCTTCCTGGAAGTGGCCAATCGACCCGTCGTTGATCAACCTGGAGAACCCCACTAGGCACTGAGAAAGGACAGATTCTATCGAGTCCATACCGAATGTCCCCTAGGGATAGTGTCCTTGGAGAACAGGAAATGTCCGCGACGTTGACGTTTGATAAGCCGACGGCACAGGATGACAGTGCGGGGTAATGCGGCGCTACAACGAGGCTGACAAAGACCCTCTGCGCACTCTTCTGACTTCCCACACATTGGGCCCGTTCATGTTGTGACAGAGAACATGGCGGGTGGAGTTGAGATCGCAGGGTTGGCTTTGGCTGTCCTTCCCCTGCTGGTCAACCAGCTGGATAACTACGCCAGGGGATTTGAAAAGATCCGAGGTCTCCGCCGATATCGCCGAGAGCTTCGAGGGTACGCGACCGGCCTGAGTGCCCAGCGGGCCATTCTACTGAACACACTTGAACTTTCCCTGGAAGGGGTTGTGGACGACCACGATGAGCGAGCCGAACTCGTCCGGAATCCAAGAGGCCCCGGATGGAAGGACCCAGATCTGGAACACCGACTGATTCGAAAGCTTGGTCGGGACTATCATGCGTTTATTGGAACTATGGATTCTCTGTGGGAAAGCCTGAGTGTGTTATCTCATAAGTTAGGGCTCGAGAGTATGGATGACGTGCAGGTAACTGTCGATGGATGAAGTGTACATGAACGGTCTGGTCTGACTTGGCTTAGGCTGCCTCTGTCAATGCACTGTCCGCGATGAAGTTTCGCAAAATATTCTCGCGGGCGATCTATGACGATCTACTAGAAAAGATCGATAGAGCAAACCAGACACTGAAAACCCTCAGCGAGCAGTCATATCAGCGGGAAGGGTCCCGGCGAGACACTAGGGAATGGAGGCGACGCATGAACGCACAAATGGTCAACAGACGGTACGGAAGGGAGCTCTACGACATACTGATCCAGGGTCGGTGCTGGAAGTGTCCCTGCCAATTGGAACACGCCGTTTGCCTCCAGCTCGATACCAGCACCGTTCGTATCGGCGGGCACGACCGTGCAGCGGCCAAGGCAAAGTTCTTGATGCTTCTGGCCTCTGGGAAGAAGCCTCCACCACACGATTCAACGAGCTGGTGGCATGAGGTCGAGATTGAGCCCGACACAGATTTTTTGGGATGCCAAGTATCCAACTCAGCCGCTACTATATTACCAGATGGAAGTCGATTGCCAAGTAGTCGACACAGGGTTCACTTTGAGCCAACAGAACCACCTAATGCTGCCTGTGAGATGCAAGCCTCAACCGAAAGTACCCAGGCCATTGCAGACATGTGCACTGCTCTGCGAGACGTGGATGTCAGCCGTCCTCACAAAGCAAAGGAGTGCATTGGATACGTGGCTCAAAGTACTGACGCCGATCCGCGTTACAACGTTTCCATTCTTCGCCACTTGGACCAAGTCCAGTTTCAGTCATTACAAGACATTCTTGCGGGATCTTCTTTTCCTCAGAAGACCGGTTGTCAGAGATTGAAACCCCTAAGTCGCCGCGATCGGCTGTGCCTTGCGGTCATCCTAGCTTGCAGCATCTTCCAATTCCATGGGACATGGCTAAGGGAAGCTTGGAGCACATCTGACATCTTGTTCGCTCGGGGCAGCGCAGTAGAAGATTTGAGTATTGATAAGCCGTACCTCTTCTGCAAGGTTGATCCGGCTGACTGCAAAGATGAGTCCTTCGTTATGCCAGGTCCGGACGCCATGCAGAACCACATTCTCTTCCCATTGGGGGTGACTCTTATTGAGCTATCCCTGGGAGAATGCATGGCCTTGTCGGGTAGCCCGGATATAGGTGACTCTAAGTGCCACCTTTCCCATTTCCACGAAACAGCTGATCTCCTTCGCCGGGTGTACTGGGAGAGCGGGTGCAATTATGCCGACGTTGTTAAGGAGTGTTTGTTCCCAAAGAAAGCAGTGGGGCTCCAATTTGGAGATTCAGTCTTTGAAGAGAGGGTGTTTGAGTCTGTCGTTTCCCCATTGCTAAGGGATTGGGCATATTTTGAGGGCCCTGCGTATGTAAAGTAATATTTTGTGTGGAATACCTTATGCAATATAGTCCGAGGCGAAAAGCACAATCATACTAGAAACGAACCCCTAGAAATACATGAACTGTCTATCAAAGAAAATGGCACAGAACCCCCTGGCTCTTTTATGTCATGAATGGATACCAGGATAAGGAAAAAAAAAAGTGCCTTTGACACGACAGCCCTAATGGCTTCGGCAATAGCAGACAGTTCCTTCTTCATGCGCCAGAGGTCGCCATCGGTTTTCAGCTACCTAGCACTTAACTGTTAGTCCCTGAAGACCGTCGTAGTGGAAACGGTTGGGGTTGGAAGATCACTCAGGGAGGGGAACTGCGCTTCTGAGTAGGTGTAGGTCTGGTCGTTGACGATATAATAAGTCGAGTTGAGGCTGTAAAAGGGGCCCGGTCCATCGTCGCCGCGGTAGGACTGCACGGTTGCAGGAGGGAGAAAGACTGTACGGGTCTCATCCCCGGCGCTGACCACAATCGGACTCGGAAGGTAGCTGGGCGTCATGTAGAAAGAGAAGGGGTTTGTCTGCCCGGCATGGACGGGCATGTTGAAGTACTGGATGGTCAACGTGGTGACTATTCACTATGAGGATCAAGATCAGTACGGGAACACGGAGATCGGACATACTTGGGCTAGGGTGGAGAGTCGTTGTGACGATCGAGCCACCAACGGTAAACGATGTAGTCAGCGGGTAAAGATAGATGGTAGTTGGCGTGGGCAGGATCTGCTCTGGGAAGATGAGGTTGCAGGGCGGGATGCACTCCACGATGGGCGAAGGTTCCGCGAAGATGATCGGGTCAATGTAGACATCCCCGGAGCCGCTGCCTCCGTCCGAGTCATCTCAAGAATCCCCTGCCTTAACACAAGCCCCTTCGGGGCAATACCCGTACATACAAGTGAAGGCGCATAAGTCTATGTAAATGGCTTCGTCCAGCCCAGGAGCAGCGACAACCACGTCACCAGTCGCCTCCAGGAGAGTGTGCAGCGCGCCGTGCGCGGTGCACGTACAGACGGCAATAGGGCAGTGACCGAGGTTGCAAGCGAATGAACACAGACCAGCTAGGTTGCCCTCCCCGGTGCCAGCAATACAAGCCGGCGGCAAGAACTCCGAGACAGTTGGCGTACTTAGCGGGGCAGAAATAGTCCCACACGCTGCCTGTGGGCAATATCCCAGCGGGCAGTCGAATGCGCAGAGGCCGCTATAGCTGGCACTCTTTCCGTCGGCGGGATACCCCGTCGGACCGGTAGCGTTGGGCGTCGTCTTGGCCTCGCCCTGCTGTTGGCAGTAGCAGGCACCGATTGGACAGTAGCCGTATGAACAGGCGAACTCGCACAGCCCGGCAAAGTTGTTGGTACCAGTGCCATTGATGCATTCTTGCTTGAAGAGGCTCAAGCCTGGCTTTACATTGACGCTTTCGCTGCCCCTGCTGCTTCCAACCCAGGCGTTCCAGTTCGTCAGGTTCTGCACGCAATCGGTAGAGATGGAGCTCCCCTGGACTTGGACAATCTGCTTGCCGTCTCGCTGAAGCGTTACAACGACGTCTCCTAAGTGGGATCCAAAGGGGACACTGCCGTGGTAGATTCCAACGTCGCCCTCGGGCTGCCAGGTCCAGCTCGCCTGCAGGGCAACACCACCAACACTGACGGCAACCGTTGCGGGAGAGCCGAGCAGAGCGAAGAAGATATGATCCTGAACAATCTCGGTTGGGGGGAACTCAATCTGCAGCTGACTGGCAGTGTTCCCAGACGTTCCACCGGAACTGCAGGCTGCCGCCGGCTGTGGTCGATGCCACACAGTCAAGCCTTCCTTGTCGACCTTAGCGGTGCCAGACTTGTACGTATCAATCAAGAAGGGTAGGAACAGACGCCAGCCGTCATGAGGCATGTTAGTGGCGTAGTTGTATGGAGCTCGGCCAATATTGAAGGCCTCCATGGCGTGCTCTCGTAAGGGGCCGATATAGTGCGACTCGCCGTAGTCGTTCCACGAGATAATTTCCACGAAATCTGGCTTCACAAATAAGATTTCTTGCCATCGGTCGTACCACAAGTTATCGCCACTGCACGCTACATCAGCACACATCACCCAAGAGAACCCTGTCAGAAAAATATACATACCGCCAAAGCCAATTCTTATTGTAACCAGGAAGGTTGGTATAGAACCATGGCGCCGCAGGCATCATATAGGGAAGGCCATCGAGATATTCAATGTACGAGGCATCGACATAGGTGTTCATCTCCTGCGGGCCCCATGGCCAGGCAGCCCAATTGAAAAGACCATCTGCTGTGCCCAGTTGCAGGGCCGGTTTGGCTCCAAGAGACGACCAGTCGGGGATAAAGAAGCAGCCAGTCCGCTGCTTGATGGCGAGCCAGTCATCTGAGCTGCCCGGTCCTTCAAGGGTCGACACGAGGGGCTTTCCCTGGTGGCGGTAGTACGAGTCCCTACCACTGTAGGTGCTGATCAAGTTGATCACATCGTTCATTGACCAAGGGCCATTCCCGGCGTAGTCAAAAGAGAAGAATAAGTGAAAGCCGAGTGCATCGGCCTGATCGAAGAACCTTGGAAGCGACTCCTTGTTGATCGGATCGCCATTTGCAATGTTGAGCGCAAAGGCATCAATATGAGCCTCTTGCGATTTGGAGATGTCGTCCTTGATATCGCTGTCCGTATAGTTTCCGGTATTTCCAATCTGCCATTGATTAGTGTGACATGTCCATCCACGGTTCGTATCTTACAGGGACAGAAATACCATGAAGTGGGCAAACACTGCTTTCCCATGACTAGACCCCACCAGAAGCAGGGTCAGCAGGAGCGACCAGATCATACTACTCATTTGTCCGGATTGAATCGAGTATGTGCAGGTGCAGGCTTGATATATATTCACAGGATGCGCGGGTCGAAGCTTCGATCCAGCTGCCGAGTAACCAGCTGCTCCCAGTCATTTTCCGTGAGGACAAAGGACATTGCAAACCACATACGGTGGCCTACACCGAACTCTTTTCGAAATCCTAGAGCATCCATACGAATTACAGTCCAGAATATCAGACCATACGGGCGAAAGACCGCATAGTCAACACACCTCAGTGGTGAGATAGGAGCAACTCGAGACTGCCACAAACATAGTGCTCCATGCGACGTGTATGCCTCGCTAATATAACGCTCTTCTTCCGCCCATTGCTCATCATTCAATGTCGTATAACTTGGGCAGCAATACCGGTACTCCGGTAAATCGGGTCCCGAGGACAACCATGACGGTATATTTTCGCGCCCTCCGGCCTGGCCATCCAACCAGTGAAGGATCGTCGAGATTTGTTCCCGCTGGCCGTTATTTCTTGTCCGAAGGATTTTGCCCCAAAACTCTTCGACCGTATCATGCGATGAGATTTGAACTGTTTCCGATCGCGCCGAGGTCACTGAAAAGTGCACATACATCTTGCGCAACTCGTAGTAGATAACGATGCATAGAAAGCTCCCAAGCAGGCGTTGCTCTTCAATCCACGTCAATGGACCAATGTCAGTGGGAGTGCAAGGGATGCCTTGTGGGCGGTGTCCGAGTCCAGCACCACGTATATTGGCGTACGCAGTCTTTTCCGGTAAATGCTCGATTTGCAACTGGAGAGACTTCCCAACCATTGCATGGAATGACGCATGAATGAGGCACCGCAGCCGAGCCATTAGCGCAAGCAGCCGACACAGAACAGCCGCTGGTGTCGACCGGGATAGGATCCGCAGTATGGGAGTTGGTAGGGTGGCATACGGTTCCGCGACGTATCGCAGGTTGTCAAGGACATTCGCGTCTCGCTCTTGTGTGTTGTCTTCTTTTGACTGCTTCCTTGACTGCTCGGTCCAGATGATCGCCAATTGCCTTACGGCACGCTGAACGTGCGGGAGCAGGCCTCTTTCACGGGCTGGATTTTCAATGATTGCATCCACTATCTGCGCGAATAGGTCATTGTTTCTGTGCAAGAATGCTGCGACTTCAGGGATTGCATTGTGCAAGCTGTGGAGTGAGGGCAGGTCCTGGAGGGCGGCCAACACATTATGCTGGACAAACCAAGGGAGTCGGCCAAAGTGAACCATTCGGTCTTGTTTGTCAGGGACGAACAAAGATCGATCTCGGCAAGAAAAAAAAAAAGTCGTGGTATTCTGGATTGGGGAGCGTTGCTCTTGGAGCATGACAAGGTTATAAAGGGTGGTTTGATCCACTCGTCTTCCTTCAGCCAACAGCAGCACCAATGGTCCCGTGATCTTGCTGAGTGTCGCGGAGAATCATTAAGAGGTCTGAAAAGGTGTAGACGGCCCGGTCTCCTAATTGATGTGGAAGAGCTGACAAATGAAAACATACCAAGTTAGGTAGTTAGTTCGCGTGCACCCAATCTTACAAATTAGTTAACCTAGCTAATCATAAGTCCCGCAATAGCCGTTCCACAACACCCAGTTGTCAGCGTTGTTACTGTTATTGCTCCTGTCCTCTAAGAGACACTAAATCACACTTATGTGTCCCTAGCCTCCTGGGGGTGAACTCACAAACCCTACTCACTAGTAGCTTGTCCATCGTGCCTATGGCGGATTTTCTCGCCGGCTGATTCGTCTAATTTTTATGTTCCCATGTGCTTCTGTCAAGAACTTGACAGACAGATATATGTCCCTAATAGACTGGCAAAACCTACCCTAAAAACCCGACCTAATCTAACCCAACCTAGGCCTGGGCAGCCGGGCCCGACTGCTTCTTTATTAGTGGTCTTTACGACTCACAGGCTATCCCAGGGAAATATACCGGCATAGGAGGCTATATAGCCGATACAGAGATTAACAAGATCTTAACAGAGTCTATAGCTAACAGGCTTCTGAAATATAATAGTAGAATTAAATAGTACTATACCGACCCTACTAGCGACAGTAATATCCTTATATATAGTAATAACTAATATCACCTATATAAGCCCGACAACTAAGACATTGCGCAAGATTCTTTACTAAAGATTTAATATAGACAGTATCACGGACTAAGCCACTAATCTGTAAAAATATAATAATCCTCCCGTGCGAGGCAGCGAGTCAGAGAAAAACTAGCATATCTAAAAAAAAATATATTTAGAATAATCTAGACTACTAAAAGATCGGAAATTAGATAGAAAACTAGATAGAGTTCGAGTACATAGACTAAACAGTTTAAAATAAATACTAGCTGTATTTATCGGAGCGATAGAGCCGAATCAATACTTCTTATGTCTAAGCTAATAAAATTAAAATATAGGAAAACGTTAATAAAGGTTATAGTATTAATTTTACTAAATCTATTTTTAATATTTTAGACGGTCTAAACAATGTATAATATAGCATAATTAATTTATTTAATTATTAGAGTATCTTACAGTGCACTAGATAAGCTAACAAAGATTTAGATCTAATAAACTGTATAATTTATAATTCCTTTATCTATATTTATTAGATATAGATACAGTATCTTACATAGCTAACAAGTATATATTAATAATAGTTATAGATATACTATATCTACCGTAAATCGTTAGACAGTATTACGAAGACGGTTATTACTAATATTCTTAATAATTTCTAGAATAAGTTTGCCCTTATACCGGAATTTTCAGATAATAAATAGCTTCTTTTTTACTTAATCTTATTATCTTTAATGCCGCTGGAATATTTACTCTGTTATAGAATCTCGATATATTTAGAGAGAAACTATAATCTAAATTACACAGTATATAAAATATTAATTTTTAATTTATATTATTTTATTAAAGCTAATCTACTTTATAATTAAGTCTTTTAGTAATAACTTTAAAGATACTACTATAACTATTATTTCTTAAAGTATAACTATTGCGAAGAATATATTAGAATTCTCTAAACTGTAGATTATTGTCTATACCTATTTTAATAATTTACTAACTAAAAGATATATAAGAAAGACTAGACTTCTAAGAAGCAGAATAAATTTACTAATTATATATGCTAAAGTATAAAGAAATAGGACGAAATTATTAAGAGTTTACTAGCAGCCTTATTTAATAGCTTTTTTATATTAATTAAAATACTAACAGACCTTATATCTAACAGGAAATTTATTAATAGTTACTAGTTAAGGAATAATAGAATCTAAAATATAAATATTTTTTTTTTTAGTCTAGATAATCTTCTGTAAAATAGCAGGGCGGTTTTACAGAAAAATATTAATAAAATTTTCTTTACTTTTACTATTCTCTTTATATAAACTACTTTCGGCCGGTTTCCCTTTATTATTAATACGGGAGACTTATATAACTATATAAATAATATAGGTAATTACTTAGAGAAAAAGACAATAAAAGCAGCTAAAGCCTGCTATAATAATAGATACTACTATTTTATCTTATTAAAAGATTAATTTTTTTTCTATATTAAAAGCGATTATATAGATAACTTTTTCTCTATACTATCCGGCCTAGATTATATAAAGATAAACTTCGGCAATATTACTATAGAGAAGATTATTATCGGAGCAGTCCGTATATATCTAGTTAATAGTAAGATAAACGGCGGTAAAGCACCCAGTCTAAGTAATTAGAAAACTATAAAAGATATCTATAATACTAATATTACTACACTAGGGCTAATCTGCTTATCTATTTACAGCGCTAAAACAGCCTATCAAACCTAGAACTACGGTAATAGCCCTGATATTAACGCTCTAAACTATCTCTGCGTTATCTATCCAACGCCGGACTTCTACAGCATATCTATATTCGTTAACTAGATAAATAATATATTATCAACCGTATCGGACTACATAGAAATTATTAAGAATATTACTAATATAAATAGGTAATAGAAGATAGAGAACGCGTTAGGCTCCTAGTATTAGCTTATCTAGTTTAGTTTATTCGCTTTTAGTATGTAGGAAAAAGATAGGGATAGAAATATTAACTATTATATCTGTGTTTAGAATATTATAGATATTATTAGTGATTGAGTACGCTGGTTTAGCGGATTTAAAAAGATAGATGCTAAGGGCGAGATATCCTATAAAAGAACTATTAAAGGCTAGATAGTTAAGTAGAGGTTATATTATAATTAATCTTAAGATATATATATAGGTTACAGAGGAATATAAGTGAGAAGCTTAGAGGTTAGCTGCTATATAATTTTTTAAAGTTATGCTTATGCTAAATTACAGGTTCTAAGACTGTTCTAAAGAAATATAAGCTTAAATTATTGGTTTTTTAAGATAATATAATAATGCGACTATAGAAGGAACTACTCGAAAATAAGAAGTAATTAAAGAAAAAAATGCTATTAAAACGCTAGAATTTAGCAAAAAGAATATAGTTATAGTATAGATAAATATGAAATTTTCGTTGACTGGTTGTCCTTCCAAAACTAGCCACTTTTCCTCTGGTTAGACTCGGAGTCTTCCTAACCAGAATCCGAATGAATCTGACGTCTACCCCCAGTAGATTAGGATTTAGCGTTTTTAAGTCTATTTTTGCGTTATTACTATTGCCTCCATTTTCCCTAATAGATTATTGCCTAGCGCGGCCGGAGAATGTATAGGCAGTAACAGTCACTTCCGGACTTCTATAGGTATATAGGCCGCGAGTAAATCCACCGTGGGCCCGGTGGATGAGCTACTAGAGAGTAGGTTATGGCGGCCTTTCAGAAGGATTAGCCATTTACAATAGTATCAATGCACTAGCAATTGCCTTATATATATTGCTTTATTCATCATTAGAAAAGGTAACATACAGAATTCGGAAACAAATACGAATTAGGTAAAACCGGATGATTAAGGTAGCAGTGTATATACATTTCTCCGTGTCTAGAATGGGAGATTGGCGAGATTGGCCCCAGAGCAGGTACACTAATTATCCCTTTATAGCAACCGACTTTGACTGCGTCCATTCAAGCATGGCCTCTTTGCCATTTTCTACCCCCTGACCGCTCTCTAGAATCACAACTACAATTAGTGGTACTTCGAACTCAGCGGAACAGCTGCAAAAACTTACGTTTCCATCCTCCCATGGGAATACTGGGATGGATACCACCAGCTCCATTCACGCTGACAGTCCCCACTTCCAGCTTCTGAGACATTCGTAGGGCTCGACTGATATCCGCCGTCCAGACGTAGGCAGCCAGGCCAAACTCGGTATCATTGGCCAACGCAACAACCTCATCTTCGGTGGAGAACAAGACAACGACTAGAACAGGTCCAAAGATTTCTTCTCTGAGAACCCTGGCGTTATGGCGCGGCTCCACGAAGATGGTTGGTTCGAAGTAGCAGCCTTTGTCTCCGACGGGTTTGCCGCCAGTGAGCAGTGTTGCTTCTCTGCTGCCAGCCTCGATGTACGACAGCACAATCTCTTTCTGACGGTGGTGGTACAGCGGTGACGAGCGAGTGCTAGGTAGAGTAGGGTCGCCGCCGAGGCTCCGACCATGCTCTTCAACCATGGACTTGAGCTTTGCGACGAACTCGTCTGCAATGGATTCATGCACGTAGAGTCGTGTGGGGAGAGCGCATCCCTGGCCGTTCATCAAGAGGAACAGTGTCGCGGCCGGCAGGGCCTTCTCCAAATCCGCGTCAGCGAAAACAATCAGAGGGGACTTTCCGCCGAGCTCTAGAGTGACGCTCTTGAGGTTAGACTTTGCGGCGGCGACTTGAATCAGCTTTCCGACCCCTATACTACCGGTGAAGCTGATCTTGCGGACCTCCATGTGTGAAGATAAGGCATTGCCGGCGGCTGCGCCGCCAACAAGGCAGTTGAAGGCGCCAGGTGGGATTCCGGCTTGGGTTGCTAGAGATGCCATGAAGAGGGTCGAGAAGGGGTTTAGCTCGCTCGTTTTGATGATGATGGAATTTCCGCAGGCAAGTGCTGGGGCGACCTTCATGGCAAGGGTGATGATGACTCCATTGAATGGGCAAATACCGGCGCAAATGCCCCATGGTTGGCGGAGGGTATACTGTGAGTTTGGTAGGTAGGTGAGTCTCAGCGAGCTGAAGGGAATGAGCCACGGAGATCACACCTGAAGACTATCATCTTTCGCCGCCACAACCGCGCTCTCGAACTTGTCGATCATGCTGGCGTAATCTAGAAGAGATCTTGTTAATGTCGGGGAAACCATTCCTAGTTTGAATATTCTCACAAATGAATAGGTCGGCAGCAACGTCGATTTCCATATTGCAGAAGCTAGCATCTTTCCCTACGAGGACAGCCTCCAGCCAGTGGAGCTGCTCCCGATTCTCCCGGATTAGTTTGCTGTATTTGATCAAGGCATCTCGGCGCTGGTTCTAGATTTCGGTTCGTTAGCCGTGTTCTCAAATCGCACGAGTTTAATCGACCGGGTGGGCTCACATCGGTCATGGCCTGCCATAGACGCAAGCCATCTCGAGAGGAGTCAACAGCATGATCGACATCTTGAGCGTTTGACCACTGCAGCTCTGTCCACCGTTAGTTATAAACGACAAAAATTTGCATTTTGAATAAACAACAAACCTGTTGTGAGAATCATATCATTGACTGAAGACTTGAGCGTATGTTTTTCATCGCCAGTGCTGTCCACAAACTTGCCCCCAATAAAGGACTGGACAGGGAAGGGAAAGCGGGAAGTGTCAAGCTTGGGGGCATTAAAGGGCGCCATTGTGGTACAACAATTGTAGAGATTGAAGAAGGTATTTGGTAAAGCAAGATAGGCCAGTCGGGGTAACGTTCACTTATTAGGAATCTCCACCACAGGCTTATACTGGAGTAAACAACCCTTTAAATAAGAATGCTGGGCACAACATTTTCAAATAACATATCTGCAAGAGAAAATCATGTGGTTTAGGTAAGATTGAATAATGAGAAGTTCTGATCGGCCGGCAAGTCGGCGAGGCTTCGGTGGACGGCGGCGGAGGCACGGCGGAGGCACGGCGGAGTCACGGCGGAGGAAGAAAAGAGGGAGACTAGCGGATGAAAGCGGTGGATTTCCCAGACGTTTTTCTCTCGCGCAAGGAGACTATGCAAAAGTATGGGCTTTCTCGGTAATTGAAGCGGCATTATAATCCTCAGGATGTTTTTAGGTATAATAAGGCCGCCTTAGGACGACTTCTGAGATGTTATTTATCAACACTTCCTCTAATTCAGCAGAAATTATCCTGCATCTACCTATTCAAACTCATCCGAGACCAACCCTCTAATCCATTCCAAATCATTCACCCACAATGTCGACCTCCGTTAACCTGAGCTCTCGCATCTTCAGCGTCACCGGCGGAGCCTCCGGCATGGGCGCCGCCACCGTCCGTCTCCTCGCCCAGTACGGTGCGGGAGCCGTCTGGATCGCAGACTGGAGAGAGGACAATTTTCACAAGATCAAGGAGGAAGTCGACCGCATCAACCCCCTGACAAAAGTCTATACGACTAAAGTCGACGTTTCGGACCCAAGGCAGGTGGATGACTGGGTTGCGGCCATCATCGCAGAGTCGGGAGCTCTGCACGGCGCAGCCAACGTAGCTGGCTTGTCCCAGTCAGTTCTGTTGAAGACGCAACCGTCTATTCTCGCAGAATCCAACGAGGAGTGGGCTCGTATCATGGACGTCAACATCAACGGCATCATGTACTGCACCCGGGCGCAGGTAGCTGCCATGGTCAGGATGCCCAGAGAGGAGCACCCCGCGGTTGTCAATGTCTCGAGCATGGCCTCCCTTCTTCGTGGACCGAGTGCTTTCGCGTATGGAACATCGAAGGCCGCGTGTGCACACTTCACGTCGTGTGTTGCAAAGGATGTGTACTCCTTTGGCATCCGTGCTAACACGGTTTCTCCGGGTAGGTGAAATAAGTTTGTATTTGCTATGAGACGTAGAAGTTGACGTTGTGATAGGTAATACGTACACGCCCATGACAAAGGAGTTCTTTGGTGAGTTGTCGAAGGAGGAAACAGAGGAGAGGCTGCATAAGTGGGGACTTGGTACGAAGATGCTGGACCCTGAAGACGTTGCGAGGGTGATTATTTGGCTGCTAAGTGATGCGTCTGTGGATGTCAATGGAGTGAACCTCCCTGTTGGCTACGGAGCTCCTTAGGTTGCAGAGGCTTTCCGCGACCAGAAGACAAAACCGAGAAGCAATTAGCTTATTTTCCGCATTTCCAGTTTCGTCATACAAACTACATGAGTCAGTGCCTGAGTATTTTTATAAGAACTGATCGAATTTATTGGAAACCTTTTGTTGTGCTAGGAGAAATACGTAGGTGTTAGGTTAGAGTATATTAAAGTTACTACTTGGGTTCTGGCCGCTATCTAGCAGCAGCTATGCCGGGCTGGTGGCGTTTGGCTAACTGCCGAAGCGCCCCGAATATTCAAAATTATCTGTAGCGCCTCGCTTCCCCAACGCCAATTCACATTTAGGTAGCTGCCTCTATCTACATCTGTCTTCTGTAGCCGGCGGCTCGATCTACTAATGTACATATGCTTCTAGGCGCCTATAAGGCGAACTATCTGCCTCGTATATAGGTCATTTCCACCTACAGTCTCCCCTTAATAAACGACTGGAGATTTTGATGTCCTGATAATTGGCCAAATTCTTGCTCACGCAGTGCAGTAACTTATGCTCTCTGCATTGGAGCAGGATCTAAGCTACTGTCTGTCACCCTTATCTGCAATCGTTGCCCGGGTCGGTAAATGACACTCTTGATTTGAAGAGAAAGTCGTGCATCCCAATCTTTCCTGTCTGGAGGTGAACATAGATGGCGCTGTGCCGTATGTCCGAAAGTTGCCTTGGCTTCTGGATTTTTGCTGCCACTTGACCCTAACCAGATCATACGAGGGTGTCCCTGACGTATTCACCGAGTAGCGTCGCGTGCTCGTGGAATTCGGTAGGCTATGCACCTCTTGGTGCCACGAGCTGCCATATATATCTAAGACCGCACTGGGTGATGCGATAATTAGACTCTAGGCTTTCCAAATGAACCTCTTTAGTGGATTAATACCTGCTGTTTGGGCCGTTGTATCAGAACTTCGTTTTCGGGGTCTTGAAAAAGGCGTCGCAACTGGGTAGGCACATGACTTAGTGTCGGACGCTAAGACCTCGTCACGTAGTCGCGTCTCTCTTGAATCCTTTCACAAACTGCTACCTGCGTCATCCACATCCAGTGTGGCGGTTGAATAATTAACCTAATTTTGAGCTTCATAAATCTGTCCATTTGGAAACAGTTGCAGTGTCATCCTATTCTCAAAATGACAGGGCAGACCGCGCAATCACTCAGAAAGCCTACATCGTCCGAGGAGTGCAACCAAGCACCAAAACGTAGGAAGATTCGGAAAGGGACCACGAGCTGTTGGGAGTGTATGTTCTAGGTTATCTTATCCTATGGTTCCTTTTCTTTGTGTTGACATGTCGCTTTTGATTCCAGGCAAACGGAGGAAAATCAAATGCCACTTCCCGTCGCTAACGAGTGAAGTCTGCACTGGATGTCAACAGCGGGAGACGCCTTGTGTGACCCAAGAGTATGAAGATTCTGTTGTTGTTCCGGGACAAATTAGCGGCACGGAGATCACAAGCAATATGATCCAGCACGCGGGGTTAGAAAACAGGCTTGTACGGGTGGAGGCCTTGCTTGAGCGACTGCTTGATAGCGGCACCTGTCTGCCTCCTTCGACGACCGATCGCAGGATCCCAGAGATATCCTCGACCTCATTTTTGTCTTTACATAATGGTTCTGCACACATTCCCAGAGCCTCCGCGCCAGCGTTCACCAGAGATTTGGACAGGGGCTGTGTAGCGCAAGCGCTCGATACGGCGCTAGTAGGTGTTCCTAGGCTTTGGTACATTCGCACATTCTCGTCTTCTAATAATCTTCTAGGGTGATGCAGATATCTACCACCAGGCGGACCCTTCTCAGGAGCTCTCCCTTAAATCTGATTATTACGAGAGGATATCCACAGAGCTTCATTCAACTCTTCCATCCCAGCGAGATGCTGATCTTATCATCGCTGCTGGCAGTACAGCCGCCTTCCTACAATTTCTCTGTCGACCGTATGAGGACATTTTTCGGGGCAGGATGCTTCCCGCCTCAAGCCTCTCCTCGCTTCCGCGCCCGAACAGTCATCCTGTATTACTCGCTCGGGCGTTACTATATCTTGCGCACGGGATGCAAAATCTACGCCCAGCAACGTTCGACTGCGAACAACTTGATCTTGGCTGCACTCCTGTGGCAGCTATGCAACGCTTCTTGGATACAGCTTGTAGACTTGTCACCAGCAATGACGAGTTGATCGAGTCCCTGGAAGGACTGGAATGCCTCATACTTGAAGGGGTCTTCTGCATCAACTCTGGAAATCTCCGCCGGGCTTGGAGAGTGTTCAGGAGAGCAATAAGCGTGGCTCAGCTCATGGGCCTTCACCGTGGAGACTATACGGATTTAAACATATTGGATTCCAGCACTATGGCATCTCCCTCTTTTATGTGGCATCGAATAGTTAGCCAGGATAGGTATCTGGCTCTCATGCTCGACCTTCCTCCAGGCACAGCGGATGACATTCTCGGAAATCCGGACAGCCTGGTCCCAGATAATTGTCCTATGGGCTACCTCGAGCGCATTCACTGCATTATTATGAGCCGCATTACAGCGAACAAGAACGGAAAGGCAGACAGCGAGGAATCGGCCAAAGCTTGGAATATTGACTTAGAAATACAAAAGGCCGCGCGTGGTATGCCTTCTGGCTGGTGGCAGCTGCCCACCGCAAAGGCAAGATCCGCTGGACGCAAAGATAACCTGGAAGATGTATTGCGCATACTCTTCCATATCACCCATTTTAGTCTGCTCATTTACCTTCGACTACCGCAGATGCTTTGTAGCGCCGATGAGGACCTGAGCGACCTTAATGACTGGGCTTGTCTCAGCGCCAGCCGCGAGCTCCCTAAGCGCTATATCGGATTCAGATGTATGGACTCGCTTGCATTTTGTTGTATGAGCATCGACTTTTCAGCGTTCACTGCGTGTCTCACGCTGCTCCTCGCGCACCTCCAGCGCTGGCATCGCAACCCGGATCTAGAAGAAGCCTATCTTCACCAGCGGCTAGACGATCGGGCTACAGTTCAGGAGACAGTTGAGCTCATGATGGAGCTAGGTCAAGAAAACGGTGACACATTCCTGGAGAAGATAGCCGGAATCATAACAAGCCTAGCTCGCATCGAAGCAGATGCCGCAAAACACGCCGGACTTTATGGAGATTTCGGGTACGTCAGCCGCCGGAGTGCTTCAGCTCTTTCTCTCGAAGTTATAGTACCGACTTTTGGAGCGGTGAGAATCACCAGGGACGGAGTCTTTCCAAGAAGCCCTGGCCGATATGCGGTAAATAGGAGCCAAGGTCACAAGATCGCCACGAGCCGACAAACCCAGCCATCCTCACCTACCTGGGGACTTAACCAGGAAAAGGAAACAAGGATGCCATCATTTTCTTACCTCGAGTTCGATACCAGCAGACACGGGTCCGAGTCTCTCGACATGCTTACACAGACATATCTGCAAGATCTAGACTCTCTGGACTGCTACGGGTTCTGGCATGATGAAGAAGTTAACTCGGGTCATCAAACTACTTCCAATCAGAATCATCAGGGGCTCTAAAAAGGGGAAACCCTATAATTGGCCTCTTGCCACAGCTATATTCTTATTGCTAAGCTTAGTCTCAGTTGTCGCATTCTGAGAACTCTTTCTTTGCTTTATCTTAGTATCTTAGACATCTATCCTCCCTTGCAAGAGAGAATGCCTTGCGCCCCTGCTTCCCTTTGTGCGTGTTAGTAAGCTCTTCCGGCGGCTTTACATCCTCTATGAAGGAAATCGCCCATTTGGAGGGCTTTGTCACAGCTGCCGCCAAGGCAGTAGACGAGTACAACAAGAAATTTCCTGGGAACAAGAAAAAGAAGCCCAACACCGCTGACGTCCCTACGATCAATCTGGAGATCTACAACAAGACGGTTTTGAATATGCGCTTTGGGACCTCCCATATCGGTACCTAGACAAACGCATAAATCCTTGGCCAATATATAATAGCGGCTGCGGGCGCTACTTCAGGCTACTGTTGCATGTTCGAGTCGTGCCTTAAGCAGATATTTCATCTCAGTTTACGGTTGAGTTCCCAATCGGTTGTTCGATAATCGACAGATAATGTAATATCCCAATAAAAAGATACCGATGCATTTCTAGAAGTTATAGCATAAGAAGAGCCCAGAGTAATTTCCTATCAAGCATCCCTATTCATTCCATAGACCAAATGTTTGGGCAGTAGCGATGTAGGCACCCAAGATCATGAATGCATACGTTACTGGCTTATTCTGCGATCTCGTGACAACTGCATACGAATTTACTGCACTATTTGATGCCTGAGACCGCATACTGGGATCCGTATGTAGCCATTGGACTTGCCATTCTTCGCAGTATGAAGAAATGGTTAAGGTTGTTCCGCTTACCAGATACCTTGTCTCATGCATTAGCTACATGTGGCTTGGTATTTGCCCCTCAGGTAGTTGAACGTATGTCCGATATACGCCAGAATGATTGGGTCGCACGCCGGGGCTGGTCTACTAGGAATTAGAAACCCCGAAATTCAAGGCAATTATGATCGAGGAGCTCGGCTCAACGCCTTGGCAGTCAGGTCAGATTAGGGATGTCAACCCGCACCGCAACCCGCTGCGGGCCACCGCGCGGGTTAAAATTGTATAAAAATCATAAAAATCTTAAATTCTGCATTAAATTGGTATTCTATAAAAATTTCACATTTTTACGCAAATTGATGACGTTTTATACAATTTTTAACCCGCGTGGTAGCTCGCAGAATATCTATGCGGGTTGCGCCTCGGCATCTCTATAGGTGTTTTATATAAAGCGCGCGGCGCCGTCTGATATTCCGCTTAACTTATCGGAGTTTAGATCGAAGAGACTCCGGTAACTATAACCTAACTTCTTCGTAATATTGCTCTGCTCTTTCTGACCATGTTAAATCGAGATGCTGCGCAACCCACCTTTTAAGGCTGGCCTCCTCTTCACGGCTCTAGGGACAATAGTCTCGCTAATCTGTAGTGAGTGGTAACCACGGGCCCTGTTGCGGAAAAAGGGGAGGGGAGAACAGCAAAAAAGAGCTAGGCAATCATGGTGATAGAGCGACGACCCGGAACGCTCCGGTCAGAACACGGTATGGCATAATGGAAAGTGATGGGAGCGGAGCGATACCAGGGTAGTTTCAGGGCTGTGCGGTACGGGCAGTGGCCGAATAGTGCTAGCAGCGGGTAAAGTGCGCACAGCTCCCCTTCTGCGCGGCTGTAGTTTGTAGGGGCAGTGACGGTCACTTCCCGACGCCTGTATGTAGGGCCTATTCGGCATTATGCGGCGGCAGAATCTCGGAGAGACCTAAAGGCGGTAGCAGAATTTCAGGAAACACTGAGTTATGTATTGCCCAGTTGTAACCCAGAGATACATGTTACATATAGTTAACGATGGTTGCTGACAAAGGTCGACCTAGAACTTGGTTTCCAAAAGACACAGGCGGCAAATTGGCTTCCTCTAATAGGAGCATGACCCAGATCACTTCTATGCAACTTGTACCAAGGAATGGGTGATGCGCTCATGGTCTAGAAGAGTCTATGTAGTGACGTTAGAGTAGGTAGGTCAAAGCGTGCATAAAGGCTATCATTCCCCTAAGCATGTCCGACCGAACAACTGAAACCCAATTTCAGACGACTATTTTATTCCCCCTAAGATATGCAATATGGCTAGCACAAACGAAGTTGAAAGTGAATTGATAGCGCTGCAGCAGTTGTTGCGCCCTCATGAAATTATCACCCCCAATACCCCGACCTACCAACCAAGTATCCAGACTTGGGCATGCCAGAAGCAACAATATCCGCAAATTGTTGTTCGGCCAACTAGTATTGAATCTTTAAGCCAAGTGATCTCCCATCTCTATCCGACGGACTTGCAATTCGCCATCTACGGGCACGGTTTCTCGTCCACATCCGCCAAGGATGTTCTTATCAATATGACGGCGTTTGACGAGTTCCATTTCGACTCTGATTCCGAGACAGTGACTATTGGGGCCGGACAGACGTGGGCGGAGGTCTATCGGAAGTTGGGAGAGGCTGCGCCTGGTTATGGCAGTAAGAATTTTACCTAGGTTCTTGGATGGATGCAGCAGAAGCTGACAAGCTATGGAAGTTGTCGGAGCTCGCACCCCATGTGTCGGAGTGGCAGGAACCGCCATGACTGGGGGCTTTTCATGGCTCTCCTCTGAATACGGATGCATATCTGATCCAGCAAACATGCTCGACGCCCAAGTCGTCAAGTACGATGGGTCGGTTGTCTGGGCGTCTACAGAGCCTGAGCTACTGTGGGCGCTGCGTGGGGGCGGGGGTGGGTTTGGCGGTAACACCTCTCCCTAAACAGCCCTCAATCAATATTCGAGATACTGACACAGATAACAAAGCCGTGGTCCAGCTTGTGCTCCGAGTTTTCCAATACCCGCAGAATATCTGGGCTGGACCCATTTTGATTCCTCGTGAGCATCTACAGCAAGTGGCCAAGGGCATCGCCCAGTTCGTCTCCAAGCCTGTCGACCCCAAGATCACGATGTTTCTTTATGTGGTAAAGAAACGGCTGCTGGAATTCATTGGAACGAAACTCGACATGCTGGTCATCCATGCCTTCGACGCGCACGGTGAAGCCCATGGTCGGGCGACCTTCCAATGGGCGTTGGATTTTCCCGGCGCAGTAGATCAAACCAAAGTGATGACGCTGGCAGGAGTGGCTGACCTACAAAGTATGCAGGGTTTACGATTTTTTATAAGCAAAAGCGGAGCTAATTATCTATCTAGATGAGCTGCGTTACGCAAAAGGCACCATGAAACAGTTCTGGGCACCTATGCTGCTCCACAAAATCTCAGAGGACACCATCATGAGGACTTTGAAATGGTATGAGGATATCGAAGCCCTCAATTCGTCGTTCGCCGATTGTACTTATGTTATCTTTCAATTACTAAGCACGGTACGCTGGTCATTACCACCCGGACGATGTATTTTATTTTACTAATAGTGGTTCGAATAAGCGCGACCCAGCAGGCTCGAGATCAGAATGTGCCTGGCCACGACCCGCAGGAACAAAACATCTCCTACTCCTTGGGATCGGGTGTCCTTCCTATGCTGGCCCGGAGGATGAGAACTTGGCGCGGGAACTCGCCATTCAGGCACCCGAAAGAATCTTGGCTGGGAAGGAGGAGGTACATCATGTCCCAAGTGGCTTCGAGGATTTCCATGATCCAGAGAAGGTATATTTCCCGTAATATTATCGTATGCTGCTCATTTTCTCACAAGGCATGAACAGATCTGGGGCGCGCATTTCCCCCGACTGCAGAAATTGAGAAAACAATATGACCCATGCCACAAATTCAAAGGAGCGATTATTGCATAGGTACCACACATCGTCACAGGAACCAAAAATTAGGTGCTTGGTCTTGGGCGACCAACATCCCAAGATACCACAATGCCAGCAAAACAGTCAGTTGGTCTTACTGATGTGTGCCACTAATACTAAATTCTATCGGCGCAGCAAGCTCAAGTTTGCTGTCATAACCTATAAGTCAAAACACGATCAACTTACTATTTGTAAGAATAAACTTGTACCTCGTCGCCTAATGTTGCCTTATATAGTAATTCATCCAAGTTATACCGTTTAATTTATTAAAATAAGCTCTATCTAATAGTATTAATATTATTTTAATATTATATTATTAAAGGGTTATGTCCTTCCCCGAATTGGCCTACTAGAAAATGAAAACTAATAATTAGCTCTTATATTTTTAAAGAGTCAGGTAAATCTCTAAACTATTAAAATTTTCTTTAAACATATATAATAACTTATTAAACATCTCTGAAGTCTCCTAAAGAGACTTCGATAGTTTTAGAGATGAGCAATAGCGGTTCACGAATCACCTATTACAAACCGCCTTTGTTATATATACAGAAGGGTCTAGCCCTACTATCGAAGCCAAAACTACCTTCCGAAATCACAGTATTATATACGTCTTTAGTTACCTTATATGTTATATTGGATAAATGACATCTGTCGTGGTTAAAATATCATATTCTGTCCTCTCCTGCGTCTCCTTATATAAGTACTACGTGCTGAAAGAGGACCTCTCCTCACTATACTTTCATAACTTTATATAGACCACCCGGTACCTTGAATGTAGGAAAGTTCTTTGTTACAAAATACTTATCTCTGAACCCAGTACGTGGCCTGGTCAAGCCTTCATAATAAGCCATCCTCTCCCAGTGCGGGAGTATAATCATTCCTCCCCACCGGGTCCGAGTAGTATGCTGTCAATGCATATTTCATTTGTGTGGTCGTCTGAATCAAGTATATGTGGGGCCTGCTTATTCTCTTGTTCCCTTTCCCTTAAACCAAGCGCGAACGAAGTGGAGCTGCACAAGGCTCTTAGATTCTCACACTGACCCTTGCCAATTTCCGTGCTGGTCCTCTTGCCTTGGGCAAAAAGAGGCGACTTGTGATACTACAATGGCCGGAAGCAATGAGATTGGAAATTGTTATCTCTCTGTTGCGATTCGCGACACATGGTGTCATAGATGCCTGCGGCGGTGCCCTGCGGCGCACTGCGGTAGGTGGCCCACATCCTGCGGGAACTTACTTGGATTGGCGGCTTAGGCCCCCATTCATCAAAGCCTAGGAGGTGCGCCGGAACCCCAAAGGTTAACCCTGTCCATAAGGATTGACAACCGCGAGGTTAGCGGCGCGTCGGCGGACGGTGGTCCAGGACTGAGCCCGCACGACCAGTGGCAGGGTTTTCACGTGAGCAGAAGCTCGACCAGTGAGCCCCGTAGGATAGTGGTCATGTCGAAATGGCCGAACAGTCTCGGCAGGGCGTAGCCAAGGAGTCGCCGTATGTGCACTATATGCCATCGAAGCACCCACCGGCTACCACGGGATGCACAACGCCATACGAGCTAACTGTCCAGGGTGATTGCAGCGCATATCCCATACTAGTCAGTCTGCGATATGTGGGAAATTCGATTGTACTAAGGGGATGTTGTTAGAGGCATCCTGCAGGTCAGGGTCGATAGTCTGGGGAGTGGAGGAGTATTTGTATCGCGTCGGGTGTCGTTTAGGCCCTTATATTGATGCTTGCAGCAGGATGCTGGGATAGAGAGACACGGTAGGTAGTATTATGGTCGATTTAGCCCGTCTTCATCTACGGACCTTCAACATGATGGCTAGGTGCCGGGTAGGTGCCGGGCAAGAAACCGAGGGTTCTTAACAAAATGACCTCGCTAATTATCAGGAGATGGCGCCTATTTCCTTGATACAACATTCTGAGGTTACCATACTCTAAGCTTTGTCTCTAGAGTTTATTGACCGGCGTATTCCAGAGTTACCATCACTTCCCCTAGCTATAATCTGCCCTCATCTTACTGTATCACGGGCTGGGAATCAGTTTATTCATCATCTAAAAATAATATACTATATTCAAGCTACACCATTCCTGAAAGCATCACCCACCACAGAAGAAAGCGAAAGCACTGGATCCGCAAAAATCCCATCTATCTGGCGAAAGACGCATTAATCTGCTGGTGCCTTGCAGGGAACACCACCGGGGAACTATTACTTTAGACGTCTTTGCTTTCTGGGCTGCCGCAGGGATCGGCTGGGTGGAAGCAGAGCTAAAAGACCTTCTATCCCGCGAGTAAGTGCGGTATACTCCTCACTGTCCCGTTGACCTGATCGATCCAACGCTTGTTGTCGACTTTTAGCATGTTCCAGCTGGCGCTTCAGCTCTGGCGCCTCCGAGGTAAAATCAATATACGGGATGCTACCTGAGCGTGTGGCTATTCTCCTTGGGCGTGTTCTGGGCGCTAGGGCGCTGCCACGAAACTTAATCTTACGCCGACAACACATCGATCAGGGCATGCCCGCGGTGGGAGGACTGTTTGCACTCACCGGGCGGTTAGTAGTTTGGATTCCCACGACCACCGCACTGGCCACGGCAGCATGCTGAAAGACCACGGCCTCCCGCTCCGCAGAGGAGATATGCGTCCCGTAACCGTCGCCGACCTTGAGAAGTTCCTTAATCCGATCCATGACAAAGACGTTGCAGTTCTCGTCGAGGTACCCGTAGTCGCCCGTGTGGAACCAGCCCTCAGGGTCGACGATCCGTCCTCTATGGACCCCACGTCTCTTACGAACCACGCCCAGGCGATGATGCCCAACCAATCAGGCGCAGGCGGGCAGCAAGGCCCGTTTGGTGGCCAAGACGGGGGACATGGAGGTGGATATGGCGGTGGGCGAGGATCGGGGCGAAGGTGGTAGTAGTGCGCTGGGGGGTGGGGGTTTGCATGATGTTGTTCTAAGTCCGGAAATGGGTCTGGCCGGTCGTGGAGTTACTCTAGGAATGCACACTATCTATTCTCTCTGACTTGAAGGTGGAGGTAGGGCCATAAGATATCGTTTAAAGTCAAATGAAGCAGCCAAACACTGCACGGTAGACTACCTTATCGGCACGGATTTGATTATCTATTTGAGGTCGATATTTCCTTATAGCATCCTGAACGCAAATCGCCTCAATGAACGTCTTCCAATCTTCCTCAATGATGCGTTCGCATTGCCTTTTACGGAAGCCAAACATTGTATAGTTGCTTTGACCCTTCACTCGGTCTGCGTGCCGCCAACAGTCGACATTCACGAGACGCTCCGATAGACAGCAACCCGCAACATTCGAAGAGGTTCCAAAATCTCCCGTGAAAAATCTAGAACTAAGAATAAGACTGTAGCCAGCTGTGTTCCATCAAAGGTTCCTGATCGAGTCCACATCCGTTGCTGGAGGACCGTGTTTAGATTGTGCAGTGGACCAGAGCTGGTCGAGATTCCGTTGGCGTACGTTGCGCATATACGCCCTCTGATCCAGGGACATCTCCGGACGCCGAGGAGGCGGAGGATCCAGCATCTGTCGGATTCCACAGTATACCATGACCGACACGCACATGCCGAGAATAATAAGTCCGACGACTAAGCTTCCGTTACCCTCGTTGTTGTTCGCATCGGTTGTCATCGTGGTTGGCTGTGTTGGGAAGTGGTTTATCGGCGACCAGTAAAAGCGAAAATCGTGTCGATGGTCTGAGACAGCGTTAGTATTGGTATAATGATTATATTCGAGACTGTATGAGTGTAGACGAACGGTGTTGCCACTTTTTTTAAGAGCAGTAGATATAGATGAGGATGATCGCCTAGGAAAGGCAAGACGAAGTATATAAATGAACCAGTATAGCTGTTGTGTCGGTAATAAGCGAAGTCAATCGAATGAAGAATGCCCACGGGTGGGTAGTTTCTTTCAATTAACCCTGTGCAGTTTATGAGAAAGATGCTAAGTATAACCCTTTTATATTCATCTAATTACTTCCAGTTCTTTTTTTTAGTATCGGCCCATTCCCTTAGCTTGATGTATTCGAATGTCTATAGGGTAATGTGGATCAAGAGTCTCTGAAAATCGCTCAACACTCGTTCTTCGGCCCAATGTGTTTGGCCTAGAACTATGCAACTCCCATGGCCGACTTACCTGAAAAGGTGATTGACGTCAGGATCCGAGCGAGCGCAGCTACGGAAGGACTTTAGTATGGTATTAATTATGTGGCGGCTTACTGCGCTTGCCGAACATGGTCTAGGCTAAACGGCAGCTGGAGCGGTGGGAGAATCCATAAGAACTTCAAGCATAACTCATCAGTATTCCGGATGGTATCGTGTGTTGTCGGTTGGCTGGCATCAAGGTATATCGACGGAAAGCCAACAGTAGCCAATATAAACTGGCAAACCGCACGGATAGCCTATAAGCCGTTTCAAACGGGCATCTCTCCCTGGCTGTCTGAATACAGTTGATAACGACAGCTAGAAGTTCATGGGAAGAAAGCGTTCCACGAGTTCAACCTTCCCTGTGCCTGGGTCTTTCTGATTCTTGGTAAATCTCAGGATGACCGGATGCTGCATATGATGGGACATGGCCACCGGGGAACTTCCATGTGCTTGAAAGATCCCAAATTCACGCACACGGTGGTCTTCCGGGATGAACTGCCTTTCAGCCACTGTCACTTTATTTGATGATCTGTCCAGGCTGTTGTTATCAATCTCCACAAGCTCTGCCAAAGAAGGCACACTTCCTGTGGCGGGTAGAACCCCACGAGTGCTGCTGTCCGGCTCTTCCATATTTTCCGGAGCTGTAATGTCATTTATCGTAGGTTGAGGCGGCCGGCGTTTCCTCATGCCTTGTACAGAGCCTTCCTCTATCCGAATAATCATCTCCGCAAGTGTAGCCCACGACATAGATTTGAACATGGTTTGAACTTTTGGTGTCTGTCGAAGCAGCTCTAATGCCGTCCGTCGCAGTATCTGGTCTCGACATTTCACAACAGTGAAAAACAGCGGCGGGCCAACGTCGGCTTCGAAAGTAAAACCCGGTTGCGCATCATTCCGTTCCACCGGTGCGTGCGTCGCAGCTGCTGCGTGCTCGACAATCAGTCGAAACTGGCCTATGTGCTCATCGTACGCAGTCTCTTGTTCTGCAAAACAGGTGGAGATCATGATGGATGCAGCGGAGCGAATGCTCAGTAACACTGGTATTGCTCTCCGATCCGGCGAATACAGCTGGGGGTGGCCTTCCGCACTCCGGAGGAAGGCAAACGCACAGTCCCATTCGTCCAGTTGACGGGCCAGGGCGTGCTGTTGTACGGTCAAATCGAACGTTGTGCTAGGCACTTTGTGCCCACTGCGGTAATGTCGGGCCCCCAAACATCGGAGGATGTGGGCCTCTGCAATCAACTTGAGAATCGCCGTCTGGGCGGCTTCAAAAGACAACGACCCGGGATTGCTAGGAGTTGCTAAAAGGTCCGACAAACCCTCCGGTGAACAATTGGTTGTTATAAAAATGGCCGCCCCAAGACGGACGAGCAGCGGCATCATCATGTCTTTTGCAGCTAATGTTGTTTCTGAGAGACTTGGGCTCTGTTGCTGCCAAGAGATAATCAGCTGCACGGCTTGTCCATATAGCCGGAGAGCCTTGGCTACATCGCCTTGTAGCATTTCAGTGCAGGTATACAGCACACAAGAGATGAGTGCGATCTGCGGATGTACTTTGTTCCGTGCCAGTTGCGATCGGACGTTTTCCACCGAGCGCAGGTACCACAAGAAGGCTTCTCGAGGCCTTCGCACTGATAGCACAACTTCCGTGACCATGGGAGGCCCAATGAAGGGATCGAGGTTCTCGTACAGAGCACTAATCGCGATGATTGCGTCCCAAATGGCGGGTTCCGATCGACAGGCTTTCAGGACCGCGCCTGTCCAAAATGTGCAACCAATGCTCCCCGCTATCGCAGGGCCCGCACGTTGGCAGTAATATTCGAAAGCACGTCGCTCGCGAGAGGCATAAGTCACAATGTCGGATAGTGGCTGACTGTGCCATATCGAATGCGTGCGCGGAGGCGCGCTGCGCCGACTTCGACCATCGAGCTCATACGAACACTTCCGACCGGTGCTTTGACAGCGCCTGCAGCATGGTTTTGTTTCGTCACATTTGATCTTGCGAATTCTGCATTGGACAACGAGCATAGTCAGTCAATCACTACCTTGTGTCGAATGCTTAGAGAAAAGGAGAGAGGAAACTCTGCGATACTTGCAAATCGTGCAACCAGTGCGCGTCTTTAGTTTCGCGGCTGAACCGACGGTCTGGTAGTATGCGAAAGTATCCATAGTCTCGAACGCCTTCGACCTGGGACTGTTGAACTCGAGGAATCAATATGTGTTTGGTGAGTGGCCATTGTTGATGATGGAGGGGATTGAAATGGACTGGCCCATTGCGCTAGTCCCCATACGTCCATCTAATAATATTAACTAGTTAGAAGGGGAATTTTTAGAAGGCCAACCTTACATAATGGTCATAATGCTTGGCAGTGGCACTAACCACATAACTGACTGATTGGGTGAAATGGAGATGGATGGCCACGACCATCACAGAATAATGCATGCAACCGCCCGCCGGTCAGTCCCCTGGGCTGCTGCCTGTGCATGTAGGAACTCGCCGGACAAGCTATTCCATACAGACTTATCGTATCTATGATTCGAATATCTTGGATGGATACGTCGCTGATGGGAGATTTAGCCTGATCCGCTTCTTGAAGCCCATCGCGCGGGAGACTTTACAATCGGAGCACAGATGCGAATCAAGACTACGACTGGTTCTGTCCCTCACCTTATCCAGTGATGAATTACGAACTTTATATGCTGTCTTCAGGGAGGTGAATGATTCCTGTGTTGACCGGTCAAGCGAAGCTATATATAATATCAGGTGCTGAACGCCGACTGTATAGAGGATTGTGAAATAAATTGACTACCGCCCACTCAGATGATAGCATCCATCCGCAATTTAATCCGCTCTAGAAGCGAGTTGACAAACTCCCCTCTGAAGGCACCTTCTTCATAACAAACATGAATAGTAGTTGGACCATCTTGAACGCCTGCCACATTGAACATCAACTTGGCCCCATATACGGCTTTGACGGCACCCGCGGAGAACTCCATATTGGTGATGGTCCAATTTCCGCTGTGCATGTCCTGGCCGACCGGTACACTCGGGCGAAAAGCACCTAGGTTGGAGATAGAGAAAGCGTTACGCTGGAAAAGTTTCAACCCCGGTAAAAAGCGGGCAACATAGTCTTCTTCATCTTCCCCTATAAGCTCGATAGACTGCCAAGCTCTCAAGAACGTCTTTTTGCGATTGAGATCGTCCATGACATGCGCTCGATGCTTGCGCGCTAGCTCCCAGAGGAGACTTGATTCAAGCGATATGTGCTCTTTCGAAGCTGTTTGCTGTCCTGCCTGTCGGAACTTGGAAAGCCAGTCGTAGCTCGACACGACAGAAGCCGCATTGCCCACGGTCTGTTCCCTATCGTGGGGTTTCAAAAAGGGTCGGAGATCAACAACTACTTGGGAGTGACTGAATTTGGCGTCAGGATAGAAATCCGCTGCTAATGTCACTTTGATAAGGGTATGGAGGAGGCTGGTAAAAGATGTTCGGTGGGATCGACAGGCCTGAATGCACTTTTTCATCGTAGCGGCATCGAGGCGAAGAGTGTGAAGTCGTGTCTTGACGAGGTTATCCTCTTTCTGCGGGTTGTTGAAGTCCAGCTTACGAATTTTGGGGTTGATTTCGTGAAAGACGAGGTCCTTTTGGCGGTATAACAGCCAGATGGCCCAGAAACGAAGATAGTTCAAGACGGCATACAGGACGGATACCGGAACCGGGGCCCGCTTGATTGCATCTTCCTCGGGGAAACCCTTGACGTCGATTGAAATCTCGGCGATTGACGAGTTAACAAATTCTCCTTTGGGGGAGTTGAGGGCTTCCAGGATACTCTCCAATATGTATGTACCACCGCGCCCATCGGTGATGTAGTGGTCGTAAACGAACAGTATATGTCTTCCGTTGACAATCACCAGCTGCCATGGAGGTCTTATCGATGGCTCAAACCAAAGGCTATGATAGTTCTCAATAGTTGCAGTCAATCCTTTTACTTCCTCCTCTGCCGGAATATTGATGAATTTCACATGAGCATCCAGGTTGATCTGCCGCAGAAAAGCCGACCAGCGCCGATGTTGCCCAGTCTTTGTTTCTGAAGGACGACAGAAAGTAGTTATCCCAAGCTCAGGGTATTTTCGAATAACGTGCTGCAGGGCTGCATATATGAGGTCTTTGGAAAGCACGACGTTTCCAGCCTTCGTATTGGTGAAGGTGGCAGCAATGATCACATTGGCTTGCATACCAAAATGATTTAAAACAGAGAATTGTCTCTGATATCGGCCTATTGTGTTGTCAGAGAGCCCAACTGGTCAGAGAATCGCCAGCCTTACAAGCGGGTCGTTCGAGTAAAGCCCCAGGTTTGGCATTCAGTGGCTCCCATTCCACGGTTGCTGTTTTTGCCATGATGAGAAAAGACGAGTCAACAGCTCCAAGAAGCTATGCAAGGATCTCAAATGATTCTTGTGCTGGGAGGAAACCAGGCCATTATTTCTGATCGCGTACATTATAACTCTTAGGCGGGGTCAGCTCATGTCAATTCGGGACTAGTGCTCACTCTCGCTGCTGAAGCCCAATCAAAGTAGATTCCACAGTCCCATATGAATGCTGTTTCGAGTTTGGCTCTAATACAGTAGATGTCAAATTTCCTACACAAATGTGCATATATATATGTTAGTCTACTACCTATTTTGATAGGAGGAAACTGTCAAACTCGGGCGTCTCGTATTGCCTGCAATGGCTTCACCGCCCATACAAATTAGGTAGAGCGAACAGCCCCTGCACCTCGATGGCAATAGGGTATATCTGCCGGGCTCTGGCCCGTTACATTTCCAGGCATACACTTATATATGTAGTATGCCTCAAAGCAGTGCCGCTTATCAGCAATACCTAACCTTTCTACGTTCCGAGCGGAAGCTGCTCTTCACAAACAAAAGCTCCCGTAATTTCTTCCTCGTATGCCCAATTCCATATCTACTCCCTGTCAAGTCTCACCCGCAAAGCCGGAATCTGAACGCTCACGGCGCGACCATCCTGATCTAGCGAAAAGACAAATTCATCGAGAGCATGGCCGCTATAGTGGAGCTTGTCGAGGTTGAGCCACGACACGCACGTCGGAGTGTCATTATCCGCGAGCTCGGACTTGTCCTGGAAGACAGCGCGGAAGGCCTGTTTGGAGGCAGAGGCAGGGTTTGAGCCGGGATATTCTTCAATTAGCTGCGAAGGATATAGTCGGATACTCAGGTCCGTGGGCTCCGTGATGCCCAGGGATTCAACGAGTGTTTCGCGAAAGTCGGTACCGTTGCTGATGAACTGATCAATTTCAAGCCCAGGAAGGGTATCGTATCGGACTGTAATAGACGAATTGATTGCGGATGCCTTGTAGCCGCCGCCAAAATTCTTTGCAGCCTGCTCAGTAGCAGTTACCATCAACGCCTCCAGCACGACATCACCAATAATATCGACGTGGGCATTTAGATCAGCCGGGGAGTCGGTGTCGGCGGATAGGATAGCGTAACCGACGCCAAAGTCGGGGACTAGGCCTAGATATGAGCTGTAGAGACTCTCGTTATAGCCTTCATTGCTCAAAACAGTGTAGACATCGACCATTGATGTGTTCGGGTATGAGCCCCCACTGTATATTACCCAGGGAAGTCCGAGCGAGTTGGCCGGGTTGGAGGTGTGAGAGACGGGTTTGAGCCAGCGGCTCGTCACGGATTTGCTAAGGAGGGATGAGTTCAAAATTGCCTGCCCAGCTGTTGCGAGATCGTTTATGCTGGAGAAGATGGAAGTAGAACTGTGAGGGGCGGCATCGAGCCGTCAGCTGCAATGGTCCACTAAGAGAACGGAAAAGTATGGACGTACGCTTCATCTGCCTCATGGTGTGCTAGCCAACCACTGGCTCTCTTGCTCACGGGGATAATTCCAGTACTTGAGTTGGCGGGCGCGAAGATTGAGGTTTCGCTCATGCCCAAGGCGTCGAAGATGCTGTCCTGAAGGACTTTCCTGAACGGGTTGCCTGTACGTCTTTCTATTATATAGCCAAGAAGCTGAAATGCCATGTTAGAGTAGCTAGGCGTTACTCCAGCCGGGGCTACAGGAGCTTCGTTGGCCAGTCGTCGAAGGAATTCTGTGAAGGAATAAGCCTATACTTCTAGCAGTCATAGATCGGGGTTACATACCGCTACTACCACACGTGGGGCCGTTGCCACAGCATGGCTTCTGGACATTCTGTAGTGGAGGCAAGGCGGCTTCGACAGACTCATTCTGCAAATCAATATCCTTCGAGCAATCTTCATAACAAGTTAGCTTTATCATCAAGGATACTTTGTTGCTCTGCTCACAGTCCCTTGCAATCCCAGACATATGACTAGCGAGTTGACCAACAGTAATATCATCCCACACTACATGCTCAATAGCATCTTGGTTTCTTGTATCGTGCGCCAGTTCTGGCAGGTATTTGGTAACAGGGTCATCCATGACATGGTCTCCGTCTTCTGTAAGGAGAAGGCTCCAGATTGTAAACACCTCAGTCAAGCCGCCAACACGGTAAATGCTTTTCTTGCTCGCGGTGTGAGAGCCTGCCAATGACTGATTTAATGTAGGGGAAGTGTGGTGATATTGCCAGAAGAAGGGTTCGTCCTCCGCATTCCCAGGGTCAGACGAGAACAAGGCGATGCTGAAGGTGGTGTTTGGCGACACGTCCCCATGGGCACCGGTGTTTGTCGCCACCAGCGTATCAAAGGCCTTAGTGAGGTTTTGCAGAGCGCCACCAACTGTCTTGCCGTTTGTATCGAGGGTGAAAGGAGGAAATGCTGGACCAAGGAGTGGACATGGTGTGAAGGACAAGACCGAAGACAAGGCCGAAGAGAAGAGCAAGAAGAAAATCGACGCGTGGGAGCTTGATACCATCATCTTGAACGAATGAGAAATTATGAGAATCACGTTTCTCTGGTTTCTGCCTTCTCATGCTTTGTCTCTTCTTATAAGCAAGATCGGGTCGGTGATGCTAAAGGTCTTGGCGGGTCATCTATATCGGATCGCCGATAGAACCAATGAGCATCGGGTCGGATATGCTCCGCAACCAGCACTGCCACTTAATCAATTTTGCCGTAAGATCAAACTATGATCCGAGAGTGCCTTTGTTGGCATCTACCCTCTTGGGCTCCAGGACCAAATCGGAAATGGTGCGAATTATGAGGCAGACCCAATCTAACGAACACAACTAATCAAAGCCAGCCTTCCATGATCTGTTCGAAGGAATCTGCAGCAAAATTGGTGTGGGAGAATTGCACATCCTCTGCTGTGTCTGTCAATAGATTCCAAATATCGATATCTGTATGCTGTTCAGCTCCCTCGTATCTATCGAAGTCTGTGGGATCCGAATACGGGGTATGCTGGAAGACTCCAGAGTTATCCTGGGCTTGGGGGTCATCCTCTGGCCTATTGCGTCTTGTGAGCCACTTCTGAACTCGAATAACCCGGTTCATGAAGTCGAAGAAAACATCCCGAGCACCATTGTTATCTATGTTAGATGTAGACAAAGTCTCAAGCCTCGACTGCAATTTCGACAAGGTATGAAGAAAGCTAGCCACCTGGTCAGGCTTGGAGGCTGCTACAGTGTGTCGACAGGCAACCAGGAGGGCAAATCCCATTTGAACCCATTGCGTATTGTTGAACCCGGCTTCTTCCAAGGGTGAGAGTTGGAGGTAGAGATTGAGGATCGAATTGGCTGAGACAATTGCTGAGACCGTCATTTCGTCTATCCAGGAGGGGGCCTCGGCATCTGCGTGTGGTCGCAGCCTGGCGATGTGAAGGGCTATTTGATATAAGCAAAGGCCTGTTGCGTGGTACTGTATAGCAAGCAGAGCTAAATTCACGTCGTCCGTCAGTTTCGGATCTCGCCAGGTGGACTTTTCGCTCTTGGGAAACCTACTGCTTTCGTGCATCTCAAAGGGTAGATGATGATAAAACGCCTCTATATCTGATTTCAGATTTGCGATATATAGCTCCGCCCCTGACCCGGGTTTTTCCAAGTCAGACGCATGTCTTGTAGACATCTGGTCAATCTTTTCTGCGATGAATTGTAGCTGTATTATGTAACTGATGTATTTGTCGTGAGGTTGCTCATTACTTTCGCAGAGAGACTTGCAACAGTCTTCTTGGTACGGGGAGCGCGGGATAGTAGACTTTTTTTGCACAAGAATCGCGATCCTAACCCGAGCCGATAATCAGACAAACCCCCAAGAGCCTCTGAGGGTCAAACATACGAAGATGATAGATAGTAACAGCCCAATACGGCCCTCTGCTCGTCACTTCCCCAAGAAGGTCGATTAAGAGTCTGTTCCTGCGGAGGATTTTGAGGATCAAAGCGCAGCGCTGTTTTCCACATCCCTGTTTGCGGCGGACGATCCAGGCGCAGATCGACTATAAGGCTTATAGCCAGTTGGAGAAATTGAGTGTAACGCTGTGGTCTCGAGTGATAATGTGACCTGCGGTGCATTTTCAGCAACCAGACCCGAAGATATCGGAATAAGAATAAGGCAGGGGAGATCTACCAGGCGAGAAATACCATCAACCCTTGAAGTAACTCAAACGATATTTCACCACCAATAATCATGCGTGAGGAAACGACTTTCTTGAACTCAGCCCCCAGTTCACGTTGCAACGGCATGTTGTCGTATGAAGCCGACGCGAGGATCGCTAAGCAAAGTGATGGTTTCTCCTGACGGAGATCCTTGACAGATATGCCAGAGGGTACGACCACGAATGGAAAGTGTGGAGTCAGTTTGGTCTGGAATATAGTCAAGTACCTCGCGGCGGTTTCTATGTCAAGGAGGCCTCGGCTAATGGCGTCCTCAGATGCAGCATCGCTTTTCTCCAACGAATGGACATGCATACCCTTAGAGTTGCCCGTTTCATTTGCGTGGCTAGCGCGGTTAATAATAAGTTCATTGATCTTTGACTCCAGAGCTGCGATCTTCCTGTGTGATCCATTAGATGCGAAAGGCCAGATTTTGGGTGTTTGTCATAGAGGCTGCTCACCGGTCCTTTTGAAAGCCCTTGAATCGACGACCAGTCTGGCGATGTAGACACGCTTTCTCTAACCGACGGCATCTGCGTAATATTGATGAGCTCCCGCTCTCATTGAAAACAACGACTTCCCCGCCAGGCTCCTTACCGATCACACGCACTAGCAGGATCAGCACTCCGAACACAGCGCACCTTTGAATTTGCACAACTCTGACATGTTTTGGAGACAGAGGACATTGTGCTGTTGGTTGCCTCGTCCTGCAAAAACGGAACTGACTCTAGTTACAGTAACGATTCGGCAAACCTGTGTGAGCACCGGAGTCAATGGGCGTATTTATTCTGAGACTCTTGGAGTGTAGAGCAATTTGATGAGTCGTGCACTTTCAAGAGAAAAGGGATAAACAGAGCCCTCGAAGACACACAATCCAAAACAGAGAAGCGATAATAACAGCCTAAGGAAGTGAGTTGATATGGGCATAGAAGCCTCCGCTTGATCTTCTTGGGTCTATCTACCGGAGCAAGTGGAAGCTGGGCCTGGGAAGTTTAGTCACGTGGCCCACCCCGCTCGCAGAAAGTGCCTCAGGCGCCCCATGTCAACAGTTGATGTTGCTAATCAGGACCAATAACTAACTTCCCTCAGCAGATATTTTAGATCCGTTGCTAGTCGCTGAGACCAGAGAGCGTCGACGCGAAGTATCCGTTTGAAATAGAAGAGGAAATCCCAGACATGTCCAGTAGGGCGTTCTCAGTCTCATTTGGGGTTTTATCAGGGTAGAAGAGTACAACCCAACGGTCGTACCGATTTTGTTGGGTCTGTTTCGGGCACATCCAGCCGCTTACTTATTATTAATTATTGCCCAGGCGTTGCTTAAACTAATCTTACTTTCCTCAATTGTCCTCCTTGAATATCCAACCCCTATTTTCAATCACACCATATTTTTCTATAACCTGTCGACTCCAAGTCTTTCCAGCAGATGAAGTGATAGTTTGAGAAGGAAGAGAGAAGCTGTAACTCGTTAAAACACTCTTCAGCGCGACAACAATGGTGGGCGTCCCAAGAAGCAAAGGGTGTAAGTTGTGTCTGAAAAGAAGCGTCAAGGTCTGGGTCACTGTATCTTCTACACATCCAATAAAGCTGATTTACCATTTCGAAGTGTGACGAGACACGTCCAAGCTGCTTGCAATGTCAACGAGGGGGCCGCACCTGTCCTGGATACGCGCGAGAATTCAAATTCCACGACGAAGGGCCAAAACTCCGCCAGGACCTTTCTCGAAACTCCTGTAACGCCATCTATGTCTCGCACAGCATGCCTCCAACCAGAAATAACTCCCATCTTGCTCTCCCAGAACAGACCGTGATTGGCGATCCGACGTTGAGTAATGTGAGTAATGAACATCATCTCGGTACCGATAACCTGTCCCAAATACAATGCGACACAACCAGCCTCCACCGCCCTTTTCCATCGAACCTTGAACATGCACAGTTGTTATCGTCTTTTGTGTCCATCATATTTCCTCTTGGAGATGTTTCTGTGCAAAGTTCATTTCTCGGAAGCTGGCTCTGGCATGTGCCACCACGTTTTGGCCGCAACATAGCGTTGGATCACGCTGCAATGTCGCTTGCTTATGCATATTTTGGAGGAACATCCCAAAGCCAGTCCTTGCGTCGGACGGCAGATTTATTCTACTCTTCCGCCTTGAGAAGTTTAGCCAAGGCCATTTCTGATTGCAACAAACGATTGAGCCCTGAAGTGCTTTGCGCGACGTTGCTTCTTGGATATTATGAGGTATTCACCCTAGGCTCCAAGAATACCTTTTCCGCTGCTCATATTTGTACTTTATTCAGGCCTTTTTTATGGCGCGCCCGGCCTGGATCCAGCATGCAAGCGGAGCGGCACTCTTAATGCAATGGCGAGGCGCTCGACAATGCTACGAATCGGCATTTGAGTATTCTATGTTCCTAGCATGTCGGGGAGGAATTGTTGGTTTCGCCCCTCTTTTCGTGGTCGCCTACTTACGTCTATTATTAACTATATTTTGACCTTTAGATTTCTCAAGCACTAGCGACAGAAACACCATGCTTTCTTGATACCGAAGATTGGCAGTCGATTCCCGATGGTTTGATCGAGTTTCCGTTGCTACCGAAATCCCCCGAAATGTATCACACAATCTTCGGTCACTTCGCGGCAATTCCGGGATTGTTGAGCAGAGTCAGGCTATTGACGAATGAAACCCCTCGCACTAAACGTCTCTCCATGCTTTCCAGCGCTCAGAAATTGCGGAAGAACTTTGATCGATGGTATTACCGGTATACCTCCGATGGTATCGACATAGGGAACCCCTGTTTCGTGAACGTCAGCCCCGTTCCCTACGACTGCCCTTTCAATTCAATCTATGTCTACCGAGACGTTGTCTCGGCAACTGTGATTACGACATACTATGCCTATCTAATAATTCTTAACAGGACAATAAACCGCTTAGAGCCAAGTACCAGCCATGCCGGAGAAAATAACCAGCTCGGGAGGGCAATATGCATGTCTGTGGATTATTGCTCAAGCTCGGGCTACTGTGGAATCCAGACATTGAGGTTCGCATTACCTATTGCTAGAGAGACTCTGCCAGTAGAGTATGATGGTTGGGTTTCTTTGTGGATGGAGAAGATTTTTGATACCCCGAAGACCTCGATAGACTGACTATCACCCTTGGCAAGTGATCAAATTGTTCCGACTCTTTTCTGTGTAGGCTTATGTTAATACCCTGTCACAGGTCTTGGCTGATAGGCCGACTCGAGCCTAGCAATTTCCCTTTCACTCAAAATGGTCTTGGCGGCCAGCACCGCATCATCAATGCGATCCTTGCTGTTCAGGCCGACAATCGGATTGACCCCTTTTGCCAGACACCAGGCTGTTGCAATGACTGCCATAGGAACACCTCGTTCATTCGCAATTTCCTCCACAATCTCCACAATTGCCTTTTCAACTTGACTCTCCCTACTGTAAAGACGTGTGAGCGCAGCATCATGTTGAGACCTCAGTGAGGAATTTTCATCGATACGATTCCAAGGTCGAGCCAGGATGCCTCGCGCGACGGGGGACCACTATAGCAGGAAAGTTAGTGTCGGCGTCACCAAATTCTGAACCTATCTCGTGGGTTGAAGTAGGTCATCTCCTACCGGAATACACCCAACACCTGCATCCTTGCAGTATGGTATCATCTCCCGTTCCTCCTCTCGGTAGAGCAGGTTGTAATAGTTCTGCATAGAGATAAACTGGTGCCAACCATGGCATTTTGCGACATTTTGAAGTGCTTGGAATTCCCAGGCAGGCATCTATTTTATTAATAAAAGATAAGCTCATGTCCGAAGATCCTGCCGGAACTGTATAGCCGACGACTTACAGAGCTGGCACCAATGTAACGGGCAAGTCCCATTTCGACAACATCATTCAGTGCCTTCATAATTTCTTCTCGCGGAACGTCCGGATCCATGCGTTGAATCTGGAAAACATCGATATATGTCCCCAACCTTTTGACACTCGCTTGCGCTGCGTCCAAGATGTGCTTGCGCGACAGTCCAGCTCGATTGACCAGCCGGCCATCGTTGACAGTTGATGCGAAGACGGAAAGCTGCGGCTCACCGGGCGCACTAATAGCAGATCGACATTTGGTCATGAGGACAACGTTCGCTCGGGGGATTTTGTATGTAGTTAGGGCCTTGGCAATTATTTCTTCCGAAACTCCATTTGAATAAAGATCCGACTAGCAACAAGAGATTGGCTTAGTTCATATTCGCTACACATGGCGCTGTCCAGGAAATACGAGAGGAGCTTCCAACTCACAGTGTCCCATGTGTTAATGCCGACTTCGTAGGCATACCCGAGGAGTGGAAGTGCCTCGTCTTCTTCTAGCACCCATTTCTGCCAGTCTTTGCTTCCAAATGACATGGCGCCGAGGATGATACTGGAGACCTTCAAACCGGACTTTCCTAGTCGGTTGTACGTCATCCTCGTTGGCGGCGGTCCAGTGAGCAGATCACGGACATAACTGTGCTGAGAGGTGGAAACCATGATGCTGTATCACACTGAGAGAAGCAGAAAACAGGGCGTATGGATTGCGTGCAGCTGAAGAACTTTTGGGATGGGAGTTTCAAGCAGAAGTGGACGAAAGGCTATCGAGAAGTTCTTACTTTCAGGCGGTCTCTGTAGCGGTATTTATAGATAGAGAACGAGATAGAGAGCACCTTAAGAATCATGATTACGACCAAATAAGCGGAACTCGGACAAGTCGCGTCTAGGCGGCCCTACCTCGCTGACACTGCTCCAACCTTTACGGAGTACGTCGCTCTGAGCTTCAGAAACCGACAAGAGACCTAGGTTTCTAATCTAAGCTAATCCCAATCAAGCTCTATGTTACGAACTAAACCTAATACAGCTCGATAATACGAACTAGTCCTAATTAATATCCATATTACGAACTAAGCCCAATATAGCTCGATAGTACGAACTAGTCCTAATTAATATCCATATTACGAACTAAGCCCAATATAGCTCGATAGTACGAACTAGTCCTAATTCAGCTCCATAATACGAACTTGATCTAATGGGGCTGCAGATAGCAGGAATTCTAGGGTCATATACAACATACATCAGCTCTTGCTGCATCCTTGGGCCATGTGGATCAGCGCGACAATGAAGCCACCCACTAACCTTGGGGCTGTCCCTCGGAGATAGAAACCAGGCAGCTGCGCAGTCCACTATTAGGGGTCATCGCTTACCGAATCGGACAATGATAGCCGGGTATAAAGGCAGGCCCTAAAGCTGTCCATTGTCGCTTTCGCTTCATCTAGGAATCATTTCATTCAGGCGAGAAATCTCGCTGTGCCCCTCATATTCTTAAGGACCTTGGCGCGAAAATGGTCACACTCACGGACAGCCAAAAGGCAACTCTTAGCCCTGAAGCTGTCAATTTCCTTGACGGGGTCCGTCACATTCCTTTTGCCAACACTGTTTCACCTTTTCTCGCTACACCTCGTCGGGTTCCGGGAATCCGCCAAACATTTAATGCGAAAATGGCTGCGGGAGAGGCGGCACTGATCGAGCAACACACCCTCAAGATCAAGGAAGTGACTATCGCAGGCATTACAGTTACGGTTATCGAGCCACCCAATATCAAGCCCGAGAAAGAGAAAAAGATATTGTTTAATGTTTACGGAGGGGCATTCATCATGGGCAGCCCGAAAGATCGTGCTGCATTGACCATGGCCGCGGAGTTAGGCGTCCGAGTCTACTCAACAAACTACACCAAATCGCCAGAGGCAAAGTACCCGGTAGCTCGTGACCAGTGCCTTGCGGTGTACACCGAGCTCATTCGCGATGGTCCCCCAGGTGCTGTACCCATCGATCCAGCTGATATATATATGATGGGGTGCTCTTCTGGTGCGCAAGTGCTTGTTTCAATGCTCCTAGTCGCGCGTCGGGAGGGCCTGCCAATGCCCTCCGCCGGGCTGTATCTATGTGCGCCGGCCTTAGACCTCAGCGGGGCAGGCGATTCGATGGTCACCAATGCGAATGATCGGGACATCATGCCAGTTAGCCTGTTGACTAGCATGGTGGCGCAGAATTACGCCCCCGAGGGAATCAATCAGAAAGATCCTCTGTATTCACCTATATATGCCAACTATGACGCACACTTCCCGCGAACAGTTATTACTGTCGGCACGCGTGACTTTGCTCTGAGCCACGGCGTGCGGTTGTTCTGGAAGCTGAGAGATGCTGGTGTCAAGGTGGAGCTGTTAGTCTCGGAGGGCATGTGGCATGGATACAACTGGGACCCTGTTATTCCGGAGGCCCTTCATACCCGCGCCACCGTTATCGATTTTCTAGAGAGAGAGTTGTACTTAGAGTCAGCCGCCACGTCTGTTTGAACGGTGCTTCTGGAATTAGATTGGATAGAAAACTTACCCAGCGGGTTTTTCGCGCCTTCCATTCGAGGACTACATGTTACATTCAGACCCTACAGTTCAGGTCCTGCGCCTCTATTAAGTCTATCCAAGTCAATTCGAAGAACTATATAGCATTCGTGTTGACTGACGATGCAGCCGGGAACTAACATCCTCAAGCAGTTTGTCCTCCTCGCAACATCCAACTCTGACCGGTGACTCTCAGGGCTGAGGGTTTCGCATTGACGTGTCCGGTGGAAACCTGATATTTTCAACTTCCTGCAACATCAGCTCCAAGGCACCAATCACTTGCGCATAAGTAAACAGATCAACATTCTCGTTATGTGCCTGCTCAAAAGGCGCTGCAGCGCGATTGATCGCATCCCTAGCCCAGTTTTGGATCCGTTCTTGGGTGGTAGCAAGGTAGCTGGTCAGCCACTCATCCTACCAAGTGGCGAAATAATGGAGGAGCTACCTCGCTCGTTTACTATTTGAGAGTGGCTGTTGCAAGTCTTCAAAGCTCTTGAGTAGGAAAATGTAATTTTTCATCGAGAGGATGCCTCGTGTATGGAAGTTCCTGGAATGAGAAACGTTGGGAGCTGTCCACCTTGATCGGATGAACCATCGAAGTGAAGTGCCTCTTCAACGCCCGAGCGACTGCTGCGACTCGATCTCTTTCAGAATTCGCTCACACTGACGCCAGATGCGACGACGGTTTTTGAGAGCAAAATAATCCAAAGAATTGCTACCATGTCCCGTGACTGCGGACGCGTCCTTCAGCAGGCGAAGGAGCTCATTCCATTGAACTTTGTCTTTCTGTTGCACCTGGGATAGTACTATGTCTGCACACCAAGGCACGTCGAAAAATAGTCGTGATTCCCAGAAACTGCGCGGTAGATTCTTAGCGCATTGCCTAAAAGAAGGACTAGCTCGGAATAGATTCAGCACGGACTGAGTTGGAAGCATCTCCAGTATGCGGAATTGCAGCTCGTACGGAACTAGTGAGAGACTATCTGATTTCCTGAAATCCGAATAATCCTGGATGTCTCTGTCGTAGTTGAAATCGAATGTAGAACTGGATTTCGTTTCCGTCGAAGCCTCGATGATCAATGGCCGGAGATCAAATGGCCCATTAGGATCCAACACGGTCCACTTTACATTTAGTTAGTCTTCTCTATTAATGGGAGATGGTTTCGCAGACCTCAGAATCTTCCCATGGAACCCAACCCTCAAAAGGCTCAAACCGAGGCCCCTTACTAAATGTCTCACCATACCCCCAATCGAAAGAGTGACGGTTGCGATCCTCCAAGCCCTGTTCCTTAACGGAGACGAAATCCCGTAGATTTATCGGTCGTATAGCGATTGTATCACGGCATATAAGGTTGAAAATTTCTAAACATGCATTGTGAACGAGAAACCCATCCTTATTGCACTCTAGGATATTTGACCTGGGATCCTCGCCGTACGGGCGTGGATAAAAAAAGTGCCCGGACTGGGGATCAACGTGTTGCGCCTATAAACCAACCTATTAGTTTCGTGCCTTGGACAAGTTTAGGCGGAAGGACATACAAGAGGCGAGACTATAGGCAAGTCCGCGGAATCCTTTTCAGTGAAGAGCTCAGCATCTGGAATTCGGCGGGCTACCAGACGATCATCACTAAGCCACTTATTACTTCATGTCAGTAATGACCCCTAACAAGACCCCTAACAATCACGGGTGACTGATTGTACCTTAATGTCCTTCAGGGAGATATCTCTCGCATCTATCCAAACATATAATTGCAGAAGGTCGAATGCCAGCCCTAGTTGCTTGTCTTAGCTTTTACTGGAACACCTAACTGCTATGTTTGCAGTCCTAATCCAGTGCATACTCGCTCCTGTCCCGCTCCACAAGTGCAGTAATCGTCGTATGCCTCATGTTGGCCAAGTTGGTCCCCTTCGTCAAGATACTGAAGAGAGGACCGTTTAATCAGGTTTCTATACGTTGGAGGACCCCCGCATATGTTGCAGAAAAAGTTCGCTTCTTCCTCATCCATAGTTGTTCAATCTCGTCAACCACATGGACAGGATCGATAAAGTGACAGGAGGATAGGACGAGGACGTGGACGACGAGGGTCTAAAACTGACTAATTACTTAATAGGGAACATGTGACCGGTGCCTAACAAGCGGAACAATTATTATTATTATGAATATTATTATTATTATTTAACGCCCCAGACATGTCACGTGGCACGTGACCCGCTACCTCGTAAGGGGTAGTCGGATGTGCTAGTATCGATGGGCTTATATGGGGACCTGGTTCGGTGCGGTGTTTGAGGGAGTTTACTAGGTATCGTGGTAATATTTCTAATACCAGCATATGGTTAAGGAGCAGTTTAGGGCCTTTATTATTCCAGTCCAACTTTAGAAATAACTGGATATTGGCATCTTTATCAGTTAAACGTTTAAACTTCGGGCTTTAAATCCCGGGGCAAGAACAGCACATCTTACAAAAGCTAACTATGGGCTTCAGTGGACGCCGGCTGAATATGAACGGGCACAGTAAAGTTATACTGTGCACGGGGGGCAGGGAGAGTCTCGATCACCGCTGGGCTACCCTTCAATGTGAACTCGAAAGTCAAACTCTCGGAGTTGTCCAATGCAATCTTGTAACGCCCTGGGAAAATGTAGAGGCTTCCGTTCTCATCAGCTCGGGCCAGTGATCCGAGAGTGAGAGGCAAGTCTGCTACTCGATCGCTTCCAGGAGCAATGTTGTGGAGACGCTTGTAAGACACCAGGGACTTATTGGGGCGTGGGGCCGGGCCTGCATTCTTGCTGGAAAGGAACAGCAAGCTAACGTAGTCGGAAGTTTCGTGGCCGACATTTCTAACTCGCGCCTTGACAGTGGTAAAGGGTGTGTTGTCTTTGATTGGACCGCCAGAACTTCTTTGGCATGAGGCAACAAGTTCCTGAATGCTGTATTCCCGGTTCAAAGTCTCCTCCCATCCGAATTTGAATTTCGTGTAGTGCAGACCGTGGCCGAATGGGATCACCGGCTTTCCTGTGTACCATTTGTATGTTCGTCCAGGATGTGAGTCTTTCGAGTTAGGGCGAAGGTTAATGTCGAAGATATTAATTTGGTCGGCATAGCTGGCGGGATACTGCGTGACTGGTAGTCTGCCAGCAGGTGACCTTTTGCCCACAAGTATATCAAGAAGAGCAGTGCCTCCGCTTTGACTGGGATATCCCGCCCAGATCAAAGCCTGGATATCTTTGTTCTCCAGGAGGGCACTGTCATCGACCTGGCCACCACCGAATTGGACAACTACCATTGGCTTCGAGAGATTAGACAAGCTTTTGATGAGATCAAGTTGGTTCCCTGGCCAGGCCAATGAAGTCCGATCAATCGTTTCGGACTCGATGGAGTTGTCGATGCCACCAAGGTAAACAATCAAATCAGACTTCTTTGCTGCTGCTAGAGAGGCCTCAAATCCAGTGGTATTCTGATCATTGATTGCTGTACCCACCGCATAATTCACCTTCCACCTGTGGTCGCTCTCGAATGCCACCAATGGGCTAATCAAGTATGGTGCATTGCCAGAGTAGCCGCCTTGCATCTGAGTCGTGGCGTTTGCGAATGGTCCAATCACGGCGACACTCTTGTATTTATGCTGAGAGTGCAGAGGAAGAAGGCCATCGTTTTTGAGAAGCGTCATACCTTCGACTGCAGCCTCATACGCGAGAGCCTGTGCTGCAGGGATGGAAACGTCCGAGAAATCCAGATGGTCGTACTTTCCGCCATCGAAGAAGCCGATCGTAAACAGTGCCGAATATAGTCTTGCCAATGACTGGTCCATGGCTTTGACTGAAGTCTGATTTGCTGCGAGGGATTCGTTGAGTTTCAGGTATGATGAACCACATTCCAGATCAACCCCGGCATTGAGAGCAACGGCGGCTGCCGCTTCTTCGGTGTCGGTAAAGTTGTGGTATTGCCAAATATCCGTGACTGCGTTGCAGTCAGACACCACGTAGTGATAGTCTGCATTGAACCCCCAGTGCTTTCTGAGCACCTCATCAAGAAGGTATTCATTCGCACAGGCTGGAATGCCAGAAACTGAATTGTACGAGCACATGATGCTTCCCACGTCTGTGTCACGTACACAGGTCTTGAAAGGTGCCAGAAAGTAATCACTCAGGTCTTGCTGGGTGGGGTTGTAATTGTTTCCATATCTGCCCGTCTCCAAGTCGTAGACTGCATAATGCTTGCATGTTGCAATAACTTGCTTGTTCTTTGGGTCATCACCCTGAAGTCCCGGAATGAAATTGCGAATATAATTCTGCGCAACGAAAGTATCCTCGCCGGGGGTCTCTTGCCCTCTTCCCCATCGAGGGTCTCTGAAACCATTAATATTCGGGGCCCAGAAATCGAATCCCGAAAATCCATTATTGGCAAACGCTCGCCCTTCTTTGCCAATTACTTCAGCTATCTTCCGAATCAAAGCGTTATCGAAGGAAGCCGCTATCAGGATCGGTGCAGGGAAGCTTGTGGCATAGCTGAAATTGGCTGGTTTGGAGGTAAATTGCACACCCGGTGCAGAACCAACACCATGCGTTGCCTCATTCCACCACTCGTAGAAAGGCAAGCCGAGGCGGGTAGATCCGGCTGCAGCATCCACCAGATTGAGGATCTTTTCCTCCAGGGTCAGCGATTTGACAAGTGAGTTGACTCTCTCTGCAATGCTTAATGAAGTATCGCAGACACGGTGACTGCAGAGGGGCTGTGTTTGGCACGCTGGCACGAACCCACTGTGCGTTACGTCACCTTGCGGATTCGAGATCTTATACAAAGACATGCTAAATAAATTTCCAGAATGTTAGCACCTTATTCTTCGTAAGCGTTGCATTAGACTTACACATATCCTCCTCCACATGAGCTGGATGGTTCAGTTGCGCATCTCGAGTTGCAGCTGCTGTCATTTGTCTTGGTCGCAGTGCTGAAATCGGGCGTACTCCCACAGAAACATTGCCTATTTTTTGGAATCAGCTTGGGAAATTATAGAACAAAGCGGCAGCGCATTGGCTAAAAGGCAGTCATCTTACGTTCCAAACTCGATACCTCCATATACATAGCCCCGTTGACCGCACAAGTTGGCACAGTACTGGGGCGTCATACCAATAGTGCTAAATTTCGCTGCCGTCAAAATCTGCACTTTGGGATCTAAGTAACATCCAACGTAGCTTTTTGATGCATTGTACGCTGTCGTTGGCGCTGAATTATCAGCGTTGCAGACAGATGATGCATGGACGCCGGTGTGTAGTGCTATAAGAGAAAGTAGTACTGTTGCACCAGCGCGAAAGGGCTGAAATGGTGTCATGATGACCCCCTTCCAATTTCCTGCACCAAGAAACACAGAAAGCTGATGGGCTTTACCTAGGAAACGCTTATAGGATAATACCTCGCTATATGATAAACAAGCCCAAGTGATTGCGGAGTACTTAAGTAGGTTTTACTGCATATAGGTATTCCTACTCGTAGGATTTCGCCCTTGATCCATAGGCTAAATTATGGATTTCACACTTGGTCGGACTAGAGGTTTCTACTTGGCTTGCCTTGGAGATCTCCGCTCTGGAAAGAGGGGTAAGTAACAATTTACTCAGAACGGGCTATCGTTTGTCTTTCCCGTATATTCCGCCTATTCCGCCTACAATCCTGGGAATATCTTGAGACAATACCAACATCAGCGCATAAAACACCACTGCAAATTTCGATTGTTAAGGACTGAATATTGAAAGCCTTATGGGGACTTCCAGATTATCATTGTTTTGCAGAACTTGATAACAACTTTGTGGCGAAAGACGAGAACCACCTTGCCCATCTGGATCAGGCTAAAAGCGATCCAAATCTCCCGGACTTGGAGATGAATGTGAGTAAAATCATATAGAACTCCCAATTTCGACATTAACGGCTAAATATCTGTGCAGCTGAAGGATTATGCCTGTCCATTAGTACTATTCATCGGCTGGCATATCACCTTGAAGTTTGGCTAAGTGGATGCGGCTGTACCGCCCACCTTGGCGGTCTTGAGCTTGATGATATCGGCCGTGCTCATGCAGTTACAGGATCTAACTGTCACATATGCTTGGACGAGACTGCCCCCCTATTGTGCTGAAGTTTCCCGCACAAAGCTTCCCAAAGCGCAACGAACAGGTCGTATAGTTGATTTTATTAAAGCGAAACCATTGATGTGCCGGTCACTATACATAAAGACCCTGCCTGATGTTGGCATGCGCCGTGTGATATAGTTTCTCTTACACATAAGTATACGACTCTATGTTAATATATTGCCGGCATATATTATTTATTACGGATCTCGATGGAGAATAATATTCATTTTAGATATTAGCATCAGCAAGCGGCATACGTTAATTTCTAGCCTGCTGGTTGGCCTTTCTCATCCTACCCAGCAAGCTGTACGAACAAGACAAGACTCTATATTCTAAGAAATGAATGGAGGGATGTAGCATATTTGCGGGGAATACCTATCAGGCAATAAGGTACTTCAGACTAATAAAAATGGAGTTGGTACCGGTATCCCCGTCTGTGCCAAGGTAAGATGTCCTGCTTTGCACAATGCTTTCTCGCCGGCCCCCAAGGCGCTGCCTGCAACGCTCTCCATAATAGCCTCTAGTAGTCGGTGCTCAATGCCGCCTCACGAGCAGCGCCCAGGTCATGCGAGAGACTCTGCAGCTTGGCCTCGATTCTCGCCACGCAGTCGGACCCAAGCGGCAGTCTCAGAATCTTTCCCTTCAGCGACCCAGCTTGTCCTTCGCCCGTCACCACCTCGAACACCCGGGCGACGCCTTTGACAGGGTCGCCAACCTGCGTTCCCTGCATGCTGTCAAACTTGCCCAGGACCGCGTCGACGGGCGTCCCGCGATAGGCCTCGGACAAGCCAGTCTCATTCTTGACCGCTGCGGTAAGGAAGTTGGTCCGGAACGCGCCCGGCTCCACGACCAGCACGGAGATGTTGAACGGCGCCAGCTCCCGCGCCAGCGACTCGGACAGCCCCTCCAGCGCGAACTTGCTGGCGGCGTACAGCCCGCACGACGGCAGTCCGTCCTGTCCCGCGATGCTGGAGACGTTCACGATGGTGCCACCGCCCCTCGTGCGCATAGACGGCAGCAGAGCCCGGATGAGGCGAAGCGGGCCGAAAAAATTTGTCTCGAATTGGAGATAGTTCTCGTCGTCTCTGGGGCGGCGATGCCGTTGTCAGCCGTGGGGTCAGAGGGAAGGCCGGAATACCCGTTGCGTCTCACCTCATGTCCTCCACCGCACCCAAAAGGGAGTACCCTGCGTTGTTGACCAGCACATCAATATGGCCGTAGAAGCTCTCGGCTTGCTTGGCGGCATCGGGGATGGTGCTTCCTTTGCATACGTCCAGCTCGATGACCTTTCCGCCGTGGGACTCAATAGTCTGCACTGCGTCGGCGGATTTGGTCTTGCTGCGGACAGAAGCGATGACCTTGTGGCCTGCTGCCAGGGCATGGAGAGCCAAGTAGTAGCCAAGGCCTGAAGAAGCTCCGGTGATCAACCAAATAAGAGCCATTGCGGTCTCGGAAAAGGTGCAGAGTGGCGGGAATCTTAGGGAAGAAAGGAGAGCAGCAGTTTGGGAGCTTAGGTGCTGGGAACCTGGGATAGGAGGGGTAATAAGAGTAGTGATCCCCCTCAGCCACGGCGGGATCCCCGGCTTATCGGCCAGTGGGGCTTATAGAAGTTCTTTGTTCTTTGTGTACGCCGGTCCGCTCGGAGGACAGGGGGTGTCACACTGTCACGTGTGGAATCCCTGCCACATAAGATATGGACTTAAATCCTGGCGCTTGTTATCGATGAACATTGATAGGTATACGATTTCTCAACTATCCATGGTCTTTTTCAATCGAACGTATGTCCTAAAGTACAACTTTGGTAGGTAATTTACGACATTAGAGAAGATAGATCAAGAAAAGTTTGATCTATATATGAAACCCTGAATGGGCATATGCATAGAAGATAGCCATCTAAGTCCGGTGAGCAGAAGTTTCAGTACTACTCCCCGATATATATAGAAGAACGTCATATTGTGCTGAACCAACTTTGTTCAGGTAAAGAGCAGCCCGAAAATGCACCACATGGAGGTATGAGTGGACAGTTAATTAACTAAACTTACTAGAGTACAACTCAGTATAATCATGATATTCAGATGTCTGTACTCTAGTATACTTATGAAAGCAAAAAGGCTTATGTGTAGTATAGAAATGGCTAATATCTATATATAAGAACGTTATATTTGCTCTCTCTACCGGTGTCTCTGTCGGATGCTACAACTCTAATTTTACTAGCTATATATATTTCGGGCATCACCCTCACTCGGCTAACCCTCTTAAAGCGACAGAGACCAAAAGAGGAAAGAAACATCGTACAGTCTTCTAGATTTTTGAATGACAGAAAGTCCTATTTATAGATCCTTGATTAATGTAAAAAATTTCTATAATACCCCGGAGAAACTATGGCTTTTAGGGACTTTAGGACCGCGGGTCTCCCTATCGGCGCGTGATTTCTGGGTTCCCGGCAACGGCCCGCCAGCCGTGCCGCAGAAGTAGATAGGTATCTCTCTAAATCCTAGCTTGTTGCGATATCTCATGCCTGTATCACATCAACTACATAGATAGGATGGACACTAGTGAATTGGAGGGAGGTAATATTACGGTACACTCCAGTTTTCTTTCTTCCGTGCTTGACTGGTGCCATTGTCGGTCAATCCCCTTGGCTCTAAATCTATTTGAGGATTCGAGGTCTCCCTAGAATCCGTTCCGCTTCAAAAACGCCAGCGTATCATCCATCAGTTGCGGGGCATAGTTATGCAAATGAATGCCGTGCCCGGCCTGCGGATAGACCTTGATGTCGTAATCCGTCGCGTTGGGAAACCTGTCGTAGAGCTCATACGGTGCGGAGCCACAGGACCGCCCGCAGAAGGTTGCGTCCTGGTCCCCATTGGCGATCATGACAGGGCCCTTGTACTCGTAGGGAGTCACGAGATGATAAGCCAGCGAGATGGACAGGCCGAGCGTGTCGAGATCCCTTAGATTGAAGTCGATGGGGACGATCTCCGGGTCGTAGTTCCCATAGAAGACGGCCGCTTCTCGACCAGCCGGGTTCATCTGCGTCGTGTACTCGGCCGGGTATTGCTTCCACTCGGGCTTCTCGAGGCCGTTGGCGGCCACCTGCAGTCCGCTCAGGAACGCCGGGTACAGATCCTGGATGTCCCAGGTGAAGCCGTGGAGGACCAGGGCGTCGATGGCGTCGGGAGCCTGGTACGCCAGCGACACCCCGGCAATGGATGAAATGCTAAATCCGATATATGCGACCTTGTCATAGGCCACGCCACCGATTTGGCCTGCCTTCAGCAGCTTGATCATGTGGTGGACCTGCTCAACGATCAACTGCGTCTGCACTTCGTACACCGGGTGGGGATGCGACGAGTTGCCGGACCCGACCAGGTCAAATGCCAGAGTGGGATACCCCTCGGCATGCATGCGGCGTACCCAGGAGTACTTCTCCGGCTGCCACGGCCAGTCCCACATGATCTTGCTGAAGGTGGCGCCGTGGACAAGCATCTGGATTGTGTCCTGCTTCACGGCGGCGTGTTCCGGCGGCGCGCAGTAGACGGCCGAGACGTTGTAGGTCGCCGTTCGGAAGTCGCGAAAGTCCATGAAGTTGTGCAGGACCTCGATGCTATAGTTTTCATCTTCAAAGTGGCCGTCGGAGTTCTCGGTTACACCGAACGGAATCACGAGGTTGGTACAGACGTGGCCAGACGCATGCTCGAAACTATCCTGCGAGCGGACTTCGACCGGGCGGGCAGTTGAGGGCGCAATAAAGGCCAAGGGGGAAAAGAAGAGAAAAGAGAACAGGCCCTTTGAGATGGCATGCATTGTGTCTCCAACCGGGAACCAATCCGTTGCTCGAGAAAGGGGGACTACCCCAGTCCTGGATGTGGTCTTTGTCTTTATACCAGGGCCTCCGTCAACCCCGAGCAGTGTTCCAGAATCGAATCATCGGGGGCGGAGTAACAGTGGATACGAACATGTTGTTTTCTGGGTAGAGGAATGGCGCTGGGCCCGCGTACAGTGCGGCACAAGGGGGTAACGCGGATCGTCGGCAGACCCGCCCTGAACCACCGTGTTTTTGGGCGGTATACTGCAAGCTGCTAGGTGCCATTATTGACGCACTAGATATCTCAAAGGCTGCTCATGCGTGTAGCTTCTCGACAGGGTGCGAGAGAGAGCATCATGGATAAAATATACTGCATGTAAAACGCAATGTCGTTGACTGTCTCAAACGAAGCTAAAGACCAAGCTGAGCGAGAGGAGATCATCGAATGCTCCAATTCTCAAGTCTACCTACCCTTTACTGTAAATATCCTTCCTTCCTCCATGACTCCAGATACCGGTCAAGTAATTCGATGCCGACTCCATCGCAAGTCCGCAATGAGCGCGAAGCAAGTCGCGCTCGCGTGGTATCCAAGACGACCCCTCCGCTGGCAAGGACCTGGAACTCATCGTGGAGAAATGGGAGAAGATAGTGAATATGCCGCGTGTCCGGTTCGGTACTGGGCAACGACGAGGCGCGCTCGAGCCAGATCCGGAACGGGATAGGGAGCGACGCCTTCAAGCCCAATTTGCGGGCCAATACGGGCAGCAGAGGCTTCCACGCCTGGCGGATCGGGTTCTCAACGTGATATACGATCTCCTGGACTGCGCCACCCTGCGTAGAGAAGAGGATCTCGATGATTGACTTGGCTGCAATGTCAATTGGGAGCCACGAGAAGGACTGCCACTTCGTCAGCTGCGTTCCTTACATGATGCAGATTGTACTCACACCGTCCAGTTCAGGCAAGGCATCGATCAGCTGCGATGCCTTGAGGATTGTAGGAAAGTGCTCATTGGAGTTCCAGATCCCAGAGCGTGTGCCGCCTGTCAACTGACCCAGACGGACGATTATGGGATGGAGGAGGTCGCCCTGTATCTTGGCCACCTCAGTGAGTATCCTTTCACACACCCACTTGGCCCGGGCGTAGCCCAGATCAGCTGTCGTTGTTGGGTCTACAATGGGGACTTCCGTTAGCCCATGGGGCTTCCCACTGCGTGCGCCCACTGCAATGGAGGACGTGAACAACAGTCGCGGTTGCCATGGACGCCTTTGCTTCCGGGCGCAGTCTCCACAAAGGTCGACAAGCCTCCGCAGGGTCTGGATCTGGGGCTCAAAGGAAGCCAGAGTACGTTGGAAGTCCATGGGCCACGCAGTGTGGATGATGTGGGTTACACTTCGTACTAGCTGACGGTATTCCTGGTGCTGCAGGCCCAACTCTGGCTGGTGGAGTCGGTCGGACGACAGGAAGCTGATTTTAGTCCACGTAGACTCGGAGAGAGTAATCCCTCGCACACGGTTGGCATGCTGCTGCCGATGCTTGGGATCTTGTCCGGGATGAAGCCGACTGAGGCAGATGACCTGCGATACATTGGGGTTACGGCATAGTTGCTCCAACAAGTGAACTCCAAGATGACCCGTTGCGCCGGTCAGTAGCACGACCCAACCCTGAGAGGAGACAGGAGTATACTTGGATGCCAGATCAAGCATCTGTTGCAAATCCGATCGCGATGAACTGCCGCTGGGTTCCTCCAAATTGGTGTCTGCCAACAAGTATTCAGACAACGCCTTGAAGCTGGGATTCTGGTAGATGAGAGACGGATGAGCGGTGCTGCATGACAAGACTGGAAAGTCGTCCTTGTTTGACACACGGCTGAGCATGCGCGTTAGACGGGTTGCCTCCAGGGAATCCATGCCCTGTTCAAACCAGTCATCCGAGTCCGTCCACTTAGCGACAGGCAATTCCCGATCCTGCACGCAAGTCTCGACCATGGAGCGCAGACTGCTGATGATCTGTTCGGGGTGGCGTGTCAACGGGAAGGAAGGCGAGTTGCTGGCGCCAGAAAAGGTGTAGGCCTCTTCGATCTCCTTAGCGAACAGCTTATAGGTCTCGCCACGCATGACAGACCCCTTGTCTGATCTTGGAAATGTTTTCTCTGGTAGCTTAAGGATGATCATGCCCTTGGAAGCGACACGCGCGTGGCGGTCCAGCGACAGGTTCTCCTGCTGCACAACCTTCCAGATCCGCTCCACGAAAGGATCTTCGTCTTCTTCCTGAAGAGGTACATCTGGTTCTACTAAAACCCCCACTTCTTCACGGTTCTGACCGAATAGGACGGCCGTCTTCACCCCTTCTTGCCTGCTGAGGGTGGCCTCGAGCTTGCTGGGGAGAACCTTTTCTCCCGTCGACAGGACCAGGAGGTCGTCGTTGCGACCCAGAATGGCCACTTCAATGTGCACAGAGTCTGGTCGGCGACGTAGAAGATCTTGAATCGCAAAGGGGTGATCCCAACCGAAAGGATACCCCACTAACTGGTAGAACGGGACGCCGTTCTCGTCTCTCTGGTCCACCTCGTTGAGCTCCAGACCCATATCAGTCCGAATGCGCAGATAATGCCAGTCATAGTCGTCTCCCGGAACGAAGATGGGAGCAATGGCTCCGATCTCTGTGGCCCCGTAGTGGTTGAGCAACGTTATGCCGTTGGAAACCAAGAGCTCGCCGATGGCGGGCTTGATAGGGCCACCTCCTACCGCCACGAAGTCAAGTCCCTCCAATGCCTGCATCAGGATCGAGTTGGTCTTGGCGTCTTCAAGAATGCTCGGGACTGTCATCAACGAGCAGCTCGCGGAAGCCTGGATCAGTTCTGCCACTGACGTGGCCGAGGGGATGACGGACGCGGACGGCAAGCAGCATGTTTTCCCCGTGGCCAAGCTGATACACGGCCCAAGTAAACCGAAACCCTTTCATAATCAGCGCCAGTCTAGTATGTTCATGCATCGAGTGAATGTACCTACATGATACATAGGAAGTGTGGACACATTCCGCCTGCCGAGACATTGAGCTGGCCCGAGGCGGTGGCATGCTGCATAACCCAGGAGATACCGATGCGCTAGGGGGATAGGCTTCGGAAGGCCTGTCGTACCAGATGAGTGAAGGATGATTGCTGTCTCCCTATCCGAAGGAATGTGACGTTGTAGGCCGTCGGGAGCGACGGGCCCCGTGGGCTGCAATAACTGCTGGAGTGGAAAGCATTCCACCAAACGCAAGCCTTTTTGCTTCTCCTGTGGCAGCCCTTCGTAGGCCGTCCGCACCGTCACTTGACTTCTTTTTGATACGATGATGGCACACGCCGACGTTGATTCTAGGAGGTGTGATATGGCACCGGGGCTGAGGCGGACGGAGAGCACGAGTACCTACAAAGTCAGGATGGATCGGGTTGAGATGGCCGAGCACCACGTACAGGGATATTCAGGTACAATAGAGCAACGAGGTGTATGAATAGATTGATATCGCTTTCAAGAAAAACCGCAACCGGTAGCCGCGTCGCTCCTTGATGCCCGCCCTCGGGTTCGGCTGGTTCCTCTGGCAGTTGTTTCCGGATAAGACGTGCGCAGGTTATGGCTGCAAGCTGAAGCTCCCTGAAAGTAATAGGAGTGAGACTGACGTGCTTGCCACCATGACGGACTTCTTGTAAAGCAAACTCGTGATCCGAGTTGTGCTCCGCATTAAAGTCGACGAGGTCCGGAAGGCTATGGATCGCAGATGGATCTGTGACAGGATCTCTGGAGACTTGGAAGGAAGGCCGGCAGAAATCCTGCTCTAGTTTAATGATTGCCATGGTGAGTAGACTCAGAACACTTCAAGACGGGTCAAGGTTTCTTGCAACAGAGGTCGAGTTTGGTTATGCGAAAGGGGGAGACAGATAAACGGCTCCCAGAAAATGGCGACCTCAAAGTAAGAACATGGGTGACACCGCGTACGGAGAGCCGCAAAGAACTCCATTAGGAAAGCAATATTACCATTATCAGGCTTATGGCTACCGCGGAGGGTCCACGTGTATAAGCAGAGAGGGTACGCCGGTCCGTGGCGAACCGTCTCGGGAGCATTACCTCCATAAAGCTGCTGAGACAGGGTGATGACGAGTGAATAATACTGCATTTGATTTTTTTATTGTGCTTGCAAACAACACGCCCCCTTGTGCTTTCCGAGTCAACAGTCTTTCAGTCGCAGTTACCGGCGTATGCAAGCCATCTGTTATGGATTCAAAACGCATCATATTCTTCGGGGGTCAGGGTAGTCGCTTGCTTTGCTCATCCAGACCGGTCTCACGAACACATGAACAACATGAGTCTTCAGTGGTCTCTCTTTTACTATCAACTTGTCACGCAGCGTTTCTACGAGAGGCCATACAAGCTCAGTCACAGTCCACCCCAACCTGGGCCAAGTTAGATACCGCAATCAGCCCCGAGTCCTTATTGACCGTGCCCCATACACACTCAGACAACCCTATTCTCCACGGCGTATGTTTGTGCGTGAATCAGTTGGTTGGGTATCTTGAGTATGACAACACTCTCGAGAAGTTGAAGCAGGCTATACCTATCGGCTTCTGCTCGGGAATGCTTCCCGCAATGGTTCTAGCCTGCAGCAACACCGTGGAAGAATATATCAAGTTTAGTGGAGAAGCGGTTCGCCTTGCATATTGGATTGGCTATCGGGCTGCGGAGTTGAGCCAAGGCCTGTCGGGAAAGAGTGATAAAGCCCAGCTTTGGGGCTTGTCGCTATCCGGCAAAGACAGAGAGACAGTCGAAAGAAATGTCCAGAGTTTCAACAGCAACGTTCCTGAATCGTCTCACATCCGGTTGGCGTCAAGATTCGGCAAGACCGCGTTCAGCATTGTTGGACCAGGGCACGCATTAGAGGCATTCCGGTCTCTGAATGTTTCCGCATCATGCAAGGCGGAGGAAGTGCACGTCCACGCCTTGTACCATGGAGGAGACAAGGGGCTGACGGCGCTCAGTAACGTGCTTGAAGATGTCAGACGGAGGGATATTTCTTTTCCACCGTTGGCAGCAATGAATAGACCGATCTGGTCTTGCGAGAATGAATCTTTGGTGGGCGCATCAACCCTAGGATCCACCTCGCCATTGGAATATACCCTCCGCCTCATCTTGGTTGACAAATCCGACCTATACAGTACCTGGCTCTCAGCTGTTGACACAGTTACCTCTTCTGGTAAAGACTGGGAGATAATCACCGTGGGACCGGGGTCCAATGCCCTGCTCGCGTCGGTATGCAGGGACGTAGTGCGGCCCGCAAACACAATTTGGATAGACGTCCCAGGAGGTCAATCTCGAGGGGCTGCTGAGCTACGGCAGTCTGATAGCTTTGCGATTGTCGGGATGTCGGTCAACTTTCCCTTGGGGGAGGGAAAAGAAGGGTTCTGGGAAATGCTTGAGCAGGGCTTGAATGCAGCCACGCAAGTACGTCAATTCGCCATGCGCTTAAAGACTAAAATATGTTCCTAGTCGGACTGACCATTTCTATAGATCCCAGGCACCAGGTTTGAGGTAAAGGATTATCATGGCGAAGGGACTAACTGCCTGCCACACCGGGAGATGAAAGCAAGGCACGGCAACTTTCTCAGGGACCCATTCCAGTTTGATCACGAGTATTTCGGCCTCTCACCTCGAGAGGCCAAGTCGATGGACCCGCAGCAGAAGCTCCTTTTACAGGGCGCAGTGCACGCCATGGATGATGCCGGATATGTACCAAACGGAGCACCTTCCTTCAACCCAGAGACCATCGGATGCTATATTGGGGTGGCCACGGACGACTATGTGCAAAATCTAGCCCGAGATATTGATGTCTACTATTCCACCGGTGAGAGACAATATCTCTCGCAGGCATGGCGCAAGGCCAATTGCTGACAGAAGTAGGTACATTGCGTGCCTTCTTGAGCGGCAAGATATCGTACGCGTACGGGTGGAGCGGACCCTCCATTGTGATTGACACCGCATGCTCGTCTTCGCTTGTATCTGTGGTGATGGCTTGCCGGGCGCTCGCCCAAGGCGATTGCACAACGGCATTAGCCGGCGGCGTAAATGCCATCACAAGCCCTGATGTAAGTCTCCAACTTGTGAGTAAGAGAAGAGGCTGAACCAATCTTTTAGATGTACCTTGGCCTTTCCAGAGCGCACTTCCTGAGCCCGACGGGGCAGTGTAAGCCCTTCGATGCATCGGCCGACGGATATTGCCGTGGAGAAGGGTGTGGGCTATTCGTAATCAAGAGGCTCTGTGACGCTCTCCGCGAAGATGACCGAATTTACGGCATCATAAAGGGTGCACACATCAACCAGAGCGGCCAATCTTCGTCCATCACGCACCCTCATGGGCCCGCTCAGAAGCAGCTCTTCGAGACTCTACTCTCCCGAGGGGGACTCGATGCAAAGGCAATCAATGTTATTGAAGCTCACGGAACGGGGACCCAGGTATCGTCTTCCCCATGTTTTACTTGATAGAAAAATCTTTCTCACATCTGATTAGGCTGGTGATGCAGTCGAGACATCCAGCATTGAATCCGTTTTTGGAGGATGTCCCAGCCCAGTTTACCTGACATCAGTGAAGGGCAACATTGGCCACGCCGAGGCAGCGTCAGGAGCGGCCGGTCTAGCAAAATTGGTGATGATGTTGAAATACTCGAGAATTCCACCTCAAGTCGGGCTCAACACATTGAACCCAAAGTTGCAGGCTCTTACGGGTCGCAATATCCGAGTCCCTACGGCGGGCTGCGAGTGGAACCGTATTGCGCCCAACATGCCGCGGCGTGCATTACTGAATAATTTTGGCGCCGCAGGTTCAAACGCTGCTTTGATCCTTGAAGAATACATCTCGAAAATAGGGCGTGAAGACCGCAAGGCGCCTCCAAGAGCGGCATATAACCTGATTCTGTCCGCCAGGAATGCCCGTTCGCTCGGGGAGCTGATTGGAAAATATTCTCAGTTTCTCCAGGGAGGGGGCCTTTCCATCGAGGACCTTTGCTACACGTCAACAGCTCGACGGCAGAAACACCGGCACGTCCTCTCGGTTGTTGGTGGAACTGTACCGGAGCTGGTGGACCAGCTTGAACGACACAGATCAGTGGAAAGTCCCTTGATCGACTACCGAATCAAACACCCGATTGTATTCGTATTCTCGGGACAAGGCAGCTTTTACTCGGCAATGGGCCAGCAGCTCATGTGTACGGCCCCTGTGTTCAGGGCCAAGGTCGAAGAATGTGACGCCGTGTTGCGGCAAAACGGCTTTCTCGATATAACGCCAAGCAAGGTCCTGGATGGATCCGTCAGCCCTGCCACGGCGGTTGATTCGGTCCTGTGGTCACAGGTAGCATGTTTTGTGCTGGAGTACTCTCTTGCTTGCTTGTGGATTTCATGGAACATCCAGCCAGATGTTGTTATGGGTCATAGGTGAGCCACCGGTTTAGTTCGAGAACAAAGTTAACTCAGTGACAGTCTTGGAGAATACGCCGCCATGGTGACAAGTGGAGCCTTGTCATTACAGGATGCTCTGTTGCTTGTCACGCGACGGGCACAATTGATGGCATCGATGTGTAAGATCGGGGAGACGTCCATGCTCGCGTGTAATACCTCAGCATTGTCAGCCAGTCAGTTAATCACAGAGACGGGACTGTCTCGGCTCACAGTGGCTTGCGACAATAGCGTCACAGATTCGGTTGTCGCGGGACCAGTGGATCAGCTGGACCAACTGGCTCAGCATGCCAAAGAGAGAGGCATTCGCTGCAAGAGACTTGACGTTCCTTTGGGCTTCCACTCGACGGCGTTGGACCCAATAATGCCAGAATTCGAGGCTGAATGTAAAGCCCTCACCTTTTTCAACCCGAAGATTGCTTTAGGATCTTGTTTACACGGGCGGCTTGTCGAAGAAGGCGACCTCGGCTCCAGCTATCCTCTCCGACAAACGAGAGGAACAGTGCGATTTACAGAGCTTGTTAGCTCGCTCTTCAACCGAGAAGGCTTCCAGAATGCTACTTTTATAGAAATTGGTCCGAACCCGATTACGTTGCCTATGGTTCGAACCAAGTTCTCCGGACAGGACTCAATTTTCCTGCCCTCCATGGCAAAAGGCCAAGATTCTTGGGTCACCATCAGCCGTTCACTGCAGCAGCTGAGCCTACGGTACGATTCGATTCAATGGCGTGCTGTATTTGACGGCACCAAAGCGCGTGTCGTGGACCTCCCAGAGTACCCTTTCCAAATGCATTCTCTTTACGTCCCATTCAAGGAAGCCAGCTTGGACGCCTCGGCCTCAGTGAAGACGGGTCAAGGCGCGAAACCCTCTATGTTCCATTTGTTGGAAGATGTGGTGACGCAAGACGCTCGAAAAGGATTATCAACCTTCCGCTGCAGTTTAGATGCTTTGTCCGTGTACATTGAGGGGCATTCTGTACATGGCTTTCCGCTATGTCCAGCTTCGGTATACCATGGAATGGTCCTGGAGGCCATGCATTACCAGGCGACACCAGATCAGGATCAAGTGGCAGTGGTCACGGATATCAATTTTGGTCACCCCCTTGTGTACTCACAGGAGAGGGCAGCCTCCACTGTGCTGCTGACGACGGAGAAGACATCGAAGGGTATTTCCGAGAGCAATGAAGGACGATTCACGGTTACTTCCGCCGACACCAGCCTATGTTCCGGCCAAATAGCATGGAAGCCTGCTTCAGATGTCCAGGCATATCTTGCGCGCAGGGGAGCGTACGCCAAACGGCAGATGAAGCTTTTGCACCGGCACCAGAGCCAGAGGAATCTCTTGCATCGCAATGTCATCTACAACATCATCTTCCCTCGGGTAGTCGCATACTCAGAAATGTATCAAGCCATCAAGGAACTGAACGTCTCGGAGACTGACCTGGATGGTTACGGCACTTTTGAGGTCCCAGAGAGCACCTTCACCGGGAGGACTGGATCTCCAGTCTTTATGGACACCTTGTTGCACGCGGCTGGATTTGTCGCAAACAGCCAAGCCAAACTGACCGACGCTTTCATTTGCAGCAAGGTCGAGTCTACGGTGGTGCTGGACACGGCCATTAACCCGAAAGACACTTTTCTCATCTATTGCAGTCTGTTGGAATGCGGCGACGGGGAGCGTATCGGCGAAGCATTTGCCATGACGCTGGACGGGACAGCAGTTGCTAGCATCGAGGGCATGCATTTCAAGCGCCTGAATCTCAGATCGTTCGCCAGTCATCTGTCGCGCCAGACTGGCCAGAAGTCCACCAGCGGAGCCCCGCAGCCAGTCGCACCGCGCCTGCAGGCACAGATGAAGGACACGAATCCGCCAGTATCCAGCGTATCGGATCCAATGGATACGGTAGCCAGCGTGATTGCTGAGCTCTGTGAACAACCGAGGGCGGCGGTTACTCCTGGCAAGCGGCTGGCGGACTTGGGCATTGACTCTCTCATGCAAATAGAGCTCTCCCAGTCACTGAAACGACAGTTCCCCTACCTGAATACGAACGGTCTACTGGAGTCAGACACAGTCCGGGATATCCAAAACTACGTGATGAGCGTTCGGGGTGACATGTCTGGGCCGCTATCAAGCAAAAGCAATTCCGACAGCGTTGACGACGGTTCAACCGGGTCAGGCAAGCTCACTCCCTATACGGAAGTGACGCCGACCCCGCACGAAGTAACCGGTCTCCTCCTGCAGCTGGTAGCGAAAACATGCGGCTTCCAGCCCTCAGAAGTCCATCAAGACATGGCCCTTGGGTCGCTTGGGATGGACTCTCTTATGACCATTGAATTCCAGGAAGGCATGCAGAGTGAATTCGGCTACACACTGGCGTCGGACGTACTGTCTCCTGCTCTGACAATTCGAGAGTTGGCTAGAAAGCTCACGGAGGACAACAATTCGTCTAGCGACCAAGGCTTGGTGAGTGTAATAGAGAGGGCCACAAGCGAGACTCTCGTGCGTGGCTCAACGGAGGAGCAGTTTATCGTCCAGCTGCAACGAGGCCAGGATCACACCCCACCTCTTATTCTGTTCCATGACGGCAGTGGACTCATCAAGCAGTATGAGGGTCTTGCCGATATAGGGTGTAACGTGTTCGGCATTCGCAATCCTGACTTGACCGTTGGGCCACACTGGGCCAGAGATTTGGACGATATGGCCCGTCGGTACGCCGCTTCAATTCCGGCAGTGGTCAAGGCGAGGCAGGTGGTCCTCGGCGGTAAGTTCCATTGCTAGCTGTGCAGGAAAAGTGTCGATACTGACGTGCGAAGGTTGGTCTTTCGGGGGAGTCCTTGCCCATGCAGTCGCACAGCAAATGGAATGGCTGGCATGCACCACCCTGGCTGTTCTCCTCATTGACTCCCCGTGTCCGTTGAATCATCAGCCACTGCCCCCTCAGGTCGTCGAGTACATCCTTGGCCCCAAAAAATTGTCACGAACGGCCTTGGCTACGATGGTCTCTCAATTTGACAACCACGCTCGCTTTCTTGCAAAGTACCGGACGCAGCAACCCATACCACCGCAAAGGAGGTATGTGATGCTGCATAGCACACAAGTCCTGGACACCACCCGCCTCTGCGGAGTGCCATATCCATGGCTAGAGAGCCAACAGGAACGGGTTTTGGCCCTTCGCCAATGGGAGAGTATACTCAATCGTCCGCTGACGGTGTACGATATTCCCGGGAATCACTTTGAGCCGTTTAACGATGAGAATGTAAGAGCACTTTTCCGTACCGATATCTATGTTGAACGCTAAACGGTCACTTAGGTCAAGGCAGTCTCGGAGATCATACGAATTGCGTATGCGGAGGCGACAACAATGGGATGATCTCGGGAATCAACAGTAGTACAAGATAATAGTAAGACTGCTGGTGGGCAGGTTAGATAGACACCACATCGCTGTATTTTTTATGTCAGTTCAGTTGAATACATCGGTTCCATCCCGCCACTGGGATTCTCCTCCATCAGCAGGTAAGTATTGTTGGTCCCCTGTGCTGGACCGAGTCAAGTCCTCTCTGTGGACCGGCGTACACTAGCAGACACTCCCGTAGCTCTCGTACTCACATTCCCACCGCAGGTCCAACCATTGACAACCTCTATTTAGAAGCAAATCGTCTCCCAATTCACTGCAGGCAGTCTAGATCAACCAAGGACGCATATTTACACCAGTACAGTATTGCAAACGTACGATGGCCCACTCCATACTCGCACACACCTACGAGCGTGGTTTCCGCCAACCAGCCAAAGACCCTCACTGGGTTCTTCCAGAGGTAGGGATTCTCCATCCCAGCAACCTCCCAACCCCTCTCTCACCCCCACCCTGATTAAAAAATCCCAGATGGGATTGACAAGACCAACCCGGTTTCTAGGGCCCGTTAGACGAGACTGGCGATGACGCGGAAAGACAGTACGAGGTCCCTCCCTCGGTCGAGATTGTCACCTCTACCCGTCACAATGACCTCGGGACCAATGTGCTGCGTGTGTGGCCGACGCTCCATGACGGCACCGCCTCGCCACACGGAGTCCCAGCTTGGTGGACTCCACAAGAGAAGGTGGATGTTTTGATCTGCGGCGGTATGGTGAATCCTCATCTGGGATCATATATAGCCACACTGACAGGGCATAGCTGGACCTAGCGGGCTGGAAGTCGCGTTGAGCTGTCTTCGACAGGGCCTAACATTTCGGATTATCGGTTGGTCTCTGGTCCGTTGTTGATACTCGCGTCTATGGAGATTCACATATTCTAGACAAGAACATCGCTCCGCTGACGGCCGGACGCGCAGACGGCGTCCAGCCGCGCTTTCTGGAGACGCTGGCAACCTGGGGCCTGGCCTCAGAGGTGCAGGAAGAAGGACCGCTAATTGAACGGACGGCCATCTATCACAATGGTCAGCTCCTCCATCACGGCCGCTCGCATCAGTCCGATTCCCGCTACCGCGGCTTGCATGTCATCACGCAGGGCCAGATAGAGCGCATCATGGTTCGCGATCTCCTGCGGCATCGGGTGCTCGTCGAACGCGCCACGACGCTGAAGGAGTACCGCACCGACCCTGTGCTAGCAGCGTCTACGGACTCCTCCGTCTATCCGGTGCGGTGCGTGATTGAGGACGCGGATGGGCGAGAGAAGGCCGTGCAGGCCAAGTTCCTGGTCGGGAGTGATGGAGCGTCGAGTGCGCTTCGACGTCAGCTACAGATTCCATTTGACGGCATCAGTACGGATATCTACTGGGGAATTATGGACTGCATCTTCGAGACGGACTATCCACATGCGTGGATCTTTGGTTCGGTGGTGAGTACGGAGCACGGTGGCTGCGTTATCATTCCCCGCGAGAATGGGTATATTCGGTCTGTACCACCACCTAACCGATGCCGTCGCGTATGGTGCCCTGGATCTAACGCGTTCTACTTACTAGCCTGTACACCCAGCTGAACCTCTCCCAAACGGGTCCACTGGCGGCCTCCCGACAAGCAAGAGATCCCTCGTTCGCAGAGTCTGGCGGACAGCTAGATATCCACTCGATCACTCCGGAAGAAGTCCTAGAGCAGGCAAATCGCATCTTCGCCCCGTATAAGCTGTCCTTTGCAGCGCCACTCAGTTGGTTTGCCGTGTGGAAGAGTATGTTGGGACCCGGTTCATCCAGCACCGGATCAGAAACCCGCAGCCTAACATCTCCTAGTTAGTGAGCGAGTGGCTCGTTCGTTCTCCTCCTCCGACCAACGCGTGCACTTGGTCGGTGACGCAGCGTACGTTTTCTTTCCCTCATCGCATAGCCCGCAGTCGCCCTCTAACCTGGTGATGAGCAAACAGACACGTGCACAGCGTCATGGGCGCTTTCGGCCTCAATGCATCCATCCTCGACGCCGCCAACATCGGTTGGAAGCTCGGTCTCTGCGCAAAAGGCCGGGCCAATCCGAGCATCCTCCTTCCCACCTATGACCGCGAGCGGCGTCTCCACGCTGCCAACATCATCGAGATTTCCGGGAAGTACCTCCGCTTTGTGTGCAGCTCGAATGTCCCCACGGCTCGTTTGCACTACCTCGGTGCCGATTTGGGGCTGGGTGAGCTCGATCCGTCCCGGATTAACGGGTACAAGGACAGAGTCCAGGACCTTCAGCCGTCCAGCGAGGCAGTCTCTATCTCCGTGGAGTCTAGTGACAAGGACCAGCGGACCGGCGCCGCGAGCTTGACACAAGAAGAGGCCAAGGCCTTCCTCCGGGACTTCTTCACTGAGCACGGACACTTTCTTCTCGGGGTGGATGCCGCGTATGGTACAAGTTGCTTGAACCCATCGATGCAACGCACCAATGGCGTTCAGAATGGCGCACTGCGCGCCCCGCCGGTCAAGGTGAAGAATGGGGTGAGGGCTCCAAATCCGCGGGTGTGTATTGATGCCAGTCACACTGGGTACCTGTACGACAAACTGCCTGGCGACGGCCGGTTACATCTGGTCGTGTTCGGGTCGAATCTTCTCGGCCCCGTCCGACGGCAGCTGAAGACCTTCACGGATGCTCTAGGTGCACCCGGTGGGTTTTATGCGCGGTTTGGTGGGCCCGATATGTTTAACACTGTACTTGTTGCCAAGGGCATGCCATTTGAGATCGATGAGAATTTATCGGTGGGCGAGGATCTAGCTGCGCTCCGCGATAAGGCTACGGTGCTGGCGGATGATCGCGCCCCAGACGACGACGCACACAGTACCTGGGGCGTCAATCATCGCACAGGAGCAGTGGTGGTTATTCGGCCGGATCTGTGGGTTGGGGTCAGTGTGGCGCCGGAGGACACTGAGACGTTGAGCTCCTACTTCGCTGCCTTTCTCGTATCAAAGGAATAGGTATACTTTGGTTAGAACCTCGGGTACAATGCAGAGGCCTGTTTGATACCAGAAACACGGAGTAAAAGCACAGGATTCTAAATGGTACGCGGGTCCACCAGCCACATACTATATAGGACGGACGTATGCTATCGGACCTATCCCTCCCCAATTATCCCCACACAGAACAGCAACAGCACTATGCCGACTCTCAGCGACGCCCATCAGCTTCTCCAGCTTGCGGACCTCACGAAGGACAGTATCCACCGCATCATTGGCGAGTGGGCCAAGCTCCCTACTTCGGCTCCGGGTACGCAGGGTAAAGGCAGCAGCCCGGGAGGAGACAGCGAAGCCAATCTGCCCAGCCGCGCGCTGTTCGAGGCGCAGCGTACTCTGCTAGCCACAACGGGAAAGCTAGTCGAGTTAATCTCATCTCCTAGCAGTCGACTCCTGGAAGTGTCCTCACAATACAATGAAGCGAGATGCTTGCACATTGCCGCAGTGCTCCGGATTCCGGACCTGTTGGCGGACCACGGAGGCGAGGGTGTGCCAATAGAGCGCCTCGCGGAGAAGGTGGGAATTGAGACCAGGAAGCTCGGTATGTACTTCCCCGCGACGTATTTGCATGCACGTTCTGTTCTCATGGGATCCATGATCTGCGGCAGGTCGTATTATGCGCTGTCTCTGCTCAATTCACATCTTCCGAGAGATAGACGGTGGGGTCTTTGCCAACAACGCCATCTCGGCTGGTTTGGTTGATAACGAGCCGTTGAGGGCCTATATAGCCATGTTGTATGTGGTTCTTCATACAAGATGCGGCTCGGGCGGTGCTAATGCAGTCTAAATCAGTGGGTGGGATCTGTACAGTGCTTCTGACGCCCTGCCTCGTGCTCTCCTGGACCCCGAGATTGGGTCTTCGTACTCGGTCAAGGAAACTCCCTGGCAAAAGGCTGTGGGCACCACCAAGGAACGGTGGACTTGGCTCGAAGAGGGCGTGACCGCCACTGAGCTCAGAAATGGCGGTTCAGGAACCTCTGCGTCTTATCCTGGACCCTTTGGTCCGGAGGTTACAGCTGCACTCCAGGGCAAAAATGACGTGGACTCGTTCCGTCGCCCGGAGCTTGATATCTTTGGTCTCGCCATGCTTGGTGGTGGGCGTGTGTTCGGAGTTGCGCACTTGTTCGGTAGGCCAGGGGACCCTGACTCGGATGCAGTAGGAAATTAGTCACATATTGACTGCGCGCTAGACTTTCCTTGGGCATCACTGGGCAAGGCACAGGTGGTCGATGTCGGCGGTGGAGTTGGTATGTTGCTGGCTCACACCCTTTCCCGAGTGCGGTATCCCGAATCTAACATCAAGCCAGGTGGATTTTGCCTTCAGCTGTCGAAGATTTATCCCGACCTCAGCTTTATCGTGCAGGACCGCGCGCCGGCACTCGCTCAAGCCCAACGGGAGATCTGGCCACGGGAGAACCCTGAAGCGCTCAGCACTGGCCGCGTGAGGTTCCTCGAGCATAACTTCTTCAATGTCAACCCTGTTGTTGGTGCGGATGTCTACTGGCTCCGGTATATCTTGTAAGTTCTCTCTCCCTCTATCTCTATGTCCCTGGTTTTAAGCACGCCTCGTACTGAAGACGGAAACGGGGGTTAGGCATGACTGGTCGGACGACTACTGCGTCCAGATCCTCTCGGCTATTAAAGCAGCCATGAAGCCTCATTCCCGTATCCTCATCTGTGACCAGGTCATGAATACCACGGCTGGCTTTCCAGAGCGGATTGCCTCGGCGCCAGAACCTCTTCCGGCCAACTACGGATATTTCACTCGGTACAGCCACCAGCGAGACATTGCCATGATGAGCATCATCAATGGGATCGAGAGAACGCCGGCTGAGTTCCAGGACATTATTGAGCGGTCTGGGCTGGTGATGAGCCGGATCTATGATTGCCGCAGTCAGGTTTCGTTGGTGGAGTGTGTTCTGCCTGACGGGACGGAGACCGCACTGAATGGCCACCACTAGACGAGCATTGCATCCGATCAATACATAAATCAGTCCATTTTGTCACATAGTACTGCATAGTGTCGCTGTGCTTGAATTGTCTGGGCGGGGTGTACGGAGTACGCCTTCAACCCCTAACGTAGCGGCGAAACCGGCCCTCGTCTGGGCAACCATCTAGATTTGCACCATTCAGCGCTGACGACAGTCTTTCCTATCTTGTGCGATGGGCCGGTCGAATGTGCAACCGAGGTAATCCCTGGAGTCCTGAAGCCACTCTTCCATCGACAAGAAAGCCACCACCCACGTGCTTGATAAGATGGCCGTCGACATGACCCACTACTTGACTCCCATCAGACAATGGCATCAACACATCGAAAAGAGGAAATAGACAGTCCTGAACAGTCGCCAATCATAAGGCCCCTTTAACGCCATGGCTCTCTGATGCGACGGAAGTGGCTCGGCGAGCAGGATTGAGATCGACACTCAATCCGTTGGGATGGAGGGGGCCCATAATCTGGCCGATGAGTCCGTTGTCAACAAAATTTGTGGGAGTACCGGCCCGGTCGATCGTATCTGAAGTGAGTTAGTTGTGACGAAGGCTATCTCGATCGTCCGCGCCATGGGGTATACGGGGCATGTGCCGGCTGGTGATCTTGGCCTCTACGCCTGACCCTGTCAAGGGTGTATTCCCAAGCAGCGGTAGCGGTGGCGAGCACAGACTCGGCAAGGAGGGAGGCCCGTCTTTCCACGCTAACCAGTGACAGTAATGCAATAAAGTCCTAAACACGGTACTTCCGTTGCCAAGGTATCGGTGTTTCTCACAGGGAATCCGATTCGGCCTTCAGGACCCCACCGGCAGCCGAGCCCAGACCAGAAATAGGATACGAGAGTGCATGCAGGATCGGGACCCTGGCTGTGAGCTTGTCTATCTGCATCGCCGAATACGAGCAAGACACGCACGATAAGGGATGATGTGCTCGACGGCTGAAGCCCTTGACGCGTCTCAGTGCGCCACATTCGGAGAACGCGGGTCCTTCCGCTCTGGGCTCCTACTCGCCGTGATTTAAACCCATAGAGGTTTGACCCTCCCCGCGGTGGAGCCATGGCTGGGCCATGGCTTGACCGTGACCTGCAGGGGGCTGTAATTGTCTTCTCGTATATGCATGCCAACCACGGATTTTGCAGGAGGTTTAGAATGAATTCCTCCGAAAGACATCAGCCTGATGTAAAAATGCATCTGTTTCAAGGCACGGGCGGAGCCGAGGCAGTTTCTTCAGGTTCCCACGGTGAACTCCATCCGCTTTGGATATACGTGGTATATTTCACCACCGCAAATGGGGATAGGTGGCGTATATCGACTGGGATCTAGATTCGCTGCCTCACCCAGCCGGCATAACGTCTACGCCAAATATGTCCATAGTGCGAGGAAACGCGGTCGAATGAAAGTGTCACTGTTTTATCTGCTTACGTGCGAATACATGTCAGCATGAGGTGCCGTCTTGGAGATGATACAGCGTGAACCATCTTACATGCTGCAGCAGGCCCATTCTGCGATTAAGCTTCTATTAGGAAAGCTTCTGCACTAGGACCAGGATCGCACAAGTGCATCAAGTCTTTGCCAGCGGAGATGAGGCGAACTTATGCCCCCCAACCTAGCCAGACACTTGTCACAGTCAACAGTTGCTTATCTACGTCTCCAGGGGGGTCATCCTTCTGGCCGGTATGGCCAGGGAATCCGTCAAAATTGATCCAATCATTGTCACTTGGAAACATAGGTTCGCAAACCATGCGAGCGCAGACAAGTGCAAGCGAGTGCAAGCGAACCGTTCTTCCATGCGACCTGTATGGGGAGCTTGGCATGGCGCAAGATTATCGGAAGGATTCAAGTGTGTAGGCCACCATCACAGTCGAGGCCGTCGAGCGCCTATTTACCCGATAGGCTGTAGAGGACTAGTCATGGTTACATCGCCTCGCCAAGCTTCAGTGATATTCAAAGGCTTCGTATTGTCCATGCTAGGACTTTGTTGAAGATGTTCCGGCTGCGATGACTGACTGTATCGGCGGGAAGAAATCAAGGCCAGCCGACGTGATCGGCGATAAGCGTTCTGCTCGTATTGCAGCGCAGTAGAGCGTGCGCGTGAATCGACGCCCGCCCGTCATCTACAGGGGGGGTAAGACCGGCGTGTGGCGGGAGTGACTGGTACCCTAAATGCTGCTGACCAGAAGATTCCATTTATATCAAGTCGGGGACGCTTTCGGCATCGACTCGCATATAATATATTATATGACAGTCAACGTTTAGCCCTGATCTTCTCACCCTGCAGTCCTGCACCTTCACAAAATGCCCCGAGCCGCTCGCAAATGGACGCCGGGCGAAGACGATCTGCTATGCCAAGAGGTTCACACTCAATGTAAGGCAAATCGTTCTTAGACATGGTGGGAATGCCCTTGCTAACGTACCCTCCTGGGTGGGATACAGTAGCCGCGGGCAAGGTAAAGGACTGGACGGTGATTGCAAACAAGATCCCGGGCCGCACAAACAAAGATTGCCGGAAGCGATGGCACAATGTGCTGTCCGGGGGATTCAATAAAGGCTATTGGACCGAAGAGGAGGACGAGCTGTTGACCCTGGCCGTACAGACACATGGAGAGATGTAAGATCTGCAACCCTCCGTGCTCTTTAAGACTTGGGGCCCAGCACCATGTTCAATCAAGGTTGACTAGCAGGACAGATGGACGGCAGTGGCTGAGGTTGTAAAGACCCGCAGCCCAGATCGTATGTACCATACCTGTCCTATGCATGACCGCTGGCCGCGAGACCCGTTCCTGACCACAACTTGGTGACAGAGTGTGCCAAAAGATGGAAACAGTGCCTCGATCCACAGCTGGATCATAGTGAGTGGACAGAGGAAGATGTAAGCTTCGTGTTCCGTTTGGAAATGGGCTGAACCTGGGCTAAAACCGCAGACAGAACCGTCGGCTTGTTCAAGCGGCGGCCGTTAAAGGAAGACGGTGGAAGGAAATCCAGATCGAGCATTTTCCGTCCCGGTCCCGCAACAGCATCAAAAACCAGTGAGTCGACTCGGAGCCCCCAAGGCGGCATTGAACGGTACTGAATGCGCCCTGGGTCCTGGCAGATTCACAATCCTCACTCGACGAGAGAACAAGTTAAGCCCTAGTCGCAGGCGGAAGCCCAAAGAAGGTACGCAACCTGGGTCACACACCGACTCATCATCAGAAAGCGGTGATGACGATGACGGCGAGAGTAGCAATGAGGAAGATTATAATCACAATGGAAGAAGTACGGTGGAAGACAGCAGCCATCAAGGACAGAGCAGCTACTGCTCGCCATCTAATCTCACCCACCCGCTGGCGACTCCCGACGAGATCTCTCCATGTGCAGGGCTGGATGCATCCGCGTGGGACAAGGTTACCCCGGCTGGAGTCTCCGGCCACACATGGGATACGACCCTGTCGTCCGATACGGAGTTTTCAAGGCATGAGTTCCACGGTGATCTGCCCGATCTAGCCACCGTCTCGCCAGAGGTCTTGCAGGGGTTCTATCCTGATCTTCTTTCTCCGACGCCTACCGATATGCCCTGGGTCTTCGACCAGGGGGACTTGGCAATGTCAGGAGTCGAGTCTCACCAACACCTCCCCGGACCGCCCACAAATCCTCGTGGCAGCAAGGTCGTCCTCACCGTCGAAGGACCCGATCACCAGACAGTCGAGGCGTTGGTACAGGTTGCATTTCTCAGTGGAACTCCATTTCATTTGGCGCGTGGATGACTATATACAAGTAGCGATAGATAGACCTTAGGCATATGTGACATGTTTCTCTTGTACTTTCTGCGACACGGACTTTAGCCTTTTTCGTAGACTGCTCAGGGCGAATGCAGATACTCGGCAGTTCCAAAGGACAAGGCTGTCGTCAATGCTTGAACATGACATGACTCTCTTACTCACCTCCCAATTTATCTGCTGCGAACATCGTGGAGCCAAACCAGGCTACCGGCAAGCCCCGAGCACCTACTCCAACTAGGCGCATATGCTTACTGCATCGGGCCCTTGTCCAAGCCACTAGGGCTATCAGGCACATTCCCTTGTCGATCATTTCGGCAATGTCCGATTCGCCGGAGACTGAAGTAACTTGCCCGAGATTTTGCCGTTTGTACGCGGGGCCCGATAAGCGAGGCAGAGGAGTGGCACGGCGAGTCACCCTGGAGAAATATAGCTTGACTGACGTGGCTCCATTGCTACCACTGCCATAAAGAGACACTTTAGCCCACTGCAGATAATAGTTACGTTTTTGTATCAGAGGATAGGTGGATTCTATCTCAATTGAGTCAACAGGATCAGTGCCATATCGATATATATATATCCATTCCTCGTTTCGTACCCCCCATCTCTTTAGCGTTGCCTGTGCCACATAATTGCAAACTACCATTCGATCAACCCTCGCATTCTGTAGCCCATCAAGCCCCACCGGCCGACGCAGATACATTGGCCCTTTTATACTACGGTTCACGCAGCAGATTAGACCTATGCTCACCCCCCCGGCATGCAGACGGACACTCACCGATAAAAATAGAGCACACGCAAGACTAACCGCAGCCCCAACATAGACACACGTGAAACTAGACGATTGTAAGCAAAAGTCTCTTCCATCGTGGGAACGAGGGACAGGATACGTACACGTCGTTCCATGCAGATACAATCACTTCCAACACCCTATGGCGCATGTCGGACGATAATGATTTGATGAGATCCCCGCTAGTTCCCGATACCATCTGCTGCACTTGGTCTCGGGGGGTACTGGGGAGGATGCGGTACAGCCCTTCGGAGGCGACGTTGACGAAGACGGCCCCTCCGACTGACAGCCCGAGAGTGAGGCCGCCTAGTTGTGCTATAGGAGTAGACATTGTTAGCAACCGCCTGCGTTGCGGGTGTAGGGTGGTATGTTCGTCACAACGCATCGTTATTACCTAGAAGCATCAGAGATAATCCGTTCGCCGCTTCGGACGGCGCGACCACGGCCTGGATGACCGCGAAGGAGGCCATCGTGTAGGCGCCGGCCCCTGAGCCGAGAAGGATCTCCAGACCATAGAGGATTCGGGGCGGTGTGTCGACGTGGACAATCGTGGCTAGCTTTTGTTAGAAAGGAGTACTTTTGTCCCATCGCGTGAATACTGCAACATACCCATCATCACCGCCGCAAGTAGAGCCACAATTGCCCCTCCCACATAGCACGGCTTATAATATCCAATCCGCGACATATACAACCCACTGGCGGGGATGGCAGTGATGAGGAAAGCGATGAAAGGCAACTGCCGAGCGGCCGCCTCCATTGCCGTATCACCACGAGTGAATTGGAAGTAGAGAGGGATATAGTAGACGCTGGTGTAGGAAACAGCACCCACCGCTGTGCATGCCACAAAGAGCAGCAGGGGCTCCTTCTGTAGATACAGATGAATGGGCAACATACGCGTTTCCTTCGTAGTGAAAACTGTGAAGGCCTGCTGGAGAACAAACGCGATCCAGAGCACCCCGGTCGCCACAAATAGCCCGATTGTGCGACCGCTCCGCCAGGGATAGAGGGTGCCTCCGAAGTTGATGCCCATCACAAGCGTGACACAGGCGCTCACGCTGAGGACGGCACCGACCCAGTCAAAGGTGGCTAACTTCTGCCACCTGGTCCGAGCAGGGGCCGGGTTGTTTGACGGAAGGATAAACACATAGACGGGCAGAAGGACAGCACCAAACAGTAGGTTGATGTAGAAGGCCCAGCGCCAGGTGTATAGTTCGAAGCCGCCCCCAATAACGGGGCCCAAAACGGTTCCTACGCCCCAAACGAGACCGCTTTCGCGAGGCGTTAGCACAAGGCTCTCATGGACCAGCCGACACTTACGTCAAGCTAAGATACCCGGGTCTCTCGCGGTTTGTCGTGTTCAGCGAAATGATCGAAAGCAGACCAAAGTACATGCCATTTCCACCGGCACCGGCAAAGACGCGTCCCACGATCTCCGCTTTCATATTGGGGGCAGCGCCACACAGCGCAGATGCTGCCATGAAGATGATAGTCGAGCCGATATAAACCCACTTGGCATCAAAGAGGGCGTACAAGCTTCCCAGCGGGAGCACCGTCGCCATCCCACCGATCATGAATCTGGATTGTATTATGAGCATAGCACGGCAATGGAGTGATGGGGCTTTGCACAGACCCAACGGAGAGCCATGGTAAGTCTGAGACGGCGTCGAACTGGTTTACAATTGCCTGGAAACCTGTCGTCAACATGTGACCTGTTTTCTCCGGCGAGCTTCACGTACGGGAACGATGTTGGCTACAATGGTGTTGTCCAGTGCATAAACGAAAATCGCCGTGAGTGTGCTCACAATGAATACGAACCACTGAACTGATCAGGCCACGGTGGATAAAAAAGGTACGACGTGACAGGGACATACACGAAATCCGGTGATGGTTCGCACATCCTTTAGGCCCTCGTCCGATCCGGTATCACCTTGCCCGCCTTTTTCAGCCTCCGACAGAGACAACCTTGGGATCACTGCATTTGAGATCTCGTCGCGGGACGATACTGCTGTCGTCTCGGATGCTGTCGTCTCTGTCGGCATCGTCGATCTCGTAGCCATGTTGCAAAGGGCGCCAACAACACGAATTGGAAGTTTATGAGTACAGAGTATATGAAACAGAAATCAAACCCTCGATCCAGTCGACGAGGGGAATTCTTATTTTGATCATCGCAAACCCGATCATAGCCAAGGGCCTATCTGCTTCGTACGATATGCATGGTTATGATCTAGCTTGCTGTACGCGGGTCCGGCAAGCCACCAACGAAAACGGGGTGCCGCCGAGCCGGTTTGGTTCCCCCCCCCCCCCGCCCTAAGTCATCCGTCTAGTTCTTTATGCATGACTGCGATATCGAGTCATCTCGCAGCATCCTCGCCGTTCTGTCATTTCCTACCTCTCTAACCCCGTCATCCTTCGCCGGATTCTTTTGCTCCTCGACCCCATTTCGCTGCGGCAAAAAGGCACACGTTTTGACGACTATGCCACCACGCGTGTGGCTTATCACCGGCTGCTCCTCCGGCTTTGGCCGGCAGATAGCGATTGCCGCTGCAAAGATCGGGGACACCGTGGTCGCGACGTCGCGAGACCCCTCGAAGCTGGAGGATCTAAAGGGAGTCGGCAACATTCTCCCGCAGCGGCTCGATATCTGCGCCAGCGATGGAGAGGTCCAGGGCCATGTAGCCGATATCCTTGCCACTGTAGGCCGGATTGATGTGGTGGTGAACAACGCGGGTTATATCTTGGAGGGAGCGATCGAAGAGTCCAGGTAAGCAGTCAACCTCCTCCCAATGTCCTTGCTGACGGCACCAGTGGCGCAGATGTCGAAGCCCAGTTCGGCGCAAACGTCTTTGGCCAACTGCGACTTCTCCGCGCCGTGCTCCCCACGATGCGTGCACAGAGATCGGGCACTGTCGCCAATATGGGCTCGATCGGAGGCTGGAGGGGAACCCCTGGCGCCGGCCTCTACTGCGCCACCAAAGCAGCCATTGCCATCTACACCGAGGCCTTGCGGGCCGAGCTGGCCCCGTTTGGGATTCAGACGACTTGCATCGAGCCGGGATACTTCCGCACCAACTTCCTACAGAGCGATGGTGGCCACAAGGTCACCGCCCAAAATCATATCCCTGACCTTGATGTGGTGACGCAGGCAACCAAGTCGCGGCTGGCCGCCTACAGCCACCATCAACCGGGAGATCCGGCCAAGGGGGCACAGCTCATTGTCGAGGCGCTGACGCGCACGGGACGATGTCAGGGACTGGAATTACCGCCCCGACTGGCTCTGGGTCGCGATGCCGTGCAGGTAATCGGAGCAGCTCTAGACCAGAATCGCGCGGCCCTCGACGCGTGGAAAGACTTGGTGAGCACCACCGACTGTGATGATGTCGACACCTAAGGTGAGGTGTAGATTGTACGATGATTTGACAGACTCGGCTAATTGGATCTCAGCGCGTACTGCGAACCTGGCGGATGTTACGGAATGCTCTTGCATCCTTGTATTCTGACATCAAGAGCCCTCATGGCATGAACTGGCTGGCAGATATACCAGTCGAGAGGAAATGCACCGGCACAGCCCGGAGGCCCCATACCATGCATTCAAAACAGACTAGAAAATATGAGCTCCATGACCCTGTTAGACTTGATGGGGATAAGCATTTCGCAATCAAAAATTAATTTTTAGGAATGCCTTGAATGAACTGCTAGTGCTTCCTCTACTCTCTAGTAGCTACTCCATTGTACTCTCAATGCTGTTTCTCGCCCTATAATTAGCTTAATCCTAATAGTTCGATATTTATAAGCCCGGGGGCGGGGGCACTGGTTAGATATTCAATGTATTTCTGAGCATATGGTGAGCCAAATCACTGTCGACTACTGCTCCCAGGAGTTCTCCGCTCGCCGACGGGGTTCCGAGCAGGAAACAGGGATGATCATCATCCATCAGACGGACGGCGGGGTAATGTTTCAGCTTGACAGTCATTGGGTTACGATCTTAGTCCACTTCAGTGCTAAGCGGTGGAGACTTTTTGGGATTGGCGATGAGCATGGGATCTGGCGTCAACTGCTCATTCAATTCGATTCTAAGGATCAGGGAATGGGAGAACCTGTAAAGCACCATTCTTGCCAACCCGAGTGCTGCCATCCACGCGGAGCCCGATTGTGGTTTTCGATCGACAATTTCTCCTGATCCAAGCTGGAGCTTTTTCCGCCAATGACCATCCACAGGATCGCTTTGATCCGCTCATTTAGTGAGTCGGTAGATTGCAACGTCGTACTCCGACGGCGCCACGGAACAGCTGGCCATTAGGCTCGTCCCTGGCGAAGCTTGTTGATGCGATAACAGTCTTGGCTTGTTCGAAGCATTGGTCTGGTCCTGTAGCATTTGCTTGGTATTTATACCTAGTCGGTGTTTCTTGCGTCGGACATGGATGAAATCACTTTTTCTCCTTCATAACCAGACCCCTTGTTACAGTGAACCATGTGGCATTCAAAATGGCTGTTGTGGCTACTTGCAGCCGGTGTTCAAGCTGCTCCAGCTAGCACAGCCAAAGACACCGTCTCATCTATCGTGAAGGATGGAGTCACCTACACTGTCTTCGAACATGCGGCGACTGGAGCTAAGATGGAGTTTGTCAAGAATTCGGGCATCTGTGAGACCACCCCGGGGGTCAATCAGTACTCGGGGTATCTCTCCGTAGGCTCGAACATGAATATGTGGTTCTGGTAAATACCGCCATATTCCAGTAGCATTTACTGTGGCTAATTAAACCATAGGTTCTTCGAGGCCCGGAACAACCCGAAGCAAGCTCCTCTGGCTGCCTGGTTCAACGGTGGCCCTGGCTGCTCGTCCATGATCGGTCTGTTCCAGGAGAATGGCCCTTGCCACTTTGTCAATGGGGCCAGTACCCCGTCACTCAACAATGCCAGCTGGAATAACTACGCCAACATGTTATACGTTGACCAGCCCATTGGTGTTGGCTTCTCATACGGCACGGACGATGTCACAAGCACGGTGACCGCTGCGCCGTACGTCTGGAAATTGCTACAGGCATTCTACGCGCAGTTCCCAGAATACGAAAGCCGGGATTTTGCCATTTTTACCGAGGTAAATTCTTTCGGCTTTCACCCCCTCTGAATAAGAAGATTAAGACAAGCTAATCGATCTCAGTCGTACGGTGGACACTACGGCCCCGAATTTGCCTCGTACATCGAGCAGCAAAACGCTGCCATCAAGGCCGGATCCGTGAGCGGCCAAAACATCAATATTGTGGCCCTCGGAGTGAACAACGGCTGGATCGATGCGACGATCCAGGAGAAGGCCTACATTGACTTCAGCTATAACAACTGGTACCAGCAGCTCATCGACTCCTCGACTCGCGACAGCCTCTTAGACGCGTACAATAATCAATGTCTCCCTGCTCTGCAACAGTGCACAAAATCAGGTTCCAATTCCGCCTGCACCAAGGCTGACAGTGTGTGCTACCAGAACATTGAAGGGCCGATCAGTTCTTCGGGTGACTTTGATGTTTATGATATCCGGGAGCCGTCCAGTGACCCTTACCCACCTTCGACATACTCGACGTATCTCTCCAACCCGACCGTCGTCAAGGCTATTGGAGCTCGCACCAACTACCAGGAATGCCCGAACGGGCCGTATAACAAATTTGCTTCAACCGGTGATAGTAAGTAAAACATTTTACCTGATGGCCTCGGACAAGGGAACTGACATGACAGACCCCCGGTCATTCCTCTCTACCCTCTCCAGCGTGGTCCAGTCCGGGATCAACGTCCTTATCTGGGCGGGCGATGCCGACTGGATCTGCAACTGGCTTGGTAACTACGAAGTCGCCAATGCAGTTGACTTCTCAGGACACGCCCAGTTCAGCGCCATGGATCTGGTGCCGTACACAGTCAATGGTGTTGAGAAAGGGCAATTCAAGACCGTGGACAACTTTTCATTCCTGAGGGTCTATGAGGCCGGCCATGAAGTACCTTACTACCGTGAGTACCTTGTCTACGTCGACTCAAGATGCGTGCTGATTGAAGTAGAACCCGATACGGCGTTGCAGGTGTTCGAACAGATTCTCCAGAAGAAGCCACTCTCTTCCACATAAAATTAGTTTGACCTAGGTGACAGTGAAGCTGCGACGCGGTAGGAAGACAGCTCTATTAAGTCGTCCTTATTTTTGCATCAAGCTATAATTGTCTTGGTTATTTCCAGAACTGTGTGACCTTGATCACCACACGCAGCTTCTCGCCCTGGCTAGCCACTAGAGCGTAGGCTCCAGTCTCTAATCTTCACACTATATTATTCGGGAATTGATTGTATCGTAGATATATCAGCGGTTAGCTTCTTGTTATGGGCTATTTTCCCCGCGGACTTAGCCCTCCAACAACGTCGAAGCCCTGATCCATATGTAGAAGCGGGTCTCCTTCCGAATTACTCAGAATCCTTTTGGCTCATTTTCTAGAATTGCCATACAGGCCGGCACGATGCGTTCACCAGTCTAAAGAAACACGCCGCAATTTACTTTTATCGACGCACCTATCACTAACTCCCTTTTCCCGTGTCATACTTTAATCCTACAGGAAGGTTATAGTGCATTTTCACTTCCTTTCCAAATATCGAGTCTTATCCCCTAGGATTAATGCCATCGCAGATGCGATGCCTTTTATTGTTTAGTGCCATTCCGTGTTCCCGCGTGCCCCTGCCGCCCTGTGTGTGCATGCCCCAACCAGGCGGCCTGTACGGACCTGTATCTAGGTAGGAAACCTTTATAGATCAAGAATCTTGTTAAGGTTGCTTGTAGTATCGCTTTGAATAAGGACGTCCAACATTCTGCAGTCTATATTTCTATGACTCTCTGCACGAATGGGTACAACATCCCAGCTCTAGGCTCTGCCAAATTCAACGCCAGCTTGTCCGAGGACTAGTCTCCCGCTGCCTGCCATTTCTCGGGTACACTTAGCTCCAGCCAGACTGCTAATGTGGATAGATCCCTATGTATTTTGGGTCAGTGGTATTCGTTCAGTTGTTGTTTATGAACATGAGTGCAAGTCAGTAGCATTACATAGCGTTCAATCCAGAGTCGCCAATTCAAGAACATTAGGACCTTTGAAATTATGTATATTTTATATACCCTATACATCGCATCTGAATCGGTTCTGCTTATCAAGCAAATGCTTCCTCTCTGGGTTCAAATGGATGGCAATGGTGGCGGTGTGTACCACTGAGGCTTCCCCTAGCATCAGGCCCCCAGGAGTGTAGTGACCATTCTTAGGAATCGTTACTTCTCTAGTAGCTCTAACAGAGACGTCGGTGGACTTGGATCTTCCGGTAGAACGGCGTTTCCCAGCTAAGCAAGTCTCCAGTTGTGCAGGGGAGACGAATAGAAACAAATAGTGTCCCCTGTGTCTACTATTTGGGAAAGTAGAGTATCTGTGGATTCGCAGGAGTCAATTTTCCTGCCAGTGTTTCGTTGGTGGTGAGGCGCTGAATAGGAGATGCCACAACTGGCCTGCCCCATTTCGCGCGATGTAGGCATAAATGGTAACCTAGTCCCGCATAGGCATGGCGGCAACCCCCACCCAGGGGGCAGGCACCAGGCACCAGGCACCAGGCACCAATCTCTCACTGACTACCATTATAAAAAACGCGCTATCCTTTCTTCTGCCTCACAACAATTTACCATTCGTGCACAGCGATCAAAATGGGTGGCTGGGCGATTTTTTGCGCGATCTGCGGAGGTCCATTCTCCAGCCAGGTCGATATGGACTGCGAAGGGACCGACGAGAGGGCCTATCGTTTCGACATCCTCGAGGACTGCAACCTGGAGTGGCTCGACGGCTTACGTGCTCTAGGAATGAATCCCGACGCTACCGGAATTGACAAGTTCGTCGTGACTCGCTATGTCCCGTCTTGATAAAACTAAGTGCCCTGGTTTTCCAGGTCGTTTCTGACGGGATCCGGTCGGTACTTTGACTGTGTAAGCTAATAAATTCCGTTCACAGTGTCTATTATGATTTGCTAAAGCTGGAGGTTCTGCTAGGGTGGAATTGAAGTCCTTGCTGGGAATCGTATGTTGCTCTGAATGCATGACCCTCCGGGGCACTTGAACTAGCCGTCGATGATAACATCGCCTTACTAGATATGAACATGCCATACCCGAAGAATGAAGTTGTGCCCATGGTCGCGTAGGTTTTGTGTCACCAGTTATATCCTGTTCCAGTTTACCCGCTGACCCCCCTGGTAGATACCACGACTTTGCGGAAGTCGGCGAACCACATGTGTTTCCCTTTCACTCCGTTTGCTACGAGATTCTGAGGAGATGCATCTCGCTGCGGGAGCGAGGTGAAATTCAGGGACATTTGCTGTACCGGGTTTTCGAACAGGCCAACGGTGGCCGGTACGTCCGGCTGCAACTTGACTATGGCGACCCAGACCCGCCCGCAGAGCAGGTGTGGGAGATTTTCCGAGGACAGGAAGTAAGTAACAAATTGGGGCCAAAGAATGCGGGTTAAAAATCTAACATGCCCAGATCTTAGTAGTAAATCCAGTCGTCATACCGGAGCTCGAATTGGAGATGAGCGACATCAACCGCTTGTTAGACATGGAAACCAACCTGGTTAATAAGGCGAAGCTCCATGAAGAGGATATTTTCTGTCGTCTTCCGATCGAACTGCGACACGAGATCTTCAAGCACCTTCGCCCAGAGTCGATTTTGGCACTCAAGGCGGCCTCGCTATCCATGCACACTACCTTGATCCCGCGCTCCATGTGGGAGACCAAGTTAGTCGATACGTATCCATGGCTGTGGGAGATGCTCGAAATCTCGGTTCTCCAATCACAGAAGGTCGAGGAGAAAGCTTCTAAGCTGCTTGTCGCTTGCAAGGAGCACGGTGAGTCTACAGGCAAAAGCTATGGCCGTATCCTGGGTCTTGCCAATAGGAGAAGGATTTGGGGAGTATGCGAGCAGATTCGGAGTCGATATTTGGAACAGCAGGCCGCTGTTACTACCTAGGCAGGTACTGTACTGACTGTTGTTGCACCCGTGTTGGGCGATACTTGAGGCAACCTTTCGAACTCTAATCATCTTATCAGATACGCTGGTCTTGATATGAGAGACTTGGTCCGGTTCTGGCTGGTAAAGATGAAGTCCGTAGGAAACAGTAGACCGTATAGTCTTGCACTTCTGTCGACAAATAATCTGACGGAAAGTTATCATAGTATAATTTATTCAACCGATAGAGAGAGAAAGATTGTATTATAATAATCGAAAACCGTTATTAGTTTCTAATTTATGTATTTTCTTAGATACATTACAGCCTCGGTCCGAAAATCTATATAATTTTCTAGTTAATATCTAGCGTATTTAGAGAGCTATTACCTCTTATTCAGCATTTCTTTAGTATAGCTGTTATTTTAATGATAGCTTCTTTACATAGGACGTGCTATAGAGACATTAAAGAAGTTGTTTTGGCATCGAAAGCTACGCTAAGAATAAAGAAGCTGAAGGGGTATTTATGTCCGCAGATATCAAATATATATTCCCAGAAAAGAGCATCTAGTATTATCCAGGTGAAGACGTGACGGCGATTAATTACAAATTTTACTACCAGTCACTAATCAAATTTATGTCCTAATTATACAGAACTTGGGTCTGAGAGATCAGCCAGTTGTGTATGGGTTAGCATCCGTATGCACGCGCTTTCCCAAATTCTGCAAATATGTCCAGACTATATCTTGCGAGGCGAGTGGGCAGTGCGCAGCCTTCGATACATTCCAAGAGTCATGATAATCTGATAGAGGATGGAACAATTCCATCCAGAATGTGTTATTCCTGAATGTAAAGGAAGAAAGGCGCTGCTCCGAACCTCTGTCGTGGTAGGTCGTAGCCAGCAAAGTCAGACCTCTGGAATTCAACATACTCTAAGTGGGAGTCCTCTGTTTAGTCCATAATAGGACTGGCTATGAGATCTGACTAACTACGTATAGGCAGTAGGCTTGGGCACCACCTCGCCGGCCATCAATGTGTAGCGTCAGATCGTGGGTCGTATCAGGGCTGCGCGGACTGCTAGTGAAGTAAGTAATTCAAGCTTGTTATGGGACGGACAGGGATGGGTCTTTCTATGTAAGCGTGAACAAGAAATGAAATATCCATTTTGGTATATTTAGTTAACTAAGACTCGTGGTGCCCGCTTACCTACTTGCGCTAAGCCACCCACTTTAAAACCGTATCAATCTGCAACCAGCCCTTCTCCTATATCGAGCCAACCGACACAGTGGTCACCTCTTCTACATTATACTAGTGTATATCATATAGCCATTATTTGGATATCAGAGAGGCATCTCGTTTCCATTGTCGGCTTGAGTTGCTGACCCGAGTCCAGCAACTATGGATACAGACCTGCCAGAAGACAACCATTCAAATGATGCCGAGGCTACCAGTGCGACGAGGAAAGCAGAATCTAACCCCAACAGTGTTGCAAAGACCCTCCTGACCACACTTGTCGCCCGAGCCCGTGACTCCACTGCCGCTCAACCTGTTCTCCATGATCCATCGCCAAGGATGTTCTGGAACGGCTGGACTTCGATTCCGGTCAGTTGGCTATAACACCTACCCAGATCGGCAGCATCGCTCTTCGAACGAGCCACTTTGACGGATGGACTTCTGACTTCCTCCAATGTAACCCTGACACCACCGTTCTGTACCTGACGTGCGGGCTTGATAGGCGGATGGACCGTGTGAGATAGGGCGAAAACACTCGCTGGTTCGACATTGATCTTCCTGAGGTCATCGAGCTCCGCAGAAAGGTCCAGAGTGCACCTTCTGCCGATCGAAAATACTTTCTTCTAGGTGTTGATGTACTCGATGAGTCTTGGATGCACAGCATCTCCTCTGACGGCCCTGTTCTTATCGTGATAGAGGGATTGCTGTGCTATCTGCCTGGGACAAGGTGATAAAACTCTTAAAGAGTCTCTGTTAGAATTTCCGGGTGGGAGAAATACTTTTTGAATGTATAACTCCTACTGCCTTACGGGCTCTGAATAGGCGGAAACCAATAGAGTCTATCATCGACCTGGGCGTCGAGTTTTATTGGGCTGTCGACCATCCGGAGACTCTAGAGCACATTGATCCTGCTTTAAACTTGGTGGAATCGGTTCGTCTGGCAGAGGCTCCGGGCGTTGAAAAAGCCCCTCTTGGTTATCGTGCACTCATGTATGTACTTTCCTGGACCCCTAAGTCGCGGGACTCTGCGAAATTTCTGCGCTTTCGATTTGGCGATTTGAGAGAACTTTAAATGAACACTGGGCAGCCTTTTGCAGGTGCTCCCCACGATATCTATACATAGTCATCTAGTAGTCATCCATAGTCTTAATACTAGTATTTTCTGTAGGCCTCTAATAATATTCTGTGCTAAGACAGGCTATTAGATATAAAAACGCAGTATCTAGATATCTTTATCTATATTATCTTATAAAACTTTTAGTAACAGTGTAGGAATATTTAAAAAATCGTTGGCTACATTCTCGGTATGTTTTATAAATAGTTTACGACATCTATTCTCTCAAAGCTTAAAAAGACAGACAATTTAGTATAACGTACTATTGATTGCACGGCTTCCTGCCGGGCACTAGAATTAGTATTCTAGATATATTTCTTTAGATTAATGATTACCTTTTTTGACTCCGTCACAAAGTAGGTAGATTAACATGCAGTTATTTGGTGGAGTCTCCTAGACTAATCAATTCAAGTATCAACAGATATTCAGGATTATATATTGTATGTATGTACTGTAGGCGACCCGTCAGATACAGATAGCTGCCCCCACGCAGTACGAGCAACAGAGGACGGTTGTACAAGATAGACGCACATAGTTCCACTTTATATCGATTGACCACTGTCGATATCTTGCATCCATTTAACAGAATCCCATCACCTCCTATTGACTGGACCGCTGACAGGCACAGAACATTCTAGGCAAAGCACCTCGCCTACTTGACTAGTTCTAGCCACCGGCTAAGCGTTAGCCCACAGTCATATTGCTCTGTATGAACCCTCGCTCCTCATAGGTCTACTGCTATTCACCTCGAATTTATTAGTTCATGGTCCAGGTCTTGCCCCAACAGAATACATGCCTCAGATCAACAATTAAAGACCATCCTGAATCCAATAGGCACAATCCCCTGCTTTCCACCCAGAGTGTTATAAAAGGAAACACTGCCACTCTGAGTCTGCCATCCGCTCAGTTCCACCAGAAAGCTCATGGTATCCGAGCAGGTATTCGAAGCAATAATAGTCTTAGTCTCCGCGCTCGTCGGTTGCGTTGGGAAAATGTACGTGCCTACCATCTCCCTCTTTTTGGGAGGCTTGTTGTACGTAGGCAGCGAGTAATAGTCCCAGGGATCAGTAGTCCAGATGTCAACCTGAGTGGCTCCTTCGGCGATTTGGTTTGCTTGAGCGAGGGCCGGGATGTCGATCTCCAGCATGCAACCTGTAGCACTGGCAGGGATGTAGTTGAAGGTCAGGGCAGAGATTTGTGTGTTATATGGTGGGTAACCGGCGCGGCTGACGGTGAATTGCTGGCCAGGAGAGGCATTGTCGGGAGTTGAGACTCTCAGCACATCGATCACGGATGGGCCTAGAGTGCCACAGGCTCGAGGGGCGAGGTCATACGTAGGGGTGGGCGACGCGGTTGCCGAGGCTAGAAGGAGGCTGAAAAGAAGAACAGAATGGAACATTATGGTCGAGGTAAGTAGTGATTTCGTTGGATCGCCAGGGTGTTGATTTCAGATATTGAGCTTCTGTACGTAGCCAAACACCGGACGAAGACGGCTATTTATGTCTTATGCGATGGGCGTCGGTACTTAACGTGCAGCTGGGTGATCCTCCAGTAACCTTGGGTAGGTTAACTCGACACATTTGAGTCAACACCAATGGAGCGGGTCCAATATTGGTCGTGGCGTGACACAGCATGCATTGAAGCTGATGGCTTGTGGGAGAGCCAACCAGATCCAGAGCGATTTCTATAATCGACGGAAAACCAGACATTGTGGCATGCACGAGCTATAGAGTTCGACTTGTCTCGGATGATATGATTCGACTCGGTTGCCTAATCTGCGCTGTCAGACTGCCATGTCCTATACAGCTCCAAGCTAGATCCGTAAGAACGTATTAAATAGGTACAAAAAGCATCGAATCGGCCGCAATCATCGTACGTTCTGAATCCTCGGTCCTATGATAATATCCCTATCATTGAGGCGATTAAGGCTCTGGCTTAGCCCCTAAGCTGGTATTAGCATGGTTCGAAATGCACCAGTGACGGTCTCGTTGGACGTCCTAGGATGCAAGAGATTGGTGCTGTCCTCGTATATAAGCGAGCGGATGACCTATCGCAACATCCACTGGGTCCAAATACGAGCTTGACTTGACAAGGATCATTAGCGGTGTGGATGCAGGTGAGGAGACCTAGATCTAGACCCCAGACAACAGATAGATATAGGTATTTGCAGTTAGGCCAACCTTCTAGACTGGCAGGTACACATACGACAGCATAGGCATGCGATGAAGGAACGGAGAAGCACCTCTCTCAAAAATCAACAAAACACGGCATTGAAGAAGAGAATTTTCGATCGTCTATATCAAAGTGGGATGCAGAATCTGTAGCCTTTCTGTACTATGGATGTTATTAGAGAGGTCAAAATGACCAGACTGGGACCGCACGATGGCGGTTCATTTGCAGATCCTACCCAATCCATCAGCGTCGAATCACGTGATCTGACTAAGAGTTGCGGCAACCCCAGCCTCCCCCTTCCCTCCTTCTTCCCTTCCCCCTCTCCTCTGCTCCTCTGGCAATTTCTTCTTCTCCGTCCCTATCCCATTTGCGTAAAGAAGTATTTGCTCTTTGCTGTTCTCGCCACCAGTCCTGCCATTCCTGTGAATCCATAGGACTCTCCGATGTCACTTGTTGACTTCGGTTTGGGCACGTACTCGTGACCAGGCCGCAAGAGCTCATACCACTTTACTCTCATCCTCTTATTATTATTATCTTCAGCAACACCCATCTTTACGCGAGTCAGGGCTGCTCATTTCTGCTTCAAAGCCCGGGTGGGAGGGCGACTCGATTCATCGAGGGTTCTCATCTTTAGGACAGCGAATGTTGCAGCAACACAATGGCCACCACCTCGGGGAACCCGCCCTGGAAGTTGGAGAAGGAAGTCGTTGTCTCTACACCCAATTTTGATGCTCATTGTGTTGCTCACCTTCGTATGGCCCATAAGGAAGCCACGAAACAAGGATCCATCACCCTTTCAATTAAGGCAGATCTCGCTAACGCCAGCCCCGAACTACAGGTGCTGAAACTGATTGTTCCCCCAGAAAAAATTGAAGAATCTGCATTGAAATGGAATAGCAACGATGACTTCCTTCCGTCTCACGTGGTTGAAGCCCATCCAGCGCAGCCTAAGAAAAAGTCGGAAGTCTTAACACTGACTCTGAAACTCAATCTGACTGGCATTGTTCTTTGTCCATCTGAGACGGAGACTTTAACGCCAGCCACGCCGGGAGATTTGGAATTCCAGTCCTTCGCGAAGATCTGTCGTTCTACGTCCTTCTGTCTACACTTCTCGAAACGACAGTTTGCTAAGGATCAACTGGGGTGGCTGGAAATCTTTACCTCAGCCCTGCGAGCAAAGTGCCTTCGGTCGGAGTCTCTTGACCACTCTCGTCATCGCGTAGTCGAGAAAGACTGGCGTGTCTTCAGTCTGTCCCCCAAGCCACCCCCCTACGAGGAGGAGCCACCCCGATATTATGGGAATGTCGTGTCTGAGCAAGTGGTTGGGAAACGGTGCACAGGTATCTTCTTATTTTATCGTCTTAGGTGCTTTATCATTCGGTAGCTCATTAGTAGTATTCAGAATCTCGGTCAAGGTCACCCATCGACGAAAGACGAAAACGACTGCTCCTTGCAACCCCTTCACCGATAGGCTCTCCGACCGAAGCGAATACCCAGAGTAGTCCCTCCCTGTCGACGGCCTCAATTCGCCCAACTTACTTTACGCGTGCTTTCTCTCCTTGCTCGAAGCGTGGAACTCTAGCGCGACTCGAGAATGAGCTCCGTGGTCTTTCCAGTGATCTGGTTCGTGAACTATTAGTTCGATCTGGACACCAACATCTACTGGCCACACTAGACCACGTAGACTGCGAGTTGCCATCGGAGTTTGAGAAAACCAGCTTTGCCGAGAAGGAGATAATTGACCGCCTCGAACGATATGTTGAAGAGATGATGGAGCACCGCATCATACCACATGTCGACGAGGTGGTCAGTACTGCCGTGAGCGACCAGATAGAAAACGAATACAAAACGAAGGAAGCGGAGCTTGATGAACACTTCGAAGAAGCTAAGTGCGACCTACGCATTACGGCCAATGAGTATATGGATGAAATCGGAGAACAAGCCCAAAAACACATGAAAGAGATCGAGGATAAGCGAATCGAGATTGGGATGCCTGCGAAGGAAGGCGGAGAGTCCAATCGATGGTTCAACGCTTCTGCTCGGTCTTTGTTGGACAGAAAGTCCACCACTGGGCTTGAGGCGGATCCTAATTTCAGACGCAGTTCCATTTAGGCTCATTGGTAATGTATATACATCTCGGAGGATTTCTGCACACAAATAGATTCTGTGTCCTTGAGAAAGGTGGGTGGTTCAAGCAGATTCCCCTTCACATGATCCTTGTTGGGACAAAATCAATGCGAGAGTCCAGTGCACACCAACGGGTGGACTGAGACCCTGTCTTTTCTGGAATCAACCACATGTGTCGCTTCGCTCGTATATTCTGCGGTTACAGTAGATCTCAGGACTCCCTTCAGCTTTGTGACTCGAGCTATATGGAACTCAAGGCCCCCTCCACCAACTTCTACCGATGAGGGCGCGTGTGATCACTTGGGAAGACATTAAGATTAAAATCTCATAGATGCACCTTTGACACGTCACGAGCCCTGGGTATCAGCTCGGCACAGATCAATACTATATCTTCATCAGAAAAGAAGGCCATGTGGCACGGAGGGTAAAGTGCCTCGTGTCCACAAATATATTGTCCGCCGTTCTGGTGCAACCCTCACAACGTGGGCGGGGAAAATGAAGATGGGGTCGAGCGGGAAGCCATGTTGCTTTGGGACGAGTGATCCGGCCCCGGCTGGTTTGCGAAGCTTTCTTTACATGAGAACAATAGGTAGAATCGAGTACCCTGTCTGCAATCACATTCAACTACGTCATGCAATATCTAGATAGTTAGGTCGACGTCTGATTGGTGACATTACTGTGACTGAATAAAGCGCCGGCGTTCCCCTGACTTCTTCAGCCACAGAGTTCCATCCAGATGTCACACTGGAGATAAGATCCACTGCACTGTTGCATGCAAATCCGGAGCTCTGGTTGGTCCGATGATTTAATGCCTGCAGAATCAATGCCCTAATCTCCCGGCAGTCACTGCTCTGGACGTTGCCCCTGACCACTTATTTGTCGCGGTTGAGCTAGTGATCGATTTCTATCGTGGTGGATAGCATAGAAGCGTTGCATGGTGTTAGGCCGAGTGACATCGTCTGGCAGCTGAACGGTCGAGCATGTTACGGGATACTTGTCTACTACGTCGCGCGGAGGCCGGCAGCAACTAAGCAAGATTAGAGAGGGGAATAACGTGCGAGCCAAGGTTACAGTTTCCAGAATGTGAGCCTCCGACTTGGGTGCATGCCAGGTTACTCTGCTAAGAGCCGGAGGGAATCATCTCCTTCCGACATCACTCATCGCTGTTGAAATCAATCGCTGGCCCCGAGCATATAAATGGAGTGTTGGAAACCCTCCCAGTCTGGCGTTTGGTCAGAATCCACCAACCTTCACCACCAAAGAGATATCTACCTATCTTCAGTCGTTGAACAGCCCTATTCTTCGAAATGCCCTTCAGACTGAACATGCTAGGCCTGGCGTTGGCCCTGGTCCCCTTTGTCAGTGCTGCATTCGATTCAAGTTCGTCCTCAAACATCGCTGTATACTGGGGTAAGCATCCATGATTGACATTAACGTGGGAATCCACAACAAGAGGCGGAGCTAATATGCTGCACAATCAGGACAAAACTCGTATGGCCAAGGCACCGGCGCTTTTGTGCAGCGCAATCTCGCCTATTACTGCTCGAGTAGGTTTTCACAATGACAATGGTAGTATTCAAACTCGGCGGCTAAAACAGCGATATACCTTTCGTATCAGATACTGAAATCAACGTGAGTCTGATCACGCCCATGGGGTGCGTTGTAAGCTCGTTGAATGACACTATCTCCCAGATTATCCCTCTTGCCTTCATGAACGGCATTACTCCTCCTATCACAAACTTCGCCAACGCTGGAGACAACTGCACCGCATTTAGTGATAATGTCAATCTACTAAACTGCACCCAGATTGCGTGGGCCACCCCTCATCACCATTCATGCCCTCACTAATCGCTGCTCCATGTAGCAATGACATCAAGACATGCCAAAAGACCTATGGCAAGACGATCCTACTGTCACTCGGGGGTGCCACCTATACCCAGGGAGGATGGTCGTCCACCACCGAGGCTCAAAACGCGGCACAGGCAGTGTGGAACATGTTTGGCCCTTCAACGAATGCACAAGTTGACCGTCCCTTTGGCGACGCTGTCGTTGATGGTTTTGATTTCGACTTCGAGGCAACAACCAATAATCTCCCAGCATTCGGCGCAAAGCTTCGCAGCCTGATGGATGCCGCTGGTGGCAAAAAGTACTACCTGTCTGCTGCCCCCCAGTGTGTGTTTCCCGACGCTGCCAACGGTGCAACACTCAACGCTGTCCCATTTGACCTGGTGATGGTGCAGTTCTATAATAATTGGTGCCAAACCACCAACTTCCAGGCCGGTTCGGCCACCCAGAATGCCTTCAATTTCGATGTGTGGGATAAATGGGCCAAGACCAGCCCAAATCCCAACGTCAAGGTCTTTTTGGGCATTCCAGCCAATGCGGGCGCTGCTGGCTCTGGCTATGCAAGTGGGTCCCAGCTTCAGGCAGCGATTGCTTATTCAAAGCAATATACCAACTTTGGAGGAGTCATGATGTGGGACATGTCGCAGCTTTATGCCAACAGCGGTTTCCTTGACCAGGTTGTCAGTGACCTCGCTGTCACTATCTCTCCGGTTACGACTACAACTACAGGTACATCTTCAAGCTCTTCTCAGACTACGACTACAAATGTGCCTACAACGATGACCACAACAACTTCAAGCTCCAGTCCGACTTCGAGCGGAGGCCTAGTTGCGCAGTGGGGTCAATGTGGTGGCATCGGGTATACTGGTCCTACCCAGTGCCAGTCGCCATATAAGTGCGTTTTTGTTGGCCAGTACTGGTCTTCTTGCCAGTGAGGACGGTGTTCGTGTAGCTAAGGCTTTGTCGCTCTCAACCGCCGTTAGTCTAACCAGTCTTCTGTACATTTTCTGTGAGAGTAATCTATCTCATCTTCTTGATTTTTCCTATTTTACTTCTAGCTTAATCAGTTGTCTAGAAGGCCTATATACGGCATTGTTAACAGATTACTTATATATATTAGGTCCCCCTATAACTCAGGGATGGAAATTCAAATCTCTCCCCTGTTATCAAATAGCATACTTTAACATTCTGTCTCAAACTACATTTGTTCCTTTCCAGAATCAGTTGAGTCTATTGGAAGTTCTCCGCTGCTTGACTGCCGTGACAAGAGCATTCCTGTGTAACTTCTGCTCCAGGATTGAATTGTTCGCCCATCCCCTTCAAGGCAGGAATATCCAGCTCATAAAGCCTGTATCTGGACTGACTCACATGGAACCCAATAAAACCATAGAGGTATGCCTCTGTATATGACAAGAGGGCTGGGTTGCCAGCAAGTGTTGTGCGAATTCTGTCAACAGAGACCTTTGCCCTTGCCACAAGTTTATGCAAAACACTAACAATATCTCCCTTGCCAATATCTGCTTGGTGGAAGACAGCATTATTTCGCTCGTTCGAGACAATTGATTCCTTGTAGAAGGAAAGAAGGTCGTTGACATCCGCTGAGAAGTCCATCAGATCCGGTACTGCTTGAACAAATAATGGCAGCTCCTCATGGGAGAATGCTGCCCTGCAGAAGATAAAATAAACATATGGTTCCGCCAGTCCAGTCTTGAATCGAAAGTACCGTGGGAAGTTCGGAGATGTGTCTAACGCTTTGAACTTCCCCGAGGTTTCGAATTCCATGGCACAAGAGTCCATGAAGTCAATAAGGCCAGTGAATATTTTATCAGCCGAAAACGCATCATAATATTGATCGAAAGTGGGTAAGAGTTCTGCAAAGGATTGAAGAACCGGGGGTTGCTCTGCTCTAGCCACTATTGCCCGCCGAAAATTGCGCACCTCATGAAGGATTTTGTCTCCAAAGTCGTCGACCGTGAAGAAAAATGCTTTGAATAGTCCGATGGCTATTTGCACCTCCTTTGGGTGTTTCGGGTAGAACCATTGCGCAGCCGCGGCGCCGTGTTTAGCAATTTGATATGTCTTTGCTGTATCAAAGCCATGGCGAAGACAGTGGGATCGAACAATCTCTTCAATTGAAGGATCCGGACTCCACGTTCTCTGGAACGGGATAGAACTAAGAAAGTGGTTCAATATTTCTTCGTCCTGGGCTTTTGTGACATGGGGCCCATCCCGGCAAATTGGATATGCCATTGTTGAGAATAGATGGAGGATATTAATAAAGATTGCGCAAACGGTATATCACCAGGGAGAATCATACAACTCCGATTACTCGCAGTAGGGCTGAGGAAAAAGAAGAGAAATTATACATTTTTCCAGGGTGCGGAGACATCACAGCTGATTAAAGATGTCGTACATTGCATCGGCCCTTTCTTTTTTGACATATGCCACCCCGCTTGTGACGTAGAGTATCCATCATAGGTAGTATCACTTTCATGCATTTAGCTCCAATTATTAGGAAGAGCTTGCCTGCTTCAAGGGCTCTAGCTCTCATGATAACTCGAAGATCACTTCAGGGGAACAGAATATCCATTCCCACGCTCAAGGCGTACCAGATAGAGTTTATTCGTCTACTATGAGATAGCAACTCAGTGGGTAAAGATTTCCTGGCTGATCGTGGTCCTGGATGGCATGCGTACGATAATACATCTCATTCCGCTTTATCTGAGGCTCCTTTTAGTCTAAAAACCTCCAAATATCCCTTAATCAAGTGACTGTTCAGTAAGGGATCATCACGCCAACCTGAAATTATTGGATCAGACGCGCCCATGGAGTTGGTTCAACCATCGGCCCGAGCCGACCCAGGCCCGTCTCAGTGTTTAGTGTGCCTGGCGCTTTGATCTGCATAACTGCCTGGCAGCAAAGTTGAGGTTATTTGTTGAATGGCAGAAGCATTTGGTTCCGGCTAACATTCGATTATAACTAACAGTGCAATTTACAAACGTTTGGCAATGTCAGAGTACCGTCGATTCCTGGCAGCTCCTCATATAATCCCGCTCATCATGCCCAAAACACGCTACAGCCATTTCCTAGAAAGCCTGCACCTACGGCGTGTCGAGATGACAGAACTTCTGCAGGGGGGTTTTCGTATTTATATTGCCGTATGCTGTCAGTCGCACGGTCAGCGTGTGAAACTTACACCCTCATTACTGTATATATATACCGTGCTTGTTGAGACTCGGGCTAGTAATCCTTACCTAATGTGTATCAACAGTTTCTTGATCATGTCTGGCACAGGGAAGTGTCTTTACACAATGTATGTGCAATACTAAGTAATGATGCCGCCACTTCAATCCATTCAAGTTCACATTATATAGCAGCGTAGAGTTGTATACAGTTATTTCCGCCAGAAACTTGGCAGAACTTCCTGATGATCATAGTTACCTATCATCTGTGGAGGCCGAGAATAGGTATCATGCCAGACACCATTGTAAGCCCACTCCAGCCGGTCATACATCTCAACGTAGTCAACAACAGATATTAGGTATATATCCATACAACATCCTCTTCCTCATCCTTAGTTGCCCCATCGTGCGAATTAGGATGAATTACGTATTTTCTCTTCTCAGAGCTCAAATGACCCTATTGCTTATAGGATCTTCATCACGAGCAGGTGCATATAGCCCAAAGATTCCAAACAGATATTGTTAATAGACAAAGCAAAATTGAGCCGCGCTCCGAGAGGGTATTCGGGTCGAAATTAGGGATGTTGTTTATGCTCTTCCATTAGTTGATGCAGTACTTTCGGCGTGCTGACGACGCCGGGCAGCTGTATTACAACCCAGTCGTTAAAGTAATCGTGCATTTCATGCGAAGTTGCCCCGTTAAGCTCCTGGAGGTTATCGTAGAGGATAAGATAGGGCTTAAGCAGCTCTGTTCTTTCCTAGCCAGGTGAGAACCAAAGCTCAATGGTCTCGTGCAAGCTTGCTGAATCAACTGAAGTATTTTATATTATGCAGTATCGTCTTTATATGAGCAGCTACAGATTAAAATCCCCAAGCGAGATTTGGTTTTTTTGCAAGCAGTGTCTGATCTGGACATTCGAATACCCTCAAGCGGGATATCTTCCCAGGGGATGGATTCGTTGAACAATGATCCAAATAATCCGGTTGTCAGAGAGGCCCAGTAGTGGAGCATCCTGGCTCGTCACGGTGTTCCCACCTACGTCAGAAGCACCGAAATTGCATGCATATGGTCTGAGTCCGGAAAGGGTTTAGTGTTCAATGTTATTCTTAGGAAATGATGGGGTCGCGTCGGCTATTCTTTCCGGCCAGCCAGGGCAGAAAACCGGTTCTGCTGGGCCTAGACCCCCCGTGGCGGCAGACTGTCAAATCAGGGCGCATCCCCCCCGTCAGTTGCCAGGGAGGTGGCCTCGGCTGCTGATAGGTCTAGACGTCCGCCGCGGGAACAGCCAGATGCCAGCAGAGAAATTACTAGTAGTTACTGGTTATGTCTTCCTCTCGGACATCTATGCAATCTTCCATCTTCTCTCTCTCTCTCTGCCTCCTCTCCACCCCCTTTTGCATAGATGCCTTGACTGTCCGTGCCGTGCTGATCGCTTCCCCGGCGACCCCTCGCCCCCATGCGCATCCCCATTGCCTTGCAGTTTGGGCTTCTGGTGTTGGTGACCGCGGTCTTGGGCCTGGTCGTCCTCTCCATTGCAACAGTGAGTCTTCCCTTCCCCGGTCATGGACGCATGGACGATCACTAAGCTCGCCTAGTGGATGACGACCTACGATTTCATCATAGATATTGAGTATACGATCGCCGCGGAACCAAACCGACCGCTATAAAGACTCCGGGCTAACCCCTCGCAGATCTCGGGGCCTGGAACTCGCGGCAACGGTCAAAGCCAGTCAGATCGCTTCCAGCCTGGAACTGCTGGAAGTCAACTGCAAAACGATCTCGACTCGACTACTCATCCAGGCGGCTCTGCAGCGCTACTACCAAGGCAATACATCCACCACCAACTGGGACAGGGCCATCACCGACCTACAATCCGCCCTGGGCACCCGCGGATACTTGAGCACCTACCAAGCCGTGATCTATTCGCGAAACGGGGACCACGGACAGGCCAATCTGCTGAGTGTCACGAGCGACACCATCCCGACCATCACGCTCCCCTACACGGCCTCTAATGGCAGTTCCATCACCCTGGGAAAAAATGTATACCCCCCGATGCTGTTTCCCAACATTACCTACACCCAGGCGTCCGGCCCAAATAGCCCAGTGCAGGTGCACGCCTTTCCTGAGTATGCCTTAGGACCCACCTCCAGCCTACTCCTCGGCCCTATGGTCATCAATGCCTCCTTTTCTCTCATCTCCCTCACCTTGCCGATCGTCAATAACACGTCGGATACCGACATTCTGGGCTATATGACGTGCGTATTGCCCCGATCCCTGAGTCAAGTGAGTTCAGTGACTGACGTGCCTAGGCTCGTCGCGAGCGGAGAAAGTCTCCAGAGCGCCGTGACCTCTCGCGATGGGCTGGGCAACACCGGCCAAGTGCTCCTGCTGGGGCCTTCGCGAGCTGACAATCGATTTCTCACCTCCGCCCAATCGACCACCACCTCCTCGACGTCGAACCAAAGCGCGCTGGCCGAGTCCCAGGTTAGATACATCTTCGAGCCGACACCGCTGCCGAACCAACACGGTAAAGGCTCCCGAGCGGCGGTGGGAACCTCGTTCCCTCTCTCGCGATACTCGATCGCATTGGATGTCATGCTTCAGCCCCACGAGAAGGAGAACAACTCGATCAGTCGTCTTTCCACCAGAGACGAAGAGAACGTCGACGTGGCCGTCAGCGCCATCCGGCCCAAAAGCTCCCTGGTGCAGTGGATCCTGTTGGTCGAGCAATCGCACAGCGAAGCCTTTGCACCGGTGACCAGACTCCGCACCATCATTCTCGCCTGCGTCTTTGGGACCGTGGGGGCTGATCGTCCTGGTCGTCCCTCTCTTGGCCCACTGGGCGGTCGCGCCCATCCGCCGACTCCGGGAGGCCGCCAGGAAGTCTATTGAACCCAATCTGGGCCCAATGCCCTCCACCGGGTTCCAGGAGAAGGGACCGTACAGCGATGGGACGGCACGGCCTGTTGAGTCCCGCTCGGACTCGTCTTGGGTGCAATACCTCCGGCGTCCGCTGCAGCGATTCGAAAGCACCCACAGCGTCCCCCGCCCCGGGGGGCCGAAACCGTTTCGCATCCCTAGCCGTGTTAAGGAGCGCAAGTACTGCATCACCGACGAGTTGACGGAGCTCACCAGCACCTTCAACGAGATGTCGGATGAGCTGGCGATCCAGTACAACCGGCTGGAGGAGCGAGTGGCAGAACGAACACGCGAACTCGAAAAGGCCAAATCCGCCGCGGAGGCGGCCAATGAGAGCAAGACCCTGTTCATCGCGAATATCTCCCACGAACTGAAGACGCCGCTGAATGGCATTCTTGGTATGTGCGCCGTGTGCATGGGCGAGGATAATGTGGAAAGTATCAAGAAGTCCCTCCAGGTGGTTTACAAATCGGGTGATCTGCTCCTGCATCTGTTGAACGATCTGTTGACCTTCAGTAAAAACCAAATCGAGCAGGCGATTCAGCTAGAAGAGAAAGAATTCAAAATCTCCGACATCCGGTCGCAGCTTCTCTTTCTGTTCCAGAACCAGGTGAACGAGAAGAACATCGATTTTAGCGTCAGATTCGTACCGGGACCAAGCCTACGACACCACTCCAGTCTCTGCCGAGATGGAGGCACTAATGGCGAGCCCTCGGTCCTGGACCCGGCGAGGACCAGCCGAGTCAGAAACATGGTTCTCTTCGGGGATCAACATCGCATTCTGCAGATCCTGATCAACCTCGTGAGCAACAGTCTCAAGTTCACCCCGGAGAATGGGAAGGTGGAGGTCCGTATCGGATGCGTTGAGGAAACCACCTCAAGGCCGGAGGGATTCGTAGTTCTCGGCAGAGATGAGGATCATGATACGAGTCAAGTACCCAATGCATCATTCCCAGGAAACGCCGACCCTGCACCGGACTCAGAGCAGGGTTCGCAGCCACCCGCATTGCCGACATCCCAGACATTCATATTCCAGTTCGAGGTCGAGGATAACGGACCAGGAATTCCGAAACCGCTGCAGCGACGCGTCTTTGACCCCTTCGTACAGGGAGACCTGGGCCTGAATCGAAAATACGGTGGTACTGGTCTGGGTCTGAGTATCTGCGCGCAGCTAAGCCGACTCATGGGTGGCCTCATCCTCCTCAATAGCGAGGAAGGAAAGGGGGCACTGTTTACCGTAAAATTGCCACTGCTTTTCATCAAGGAAGCGGCACCCAGCACCCACAGCTCCAGTATGCACGGATCGCGGACTCCAAGTGTTTTATCTCTCGAGGAATTTTCCAGCATTGCTCGCACATCCTCGGACCATGAATCCATGCAGGGCGAACCTCGTGTTAGCAAGGACATGCAGCCACGACTCGTTGGACTGAGTCAGCCGTTTTTTGCAACAGGAACTCCGGAGAGTTCCTCGCCTCCGGTAACGGCAAAATCATCCGATGGACTCCAGCAGGTAAAGGGGGGAAAGAGGGTCCGCGTCTTGGTCGCGGAGGATAATAAAGTAAATCAGCAGGTCGTCCTTCGGTGAGTTGCCCTCACGAGCTGGTCGACCTGGTTATAAAGACTAACAGTTGTAGTATGCTTGCTTTGGAAGATGTATACGATGTCACCGTGGTGAAGGATGGACAAGAGGCCTATGACACAGTTCGGGCTAATATGGAAGAGGGCAAAGCGTTCGACTTGATCTTCATGGACATTCAGGTTTGCATCCAGGTTTCATCTCTGGCATATACGACCAGCAAGCTAATCAGTTTAGATGCCAAACCTTGATGGTATTCAGAGTACCCGCCTAATTCGTCAAATAGGCTATTCTGCACCAATCGTCGCCCTCACTGCCTTTGCCGAAGATAGCAACATCAAGAATTGCATGGAATCTGGAATGGATATGTTCATCAGGTAAGCTATCGTTTGGCCATGTCATGGAGTTACTCTGATCACGTTTAGTAAACCTATTCGACGCCCAGCGCTGAGACAAGTTCTTGACAAATTTGCAAGCATACCCGAGGAGCCGGAGCCCAGTTCCTTGGATTAGTCGCGTCTTCCTCACAACGAATGATGTATTGGAGCAAATATTATGTTCACATGTGTTCATTTCTTCCCAGAAGATGCGATTATATGTACACAACCTCCCGAATAAAGGGATTCCAAATGTAAGGTATATAAGTGGCTTCCTACACGGAGCAAAATGTGTCACTCCCACCTGACACTCCTCGAAGCAAAGGAAAATCAACAGGGAGAAAGGAAAGAGAACAAGTGGAGAGGCTAATCATGAGACAAGCCAATGGCTACAACGGACAGGTGGTGACTAGCCTGACATCCATGTGGTGGGTGAGTGTTGTGCCGGAGATGTCCATGTGGCTAGTAGATAGATAACCCGCTGTCCTAGCTGTTCTAAAATACAGGAGCCCTGACGAGTTCCCCCAGTTGCTCCAGTATCCACGCCAAGTTCTGGCTAGAGGCCTGAGTTCTCGGATGGTTCGGTCCATATGTCGTCTTGTGCCACTCATGGCAGGAGACCAGCAGGGGCCTCGCATCCTGCAGTCGACCGACCCTTGCGTACGCAACAGCAAGGTTATTCTTGAGTCCGACGGTAAGCGGAGTATCCTCCTGCTCAGGACGATCCAATGACTCGTGTGCTTGTTCCAAAAGCGCTACCTGGCGGGCAGTTCCCTCATCTGTGCCTTGCGATTTATACGTGTCCGCGAGGTTCATCGCGCACTTGACCGTTGTCTCGTGGGCAGCGCCCAAGCTGGACTTCGCAGTCCTGACGGCATCCTCCTGCAGTTGGATGGCACGATCGATCTGCCCGAGGCTGCGGTAATCCCCACCAAGCATATCCATCGCCGCAATGGTCAATGGGTCGTCCTGTCCTAGCACACGTGTTCGAACTTCCAGCACTCGGGCATGTAAATCGGCGGCTTCTTGGAACCGACCCAGGTTCACGTAGCTGTTGGCGAGGTTGTTCATACTCGTCAAAGTCGGCAGTGCATCTTCGCCTTCGACACTGATCATAATATCCAGCGCTTTCTTCTCGAGGTCGAGTGCCTCGCCTTCGCGTCCTTGGCCTTTCAGATCGAGCGCAACATTGTTGAGGCTTTTCGCGGTCTCCGCATGGGTGTCGCCGAGGAGCCGCTGTCGTCTAGAGAGAACTTCTCTGTCGAGACGCTCGGCATCTCCGTACTGACCCTGCGCGCGGTAGTTGTAGGCCAGAATAGTCTGAGTCAAGTGCGTATCGGCGTGGTTAGGACCAAGATACCGCTCGCAGAGTTGCAGCGCCTGACGAAGGAGTGCGATTGACGCATCCCATTGACTGTTATCTGCGAGGTCCGATGCTTGTTCGATCAAGGCTCTGATCTGGTGGCGTGGGCTTGTGTGTGCCATGATCGCGGAGTGCAATTCGCCTTGTCGGAATATTATTGAAGAGAATATGGCCGAGTTGGAGGGGGGGATACAAATTTCAATGCAACACATATGGTGGTTGATCAGCAAATAATCCACAAGCATACGAACCCCTAATCTCGAACGAGCTTAGCTCTTACTATATCTAGATCGCTCTTCCTTCAACGTTCAACAAAAGCCCTACGTAAAAAATTCGAATACGAGGTCAGCGTCCTATGAGGATTGGGTGCGAGCTGCTAGTATTCTCGGTCCACTCATCAAGCGGAACCTTATCGAGTCTCCTCTGCTGCGGCTTTTACAGAAGCTCCTTCCACACTAACCTGATCACTCGAGTCCCGGCCAGGTACCATCGTACCTGTACGGAGCACACTATTGGGTCATGGGTGCAGTAGGCCAATCAGAGCGTGAGTACGCTGGCCTAAAATGGTTTGGTGTGTGAAGGGCATTCCGGTAAGTGACCACACGACGAAAACTGCTTCAGAAGTAGACTCACTGTGTAGCTTACTTGCTCGGCCTTTCACCCTGTGATCTATCTTTGCTGTGAGCTCCATTTGGAACCGCGAGGACCGTTTGGCGGCTTTAGAACTCTTATACGACGGAGGGTTAATGAAGGGCTAGGAGAATGAGAACAACGACAATGCACCGGCGCCCCCGGAGAGAAGGTTCGGTTACAGGTTATAATATCCCGAAGCATCTGAAATCTTTGGATATAGAAAGTGGCACTCTATAGGACAGAATATAAACGAGACGCCCCGCGTCCAGCATCTCTTACATTAAACACTGATTTTTTGCCGCCAGGATAGGCCCCAGTAGGCCGCTGTAAGTAGACCTCCGCCCCCTATCGCCAATAGGATAGCTGAGATTGTGCTAAAATATCCTACTCCGATTGCCTGAGTGGCAGGAATCGCTGCAGCAGACGCAACAGCACCAAAAATGTACCGAATAAAGAAGTTTCCCGCAATAAGCTCGGCACTTTGCTCTGGCCTTACATCAAGGCAATATGTGTTCAAAGAGGGATAGCAGAATAGCTGAGCTATACCTTGCAAGAACATGAAGACGATCGGCACAGCTATCCCACCAAAGGCCTTTTCAACTGACCATCCATAAATCAACATGCACATTGGGAGCACAACCATCAGAAAGGGGACAGCGGCATACAGCCTGTCCTCGGCGACAAAAATCTTGCCGCGTTGTTTATATCGTTTCCTTGCGGTGTAATCTGCCCATCGACCTCCACCCAGTGTGCCCAGCATGTACCCAACACCAGGGGCGAGATACAAGAGTCCAGACTGAAGTGGGGTGTCGAGATTGTATCTTGGATTCAGCACGTACCGTATGGGCGTCAGAAGACCGTACTGGTTCCAGACTAAGGAGCCACTGGCTACCGCAGTGATCACTAGGCTTGGCGACTTGAATGGTCGGATGACACGCCATGGGTTCGTCATCGTCAGGAAAGTGGTGACTTTCTTGGGCAGTGGCAGCTGTTCAAGTGGTCTGGGAGTTACCACTTTCATGGTCTCTGCGAGCAGGAAGTACGTCGCAAGCAATGAGATGGCAGAGATTCCGGTCTGGACCCAAAAGATGACTCGCCACGTGGTATAAGTAACAATCGCCCCAGCCAGGAGCGGTCCAATCGTGGGTCCAACTAATGTGCCAGTATAGAACCAAGCCAGGGCTGTAGCACGATCGAGGGGGCGATAGAGGTCTCTAATCACGGCAGGTCCGATGACCAAAATGGCGGTGCCAGAAAAGGCACTTAGCATTCGGAAAATCATGAACGAGGCAAGGTTAGGACTAAGGGCTGTCCCAATAGAAGAAGCCAGGAAAACCACACTGCTCGCAAGGCATGACTGTGGACAAAAGCAATCAGCACCATAGCTACACTCCAAGAGTGGCAAAGGATCACAACTCAGCTCGGTAGGATTTTGTGCCAAGAGGCATCAGAACAACGTACCCGACGTCTTCCAAGGGCCTGGCACCAGGGACCCCAGAAGCATGGACTCAAGGCCATGAATACCATGTACAGAGCATTGCTGAGACCTATAACCGATCCTGAGGTATGGTACGTCGCAGCAACATTGGGGATTGCCGAAAGCACAGAAGTGCTTGAAATTGGAGACAGTAACCCGTTCCAGGACATAACAATGACCATGACAACTTTTCTATATCTTGAAAACCGGTCGAACTCGTCGGGCTCCAAATCCGCCTCCGGAATCCGGCTCTGTTGAGACTCGGACTTGCTCATTGCGGGAGGATGTGCGTCCAAGTGTGCAAAGTCGTAGATTAGAAATCGCACAACTAAACCTAAGCTTCGATGAATATTTAGGTCCTCTGTGACGAGTCGTCCATATACAGATTAGAAAGAAGATTTATTCCAGTGGAAAAGGCCCATCTCCAATACAAAAGTAGAGCAATTCGACAAATGACTCAAAGAGGCAGAATGGAGTTTGAAGAGTGGAAACGAAGAAAGATTTTTCCTCCATTGGGCAGATCTAGTTGGCCAGGCCAGGAAGTACGAAGCGCGATCACAGCCCGAAGTACGGAGAATTTTCCGCCATCATGCCTGAAAAGAGCTAGAACATCTGGATATCCGGCGACAGGCGCCGGTAATGTACTCCAATTGCTAACCTCGGGTCGATCGCTGGTTTGTGCAACTTCGGTTCTGGCCGCCTCGCACGGGCCGGGTCCGTCCCCAGTACTAGAGTCTAGGAACTTGGATGAGAACTACTTCTACCCGTCCTAAACTGCAAAATTCATCCTATGGTCACATATGGCTCCTGGTCTTTCCAAATAGTGTGATATTAGAAAGCAATTGGTATGCTAGCGTTTTGATAGAATGCCGAATGTGTTATTGAAAACGTCAGTATCATGGCATCCTGACCCAAATATATATCTCCTACCAACAGAAAGGCATAGGAAGAAAAATATTTTCGAAGGAGACATAAGGTCTATGGAATTCAGCTGAAACCATATATTGAAGAGAACCTTTCGTCTCTACCCCTCAACATCATATGCCATACCCATTACCTTATCTAGACTCTTCTCGGCGTCATTCCATTCTCTCCTGATGACATCCAAGACCCAATCTCCTCTAGGTATCAACTTAAATTTACGCTCCCGAGGCATTGTCATAAACCCCACTACAACCATCTCCCACGGATCCACCGGTTGCCCCTCAGCGAGTTGGATATCGAAAGCCCACAGCAAGCTGGCAACTTGCATGAATGTCCCATCCGTAGCGACTCGTTTGCCCTGGCAAATGCGCCGGCCTTGTCCGAAGACCGGGAGTGGAAGGTCAGTCCGCAACTTGGTATCTCCGTTGGCATCATGCCGTAACCACCTCTCCGGAATGAACTCCTGAGGGTCACCGAGAGCGGGATCGAACACTGCCTGATCCCGACCAATGGCCCAGGCGTTCGCCATCACGGTAACGCCTTTGTTAATCTTGACCCCCCCAAACTCGTCGTTGTGATCGGCGCGCCGGGGGATGGAACCGGGCGAGATCGGCCGCCAACGGAGCAGTTCGTGCATAATGGCGTCAATAAATGTGAGCTGGGCGCGGTCCGAAAAGCGTGGGAGCCGGTCCCTTCCAACAACGGCATCGAGAACGGCGTGTGCCTGGGTCACGATGGACGGCTGATGCAACGCAGCAATGAACAACCACAGCAATTGTCGTGGAGACGTCTCCATGCCGCCCTGTATGGAAGTCGCTAAAGTAAAAGCCAGATCCAGATCCGAAACCGGAGAATCAACGGGCGCGTATTTTTCCGCCGTACAGATGGCTTGCTTCGTAGCATTCCAGCCAGGCGAGTTTCTGCCATGATGAAAAAGGCGCATATAGAGATCGACTTGGACGGCATAGAGCTTATCGGCTGCACGCTTCCATGGGGACAGGAACGCAGGGAGGTGGCGCAGGGGCGGAATGAGGTCCGGCAACGCTGGATTGGCGGCGATATGAGTCACCTGGGTCTGCGTGTCTATGATTTCGTGCAAAATGGGCTCCTCAAAGCGCGGGATGCGCAGGCCGTAGTGTAGCGCCAGTATGACACTAGACTGAGTGCGCTCCAAGAGCGGATAGATGGCGTCCGTGCTGATAGTGGCGCCGTCGGGACACTTCTGTAGGGCATTGGCGAGATCAAAGAGTAACTGTTTCGACTCCAGCTCCATTAAAGGTTGATATTGAGGCGATGCGACAGCTCCTAGGCTGGGAGAGAGGATACGGTGGTGCAGCTTCAGGTGCTCATCATAGTCATGCATCAGGGTGAATCTGGATCGGCCGGGTTCAGCGCCTGTGATCATCTCCATGCTTACAGAGGCTGGACGATTGCTGTACCATTGGCTGCGGCGACTGAAAAGCTCAGTCACAGCCTCGAAAGAATTAAGTACAACAATGGGGACGATCCCGAAAAGCTTGGGCACTGCGATCGGACCATTTTGTTTGGTCCATGCATCCCAGTTCACCAGGGGTCTATCAATGGGCGAGGAATGAAGGTCACCAATGAGTGGAAGCTTGAGTAGAGGTTTATTCCCGTCGACAACGGTGTTGACGTTCTTCTTCCTTGTGCTCATATAGAGCCATGTTACCAGGCCCACGGCAAGGACAACCACATAGGGCGCAATAACCATGTCGCAGCTGGGTGGAGCTACCACATCAACGTCAATATCGACTTTGTGCGCTGGAGCCCGCGGAGTGAAAAAGTCGGACATCGAGATAGCAGTGGTTCTATATTAATGTCTTCTGCCACGTGGGTCTGGGGTCATGTCATCCAACCCATTGAATAACCCTCGCTGGCGACGAGGCCAGTCGGGTATCCACGCATGATTCAGGAGTTGTCAGCATGGTGGGTCGAGAACTTCACGGGTGAGAAATCCGCCCAATCCAGTGCTCTAATCTGCAGGCGGACCTTTTGGGGGCGAAGGAAGGATCAAGCCGCGTCCGCGCCGGGAAGGGCTAATATAATAGTCGGATGGGTCGTTGGGATCCTGAAACTGAAGAGGCAACAGGGAATGATGATGAAGATGCCAACCGCAGAGCCCCAAAGGCAAGAGAAGGTTCAACGGTGTGTCCCGACCAAGACAATATGGTGCGAGACTAGCCTTCACCACCAATAATCTCGATGCAGCTGTCTGCGCCACTCAACTGGTGCATGTCGATCCATTTCCAAGGCTACTCGGAGTGGTTTAGGAGGCGTTTTGACATATCAGGCTCGAATATGTGATAGTCCAGTACCTTTCGAGGGTTTTGCTTTACTGGTATGCAACGTCCATGGGGCTGATGGCCTCTGGAGCATAGAAATATGCTGGATGGTGTGACGTATCCCAATATCCATAATCCAACCCAGTACTCCATACGCGAGTGGGCCCTTTGGCCCTGGGCTGATCCAGGAGCCCGGCTCCTGAGGGATTCGGTGCTGGGGATCCCTGTACATAATACCTTCTTCTTAACGTAGATGGTAGGGAGGATCACATATTTAAGCATATAGGCCCAGACTATGTCAAATTACGACCACCATCGCCGACTGTGAAGATGACGGTTATATTCCCGATCGTGACCAGTGCGCAAAGGGCGGTGCTGGGCGTGGCTCTCTCCTTCTCGATCCTCGCCGTGACTGCAGTAGCTTTACGACTTCTGGCCCACCAGATTGCAAGAAAAAAGTGGACTCCGAGTGATTATTTTATCATTGCTGCCTGTGTAAGCAGAATATCCTGGAATGACAAGTTATATACCGGAGTCGTCCTCACACGAACTAATCTATCGACAGATATTCGCCGTTGCCCTTCAATCTATTAGCATCACGGGCGTCGTGCAAGCCGGGATCGGATACGACCATGTCACGTCCATTGCGGCCATCTATGGAATTCAACCGATTACTAAATTGCTTCAACTGATCATTCCACTGCAGTTCCTCTGGGTCCTCAGCTTAAGCTGCACTAAAGTGTCCATCCTGCTTCTGTATCTCCGCATTTTCCCTGTCACTGCGGTGGTACGCATTGCCTGGGTGACCATTGGCGTGATTGTAGCTTGGGCTATCGCGACAATCCTGGTTGGGTGTTTGATTTGTCGACCATTCGCGTACAATTGGGATCAAACCATCCCTGGCGGTTCCTGCGGAAACCAGGTCACTTCATTCACTGCGACAGGGGTCATCAACCTGGTTACAGATGTTATTGTTCTGGTCACACCGATGCCGTTGTTATATCGGCTGCAGATGGCAATGTATAAAAAGGTTACTTTGATGACGGTTTTCGGGCTGGGAATAGTGTAAGACATGCCTGCGCTTGGCCTGCTTTTCCTACCATGTCTCTGATTCACGTGGGAGTGATCACTGCTAATTGCATGACTTGTCGACTACAGGACCTGCGTGATCAGCGCGCTCCGGATCTCAGTCTTGTCCACAATGGACTTCCAGGACATAACGTACACCATCCCTCGTGCCAACATCTTCAGCGGTGTCGAACCATGTCTCGCCATCATCCTTGCGTCGGTCCCCTTGATGCGACCCCTCCTAGGGCGATCAAGATACACACCCACTACAACAGGAAGGGGGAATGCCAAGTCTTCCTCCCCATCCGCAGGCCCCAAGAACGCTAGTGGCGATGGGTTCCAGCCGCTGGATGACGACTCGAGCCAGTTGTGGCTCCGGCCGCTGGGACCAAAGCACTCTGCAGATATCACTGCGCAGAAATCTGCATCTATTGGAGACCTGAGTTGTCGCAGCGAAGGGTCTCTTGAGGCTAGGAACGCTGGGCATACAACATCAGGACAGAATTGGAAGGACGGTATCAGGATACGGCAGGACTGGGCTGTGCTCAAGGGATCACAGAAATCGCACTCCTGAGGCATAATAAAGAGTGAACATACGCTGTCTTCCTGGGTATGACTGAAAGTCGCCGACACAGGGAACCCAACGCCTAATCCCCCTGCTCATGGGCTGGATCCATTCATTGCTGCTGCCTGGCTGGTTTCCTGAGGAGTTCCAGGATCTGCGTTGCGCACTGTGTATATAAAAACAATGAGAAATTTTACAGTCTCCGAAGTTTAGTGTTGCTTGTTTGAAGTGCTTTATGTCGGACTTGCAATGATACGCCTCGAGGCTATCTCGCCTAGATACATATGTATGCTTTTCACTGCCTGACAAGTCTCGTGTCTTTTCGTATATGAGAGGTGACAAACCCTCGCCATGTCTGTTCCAATCAATCATCTACTTTTAGGTGTTCGGAAGTAGACCAGAGGCTCTCAATGCTAGAGAACAAGTGCAGGTATGTTGTGCCGCAACGCAATGGGCTGAATATGGGAGCTCCGCACGCGAAACAGGCAGGTAGAGCTCCGGGTTGATCAATAACCGGCATGGTATCAAGAGTAGTGGTAACAAATGCTTGATAGCCTTCTACGACCACAATTGGTGGAATTCTCGTCGTGACGGTATAAGTTTCATTCCCATATAATCCATCATGGGTATGTACATCCTAACCGTATACCATACAAGAAAAACAGCAAGCAAGACGACACTCAGCCAGGAGTGTTTCAGCTCTTGTTGGGAAAACCTGAACGCCAAAATCGTCTAACCAAAGGAGTCCCAACCTGTACTCCAGCCATAGTGCGCCAACCGATTCGCGAGTCTAATTGCCCAGGCTCAGGGTCAGGAAGGTGTTAATGGGACATCCGTGAGTCGCATGGTCATCGGTGGGCTGGAGGTAGGCATCCGAACAAGCCTTGTCACCGGCCTGACAGTTGACCGCAGGGCAGGTGGAGTCAGCGGCACTGGGTGCGACAAAGAAACCGTAATCGGTGAAGACGGAGTCAAGACCGAGGTTGATAGCACTCATATCCCAGAAAATGGTGTCCCCAGCCTCGGTGTATTCAAACTGAAGGACATCCGCTTGGGTTGGGTCGGTAGCGAGCTTGATCGAGATGCCGCCGCCATTGGAGTTTGTGCGCCACTGCTCCGTGTAGGATCCGCCGCCAGCAGGAAGAGTATACATGGGACTGACAGTATCCGACACAGACCACGCGTAGACAGGGATATTGAGATTGTTGACAATAAGGACCCCACCGCTGGCGGCTTGACGTTCAACGTGAGGAAGAGCAGCGCTCAAGCCGGCAATAGAGGCAAGAGAAAAGAGCTTGGAGAACAGCATTGTAGTTTTCTTTGAGAGTAAACTGGGGGATTGATATGAGAGGGAGTGTGTTTAATCTGAAGCAATGAATGACACGAGATTCGATCTCTGGAAGAAAGGAATGTAAAGTGAATGGATAACCCCCGATGAAAGGAACGACGGTGCTTGGAGAGACTGAAGCTGACGGGGGGTACCCTGTACCATTTATATAACCTGTGAGTACGTCCGGTACTGACAGCGGCAGTTCCTAAGCCGAACAACCAGAAGACAAGAAGAAAAATATGCTGGAGACCCACCTGAATTAGCCCATGATGACTATGGTACACGCCAATCGTATAGACTATTATCTCGGAGTGGGCTGTTCCTAGGTACGGCGAGAAGGCGTGGCGTTGCGGACCCTGGGCTGATTGGAGTGTCTTCCAAGACGAGACGAGAAGAAAGAGATAAAGGAAATTTAATCACACTGAAAACTCGGTACCCACCTACCGCCCACATGGGTTGGACATTGAACTGAGGTGATATAGTCTGTGTGACAATGCTGCCATATCTGATGATACAGGGGAGTATCTGAGCACATGATGAGCGTCACCGTAGTCTATGAGAGATTGTGATACATCAATAACTTCAATATTATGTGTGTTATAAGTGTCTCATTGTGTGGTTTTATTTGTTCTTCTTATCGAGAAACATGAAGGCAAACGCTGGGTGAAGGATTTGACTCGAGGGGGTGGAGGCAAATTGGTATACAATTCTATCGTGTCATTGGACAACTGCGTCCATGCCCGTCTGGACCACCCAGTGGGCGGTTTAATCTGCCATGGACTATTGCAATGGTATTGGACGAATCTATCGACTACCCCACTCTTTTCTTTGTGTTCCTGAATGGTTTCTTCTGTCGGGCAGGGACGGCAGTGCAGCGGGAAATCAAGTGCGTGGCTATAAATCTTGCCTGTGTCTCATGAGGTGGAAGTAACTCATCTATATTGATACTTGCGTGGAAATAGATTGTCATGCCTTGAACCTTGGTTCAACTACAACACAGGACAAGGTACCGAGCACAGGAACCATGGCACGGTTCTTACACTTCTAGAAAGGAAAATGGAAGCCGGGTATCTCGGCCCCCAAATCCGACTCAGGAACATGTTCAATGCCCATTCGTTATGCCTTGGCAACCACAGTTGACAGACATGCGGAGTATATCGGACCAAGGTTCAGCAAATAACTGTCATCCGCCCTGGGCGTGGCAGCATATTCCACAGATCTCCAGTATTCATGGTAGCGCACATGGCCTCTCGGCGATGATTGACTTTTTCTTTGGAAAGAGGGGAAGATGAAGGAGTTCTTGACGCCGATTTTTGTCCACGAATGATAATTTCCCCATTCCGTAGGTTGTGGATGCCCTCTCTGCCCATGTTACAGAATACCCCCAGGATCCGTCAAACCCGACCGATATCGTCGATTTTTACTGGATTGTGTGCATGATTTGGTCTATGCGCCTCAGTTCCAGGCCGGTCGAACAAATTCAGTTGGGCCTAGGCACCTTTCTTGCTCTATAGTACTACTACACTATAGGCTTCCCGCGAGGGTACCCAATTGAAACATTCACTCAAGAGCGGGGCGTGTGCCCGCCAACCAAGTGCCAGGAATCTCGTTCGAGGGATTATTTCGCCCCTCACAGCAGAACAGAGAGAGAGTGGTTCACAACCGGAGAGGCGTAGGAATGGGCACTCTTCTAGAAATCGGCAGAAGGCCATCAAAATTAGTCATAGTCAGTCACGATGGCATATGGTTACAAGTGAATATTATATAGGAGAGTTGAACATATGAGCCTTCCATATTGACATTGTCCCAAAAGGTTGAGCTAATAAAGTCATGAGAATTTCACAGTAATTATGAACGGAAGAGGATACACCTTAGAATGCATTAGAGGTAGTAAGGGCATCAGAACTATCTCTATCCATATGTACTTGCTTGAGACGAGTACATGTTACCCACGCATCAGGCTTTGAATTACCCCAGTGGTCCTGGGTTCCTAGATCTGGACAGGAGCAAGGGACATGGAAACAGTCACATAGTGATATAATCATGTACTGTGAAGCAAAGAGAGAAGCACCCATAATCTCCTAAGAGTAGAGTCCACTAAAGAATTGTCTTGATGCTGTGCATAGGTAGGTACTTATGTGTGCATCCATTAGTGACTAGGGTAATTGCTTATATATTAACACCATATTCAAACTATCTCCTAAGCGGGATTTAGAAGAAACTAACATATGACATTGAATCTATCTAACTTGTTGGTATATCATTCCACAATATAATTTGGGGAGGGTGACTTAGATGTCGCAGTCACTTGACGGATGTACTTCAAAGATATATATACATATTGCAAGTTGCACAACTTTCTATGACTCGTAATGCTATGCAAATTAGACAAGTTTTATTAACAGTGCATATAACTACATACCCTGTGCAAGTGATGCAATGTTGTTTGTCACTAGATAAGTTGGAGTTATTAGAGCGCTGAGCAAGTAATATTTGTGGCTAGAGAAGTTGACTTTGTCTCATGCACAGAGATACCCCATACTGACACAGTTTGTCTTGGCCCTTACCGCACACAGGTAAAACTGCACCACAGGGATGCAAGTCATATATCCCAAGAAAAGGCGGAAGTGGATTTAATATAGCCATCCCTTGCATAAATCATCGGAATGGCGATACTGTTGCGTGGGATGAAAATACGCAGACAAAAACCAACTGGATGTCCTTTCTAGATCAGTTTCAGATTTACCTTCGAGTGACTTTTGCGGACTAGGGAGATTGGTCGAGACAAGTCTGCATATATACAGGATACCCTTGGCATGAGGTGTTGTAGCAGCATTTCACTTATCGGCAAGGGGAACCATAGACTTCGGCGGAGCCATCTACCTTATGCCTCGCTTATGAGACCCGTACGTATGTTTCGCCGTATGGAGCTATCAAAATGCATAAAAGAACCCCATAGGGGAGCTTTCTTGTGGTAGAGGAACATTCAGCCATCGGGACTGTCAAAGGAGTACCCATCTATGGACCTTTGCCTCGTGGATTGACAGGTCCACCGTGGATGAGAACGATCATGTCCACAATCTCGGATATTAAGCTGGAGGACTACTGGATTTCCCCACGACTAGGATTCCTCTCCGACCAGCCAGTGCTGACTGAGTTACCTAACCCTTACTACCGATGTTGGGAACAAATGATTTCTAGCGTCCTTCCAACGGATGGCTGGGTGCTCATCCGAAGGCAGATAGACCAAATGCCGCTTTTGTCCACCAAAAAGCTTCATACGGAGCCCGAGTGGCGCAGGGCCTACACTCTCCTTACCACCCTCGCCCAAGTGTATATTTGGGGAGAGGCGAACCCAAGTGATGTTTGACTCCACCCAGTCTGTGTAAATTAGCAACAGGACAATGCTAACTCCACTGAGCTTATAGAAGCTCCCGCGATCCGTTGCTGTACCGTTGAGGGAGGTAAGCGAACATCTTCGCATAAGCCCCTGCGCCTCTTTTGCTAGCTTTTGCTTGTGGAATGTTGCGCCTGTACCTGGGGTCGTCCCAACGGACCCCGACGCATATGATCCCGACAATCTACACATCATCAATTCGTTTACCGGGACAAAAGATGAAGAGTGGTTTTTCGTCATTTCCGCCTCTATTGAAGCAACCGGGGGCAGAATTATAGCGAGAATGCTGGAGGCGGTAGAAGCAGTCCACCATGACCGCATTCATGTCGTGAACGAGTTCCTCAATGAACTTGCTTCTTGCATAGCTGAGATCTGCCATCTTCTCGAAAGAATGTACGAGAAATGCAACCCATCCGTTTTTTGCCATCGACTACGCCGGTTTTTCAGTGGCAGCAAGGCCAAAGAAGACGCTGGACTGCCGCGCGGAGTCTTCTATGAGGGGACTGACGGAGGGGGTGATTGGCTTCAGTATTGCGGAGGAAGCAATGCTCAAAGCTCCTTGATTCAGTTGTTCGATATTATCCTCGGTGTCAAACAGTCCGGCCCCGGGATTAGAAGAGCATGTACATCCTTCCACCAGGTATGTGGTACCGAAACCCGTCTTCCCCCCAGGACATGACACCTTTCCTTGAATCCTAACCCTTTACGTATAGGAGATGCGACAATATATGCCTGGCCCCCATCGAGATTTCCTTGCCCAAATGGAGAAGTTGTCGAATGTTCGCTCCTATGTCCTGAGTCACCCTCGGCATTCGAACCTCCACAATTCCTACGACCAAGCAGTAGCAGCACTTGCACTTCTGCGACAGAAACACATGATCGTTGCTTCACGGTACATCATTGTGCCGTCCATGAAGCAAAGCCGTACATATTGTCGTGAAGAAATGAAAGGAACAGGGGGGACTGACTTCGTATCCTTTTTGAGGCTTACAAGGGATAATACCTATTCGCGTCTCACAGAACAGGGGTGACCGAAGTAGCTTGTTGCATTGCTAAGGGATACTTACCCATGAAGACATAGATTACCTCATCCACTTGCTATCATGGCCTCCACGATATCAGGATGAATCTCATTCTGTTTTATTTGAAATGTTTCTGTGCCCCATAAAATTCAAAATCTCGTGAAATCGCGAATGTGGTAGTACTACTAGTATCACACTAAATCGTCTTCTAGCATTAGATTAAAAAGAGATTCATAGATTCGTAAAGGAGAGGAGAAAAAAGAGAATTGTGGCTTGTTCTACCAGGTACAGTTTCTGCTTTAGGTACATTTCCACGCGAAGTGGCGGCAGCAAGGGACTTCACACCGCCCCTTTCTGGATGCCGCCTACACGCAAGCCTCAGGAACTTAACCCAACGACCTGCGGGACATTCAACTCTCTGCTGGGAACAGTTGGTACTAGTATTATTGAATTGGACTATAGACATGGAAGAAAATCGACATCATCATCGTCATAGGGGTGCCCATCGCTTAACCTTGATTATCGCGGAGGTATCTCGAAGCCTAGCATTATGTGGCCCCCAATAACAGACTTCAGGAGGCTTTATTGTTAAGGTGAGCATGAAGAACCTTGTTAATGCATTGGAGGATTGCCCGTGTATGGGCGTGTAGGTATGTTTTTTTTTTGTCTCGGATAGGATAGCCGGTAACTTTGGTCAGTGAGTAAGACAACTGATCCTGCTAGCAACGCCAAGGGGTAAAGGTGCCTTAACAGATGCGTCACCCTCCAATCGTCGTATTTCCTCGAAACTGCACGCGGAATAGGAGCTATGAGGCCGCGTAGATGGCGACTCAGCCTTTTACATGGGATGGCATTAGTTTACATATTGGATTCGGCTGTATTCTCCTGCCTGGGGGTAATAATCCTCGGATCTGAAGAAGATCGCATTATATTATCCAAGCTAAGCAGCACGGCGATCCGCGTTCCGGCTCGCTGGCACAGTGGCAACCGAGAATTTACATTCCTCCAGCGTCAGTAGACACAGCATTATCTAGACCGCTTGAAAATGCAATGGTAAGCTTGGCGCATGTGTGGCACTCGACTCGCGGCGTGACGCAAGAGACTTTGAAATAATAAATTATCAGATGCCGACATTGCCGCGACAGTCGTTAGTCAAACGAGTTGGAGAAATTCATCCGCCTGCAACATTGGGGTGTAGACGTGGAAGAGAGACAATCACGCAACAATCAAATAGTTCGATCCTGTCCGGCAGGAAGCCAGTAGGTCTGACGCATGGCAGCGCACAGATGTCTCTGTATGTCTCAATTGCCCGTGTAGGCCTTGACAAGCAGCGGGACGGTCGCCAGTCATGCCCATACTGCTGTATGTCGTACAGTATGAGGCGAGGGGTTTATGCGCCATGTGGCTGGGATGTCTACTCGTGGAAGCTCGCTATTGTCTCGCATGCTTGCAACGGAGCGGAGATTGGAACCTCTTAATGAAGTCCAACAGCAGAGCATGACAAAGTTGAACTTTTACTCAAAAGACGCAGGCCTCCTTTACCCTGCCGTGATTCATCAGAATACCTCTTTCGCCCAGCTCTCATTGTCGCGAAATCAATATGCGCTTGACCATACCTCCGTCTTCGATGGAGGAACCCAAGGGAAAGCTTTCGGAAGAGGAAAATGTCTGTCTCTTCCCCAAGCTCACCCAAGTCGGCCTCCCAGCCCCTGCCAGTGTTGCCATTGAAACGGTGGGCTTGGGGCTTGAGATTTCGCGTGCCATGAATGAGCGGTTCTCATACGACCGCCTACTCGAACTACAAGTTATGCTATCAACAGTATGGGCAATCGTTATCCACAGATTCGTCGAGGCGAATCCGGTTTTCTTCGCCATGGTTATCGATGATGAAGTCTCAGCATCCACCGAATCCTGCCGGAATCTCTGGAAGACTTTGATCGATCCAACAACTTCGGTGGGCGTTCTAAACGACATTAAACGATGGGAAATTTGTCCCCTAGCAGAGCACCACCAAGGTTCTTTCAACACCGGACTCTTCATTCTATCCAAGAATCTGGAGACGGCTCAGGTATGGAAACCTACAATGCCCTCTCAGGGCCTGTCCGCGCATGACTGACTCCACTACTAGATGCTTGACGTCAATCTGGTGGCACAGCCGAAAGGTTCCGAGTTCACACTCGAGCTCGTTTATCAGCCTAAGCATCTGTCCCCTTTCCATGCACAGCACTTGATGAGTGCTGTTTCATCAGCCATTCATGGCGTCGCTTCCGCAGAGCCTAATCGGTCTCTTTGCGATATCAGCCTCTGCACCTCGTCTCAACAGAAGCAGATTCTGTATTGGCAAAATTCGAGACTGAAGGAAGGACCGTCCCTGGCAATGTATCAGATCGTGGCGGAGCTCGCCACTCGACAGCCAGGTGCCCAGGCAGTTCAGAGCAGTAAGAGTGCCCTGACATATCTAGAGTTGGACGATTTATCTTCGCGCCTGGCAATCCACCTCCAAGCCCGCTATAATCTCGCTCCCGGTGCCATGATCATGCTCTGTGCAACCAAGGATGTGTGGGCAGTTGTCGCCATGCTCGCCATCAATAAAACTGGTGCATGTTTCGTTCCGTGCGACGCAAGTCATCCAGTCAGTCGGCGCCAGACAATGGCTGGAAAATGCCAGTCTGAACTAGCTTTGGTTTCACCAGAGCATGAGACCTTATTTCAGGGTATTATTAAAGAGAGCTTTATAATCTCAGAAGCCACCGTTACGAAATTGCCACAGGAGACCAGGGATAGTTGGACTGTGGGAGAACGTTTCCCAGTCGCCCCAAGTACACCAGCATATTGTTTCTTTACCTCTGGCAGCCTCGGAGAGCCAAAGGGCTGTCTCGGGACTCATAGCGCACTTGCGGCCGTCGCCCATCAAGTACCCGCTCTACGCATGGATACCAAAAGCCGAGTGCTCCAATTTGCGAAATTTGGTTTCGGTATCTCATTTATTGAGATATTCTGCACACTCGCTGCTGGAGGTACAGTATGTATTGCGTCGGAACACGAGCGATTAAATGCACTGGATGCAGCGATCCGACGCATGGAAGTGAACTGGGCTTTGATCACTCCAACCTTGGCGCAATCATTATCTCCTGAAGAGATACCAACTTTGAGAAAACTCTTTCTGGGTGGTGAGGCACCAAACGACGATCTCATCTCCCGGTGGCAGTCCAAGGCGTCCTTGTTCCAGGTTTTTGGCACCACGGAGATGGCTGGCGTGACGATGGTGTCCTCGGAGATTACATCGACAGCGCAGCGTAAGATAGTCGGCTTTCCTGCGAATTCACGGATTTGGCTTGTGGAATCCACGGGGAAGGACTCCAATGATACCCGACTGGCTCCAATTGGTGCTGTTGCAGAGCTGCTGATAGAGGGGCCAAGTCTGGCTGAAGGATACCTGGGTGATCCGGTGCGAACTCAAGCCTCGTTCCTCTCACTTCCATCATGGTTGCCTGATGGGTACAGCGGATCGACCAGACTTTACAAGACAGGTGATCTGGTTCGATACAACGGAGACGGATCACTAAGCTATATTGGTCGCATGGGAACCCAAGTTAAACTACGTGGGCAACGGATCGAGCTTGAGGAAGTCGAATGTCACCTCGTCAGACTACTGCCAGGAACACACTCATTCTCCGAGGCTCGACTTGTCATTGCCCTCGTTGTTGAACCTCGTGGAGACGCTGAAAAACGAACCCTGGCGGCATTCGTTCTCGTTCCTCCAAAAGTCAACAGTCCCAGAAGTAGCGACACTGGACGCCTTGAGTTTGTCAAACCAGACACTCCGCACCTTTATGAAGAGTTGGAAGATATTCGTCAGAGGTTGCAAGGAACGCTCCCTAGTTTCATGGTGCCCCAGCTACTGTTTGTGCTAACGGACGTACCACGAACGGTAACCGGGAAGATTGACCGCAGCGGGCTGCAGCGCCAAATTAACGCGCTCCCATATGACGAACTGCGTCGAATTTCAGGCAGGCGAGTGGACATGCAGGTTCCGGGCTCAGAAGTAGAGCACCTAATCCATGCCATAGTCTGTGAGATCCTCGCCATCCGAAGTGACCAGGTCAGCATGCGAGATGACTTTTTCCATCTGGGAGGGAACTCGATGAGTGCCATTAAGCTAGCAGCGGCGGCAAAAAGGAGATCCCTGAAGCTCGTTGTGGCTGATATTTTCAAACACTCGGTCCTCGCCGACATGGCAACCGTAGCCCTCAAGACCAGTAACGGTGTGCATGCCCATACTACCATACATGGTACTACCATCCATGGTGCTCCTACGAAGACCACACTGGAAAGGTTCAAGCTTCTCTCCGAGTACTCCGTCACTCGCGAAGATATCAATGAAGCCGTTGCTACACAGTGCGGCATCTCTTATTCGTCTCTTACGGTGGATGCGTATCCCTGCTCCCCTCTCCAGGAAGGAATGATGTCAATGACAGAGAAAAGTGCGACTATGTATCGGGCACAAGTCGTCTGCAAGCTGCACTCGGGGATCCAGATTGACCGGTTCCAAGCCGCCTGGGAGGGGGTCGTTGAAAACAATGACATTCTGCGGACACGTTTAATCTCGGTCTCCTCCAAAGGTATGTGGCAAATTGTCATCTCTGAGCCTTTCGAATGGGACCGCGATGCGTCTCGGGCAGTTTCCGACTCCATGGGGCTAGGTACACGACTAGTTCGAGCTGCAATAGAGACAAGCAAGGACGGGGCTGTCTTCATCCTCACCATTCACCATGTCTTGTGTGACCTGTGGACCATCCGACTTCTCCTGGATCAGCTGTGGTCTTCGTACGATTCCATAACGGATGGGGTTGCTGGCCCAAACTATTACCGTCCATTCATCGAATATGTCCTGGAGCGATCTCGTGATCCCGCATCTGCGAGCTATTGGAAAGCAAGATTTTCTGGTCTGGAAGCCGAAGCATTTCCTCGCCTTCCACAGCCGGACCTTTCTCCATCCCCTGATGAGAAGACAACATGCCACATCAATCTGCCACCTCTGGTCACAGGAGGCATCACTGTAGCCACCTATCTTCGACTGGCTTGGGCAATGGTTGTTTCCCATCACACCGCCGTTGACGATGTTGTGTTCGGCGAGACGCTGAATGGACGGAGTGGAAGGCTACAAGAACAATCTGACGAGAGCCTCGAGAAGATCGTGGGACCGGCTATTGTCACGGTACCCCAACGCATTCTGCTCGACCCCGAGAGATCGGTTGCCGAAACATTGTCCCTGATTCAGGAGCAGCAAACTCAGATGATCTCTTTCGAACAAGTGGGCCTGCAGCATATTCGACGCCTCAGTCCAGAGGCAGACTGCGCCTGTATGTTCCAGAGCCACTTGGTTTTCCAGCCGGCATGGAAGCCCCCTGGGCAACTGTTTAAGTCTGTGGAGGCTGGTGCTAGTGAGGTTGGTGGCTTCTCCTCATATGCTCTTGGCCTGGAATGCGGTCTCAGCGAGGACGAGAATGAAGTTGATATCACTGCATATTTCGACAGCAGGGTGGTGTCGCGCGCACAAGCTGCACGACTTCTGAATCATCTAGAAATGGTACTGCAGAGCTTAGTACAGGAGCCATACCAGACCATCCGGTCAGTTCCGCATATCACCCCCGAAGATCTAGACCAAATCCATGCCTGGAATGTGACGCTGCCTGATGGCCTGAAGGAGTGTGCACATGAGGCTATCCGCAAGCAGAGCCAGGAAACGCCATCTGCACCCGCGATCCGCGCCTGGGATGGTGATCTTACCTACGAGGAACTCGAGCACTACTCCAATCAGATCGCTGTCGCAATAGTCGATCGCGGTATCCGGCAGGGGTCCTTGATTCCTCTATTGTTCGAGAAAAGTATGTGGATGACGGTCGCGATGATAGGGGTCAATAAGGCCGGTGGTGCATTCGTTCCAATGGATTCGGCACAACCGCTTCAACGGCTTCGTGTTATTGCTGAGCTGACCGAATGCACGGTGATTCTCTGTTCCAAATCAAACACGGAACTGGCGAAGCAGATTTCTCCAAATGCCATTATCCTGCCTGTACCTGGCTGTAGGGAGGGTGGCTCTATCATGCAAGATAGTGGTCAGGGCCTGGTGGACTTGCAGTGTCTACCAAAGGTCCAACCACACGATCTGATGTATGCCGTCTTCACATCTGGCTCCACAGGCACGCCAAAAGGGGTGTTAATTGAGCACGGTTCCTACTGTACTGCGGCGAGAGAGTGTAGCTCCGCGCATGAGATTGACCGGCAATCGCGGATGCTACAGTTCGCCTCGTATAGCTTTGACGCATTCCTCGCGGAATCACTCAACACGTTGGTCGTAGGTGGTTGTGTCTGTGTTCCATCCGAGAAAGATCGCCAGAATGGGCTTGCTAAAGCTATGCGTGAGATGCAAGTCACCCATGCTATGCTCACCCCAGCTATTTCTCGGCTCTTCCGCCACGAGGACGTTCCGTCTCTTCGCTCTTTGATTCTGATGGGCGAAGCAATGCGATCAGCTGATTTCGACTACTGGGGAAGCCACATCCAGCTGTTTAATGGGTATGGGCCCACCGAGTGCACGATCGCCCTCTCGTGCCGCGAGTATCAGGCTGGGGTACATGTAAACGACATCGGCTGGCCGCGTGCTGCCGCAGCCTGGATCATCGATCCACGGAACCCCAATCGCCTGATGCCAATTGGAGCCGTTGGGGAACTCGTCGTCGAAGGCCCGCCAGTAGCAAGAGGGTACCTGAAAAGCCCGGATCAGACGTCCAAGGCATTCATTTCTCCTCCATCATGGCGACCACAAACACACCAGTCCCATCGAATGTACCGAACCGGTGATTTAGTTTCCTACACAGAGGATCGATCCTTGCGAATTGTTGGAAGGATGAACGATCAAATCAAACTGCGCAGCCAGCGTCTCGAGAGGGGTGAGGTCGAGTCACGACTGCGACAGTTCTGGCAACCTCCAGGAGTCGAGGTCGCTGTCGACGTGATTGTTCCGGCTGGTGACGCAGACCGGGTCTCTCTGGCGGCTTTCATCGTCCAGGAAGGCTCGGAGCAAAACAATAGTGACAAGAATGCAGACCATGGAACAGACTGTCGTTCCTTGTGCAGGAATCCAACCGCGGAGTTTTCTCGAGTGGCCACGCAGGTGGAGGCCCAGCTCCAGCAGGAACTGCCACGGTTCATGGTCCCCTCAATTTTTGTCCCGGTATCCCGCATGCCACATATGCCCAGCGGGAAAATCGATCGACCACGGCTTAAACGCGAACTGGAGGCCTCCCCTTGGGAAGAGCTCCGTCGGTATCTCCCAAGTGCGGCCCCCAGTCGACTAGCCACGACGAATGAGGAGCGGACATTGCAGGAGATCTGGGCGCAGGTCCTACACCTTCCATCTAGTAAAGTCGGTATAGATGACAACTTCTTTCATCTTGGAGGGGATTCTGTCAATGGAATGCAAGCAGTGGTGCAGGCTCGTGCAAGGAATATTCCTCATACACTGGAAGAAATCTTCCGCTGGAAGACCATTGCAGCTATCCTTTCCCATCTAACAGGCCGGAAGCATCAAGAGAGACCCCCCCGACACCATGATTCCAACCTGACCAAGACCAACAATCACTTGGAAAGTTTTCGCGGAACGCTGGCGCGCTCTCGGTTGCCGTTTGAAGGTGTCGAGGACATTTACCCATGCGGTCCCATCCAGCAAAACATTCTACTTGTGCATAGCCGACGACCAGCGTTTTATCACGTCGCCTTTACATGGGAAATTCATGATGCGACTGTTGATATGGTCGTCCGTGCGGTTAAGCAGCTTATTGCACGGCATGCTATCTTCCGGACCCGCTTCCTAGAGCCAGACATCGTGGATGGCAGCTTTTTGCAGATTGTTCTTCGCCAGGGACAGCAGGATATCCCAATCAGATCTGTATCGGAAGGGCTCATCGACTTTCCTGGTGATTTCCAGCCCACTGCTCGATGTCCATCGCAGTTCACAATCTATCACAGGGACTGGAGCTCGGTCCATGTCCGCCTGGATATTACTCATGCCCTGTGGGATGGAGGGCCTGCTACCGTTGTTGAGCGGGAGTTAGGTCTTGCGTCTCATAGTAAACCGCTGCCGCCGGACCCCCCTCTTTATCGCGATTACATCTCTTATGTGCAGTCTCAAGACCTTGCGGCCGGCGAAGCTTTCTGGAGCTCCCATATAAAGGACACATCACCCTGTCACTTTCCTTCACTTCGCGCAACTCGCATGTATGAGCCTGATGTACCGCAGGATCTGCACTTTGAGCTCGACCAACATGCAGAGGTCGGTCCTTTTTGTCGGCGTCACAACGTCACCGCTCCCAACATGTTTTGCCTAGCTTGGGGCTTGGTCCTGCGCGCGGTGACATCGATGGATGAGGTGTGTTTTGGGAACGTTGTTTCTGGACGTGACCTACCTCTCACCGGTGCCCTGGAAATGGTCGGTCCTCTGATCAACCTTCTGCCATGCCGGATCAATCTGCGTGAGGGAACGGTGATTGAAACTCTGCAGCGGATCTATCATGACTACGCAGCATGTCTCTCCCACCAAGCATTTCCTATCGCCAACCTCCCGCATTCCAGTGGCCGTTCTGCGCTCACTCTCTTCAACACTCAGCTGTCCATTCGCCGCGCGACGACCGCTTCTCAACCGGGAGAAGAAGCGCCTAAGGCCTGTTTGCGCGCCATCCAGTCGTGGGATCCACATGAGTGTCGGATCAACGTCTATGTAATTATGGAAGAGAGCCGAACGCGTGTGGAGATGAGATACTGGAAGTCGGCTATGTCCCCCGCACAAGCCGCCCTGATCGAGAAATGCTTTTCCGCGGCGGTGTCGCAGATCCTTGCCCACGGCGATCAACCACTGACTGAACTAGGTATACTTCCCCCTGAAGAACAAAAGCGAGTCTGGGAGCCGTCCTTGTCTGCCGCTGTCGTTCGTCTGCGGGAACTGTGGGCGAAGGTGTTAGACATACCCCATCACCTAATTGGAGGAGAGGATGACTTCTTCCGCCTAGGAGGAAACTCAGTCCGTGCCCTCCAGGTGACTGGGTTGGCGCGAGAAGCCGGAATGGATCTCCGGGTGGCGGATGTCTTTACCGCGTCGACTCTGCATGCGATGGCTCGGAGATCGCTAGTGGTGTCACAGTCTGGATAGATAGACGAGCTAGTGGCTGAGATGCAAGCAATGATACTTCCGATTATGAGTATATTGTCTTTACACTTGTGAGCAAATTGTTCTGCTTGCCTTTCTGTTCCCCATAGTCAGTGTTAGCAAGAAGTATATATTTTGGCCATAGAGACCACATCACACCACAGCACGCCCGGATTGGCCGAGATACCTACGATCTCCATGTGAAGCTTCCTTTATAGATGAGGTAGACATTTGGATAAAATCCCGAGACTCATCGTCCCTCATCAGAACGACAGGAATCTAAACCAATGTTGCGCAGAGGACCACGTGATATTGCCCGATGAGGAAAGCCGGCCGAAATTCGGAGTTCCAGCCAAAAGCACCAAGAGACTCCCTACCCACTGTTGGAGCATCAATAATCGGGCTATGGGACCCTTTTACAATACCCCACCATAGCCCTAGGCTATACCAGGGAGATTCGGGATGTCCTCATCATCAACAAACAATGTTCGGCGACCGCGACGCGCTGTCCGACCGTGCGATCTCTGTCGTCTGCGCAAGTCGCGGTGTGTGATTCCCACCGGATCATCATGCTGTACACTCTGTCGGACGCGTCAAACACCTTGCACTTTCGACCGGAAGCCCCCGTCACGACCGTCCCAGAACCGAGGCAGCAGAAGTCCGGGCGGTAATGACCAGTCGCAGGGCTACAATAGCCTACCGGCAAGTCATGTTGCATACCGCGCCTTGGCGCCTAACACAGGAATCACTACGGAGCAGATCTCATCAGCTCCGGAGCCTGCTGAATATTCCGCCCTAGTATCTGGTCCGTCTGGGTTATTAGGGAACGCCCAGGAGCTTCTGGAGGGAACGCGTGTCCCAGATCCAGCCTCTTCTGAACCGTCTGATACCTCATTGGGACTTTGTCGCTCACGATTCGCCGAGTTGTATGGGCTGACCAGTGACATGGAACCTATCCTGATGGTAGGTCCATCTAACCATCTAATTCATGAGGACAACGCTGTGACCCTACTGACTTCGGCAATTTCAGCGTCATCGCCCGTATGACCCTGAAACACATGAGTTCCGACTCGAAACACATAGTATCCGACGCGTCCTCCAGCAAGATATGGGCATGCAATATCCCGTGACATTCCACGTCAGCAGTGACAAGAAAGCCCTTGGGTATCATGCTGAGGCCATCCAGCATGATACGATCGAGCGTTGTGTACAACCGTATGGACCAAGCTTGGTGAAACTTTTCTGGAAAATAGTCCATCCCTATTATCCGATCCTGTATAAGCAGGGCTTCATGGAACGGTACCTACGCTCATACCGCAACGTTCCAGCGCCTCTACTCGGGGCGGTTTACTTGATATCCCTCAATTGGTGGTCATACGACCCTGAATTGAGTAACAAAACCGCCCCCAACGCGTCCTTCCTTCGGGAGGCCGTCATAAATGCCATCCAAAACAGCTACCATCGGCCAAAGCTGTCCTCTATTGAAGCAACCCTTCTTCTACTGCAGTGCAAGCCAGAAGATGCATTGAATCCGGACCACACATGGACTTGGGGATGCACAGGCCAAGCATTATCCGTTGGGGAGGCAATTGGACTGCATCTGGACGCGAGCTCGTGGGACATCCCAGACTGGGAAAAGGGTCTGCGTAAACGTCTTTCATGGGCACTATATGTTCAGGATAAGTGGACCGCGTTGATGCACGGTCGGCCCAGTCATATCCATGACGACAACTGGGGCGTGCGAGATTTGACAGATGATGATTTCTTTGATTTACAGGTTGAGGATCAACCCGGCTTTTCTCCGCTTGAAGGAGATCCGGAGGTTGGAAAACAGGAGTTTATGGCGCTCGTCGCCCTGACCAAGATTCTCAGCGACATCTTAAGCCTCTTGTACACGCTCCGTGCCAGTCAGATCCAGGATACCGTCCAGCTCTATGAGATAGCCCTTCCCATCCTTGAGCGACTGTCCAACTGGCATCAACATCTTTCCCCCTCGCTTCTCATGAGCCAGCGAGCAGTGCGACAACTGTCTGCAAATGGTCTGCTTCCTTTTTTTGCCATGTCCAATATGACTGCTAATTAGGGACCCAGGTTTCATCCACCTTTCATACCACACCCTCGTCCTGACCGTCCTACGAAGAATAATACGATCCACGGCACTTGCACCCCTTTGCTTCGATGTTGCTGTTTTGAACCGGACCCGTACCTTATCAAGCGACGCTGCTGAGGCCGCGATAGCCTTTGTTAAAGCTCTACGACCGGATCATCTTGAAGCCTTTTGGACATTTTGTAAGTGATACAGCTGAGCACCAGGGTCCTTGAACTAAGATACGGTCCAGCATCTGGCTTTGGCTTCTCGTTGATTGGATCCTTTATCACGCTTCTTCTGGTGACATCACGGTCCGAAACGGAGAAGACTCATTGGCGTGAGGCCCTCAATGATTACCTCTGGACCCTGCGTTTGATGGGAAAGGCCAGTGAACCGATGAGTTATGCTGTCAACCGCCTGGAGGGAGCCATTCTTCGGGGAATGGAACATGCGTTGGCCGTGAAGATTGCGCCGACTATTATAGAAACGGATGATCGGTCGAGGCGCCTTGATGTGCCCTCTAACGCGGTTCCCCCGACGGGTCCGCAATCTCCGACGATGGATAGCAGCCTACCTCTACACCCTGCTACTTCCGAGGGAACGGGGGACTGGGTCACACTTTTCATGAACGAGGACCTAATCAACCTCGATCTTAGCCAATTCGACTGGCTGGGCGGGGGCAGATCAGATTTAGTACCTTGATCTATAGGTATACATGCATGCTTAATTTGATGTCTATCATGCGACGGCTAGAGTGATGTCCTGAAAAGTGGTCTCTCCATCATCCACGAACATTCCGAGTCGCGTGTTTGGGTCCCTTGTTTGCAGGCGATAGCTCAGCACTCTCCCTCCAACGAAGATCTCAACCGTTTCCCCAGTAACGAGAACTTGAACCAAGTCGTCTTCACAGATGGCTACATTGTCATGCCTAACCAGTTCTGGCCCGTCTGCTTCGCGAGGGAGGTACAGTTTATACTGGTCAGCCCAAAAGTCGTCGAGCGCGGGCGGGCAGTGCGAAAGCGATACGGTGAAGGTCAACTTCGCGGACTCGATCGCGCTGGGACTGAAGCGCAGCCAATAGCCAGAAAGGTCCAAATCAGTGTTCAACAAAACACCGAAAGATGCCGTATGCTTCGCTGACAACACTTTGAAAGACAAGCGATAAGCTTCCGGGGCGCTTGATTCTATGGCCAAGGCATCAGAGGCGAGGAACTGCGTCTTAACTCTTCCCTCAGACACCAGATGAAGCGATGCAACATTATGCGGTGGATTGCTGCCAAAAATATCCTCCAGCCCTTCCGATAGTGGCTCCATCCGGAGAGACCCGTCTGAGTCTGCAAAAACCTGCCGGGGGAAGGCCATGTCGCCACCCCACATCCACTTGTTATCGCTGGAACAGCGATCAGCAATCCAGCCAAAGTAGATGCGTTTGGACGGATCGCCAGCCTTCGGACAGGACTTTGCTGCGTACCATCTCCTGCCGTCCCATCGACCGCTCGATCCATCCGTAGGCTTGCGAAATGGACCCCGTGGAGAGTCCCCTACGCGATAGACTGTTCCCGCGTCCGGGGAAGAAAATCTGGAGTACACAAGATACCACTTGCCATTCGGCAGTGTAAACAGCTCCGGGCACTCCGGACAGAACATGTCATTGGGAGCGAAGAATGGTTCAGCCTCCAAATTCCACTGCATCAGATCCGTGGATGTCAACAAGGCCAGACACCCGCGCGTCCAGTACGGGCCTGTGGACAGTCTGGTCGCCACGAGCATCCAATATTCCCGTTCTTTGTCGTTGAAAAGAACATATGGGTCACGGAAATCAATGTCCTCAAAACAAGCAAGATTTCCAACCGTCTTTGGGGTTATCGATATGGCCGTCGGGGATTTGACGAAGGATGACGCCTCAAGGTCCGACGCAACCGCATGAACAATGACTTGCTTTCCGTCCAAAGAAAGGTTGTATCCCGTGTAGAAGATGTGCATAGTCCCATCTGGACCTAACACAGCGGAACCGGTCCAAGCGCCGTCGGCATCATGATCACTTGGCTTTTCCCCCGGAACGATCGCAGGAAGGCGGTCTCTTTCCCATGCGATAAGGTCACGCGAACGAAGATGCGACCAGTATGAACGAAGTCTTTCCGGATGGTGAACGGTGCCAGGCGGAGTGGTTAGGTGGAAAAGATGATACTCTTCGTCAACGAGGATTGGAATAGCATCTGCTGCCCCTTGGGTCCTTGTAGGCCGCCTGAAGCGTAAAAGGGACATCGATGCAGCGGATGGCATTGTTGCGATGGAGGTTCATCTGTCGGCTTTCATGTCTACCTGGAAGTGCCAGACGCCCTGGCATATTTCTAATATGGTTCTTCCCCCGCTTCGTCCTCCCTCCCCGCATCAGCCTGATCTTCTCATGCCGGCCGTGTTTCGGGCCGCCGCCGAAGCCGTTTTTTTGATACTGTTCAGGGCGAAGATGCCGCCTTGGCGTTCCTCGTCCAATCGGCATGCGCCATTTGGTGCGCATCGGCATCTTCCGTGGGGAAAAGTTTGGCGCAACAAGCTCTCCATGCGGCAGGCAAATGCGGAGGAACGGGGTGGTATGCGTTATCAGGGAGGATGATCTGGGGATGCACCATTTGCCGCCTGCAGTATATTAATTAGCCTCCTTGCTCCCCAGGTCGGACTCCATGATCGCCACGATCCCATGCGCTCGGGATACTGTCTCTCCCTCTGTGTTCATCAATTCATCGGACCAGGACGAGGACATCTCGCTCTTCCATCATCGCCATGATCCCTTTCAAACATTTCTACGCCTGGCTCTTTTGCGCCTTCGCCTCCCTAGGAGCTTGTCTCTACGGTTACGATGGCGTCTACTTTACAGGCGTCTCTGCCATGGACGTCTTCGCTCGGCATTTCGGTACCAGGCAGCCTGATGGTTCCTATGCTATCGCTGCAGGTGATCTATCCCTCATGACATCGGTCATTAATATAGGCGAGCTCGTGGGCTCGCTGACGGCAGCTCCGCTGAATGATGCGATTGGGCGGAAGGGTGTCTTTCTCGTTGCGTCCATCATGGTGATCATTGGCGTGGTCTTGCAATTGGCTACCGATCACAAACAGTCCATGATCATCGGAGGCCGCATTCTACTTGGCTACGGGGTCGGGAATTTTTCCGCTACCTCGCCGCTCTACATTGGGGTAATCTCTTCACCACTGACAGCATAGTATTGGCCACGTTCTGACACTGGACATTAGGAAATTGCACCGACTACAATCCGCGGCCCGCTCCTCATGTGCTGGCAACTCGTCCTGTCGATCTCGCAGATCATTGCAGCTGCTATCAACCGTGGTACGGAAGGGGCTAACACCACCGCCGCCTATCGCATTCCAATGGCCGTTCAGCTCATCTTCCCATTGCTTGTCCTTGCCTTCCTCTGGTGGGTTCCGGAATCCCCCCGTTGGTTACTCCGGAAAAGGAAGGCTGAAGCCGCCAAACGGTCCCTCTTACTCGTCAACCAAGACAACAAAAGCTATGTTGTTGATGAAGACCTTACAGCCCTTCGAAATGACCTGGAATCAGAGGATCTACTTGCTGAACAATCTTCCTGGAAGGACCTTCTGCTGGACCCGATTGAGCGTCGGAAGACTATATATTCTGCAGGAGCGTTAGTCGCCCAGCAAATTAATGGGATCCAGTGGTTCTACTACTTTGGCACGGTCTTCTCCAAGGCAATCGGTCTCTCTGACCCATTCCTCATGACCCTGATTGTTTTCATCATTCAGGTGGTCGTAGTGTTCCTTGCGGTTCTTTGTGCCAATAGGCTTCCAAGGCGGCCCCTGTTATTGATCACTACGACTATCATGGGGATATCTATCTTCGTGGTGGGCTGTTTAGGCATTCCTGGCAGCGATGTCTCGCCAACCTTTGGCAAAGTGATCATCAGCTTTGTCATAATCGAAATCACCGCCTTCAACTTTGCTTGGGGACCCCTAGGATGGACCATAGTATGTTTTTTTCTCCATTCATGGCGAGGTAAATGGTTCCTAACAGTCGCAGGCGTCGGAAATGGCGGTTGGTCGAAACCGAAATAAAATCTACGCAGTCGCAGTGGCTTGTTTCTGGGTATGTACAACGACCATTTCCCATCACTACATGGTGTCCATGGCTGATAGATCCTCTCAACCTCTAGATTACCGTTTGGGCCATCGTCTTCACCCTTCCGTATCTCTATTATTCGGCCGACCTCGGCCCGAAGACTGGCTTCGTGTACACTGGTCTTTGCGTCATTACCCTTGCTTACGTCTATTTTTGCGTCGGCGAGGTCACTGGGCGCACGATGGAGGAAATCAACTGGTTTTTTATGAACGGGATTCCTGCTCGAAAATGGCGTGAACAGCCCCGACCCGTCATCGGCAACCCAGCCGAATCAGGTCGAAGTTCCAAATTTGACACGGAGAAGGAAGAAAGGGTTGAGGTTGAGCTTTCCACTCCTTAATCTTTATTGTTTCAAAGATGTATCATTGTCTACGGCTTTCTACCGAATAGGAGGAATTCATCTCGGCCACGCTGACACTCAGGTCATCCGGTGGGAGCGAAGTAGATTCAAGCAGCACTATGTAGAAACGGCCATATGCCATACTGTGAGGACACACAGGTGATCGGATAAGCTTCACATCTGACCTTTTCCCCCATAAAGCCTGAAATGATTCAAAAATTGAGCTAGAGGTCACTTCGCCGGGCAAGCTGCCTCGGCTACACACGACCCGTCCTAGAGAGAACAAGTACCGTTAGTCCCGGCATGAGTAGCATAGAGATATGAAAGGAACATACAACGCTCCGAAGGAGGGGGTCGGCGCAATAACATCCCGCCACACAGATTGCAGGGCAGAGTTCGGGAGGGTCTTCATAGGTTGCACAGGTAGGATGGCAAAGAGAGCCGCATTCATCGTACACCTCCTGCACCAGCATCACAGGTGAACAGTTAGTGTTTGCTACTTATGAGACAGGGGAAGAACATACGTTCTCACGACACGGTTGTTCTCTGACGGCAGTGTATGCCATCGCGTTGGCAACAAGGACAGCTAGGACGACGTACAGCTTCATTTTGGCAGGAAAGAGAAAGATATTTGTGCTTTTATGGTTATGGAGAATCGAACGCAACGAGCGGACTCTGTTTATATACCTTTCCACCATGTGGGAAGTTTCTTTGCTGTTTCAGGCCTTCAACAGCGGCGGGTGAGGTCTCGAATGGACCCCTGCAGAATACGAGCTGGAGTCCCTTACCCTCAGCTCTCCGGAAACAAACAATTTTTGTATGCATCCCCAAGGATAAACACTTGGCTGATATATGCCGCGGCATCTACGAACACCTGACGAAGGATTGTCAACCATTCACGTTTTGAAGTTGATATGATGGCATGCCTGGGCTGACTGCGTTCGTATCCAGAGGCCATGGCAATATGACACTTCCACCAATCTTCCTCGTATACACGAGGTTCCCCGGGGATGTGATTTATTCAAAAAGTACCGGTCCAACCGGGTAATTGGGGTTTAATTCGACCCCGAGGCAGAAGAATGCCACTCCGTGGCGGATTGGTCTTGACCATGGGATGTCTTACCTTCTCTCGTCATCACCAAGAAACACTTGCATTTGAATCCACTTATTGTCAAAAACTGTCATAAGGCTTTCGATTGCACGAATGCCTGCAACTGCCGTTTTGTTTACATCCCAGTCTTTAGATTGAAATCAGTGTGGTCGGGAGTAATGATCTTCCAGATGGCACCGCTGTCACCCTATAGTACCCCAATAAAGCAGAAAGGGGGTGTTGGTTAGAACAATTGACATATGCGTTCCTAAACGGGGGCCGTACAAAATCTGAGCAGGGATTTATTCCCTCTCGATTTAACCGGGTCGTATGATCATCACCTGGGCAGTTTGTGAGGCTTCCCAACCGCGACTAGGCAACAATGGTCCATTGACTGTAGTAGTAATGGAGCATGTAGATGTCGCAGGACCCTTCTGGAGGGCAACATGGCAGGCTTTATTCTGGGCGTTGCTATGGCGTATCTGGGACTCTCCGCAGCGATGAACGAAAGTGGTCAGGGTGCCATTCTATTTTCAAATCTGATGATCCTGGAATCATGCCAATATTGCACAATTTGGAATAGAGAATACCTCGCAGGCTTGGCTAGACAGTAGATAATGTCGCTCATTTCTAGGATATCTCATTTGTCGAGCCGCAAAACAATGCCTCTCCCTCAGAACGGACGGCGGTTACTTCGTTCAGAGTTGCAGATCGGCCACTCTGCAGATCATATTCGTTTCTCGACTTCGTAGGCGCAAAGCCGTGAAATTCGCCGCTAAACAGGGTTTCAAAGGTATTGGGATGCATTTGACCAGAACTTGTAGTGTTTGTGCGGGAACGAAATCTGGTTATAAGCCATGGTGGTTGAATGATCAATCTCAATTTGCAAAGGTCAATCTAATTGGTACTCTTGTCTCCCCCATTTCTGAAAACTTCTGCTTGGATTAATTCAAAGAGCCTTGTCGCAGCGCTCAACATAATTATTGTGAATACTGTTGGTTTGATTGCAGATGTTGGATCGTTCCCCATTAAACATCCGTGTGGTTCAGCGCACGTCATAGTGATGCAAGGGCCAACCAAACGTCACTTTATCTAGATCTCTAGGAGTAGACGAACAAGTATAAATTCCCAAGACTTCTAGATCCTTTGCCACTACATGTGGATAATAGTTGGCTCGTACTGCCTTATCTCCTTCATTCTTCTCCACTAACTATCAGTTACTGTACGAATATTTTGGTCAATCCCACCGCATCATGGCTGCATCTCAGGCGGCGAATCTTGTTGAGAAGGCGGTTGGGCATAGCGATAATGCGACCGTCACCACCGACGTGAGCAGTTACAACAAGAAAGAGTATGGTGTTGAAACGGGCCCGCCCATCCAAGCCACAACCTGGCAGGGCAAGAACAGTATTGCTGTCGGTATGGTTTAGCAGCCACTGGAACAAGGATTTCCTCATTCTGATGACGGATAATGCAGTGGAAATGCCGAAACCCCGGGTCATCGACGAAGGGGACGTGATCGTGAAGGTAACGGGCAGCACAATCTGCGGCAGCGACCTGCATCTGTATCATGGTATTTTCCCCCATGCTCCTTTAATGGGTCCAAAAACAGGCGCTAATCATTCGGGCTCAGGTGTGATACCTCAGTTGGAGAAGGGAGACGTCCTGGGACATGAATGTTGTGGCATTGTTGAGACGACGGGCCCAACTGTGTCCAAGGTTCGTCCGGGTCAACGTGTCGTTGTCTCTTTCCCAATCGCCTGCGGGAGTTGCACGAATTGCAACAGGAAGCTCTTCTCCCAGTGCGAGAGAACCAACGAGAATACCATCACCAATGCCTTGTATGGCAAGCGAACAGCTGGTTCGTCCTCCATCATTGTTGCCCTGTATCCGTAACATCACAGAACCTAAGAAATATCATCCTACTAGGCATTTTTGGATACTCGCATTTCACCGGAGGATTCGCTGGTGGTCAAGCCGAGTACATCCGTGTACCCTACGGCGATGTGAACCTCCTCCCCATCCCGGATGATGTGCCTGACGAGAAGGCACTGTTCCTATCGGATGTCCTGGGTACATCCTGGCACTGTGTGGTCGACACGGGGGTCAGTCCAGGCGACGTGGTAGCCATCTGGGGGGCCGGCCCAATCGGCCAAATGTGTGCTCAGTTCAGTTTCTACCACGGCGCGCAACGCGTGATCCTCATCGACGGCGGAAACGCTGCATGGCGATTGGACTATGTCAAGTCCAAGGCCCCCAAGGTGGAAACGATCGATTACTCTCGTCTTAGCAATGGCGAATCTGTGACGTCCCGGCTGAAGGAACTGGTGCCCGGGGGGCCTGATGTCGCTCTGGAATGTGCAGCTGGCGAGTATGCCAAGGGATGGATCCACTACTTCGAACAGCTGCTTGGCATGGAGACCGACACTTCCGAGATTCTGAATGAGATGATCACCTCCGTCCGTCCGTTTGGACGCGTCGGGGTGACTGGAGTCTATGCAGCATACGTTAGTAAACCATCACTCCAGCTGGCGATGCAGCGTTCACTGACGGTGTCTCTGACAGACGAATCACTTCAACATTGGCGCACTCATGCAGACAGGGGTCCGATTGATCGGCAATGGACAAGCCCCCGTGCAGAAATATTGGGCCGAGTTGATGGAGCTCATTCGCAAAGGGGAGATCAACCCTCTGGATATGGTGACCCACCGATTGCGCCTCGAGGACATGGACAAGGTGTATGCCTTGTTCGATCGCCGGGACGAGGGAGTCCAGAAAGTGTTTGTCCAGACACAGTACTCGGCGCCTCCGTGTGTAGGCGCGCCTGCACTGACGGAATTGTAGCGGGATGACTGTATAGCGAGCGGGCTAGTGGATGTCATTGACGAAAAAGCGTGTTTGTTTTACGATGGATTGTCCGGGACGCATAAATTGTAGGGGGGTATACTTGCGAAACTGGATTTTCTATCTACCCATCCATCTTTCCTCATGTCACCCCACCTCTTCATGATGTTGCTCGGAGACCATTAATAGCTGCAAGAAAGAAAATTCATAAAATTAGACACCATTCCGAAAGTAAGAGGTTCCCCACATTTTCTGGAGTAGCTGAAAAAGGACAGTGCTGTCAATGTGACGTAGTGGCGCCCATGATAACATAGGTAGTGCCCCTACAAATAGTGTATTGTGTATTGTATGTGTCTGTAGGTAGAAGATAGTTACCATCGCTTGATCTATACATAACTTTATTCCCCCCTGACAGACTCGCCTATTTTGTTCAGCGTCCTAACAGGGCCTAGACAGTGATCTAACTACGCTCTGTGTTGACTTGCGGATTCTATTGATGCATGGCGGAATCAATGCCGGTTACAACACGCTATGCAAGAATCGAGGCATCGAAATAAACACCACGAAGCTGAGGATAATTTCCCAGCTGCAAAGAATAGTGAGCGTGAGCAAGCTTCAGACCATGAGACAAAGGCGATGAGACCGCCGACATCGTCATTTGCGCGTGCACTGTGGAATTTTTCATCGCAATGGTTTCTCATCCCCCAGGGAAACGGCATTATAGCTGTAATCCTTCACCAGCTGGACTATCAGTTCAGAGGACTCACGATAATATCGGTTGTCCTCTGGATATACACTATTGTATTGCTGGTTGTTGGGTTATCCCTCTACACGCTGCGAATTCTTCTCCACCATCGCCATGTCGCTCATATGCTGAAGACAAGCATCACGGAGACATCATGTCTAGCAAGCATTCCCATCACCTTTACCACGATCATCCAAATGACAGTGCTAGTCCTGGTACGGCAATGGGGTGCAGCATGGGGTATTGTCGCCTACGTTTTATGGTGGGTCAATACAGCAATGGCAGTTGTGGTCGTGATGGGCATCCCGTACGTCTTTGTGAGAATCCAGCCTCCAGGAGTCAAGGCGATCCTACCAGGGGTGCTTCTACCGCTGATCTCGACACTCACCTCGGCTGCTGGTGGAGGTGTCATCTGTCGATATGGAGCTCTTAGCAGCCGATTGCAGGTTCCTGTGATTATCGTCTCTTTTCTCGAAGTTGGCCTAGGGCTCGCGTTAGCTGTGACACTGGCTGACACCTTTATGACGAGACTATTCGACAAAAGCTTCCCTTCTGTGGAAGACATCTATCAGGATATGATTCTCTGCGGTCCATTCGGCCAAGGCAGCTTTGCCCTACAAATCCTAGGACAGGCAGTTTCGCGCGATGCTTTTGCAGAATACAATCGTGGGACGTTTTTAACGGCTGAAGCTGCCAAGCCTATCGCGTTCGCCAGCGAATTAGCTGGCCTGCTTGTCTGGGGATATGGCACATTCTGGTGGTGTTTTGCCATTATTAGTATATCCCATACCTTCATCTCCCGGACAAGGCATCGCCAGCAGACTTCCTTCACCTTGGCCGCTTGGTCTCTAGTCTTTCCGTGGGTAAGTCTGCAATACCCCCGAGACATTGACAAGTCTTGCTCACGGATATAACAGGGCGTCTATACCAATGCTGCTGTGGAGCTAGGGAAATTGATGGATTCTCCGGCTTTTAAAGTGTGGTCAACGGCACTACTTCTTATGCTCCTTATGATCTGGGTCGTTAACCATATTTTCACGATCAAAGGACTAGTTTCGGGGGATCTGCTGGGTGTAAGACAGGGGCGGGATACAAATGCACAGGATGATACTTATGGTGGTGGACGACTTTGAGTCCAACGCGGAGTATGGATTTCGGGCTTACTCAAACAATTCGAAACTGTGTGGCACGGCATACCTCACCAATATAGATCATATCATATTTGATTATAGGAAGGAGCAGTAAAAATATCAACAATTCTGGCAGCCCGCTTGAAGATACTATATTACAGGAAGACGTTGCGTACACAACGTTTCATGCTCTGGCAATACAACCTGATATCATGAAGATGAAACAATAACCTCCTTCGTCGCATTGGCCGAAGTCGGCGCCAGTTAAAACACCACTTGAGTAATTATTTCCAACCTCTGTCCAGCTTTGACGTTGACTCGTCCGGGGAGACCACGAATAGACCCCGAAGAGATAGGGTTCAACAGTTGGATCTATCCGCTTGACCGTCCGTCGTATCGTTCGTTTCTTTCTGGTGCTCCTCGAAGATATCGTGATCGAACCGCGGATCCAACTTATTCAGGATCTTGCTACCGTGGGGCTTTGGTTTCTCGGGAGCTGTAGCCGACTGACCGGGGCCTGGAAAGCCTGGGTTCTGCGAACTCTCTCGTGGTCTGTCCGGGTAGGCCTCGCTGGCCTCAGCCCGTTGTTCGCGTGGAATCGCTGAGGGGAAGGTCTCAGACATTATGGCTGTGTGTGCGAGTCCAGGTGGAAGACAATGAGGGAATGAACTAAATGTTAGGTGAATGGCTCGGTATTCTTCTATTCCTCGCTTCCTTTAGCGTCGTCGAGTGCTCTGGTGTATTTATATCCTTCCCCTATGACGTCACGTCCACGACAGTGTGGAAACAGAGATACTATTGACCTAAGTATTACAGCATTTTGAAAGCAGAAGAAACATTCAGGTCCAATCCAAGAAATTATCTGATGCAAAGGAAAGTTTGTGAGAAGCTTACCGTGGGACTAGCAACGATATCCATGCATTGACCGGCAATGCACTCTACCTTCCTTTGCCAACTACATTACTTCGGATATTATGTACCCAATTTGGCAGATTGGTGTATCACAATTTAACATTGCAGACTCAACAGTATTGAGCTCTCGCATTCGATAGTATCTTCATTCCGCACCATGAAATCCAAATCTGAATACCAATTTCTTGAAAAGACCCCTTGGTCTCCCCTACTCAACTGACGAACTCCCAAAATGTGTCTAGTTTTTCAGGTTACCATGTGCATCTGAGTCACGTTGACCGAACTCCAGGCCTGACGCGAGCAAAATGGACGGAAATTGGCGAACCAGTTAGCACAGTACGATAGATTTCCCGTGGCACAGTCACAGCCATGGGATTGATTTTCGGGATCTCTTCCATCGCTATGCTGTACTTCTCGAGCAGGTCGCGGAGAAAGGAAGAACGTGAGGCCAATATGCGCTGGATGTAGTTCACTCGTTCTGAATGCCTGCGTACTAAAGTATCACAAATCGTATCCATCAGGTGAAGGTACTGAAAGCACCGAGGGCCAGTCACCAACTGATCTGGGACCACCTCGATAACATGGCCGATGTAGGCCTGGACCACTGAGCGCAGAAGTGCAATGGCCATGACCCCTAAATTCCAGTCGCGAATGCGGGTGTCAGCGTCGCTCTGTGAAACCTCCTCTGCTCATGCCTGCTAATAAGAGAAAATGTTTTATTAGTGTGAGCGCAGTATATGTACAAACAAGGCATCTGCAATAGCACCCATCTGCCCTCCTCTTATCGTCTGCCATCATCTGTGCTATCCCATGCTCCCGCCATCCTCCGCGCCGCTGACCACTACATCCAGATTCATTGGCCCATGATCATTCCGTCGAAAGCTACACCATTACAAAGTGTAGGGGCCATAGATCTCAGTGTACGCATCATCAACGAAGAAATCGGAGATCGTTTTCTGTATTTCGAATGGATTTCAGCCGAGCCGACCGTGTACCGAAGCCAATGCCGGGGTGGCGAAGTACCCGACGAGGTACAAGGTACTGAAAGCCAAAAGCGATTTTCGAGCAAAAAACGGCCTGGACAAAGACAAGGTATTAGCAAGAGGCCTTGTTATTGAAAGGGAATGTGCGCACCAGTTGTAGCTTTCTCCCGAGCTCTTTTTCGGTCGGAAAAGTGGCTAATTGGAAGTTAGCGCTTTAAAAAACCAAGTATCACGATGGTCTATACTTATCTGCCCCTTGGTGTTGAGGAATTTTTGCTGGAACGCGGGCTTGGCATCTGGTATAGTTAGCAATTCACCAATGACATTGCAAATTTGCGGCCAGCCCACCGGTACCTATTATCAAGATAAGATGAGGACGTTGGGCAGCCCAGAGTATCTAGAGTGTCGAGGAGCAATGTAAGTTAGTGACTAAAGACTGTAGGGATTGTCTGAAGAGATGGTGCTCACCATATGCGCCTCTCGTCTGCGTGTCTTGTAATCAACAGCCAAAGCCGCTCTGGAATTTGCTTCTGGGTGCAGAAGTTTCAGCCGACGAGTCCGATAAGGAGCAAGGGAGATTGTGTACCACGCTGGAGACCATATAGCAATTGGATAATGCTTGTAAAGGATGTAGGGAATGTCCGTGAGGTGGAAGGCATCGTTAAACGGGATTTGCGAAGACTAGCTGGTCGTTAGCTATCCATGCCTAGGAGGCAGCTGGAGCAAAAGAGGAGCATATCTTCTGTGTTCTTCAACGAGTGGAATCCTGAATTATTGCCGGGTTATCATCGTCGGTCCATAGCAAGTGGCGTCACTCCGGGGCCTCACCAACTGGACACAACGTTTACAGGCAACCAACACGACATCCTGAAGCGACCGACGCAGTATCTTTCAGTCGTAGACATGCTCTATTCAGGCGTCAGATATAGGGTAGGACATGCGGAACATCGATGATAGTGAGCACGGTCGGGTAAAGCGAGGATCTGAGGCGCGTCTAAGAGAGACAAGGAATGTTAGCAAAGTCTGGGAAATTGGAGCGAAAGCACCACAAAGGCGGTCAGGGCGTCCTTAGCTCTTAATGAAGTAGACTCCGGTGGGTTGATAGACGGGGAATGTCGTAGGGAACATCAGATGATCAATGGGTAGGAAAGCAGAGCAATAAATCGCAAAGGAAGAGAGTGGTAGAGGAGAAATATGGAGAGGGACTTAGAAGAAATCGAAGGCTGCTGAGATCTGGTAAGGCACAGCGCTCAAAAAGGAAGGTACATCAGCCCTCACTAAGAATATTGGACTTAGGCATATCCAGCCTACCGACTCATATGTAAAATCGATCCAAATCGAGGATTTAGACGAGATTCAAGGGGTTACCCTTAAAGACTAGGTTTTTGCCCTATGACGCGAACTCCTGAAGGTCAAACAAGAAGAGTAAAGCATAGGTCGGGTCATTAAATTATATTTGTGCTATCCCTTTTAATGCTTCTGGCGATGTCGGGTTTTGCTATACGTGTCCATCTATTATAGTAAACATTCCTTTGATATTTGCTAGCCTTCTTTGTCTAGAAGAACTCAACATTCCAGGTACAATGAATCAGATATTCATATGCTTTATCTTGTCCGGTGGTTCTTGGATCCTGTTCTGGAGGCAGCTGTATCGTATACTGCTTCTTCCCCTCCACTATTGGAAGGCCGACAATAACCTCATCTCCACGATTGATTCTGATTATCGGAAGCCCTAAGATAGGATCTGCTGCTTGTCTATCGGAAAACGTAGGGTTAACAAGAAAAAAGATCCGCTCAATCCCTTCGTACATCTCGTAAATAAAGATCGACTGGATAAGTCCGATGTTCTCGTGCTGATACTGGATAACATCCCCTTCTACAAAAGTTATCCTAGTGCCAGAGGTGCTATTAATAACAGTCATTAGCCGAAGCATTAGTAGTAGAGAAGAAACAGATATAGAAGAACTAATAGGAGCATAACCTAGACCAAAGTCGAGCAAATAGAAGACTTACCTTGAGTAGCACGATATCTTGCCGAACCATTTGCTTGCCTTATTGCCTAGATTAGTAATAGAAGGCCTGTTATAACTAGTTAGTCCACATGATACGCCTGTCGAAGAGTATTGAGAAATAGATAGAGTATCGGAAGACTGCCAAAATTAACAGATATACCATATTTCTTTTCCACTAGGGATGCACGATATCTTTTATACACCTGGATAAATGTACATAGACCAAATTTTTCAGCTAATATCTGGTCGCTATCTTCGTTGTCTTCATCGTTATAGTCTTCCCGCGCCATAGCTGATGAACTGTTCAAGAACAATACAAAAACCGAAGGGCATTGCTGCTGAAGATCCTGTATAGTCTTCGAGAAGTTTACTTGCTCCGGAATAGCATTCTCCAGGCATAACTGGATCTTGCGTCTGAAGCTTTCCTCATAGAGAAAAGCTCGTTCAATATCTCGGTGGTTTGTTTGTTAGATGTATCTCTTGAAAAAGCTGTAGACAATCTTCGTCAGCTTAATGCTCCCTACATAATCATAAAATAGATTGCCATATAATTCCAACAGTAGAAGGGGAAATAAAGAAGAAAGATATTTAAGTAATAACCAGGGCTACATTGTTGACCACCAAAAACAAACTTGCAGAATGAGACATACCGGTATTTATCTTCACCAGCTAAAACATTGCAATTGTAGGGCACAGCGTATTCTTCTGCTTGCTCCATATAATGGAGTCCGATATGTATATTCGGGCGTTTTTGCAGGGCTCGTAAAGCTTAGCTTTTTTTCAACGGCACCCCATGCTGGCTTTCCACAGAGGGGCTTCTGGTGGCAACAGACATCAAACAAGCTCTGGATAAGGATCTGTATATCTCTGCAGCATTAACAGCAACCTCTATTAGATTCTAGAGACCTTAACGTGCTGTTACAATAGCTTATGCCAGATTTTTCCGGTCTTATTTTAACATAGAATGCCAGACAAGTAAAAAATTACTCTTCGCTATTGCACAAAAAACACAGATAATATTAGCTTCAGAAGTTTCAGAAGCGCCGAAGACTCCATCAATAGCTCGATAATAGAAATCGCTTATCCAGTTTCGAACCAAATTGCACCGTAGTACAAATAAGATAATAATTAAGGCCCGAGCGTGTTCTTGTAGTTAATAACTCTCTAAGTAATGCAGAGGCGACTACAGACGCTACCAACCAGGTGGAAAAGGAAAGTATCTGAGTGCCGAATAATACACAGTCCGTCCAGCTGGGGACAGAATATAATCAAGCAATAAGCTATAAGAGATCTTAGAGTTTCCGGCGTACTTAGAGTAGCAGGGATCGAACAGGAAATAAGCAACAAGATTTAGGCTTAGACAGATCTGTAGTAGAGGCGATGGCTGCAGCGACAGACCATATTACTGGCAGAAAATATCCCGTACTAATCCTGTCTTCCTTTCGGCGATCTCTTATACTTAGACAATCTAATAATAAAATCCGCCCTTCGACACAATATCGTAGTCCATATTCAACCGTTTATTCTCCGATACTAAGTACTGCCGACATAACTGTTTTACTTAAAATCCTTTAAAGCCAGCATTATCTTGCTGCTAAGGCATATCACCAAGAAATACTAAATATAGTGCAACAAGCTTCGTATAGGTATTGTCCTCTATCTAGAGAACAACACCATCACGCTCTAACCGACGAAGACCTTAAAGAGTAAAAATAACATCGGTAAAATTGCTAGCATAAGGACCGAGAGTCACTGGGAGGATATTGCTACACTTTGCACGATCATATACGCAGAGACTAGCTAGAATAAGGTAAATGCCCATTAAGGACCGGTACATATTGCAGTAGACACTAAAGCCATTAATAAATAGCTGATATAGCATGCTATAACAATTGCCATTATCCAAAAGACTTCGTAGATGAGTTCTGCCGTATATTTTGAGCCCAAGATCTCCACGAATAAAGAAGGTCAGATTCAAAGGTTGTACTGTCAGCTCGTCGTCGACGTATCTAACCACTCGATATAAAAGTAGTGCATTATCCGAAGGCTGTATAGATCTTCATTAAAAAAAAAACCACTGTCGAAGTAATAGTTGAGAATAACATCTGCCTTATGCTGTATAACCGTATCTTCAGACACAAACACATAGTCGCCGTCCTCCAGAAGTATCTCATTTGTTAGCATGGGGCATTGCGCATCATTCAGATAATCATAGAGATATTAAGGAGCATTAGAATAGCAAATAATCGGCTGAATCTGTAGTATAACCTCTCCCCTTTCAATAAGTTATCTCTGATAACAGATTTCTGCCGACCCATAGCACACGCCCAAGATAATACCTGAATCTTCGGCACATACACAAGTCTCCTTCTAACAGCGATAGTGGGCAAACTCAGAAGAGAATACAGGCGAGTTATCGTTATATCTTGCAAATTGTCCAGAGGTAGTGCGAATGGAAGAACCCCATGCTCATAAATGCCAAAGTTCTGCCAGCCGATCCACCCATTCAGCCATACCACAATAAAGCTTTTAGCGAAAGGGCATAGACCGTGCCATCTTTGCGAGAAGTATCTCCGAATTTATAATATACAGCCAGCGAAGTGCAGTCTCAGCAAGATTTTATTCAGAAGCTGAAAGTGTCGGAAGCTTCGAAGATATAACAGGTATTTTAACGCGTTAGAGAGGTATCACTGAAACCTGCCCACGAAATTTCTTTCGTAGTATAGAAATTAACTTCGGCAATCGGTGGATTAGAGATACATCTTTGAGAGTCTGGAGGACTTTTAATAAGGATATGTAGTGGGCTCTACTTATCCCCGCGTCGAGACACCAAGTAGCTAAGAGCAGGTGAAACAGCTCCAATTCCTCTGGGCATTAGTACTGGGCCACCTCTTCGTACTCGCGCGGTGGTTGTGCTATTGATGGAGACCTTGTCCGTGGTAGCATCAAGGTAGCTGTGCTATTATCATTGGAATAACTGTCCGCTTCGGGGTGCTGGAGCTGCTCTGCAATCTGCGCTTGAATGAAACATATCGCCTCGTCATGAGCAATCTCGTCTTCAGCGCTGATAGTCGTCGACGTGTCTGTTACTCGGGGGATATTGTCCATCACATCTTCGACAATGTCGTTTGCAGTCTTAAAATATTAGCTTCAAATTGAGCTTTTGAAAAGTAGGGCATCTACCTTCAATTCTCTCACTTCAGATTCCACTGAGGCGACGCTGTCTGTGTCCAATGCGAGATTCAAATCGGAAGGCTCATCAAGAGGCTCCTCGATAGACGGGATTGGGACACGACGCTCCTCGCTTCTCTGACTCAACTCCTGCATCAGAGGATTTAGAGGCAACCCAGGCGTTCGATTCGATGCATTTCGATTAGAGAAAATCGAATGGGTCTTAGACACAAAGAACCGCTGCCGTCTTGTACGAAGGAATCGACGAGACATATTGAAGGCGTGGTGAGAGAAGAGAAGAAGGTGAGTGAAAGTGGGAGAGAAATGGGTGAAGATTCCTAAGATGACTTCCCACGCTGACGAAGTGATTTAGATCTCTTCGCTGTCCGCCTTTTAGACAACATTTGTCTACCTTCAATATAGCCAGAAAAATGTGCAAAAAAATTAGAAAAATCAGGTAGTCCTACAGTTACTGGAAATAATCTCAAGACCTTCTAGGGCTATAAAAAAATCGCTTCAAAAGGTGCTGCAGAAAAAGAGAGGCCAAATTTCGGTACATTGTCTGTCCCTATCGAATAAAACGCGAAATCGTTGGACTTAGTGACTTTTCGATATCCCCAAGAGTCTCTGATCTTCAAAATCAAATCAAATCTGGCAATTTCTACGAAATATTGCGGTGCTCTGGCAAAGTTGCCTCTATTCCTCCTGTCTATGCTGGAATAGGGGAGAATGAGTCACGTGCTGGAGTGCTTAATGCAACTGCAACTCCCTTCGTCCCTGTTTAATGATTCTCATCCTCTACCTCTTCTCTCAACCTTCGACCAAAACTTTCGACTATCAAGAAGAGCTTACGATCTTTCATTCTAAGCATCTTACTGGCGCTAAGGCCTGTCTCGGTGCTCCGGCACCGTGTCTGGAAGCTGTCGCAATGCCGTCTAAGCGTCAGACCCGAGGTACCCCAGTGAGTTTATTTTCAGACATCTCTACATCTGTGGGATATAAATTATAGCCAACTTGAATAGAGCAGTCGATCTAGAATTCCTGGTTCCGACCTTTGTGAACCGCCGATCCACAAGCGAGGAGACAAGCCAAGGCACGCTCATAACTCCAAATGCCTCGACTGAATCTTTGGCCCCAATGCAGTCTCTCCCTTCTCTGCCACTCGATCCGGCTCTAGCAAACAACGAAGAGACCCAAGTTGTGCCTGCGACTCCATCTCCTGATAGCGCAGCACCGCCTAAAGATACCCAAGTTGATCTTACTTAAAATGCCCAATAAGAGCAAGGCGAATCTTCTTCCAACAAAAAGCGACGCAAGAATTACATCACCCCGCCCGGCGCCCAAGAGTACGAACGTGTTAATGCTATTCTTCGTGAGAAGATTCTTCATAAACTTCGCTGGCAGTATCTCTGTACTCTCTCGCAAGACGGCTACAAGAAGATCATCTTCGAAGTGCTCAAAATCGATAATAAGCAGAACTATCAGTTCCACTCCGCCAGAATGCTGGTACAATCAAATTGTCGCCAATGGAAGTCTGCAACCGTGAGCAAGATGTTTGTAAGGCTTTCTATTTAATATTTGCTCTGTCCCAGCTAATTATCGTCTAGGAACATGTTGCGAACGAAAAAGAGCTTGCGCGCGCTGCCGGAGGAGAGTTCAGCATAGCCGATGCAATAGATCCAGCCAAGCTATTCCGGCACTTTGAGTCCAATTTCACCGTCGACAAATTTGAATCGGTCTTCTTTTGGGCTAAGCCTATTCTCGATTACGACAAGAGCTCTCCTTTAAGACAGTGGTACATTCGGTCGATTTATGCCAACCTTGCTGCCCAAATAAAGCTATGCCATGATTTCGATCCGAAAGAAGAGGCAGAAAAACAGGAGTACGCGAAGAACCAAGTACTTACCTTCTGGAACTCCCTTGCAAAGCATCCTCAATATAGCGATGTGGATAGAGGCTGTTTCGCACAGAAATCTGTGTCTCGCAAGAGAAAACGGCCGCAGGATAAAGCACAGGTCGACATCAATGCTCTTGTCCAGACAGGCGCCCCCCGTCCAGCGAAGACAACGGCCAGCACCACCGACTATTAGGTTCACATTCACTCCGTCGCCATCCGAGGCTTATATATGCTTAAAGATGATATGGTTAAGGCTATTAAGGTGCTTAATAATGTCAGGGAGCACTGGTTTGTTCAGCAAGGCGGAGTTATGGGCATGTCGGGCTTTGTTCATGGGATTTTTGCGATGATTTATATGACTTATAAGAATGTATAATAAGGAGACTGCGATACATGCGTCTAGTTATACTATACGAAGTTATAAAAGAAGATTCTGAAGATAAATCGACTGGTAGTATTACTCCAGCTATGCAAAAGATTTACTGGCAATAAAAATGAGGTCTATCCAGAGTGTCGTGAATTCCTCTATTTGTTTATTCTCCCATCACCTACCACTGCCCACCAGTGATTCAGTCTCCCTCCGAAGCTTTTCATTAAAGATTTCAGTCTTCAGACAAAATATGAGATCTTAAGAATAGCTGGCATCAATAATATCGAGCAAATAACGATCCAGCACACTCCTGCGTTAACGAGTCTGTCCCGAAGACTTCATCAGTCAGAGTCCTTTCTCCCCCAGATAAACGTGTTAATCGATAATAGCTAACAAGACTGTCTGAGTTCTGCAGCCGCTATATACCGTTCTTATCTGTCTGGCGAGATGCAAGTCCCTTCTGATGATGACGAAACCGATGACCTTGAGCCTGTCCGCCGTGTGTCTACGCCACGCATACTATCTACCTCTACAAGCGCTTGCGGTCTCCATGAACAGCCAAAAGCCCTGTATTCTGAAGACTTCGATGATATGCCCATCAGTGTCCGCGTAGGGGATATTGAAATCCACAACTACTGGGCACCAATGCCCAATGTCCGCCGGTGGGCAGTCGAGACGATTATCGACGAACTGAACCTCTTAATTCCGATGTGGATTGCTCATAATCATCATTCCGACGCAGGACTACAAAGCGATCGTGATATTATGCTTAGATTTTCTATGCTACGGTGCTTAGGGAAGGCTATGGAAATTCCCGATGTTTTATGGGACGTGAACAATAATCCTGGCCTAGCGAAGTGCGGACATGCGATATATCGTTATGCTCGTGCTCCTAGTCGCGAGAATTCGCGATAATTTGTACATAATAATGCCTGGGAGCTTGCTTCAGAGTGAAAGCAAAGGCTTATAAGCTCTTCCTGTCTCTCTTGACAGACTTGAATTTCTGTAGGGCACGATAGGACAACGCACTTATTTCACCCTTAACCTCACTTTTATCCGACTCCTAATCTCTCACCTCTGTCCCCCTCGTCACTTCATAATTCCACATATCTCGCAGTCGATATCTCTTGAGCGCCATTTACCGGTCCAGTTCGTTTCTGAGCCAGACTATCGACCGCCAGGCTGAGTCAAGAGAAGGCGACAACATGGAGAGGGAACGGGAACCTCGTGGAACCTCATCTACCCAGATTTCCTCCACTGCGGTCGGCTCTCGCCAGGGATCACTTGAGCCAGAGGAAAGCGATAAGTGGAGGACAGAGATTCTCGACATATTTCTCATGTACAGACCAGACATTGACTCCCTGGACGCTGAAGCTCTCTCGTTTGAGGAGGGTTGCATTCAAGAAAATGACTTGAACTGGCCATGGATGCGAAGCGATACGAGATACCAAGAATGGGTTCGGGCTGTGGAGACAAGAAGACAGCATCTGATCGAGCACCCCGTCAACACTGAACTACAGACAACAGATCCACCTCCGACCGGGGATCTCCCTACGGGACCACAGGTCCATACCGAGAGAGAAAGGTTACCGGCTCTATTGATCCCCCCTGACGTTCAGGAACAACCTCGACTCAGAGACCGAGACAACGAGCTTTCCGATTCCGAACGCATGATGCACGACCGCGAACAAGAGATACACAATGAGGATGAAGGGGTTAACCATCAGAGCCATTTACCGGTGCTAATTACGGACGCCTCTTTGGACGCCCAAGATCAAGCGCATGAAGACACCGATAGCCTCCGAGCCTTACATTCCGATGACGAAGGGGGCACCACAGCGGTGCAATCGCCGGATAGCGTACAAGAAGCATCAGAGGCGGCTCTTGGACTTCACGATGCAGCAGAGGAGGAGGAGGATCCTGACTTACGAGACGCTCTACTTGAAAGGGCAGCCGAGCTATTGGGTGAAACTTTGTTCCCTGGAGTCACAGGCCATGAACCACTGCTTGTGGATACGGGACTTCAAAGCACTTCTACTGCGGAGGGCGAGTCCGAGCCTACTGAGGGCCAGTCCGAGCCAGCGCCAGCGCCAGGAAATAACGGTACTCCCGGGGTCCAAGATACGGGCACTGGAAAAAGAAAAAGACAAATTTCACGAAAGGCAACGATGGAACTGCACCGAGATGCAAGAACCAGACAACTGACAGATGATGAGATCCGCGCGATTGCGCGCCAGCCGCCGGGGTTCCGAAAGGCCTATGTTGGATATTGGACAACAACTGGCCATATCCGCGAAAAGTTCTACAAATTCATCTTCGAAAAAGATAATAAAGGTGCATATATATTTGATGACACTGTCCAAGCTTCGAACGTGGCCAACATGGAAGGGGCGAGAGCAAGACACGAACACCCCGAACTTTTCAACAGAAGAGGCCACAGAAGATTGAAATCAGTGAAGATCCGAAAGGATCAGCGTGACCCGCATGGTCATTTTATCAAGACGGAGGTCCACGAAATGAACGAGAGTATGAGGAGAAGGGTAGTCGCAAACGCCATAAGGGGGGAGTCCCTACTTGGGGCTCTCCCCTTGGAAGAGGAAAAGAGCCGGTCCAAACTCAAGGAGGCGGTCGCTAAGGCCCAAGAGCGAGAGCTGCTTGCCAAAGCGACGATAGATGAAATAGACTCGGCGTACAGGGACAATCTGCAGGACCTTGCGAGAAGAAACCGCCAGCGAGAGTCAAAACTCAAGAAAGAAAACCAGCAACTTCAAGAGGAAGTTAAACGCCTGCAAGCGGTGATCGATGCAATGCTTACCAATATGCCGTCGGCACCCCCTCAACGGCCCGCACCACGGGGGCGTGACGATACGGATGACGACTCGATGGGTCCTGATCATTTTGCGTCGACAGATCCTATTGAAGCGTGACGCCGGCCCCATAGTGCACATCATACCACTAGCATTTCTTTTCTATGTATTCATCTTCTAGGTACAGATTTCATTGCTCGCTGCACCAGAATGAATCGGTAATCTCTTTTACTACTTTATTGGCATGCTTTTGACGTATTAATATAACTTCCGGATAGATCTACGTGTCTTTCTGCAATGAAGTTTCGTATCCGAGAACAGTGTAACCCGGATAATATTGCTGTCAAATATCCTGACGGCTGATGAGTTCCTAACGTATGGGTGGTTTGTAAACGAGTCAATTATATCCTCCAGCTGTATCTATGCGACGGTACGGCAGGTTGATATTCACCGGTCTTGGGTCTGCAGAGAGAACGTTTAAGACAACAGGGAGCGATAGACTGAGCTCTCATCGCTGTGTGCTAAGGAAGATCTGGTGCGAAGGGCCATGACGCGCGTGGATCATCTTGTTCAGTCGAAGGAGCAGCGAAGATAGAGACAGTGGCTATGCCGCTATCAAAGGTCAGAAAGATGGACTAAACGTTATGGGGAGAGGGTAGACTTACAGTGGTTGTTAAAGGGAGTAATGAGAGGGATGCGGAGTGTTGAAGTTGATGTTCTGCTGTTATCTGTTAGAGTAGCTTGATCTTGAGTGGTCAAGTTGCTTTGTCACTAATAAATCCCACATCTTGCTCTATCTACCTACCGTCTCATATTCCTCTTTCTGTCGATAGAATTAGCAGCTAGGAGAGTTAGGTTCACTCAGTAAGTCATTTTAACTACCTCTTTGTCGATACGCCCAAAATCTAAGTGGGAGTGCAATCAATTTGGCTATCTAGGAATAACGCCTAAGTACAAGAAGTCAAGATACAGCACAGTCTTGGGAATTGGTTGCTTGAAAAGCTATCAATGCTCCATCATCGTCTTATTCTCTTGCCGACAGTGCTTCCGGTAGAGAAGCATTTCATCAATAACGTCCTCTAGGCGGCGCTTAGCCTTCTGGAGTTCTGCATTCTCTGCCCGAAGCCGCTCGTTGTCTTTGGTAAGTTGGTCAATCCTGTCATGCGCATCATTCCGTTCTTTGCCATGTGTTGCCACCAGGTCTGTGATCATGATGTTGTGATTGCCGGCTTGCTCACAGATTGTGGCGTTAGCTTTGGGCTGTCTTGCGTTGCTTGCATCAGATCTTTGCTGTTGAGGGTTGCATGGGGGGGCAGATTCATGACTGGAGGCGGACAGGTGTGCGGTAACTTGTTCCTTTCCTGCGGTTGGAACGGTTGTGCTCTTCGCAGATGTGGCAATAGCTGCAGTGAGCGCTTTGGAGCTATTGTGCGTGTGAACCGGGGATGTGCCGTATCCATCCTCCCATGAGTATCGGCCAACTCCGTATCCTGCTTCAGATTCTTCTTCGTCGCTTTGTTCAATACAGTCGGTTTCCGAGGGGCTGGTGAAGAAATCAAGATGAGGGCTTGAAGCATCCTCACGCTGGTTACGCAGTTTTCGAAAAGTTGCACTTCTTGTAGTTGCATCGCCACTAGGAGTTGGTTGGACGGGGTTGCTGAATATCGCACTGGCTGGTTTGGCTTTCTGGAGGGAGGTCGGTGCGTCATTGTTGTCAATAGGAGGTGAACAATCACGGCCACTCGTAGTAGAGTCGGTAACTGTAGTTGTAGGTAGATGCGGGCGATTTTGCCGTTGTAACATGCATGCCTTCATGCGGATTTGACAAGCCTTGCGCGCGAGCGACAACTTCTTGCTAGAATCTTTCTCGGCCTGTATCTCCTGATCTAGCTTATCTGCGGCGGCTGTAGCCTCCTCCACAGTTTGATAATCATCCTCCACAGAGCATACGGCATGCTCACCGATATTTGTTTGAGAAACTGTGGGTGGAAGGGTAAAGAGTGCAGCTTTCGGTGTGTTATCTGCTGGAGATGGATAAGCGGCGGTTCGATCGTAGGCTCCTTTACCGACTGCTTCGGGTTCCTTTCCCCCTGCCACCCAGGTGGAGCGTCTGAGGGTGTTAAGACGAGTGAATCTGCTTGTCTGGCGACTTCCTCCCAATATCTCAGATGTGGCCGTTCGCGCGACCTGAGGGGAAACGAGTGGCATTGTAAAAGTTGTAAAAGCGTCCGCAGTCGGACTCTGGCCCCTCGGGGATCTCTGGCTTTCTTCCGACATTGGAGTTGGCTTCTTATGAACAATGGCGTCAATCTCAATGTCATGATGAGGTCTGTGATTTGGTGAACTTACTGATGGTTCCTGGGGAGGCGTCTGATTTGGAGCCATGGGAGGCTTGTCGCTACCTAATACCTGACCCTTAGGCTGCGACGACCTCTGATGGTGTTTAGAACCTGGTTCCATACTGAGGAACAGGAACTGAAAGCGTTTTCGTGATAATGTGGACTCTTTTGGTACGATAAACGGATGAGGATAAGAAGGCTGTGATGATCGAGTGAGGGATATGGAGAGTGAGATTAGATGAGGGAGATGGGGAGACAGGGAGATGAGGTCCACGGTATAACAAAGAGGGAAAATAAAATCTGAAAATGAGAGGTGGAAAGTGCAATTGTCCCCATCCCATATTTTCTTGATTTTTTAATTAGGATTCTATGCTCCGTTATGGGATATGTACCCATCCAATTTCTTAATACTATTGTCTCGTGTCTTCTTGCTCATCTGGCCCTTATAGTTAAAGTATTCTGGATTTTTATGATGAAACTGTTTCTGGTATACATACTCTATATTATAAATCCGGTGTGATTTCAGGATCTAATCTTGCAGTCTGTATCTTATTAGAGATGATAAGGAAGGGTGTCTCCATATATACTAATGGCATATAGAGGGAGTCAGGGCATTTTAATGAAGTAATTAGTCATATATCACCCCATCATGCTCTATATTCTTATTTTGCTCTAGTATTAGTTACTTTAGAGAAACCTATACATTAATGCAAAGAATTCTATTATATTAAATAATGGGAATACTGGTACAATATCTGTAGAGCATAGGTAAGTTGGTGGTGGGGCGCCATCCCCAGTCCCTACAATACCGAAGTTACCTACCTAGGTATCTACCTTTGTAGTCCTTTAGGTAGATACCTACCTTGCTCACAACGCGTCGATTACGGCTACATACACGCGTCTCAATCTTCCATCACATCATCGAAGTCACCTACCATATCCCCTCAACCGATCTAACGGCTGCGTTATCAAAGATGGTTCGGCGATCAGCACGACTCGCAGCCCGAGCCCAAAAGCAGGCTTCTCTAGCCACTGATGCCCTTTCCGTTGAAGGGGGCATCACTCTCTCCGACATTCAAACTGGAGACAGCTCTACCGATATTCGTCGCTTTATAGGGGGAATCACCATCCCTGATAGCCAAGACAGTTCCGAACCGTTCGAATTTGATTCTACGGGTATCCTTCGCTTCGCAGGCGATATTACTATTCCTGATAGCCAGGATAGTTTCGAGTACATCGAGTGGAGTTCAGCTACCCCTGAAGGTACCTATAAAACATTCTCCCTATTTATGGATAGCAAATCACCCGAATCCCAATGTGGCCCATCTTGTTTCAACAGTATTCTCTAATATCTCGTTCTATCAGGCAATGAAAATCCCGATAACAATGACAATGGAAATACCGACACGGAAGGCGATGTTCTCTCGGAGTCCAATGTCCCATCTGACAATGAAATGGGAGAGGACAACGAGGACAACGAGGACAACGAGGACAACGAGGACAACGAGGACAACGAGGACAACGAGGACAACGATAACAGAGACGATTTGTCTTTCGAGTTCTATCTATCGTCAGATGAGGATATGAAAGAGGGCGAAGATAACGATGAGGAAGAGGACATCATCCTGGAGATCGACATCACCTCAGATGACGAAATGGACGAAGAAAACGATGAGGAAGGCAGCACAGATACCGACGATACCGAGAGCATCGCCAGCGAAGACCTGGACATTGGTGAAGATACAGCAGGCAAGTAATTTTTACTACTTCTATCCCCTCGTATCTTGGACTGGTTTCGACTACTGACTTTTGGATCATATTTTGGACTACTCGAATACGGCACTTATTTAACGACCGACCACTTGGACGGGTAGAATTTTGGTTGGCAATTTTGGGTCACTATTGGACTATATCAGCTTATATCCCCTTCTCAAATAATATACACAGCTCGCTAATACGTAAACAGATGGATATAGGAAAACTTTCGAAGAAAGAGTCCGTGCAATCATCGATACGCTTTACGGCTTGCTCGAAAATGCGGGTGATCAGGAAGGACTCCGCAAAAACATGCTCTCAACCATGGACGGCTTTGAGAAGGATGATCTCACGGAACGTGTTTTGCAGGCCTTTCCAGAAAAGGTTAAGATATTACTCGGCATGCCTACAATTCTCCCAGTTCGGAGCCTGGCCAGGTACCTCCATAGGGCAAAGACCAAGAAACAAGGAGTTTACTGCATTTTTGCTGTTGATGGCAAGCTTAGGCTTGAGGCTCGATATATCGGCAGCTCGAAAACCATCCGTATCAGGATCACGGGGCATATATGGAGAATTGCCCGGAAGTCTACAAGCCTTTATGCATACCAGATCCTGGCAAAACCAGGATGGAAAATTTCCTCACGTGCACTGGTCCAGGACGATTGTGTGCCACCAGAAATACGGTTTATGTGCGAAACCATATGCATGCTGCTACTTGGAAGTTTCTATTCCGATTTCGACAACCACCGTTTGTTTCCCCCCGGGACCAAGGAAGTCCTTAGGCAACTCCAAGTACGGGGTATTCTTGATCATCCCGATGAGGAGACCATACCCCTGAACAAGTCATTACCGGTCTTCACTTACCCGTGTTTCGGCTGGTTCCTGACTCGCACGGAGCCGGCAACATGTGAGGCATGCGGTCAACGTCCTCCCGTCAAGCGCTCTCTACGATTCGGGCAACACCTTTGCCTTACATGCATCAACCAAAAGCGATACGATGCGCTTGATGACGCTTTGAAGACCGGGCCGTGTGCGTGGTGTCTTGTGGCACCGCTACCTGCTGACGGGGATTACCTGCCATGTATCATCAATGGCCAGGCGTACTGCGGAGCCTGCAAAAGATCGTACGTTACTAGAGGTGGCTTTCGGCCTCGGCGGAAGGAAAAATACCAGGAGAAATGTGCATGCAGCAATTGCCCTTTCCGTTTAACTCCTGAGACTGCTCGGCTGGTCAAAGGCAAGCGGTACTGCCCACGTTGCGGCCCGTTTTTCAAAGGCAGGGAGGATGGAGCCGAACATAGGCATGGGTTGGGGAAATGCGAATGCCCAGGATGTCCCATGCACGTTACTTGGAAGCTTCCGCTTGACAAGCGCTTAGTGTGGCATGGGGAATCCCAGCGCTATATCTGTCAGGAATGTTATGATCTGACGTCCAGCGGCATAGCTGCTCAAGAACATGCCCATAAACGCCCATCCTGCCAATGCCCGGATGGGTGTGACAATCCGAAGTCACAGGCGGTTAAATATAGTTCCAAACTTGGGGTATATCTCTGCATGAAGTGCTGGGCGTATTGGTACCTACCGACCAAACACCCAGATACTGACACGCACGTTCATTAGATATAGACAGATACGGATGCAGGAGACTCGGGTAGCAGAGGTTTCTGTATTTTTTAGACTATTCCACAGAGAGAGACGCTCATAGGATGTAGAAGGATATGGGATACGGCCAATGCAGACGGCAATAATTCTGTATTTATTAACAATGTATTATAAAGAGCGAATGCTTATAACTTGCTGTTGTTTCGACTTACAAAGATCAACATGCCAACGGTGAATCACCCATCAAGGGATCTCTCCGGGGCCATATGGCCCGGCAAAATCCCCAGTCCAAGGCCATGATCGACTCTCTAGCCGTTTCTGGGTCGCAATTGGAGCAGGAGGTCATGGTCCTCTTCACAGACCCTCATCACCACTATGTGACCCCCAAGTTCTACACAGAGACCAAGCCTCAGACAGGGAAGGTCGCCCCGACATGGAACTATTCTGCCGTCCAGGTATACGGAAAAGCGACCGTGTATTATGATTCCTCCCGCGAAGAAACCTCCCGATACCTTGCGCAGCAACTGCACGATTTGTCGCAACACTGCGAGACGAACATCATGGGATATACGGGGGAATCAGGCAGAGAAGCGCCATGGACGGTGGATGAAGCGCCCGAGGGCTTCTTGAATATTCTGAAGAAGAACATCATCGGGATTGAAGTGTCCATTGAACGCATTCAGGGGAAATACAAGATGAGCCAGGAGCGTGTCAAGGGTGACCGGGAGGGCGTGATCGAGGGATTCAAACACCTGCAGACGGACACGGCCGATTATATCGCACGGATGGTCGAGGAAAGAGGCGCAATAAAAGATCAGGCAAAGCAATAACACTTTCAGCACAATGATACCTCCTACCTGGCCCTTGAACCGTACATTGGAGCACCAAACGTAGTGAATTATATCTCGTCTCTATACTCCGTAGCTACCTACCTACCCAGTACCTACTCTGACCGACATCTAGCCCAACTATTAATTCAATCGGGGCATCACTCATCACCTTTGGCTCTTTCAGTTCCCTCTGTGATGGACGGCAACGATGGACTGGCGCTCTCCACTGTCTTTTTTGGCTTCCCTTTTCTCTCCTCCTTCAGAACGTGGAAAACCTGCTTGATCTGCTGAACACCTCCATCCAGCAAGGGATAAAAAATGGCTACCAGCATGGTACCCCAGAGCCAGATGATCGAGACCACCACCCACGCGATGAAGAACTAGGACGGGTTAGCAGGAATTTCTATCGAAGATCGACCGGCAAAACAAACCCTCTTCCCAAAGACATAATTGGACCCGTACATGGGCAGCGGCCAGAGGACCCAGTGGCCGAGGAATGTCGCAACAGACCAGAACGCTGCAATCCGCCCCCATCTCTTCAATTCACGGGGGTCGAAAGAAGGTCTACCATGCTCCAATTGACTTCCATCTCGACCATCTTCAGGGTTCCGACTCTGCACTGTGGTGAGATCACTTTGGAGTCGTTCTAAAGCCAGCTTTTCCTTTCTGAAATCATCCCAGTTGTAGTTCTGCGGTCGAATAGCGGTGATTACCACAGAGTACAGTATTGGCGACAGGGCACTCCCAACCGTACCATAGACACAGGGAAGTATCTGCCCAGTAGTCGACACTGAAACGGATCCGTAGAAGTGTTGCGCTGTCCCTAGCCATACGCCGATCCCAGTTGCCATACCCAGAATAGGTGAGAGAATGGCTGCAGCTTTGCTCTGTCGACGCCAGAGTATAGTGAACGACATTGGAAAGATGCCAGGACATGTCACCACACCTGATTCATTAGACAGATATCCAACAGCAACATGTCCGGTAGGATACTTACCCAGCATATACAAAGTCCAACCCAGGTCTATGCCTACATAGTGCAACATGGTACTAAAACCAGCAGAGAATGCCGCAAAGAAGATGACTCCAAAATGGCTTGCACGGATGATATCCCGGTCCGACGCACTCTTTTTGAAATATTCACGATAGACATCGAAACTGAGGATAGAGCTGACGGCAATGACCTGGGCGGAGAGCGTGGATGTCACTGCCATGAAGGTAATCAGGAGAATCGCTGCGGCTCCTCCTTTCCCTGCGATAGTGATAGCAGCGTACGGTAGGACCAAGCCATTGCTGACCTCAGTTGAAGTCATTCTCTGTTCCAATGATCAGCGCAAGCTACTCAATCCCTTCGCGATCCAGTACTCACCCGTGGATAGGTTGGAAATGCGGGTTGGTTTTCAAGGCCCAGTGCTACAGAACTCATTATCGTGCCTAAGCCCCAGGGAATGCTAAAGTACGCGATCCCTCCAATGGTGTAACCCGGAACGACTGATGAAGGGGCAGCTGAAAACGCTTTGATGAAGTAACTTGTGTCCATCTAGATCTTGGTCAATATATCGAGTGACAAGTTTCCGGGGACGGCGTACAATGACAAGGCCAAAGTTAGAACAGATATGAAGGATGCCGAACAAGATTCCCTTTACATCTGTCAGTCATCTAGTAGTGCACGACGTGCAGCGTTTTCACTCACCCCCTTCGAGGTCATGGTCAGGTATGTTCCGTCCTTGTTGCCAGACACAGGATGATTTTGTCCTGCTACATTTAGAAGATCATATAGATTACCGATCGACCCAATTCCCTCAAATGTGAAGGCCTTGATAGAAAAGTAGCAAGCGATGATCAAGATAATTGTCGTATGGAAATAATCCGTAAGGAACCTGGTCAGGACATTAGCCACTACCTCCCCAGGCATTTCGGTTGTTGTACCCACGTTGCTTTGATGCCTCCTACAAAGGTGTAGACAGTCACTCCGACAGGCAGCAGAAAGGTTGAAGCAACAATATGCATTCCAGTGCTTTTCAAATTAGTACCCATGTACTCTTGGGTATGGCCATACTCACAGAGATGAAATAACAGCGGCAGCTCCAAGAAGCATATTGGCGCACGCAAAGATATTATTGATCAAACAAAGTACCATAAACACTGCATGGGCAACTCGACCTGGCCAATGTTAGCCACTAACATAGCTGATATGGAGTAATAAGCTCACCGTATCGGATGCGAACGACCTCAAGGGACGTATGAGCCTCAGGAATTTTTCGTTTGCAGGAGATACCCAGGAGAGCGAAAAACACAATCATTGGACTGCATCCGGCTGCGAACCAGAAAGGACCTGCAACTCCGTAGTCGTATCCGACAAAGGACGACCCAAGCATTGCCGTAGTCCAGAGCCATGACTAACGTTTGTTAGAGTCGAAAATGGAACGCAATGTCCGACATACAGATATCACCGCAGATGCTGTCAAGCCTGTACGGACAGTTCGGTTCGCCGTCATGAACCTGTAGTGTGGTCAGTGACATGTTTCAAGAATATGTAGTTGCAGAATATACATCTCAGTCTTCTTGTTGTCCTCCCCAGCGGCCCGTTTTAGAATTTGTGTCAAGACCATCATCACTGCATGTCGTCAGTGAGGTACATCGGCGACCGACACCAGTACCAGGCCACATACCAAATGCAATGATAAGACCAATTACAACCACCACCACATACCCGACAGCCTGTGATAGTGGTGGCTGTATTGTGGCATTTCTTCGTGCTTCGAGCATCTTTCTTGCGCCTGGAAAGAGACATACAGTTCCCTACGGGGCCGGTATACTCCTTTTTAGCTGCGAATAGAGGTAAATGGACAGAATAGTAGATTTGGAGACGACCTTTGTCTTATCTACATTACTGGCCTACTGGATGGCGCAGATATTAAGTGTATGACGACGATGTTGACCCGATCCTCAATCTTGGTCAACAGGAACCTAGCTCGCGAGCAGCACCGCTGGGAAGGGAAACCATTGGAGATCTGCAATAACGAAAGAAATGCCCGCTATGATATGATCTGGAACATATATGAGGTGCTCCATGTGATAGACTATGGATTCGAGTAGAAGTCTGAAACATGCAGTGTATGAACTCCCGGTTCCTGGGAACAAATCATAGGGAACTCCGACAGTGTGGTAGCTTTGCGTACTATCATCACGGATAGCTGACTGCAGATTACATGGATCCTGTTCATCTTCGGATCGTTTTATGGTGAATTAGATGAACCCCAGAGCCATCTCGTGATGATATGCTCCAGAGGCTGAACCCATGCCGAGTGGACAAATTTAGAAATGATTCTTTAACTCTAGGCGATGTATAACTAGATTGTCACAGATATTGATCAACAATTTTGTTTCTATGTCTTTGGATGGAATATGAGTGTTATTCGGGTAGGGAGCTAGATTGCGTGATGATGATGGGTGTTGACGACCACGCCGGCCCAGGCTCGGTGCCAATAATTCGGCATTATTTCCAGGCTTAATAGAGGAAGATATGGGGTCCCCTCTTCAAATCCCGATAACCTTGAATGATAAGTGTGGTCGTCTGTACCCATCGTTCGACAATGTGCCGTATGGCGTCATTTAAGCTCCACTGTGGTGCTATGAAGGAGCAATATACGCCTCGACGCACACAGCGGGGAAGGGTTGGATAAGAAGCGGATCATACTCGTGCTGATAATAGCTCCCTTGGGTAACTACTCTTTTTCCCAAGGAAGGTTTTGTGGAGTGTAGCCTGGCTATAAATTCCGCATCAGGACTGTTCAATCCGAAGCCATCAATCTTGTGCGATTTATATTCGAATAGCAGCAAAATTTCCCTAGTTGGACAACTATGACAGCCTCAAGCAATGTATCGACGGCCACCACGCCGCAAAAGTCATTGATACTCAATGCCTTTGTTGAAATGTGTATGTCAGTCCACCTTGAGTCCATTTAAGACTACCAACATTTAATTTAGGCAGCGGACACCAGTCTCCTGGTCTTTGGCGACACCCAGAAGATGAATCTCATCGGTTTAACGACATTGAGCATTGGATTGAGCTCGCTAAGCTTCTAGAGTCAGCCAAATTCCACGGAATCTTCATTGCCGATGTTCTCGGAGGCTACGATGTCTATAAAGGCCCGAGAAATCTCAATCCCGCCATTGTATCCGGAGCACAATGGCCAGTCAATGAGCCACTAGCAGTTGTCCCTGCAATGGCAGCCGCGACGCAGAATATTGGGTTCGGTGTCACGGTAACTACAACGTACGAGCAGCCGTATCATCTGGCTCGACGGTTATCAACTGTTGACCATCTTACCAAGGGACGGTAAGTTGCCACTCCGCGGAACTTTTACATATATCACTAAGCCCTGGATCCTTCGCATAGCATCGGGTGGAACGTGAGTAATACCCAGCTACTGGTTTGAAACGATAGTTTAATGCTGATTGACGATAGATTGTAACTGGGTACCTGGATTCGGCTGCCCGCAACCTAGGGCATGCCCAGCAGCCTCAAGTATGCGTCACTTGGTCCCTTCAAATGGGATTTTAATGAGCCTCGCTGACATCAATCAGCACGATGACCGGTATGCGGTTGCCGAGGAGTATGTCAAGGTGACCTACAAATTATGGGAATCAAGTTGGAGGTCAGATGCCGTAGTTCTCGACAAGGAGCGAGGCATATACACTGACCCGGCCCGTGTCCGCGAGATCAATCATGTTGGCAAGTACTTCAACGTACCAGGACCGCACATCTGCCAGCCGAGCCCCCAGCGAACTCCGGTCATCCTCCAAGCGGGGACCTCGAAAGCAGGAAAAGCATTTGCCGCGCAGCACGCAGAGGCGATATTCGTTGCCGGACATAGTCCATCTGTGGTCGCAAAGAATGTTGCAGATATCCGAGACCTGGCCAAAACGGAGTTCGGGCGGGACCCCCAGAGTATCAAGTTTCTCGCTCTACTATGTCCTGTTTTGGGCACCACGGAGGAAGAAGCTTGGGAGAAGTTCAGATACTATCGCAGTCTGGGCTCCATTGATGGAGCTCTGGCCTTGTTTGGTGGATGGACTGGGATTAATCTTGATACATATGCAGATGACCAAGAGTTGCGGCAGGTCGAGAGCAACGCAATCAGGTACAATATCCATAACACACCCTGACTTCATTGCATCCATTAATTGATTTTCACATAGATCTGCAGTCGAAGGCTGGTCAAAGGCGACCCCGGAGGTAGCAAAGTGGACCAAGGCTACTGTTGGTCAGCACATCACCGTGGGAGGACTGGGAGCAACGCCAGTCGGTACACCTCAACAGGTGGCAGATCAAATGGAGCGCTGGGTACGGGAAGCCGATGTAGATGGGTTCAACCTGGTAAGTTTGGATGATATATTGATGTCCGGAATGTCAGAGCTAACAGCCGTTGCAGGCCTATGCAGTGAAGCCAGGTTCATTCAAGGACATAATCGACCTTCTCATCCCTGAATTGCGGAAACGTGGACTGTTCTGGGATGATTATGCTGCACCAAAAGGCACCTATCGTGAAAACATCTTCTCAAAGCCCGGCCAGACTGGCCCTCTTCCGGATCACCCGGCCGCCAAATATCGGTGGAATGCAGGTGTCGACGCTGCTGACCACGAGATTCCGAACAACTAGTAAGAATTGGCGAGGTGAATTTATTCACTCTGCTGCCGTGATTGAAATCATGGCTCTAGAGGTTAAAATTCTGGTCAAAATTGATTCCACTTCCGATGTGTAGTATGTCTGAATATTCTATATCTCATATGTGTAGTTCGATGCAATATATCAAAAACTCCGCCCATTAGAATGCAAGTGCCCGTCAGCTAGGTATACTGGTAATAACTGTCGGCTATCAACAACACACAGTCAACCTCACTGCGGAAAAGTGCACTAATCTTCGTCAAACGCCGGGAATGCATCCCAGCCCATATCCTCCTCCGGAGGCTCCTCTGCTAGACACCTCGAACATCGACAGATAAATCGAAACGATGTCTGAAGATGGTCTCTCCGCTCTTTCAGATCCGCAAATCTGGTCAGATCGAAGTATGAGATGCAGCATTCTTCGCCTTCCCGGATATCTCTTGAGGCGACAAATACCATGCGACCATGGCTATCGGGTTTGTGTGTGATCTATGGGGCTAAGGTTAGTGTCTTCTCTTTCTGATGAAAAGATTGTGTAATGCTCACATTAGGACAGCAGGAATGGTTAGCTATGGCAGCCCGGGGATAAACGGCAGCGCCAAACTGCTCTCCTCGGTCAACCAGTGGCCCGGGAAGGAGAGGCGTGCCTGTCTCTCTGGGATACAAGCCAAACGAATTGGCTTCCTCCTTGCATATAATGGCCAAAACTTCATCGGTAGTCAACCCATGGGGTAAAACCGGACTGTCCTTGAGGTATTTCTTAGTTAAAGCGCTCCAATGCCGGACTTGAGAATGTGACCACGTCTCATGCGATCCGCAAAACGATTGAATCGCACCCCAACCCGTCCTGAAACTGTGGCTTCGTATATCGGCAGTACCCAGATCCACGCAGACTGGCTCCTCTTCCACAGACCGCGTAGCAAGGATGCGCACAATCAGCCATAACATGCCAAAGTCATATTCACCCCACTTTGACCGGATGGGTGCTGCGAATCTCTGCAGCCAGGTACATTCGAACGCATGTCGACGTCTATCGGCTGTCTGACATGCCGGGCTACACCAGGCTACATCGGCGATGCAGTGATTCGGACATAATACCCTGCCTGTGCCGCAGGGGACGCGCTGATTACATCGGGAATGACTGCATAGGAGATTCTCACTGCGCAGGGGCTCATCGACGACTGGAATCACAGCATATGGGCAGTCCACCAGGAGAAGTTCGCCTTTCTTCACGGTCTGGGAGACCTGTAATTGACGGCCCTTGATTGGGTCAACGGAGTGCCGCAGATGAGGGTGGACCCAGGAGTCAAGAGGATTGCTGGCGACACCAGCCCGAGACAAATGCTCCTTCGTCGCGTGGAGTCGTTTCTCGGCCACGGGAGGTGGTGATGCCATGGAGGAATGACCCTATCGGAGGGGTTCGTTGGCCGCGGGACAAAGGGGGTTTGGGGTTTGATGCGATAAGATCCCAGAGACCCCATCGTGACCGCATTTCTTCAAATTTTGCACTCGGTACGGGTCTCCCTGCACTTTCTCCCGTGCCCCCGGGGCCCACTGCAGCAAACCGTGGATAACGCAGCAATTTGCCATAGTGGAGTCCCGGTGGCAGCCAATTAATCGAAGCTATCCCGAAGCGGGCCTGGACGTGTATCGCCGGCAGACGGATGGCGTTCAACGAGGAGACGCTAGTCCGGACACGCATGATTGTGCGGGAGAAGATGGCTAGGAATAGCGGTTGGTTGAGATGCATTGCGGAGGTTGCTGCCAGCCTGGAATAAGATGGCTGCACGAGTGGTCGAGATGGTGAGCAGCCCTGTATAGCTGACTAATCAACGGACATTGGGAATATCCGAAGGCAAAAAGAGAATGAACATCGATCAGTCGCTACAACAGGCTATGATAGATGGAAGCTGATTAGAATATTGAGTGCACTCTAAGGTATTAGAGGATTCAGAATCAGAGTATAAGTATCTGTCCTCTGAGAGGATCCAGAAACATGAAGATGTGCTGCGTACATCACCACAGCAAACAAAATATATTGTTCCTTTCATTGTGATAAACAACCAGAGCTGAATCATTGTTATTATTCATTCCAAGTCCTTGTGATATCTTACACAGCCACACTGGAGGGATCAAAAAGGGGTCAGCCCAAGCGCCCTAAGTCTACACTTCGCTGTGGGATTGGCCACTGTAGATGAAATCACAATCGATCAGCCTCATCCTGCGGTGACTCTTCGTATTTTTGCTTCTCCCACCAGTCGCTGGCATCGGTTTCTCGCCTATTAGCACGGGCCCATTGGCGTGCTTGCTTACCCCTCCAGGGCGACAGTGCCCAGTGCCTGTTGCCTTATCAGCGGACGCAGGCCATGATTAATACATGGAAGGAGGCTTTGCTGCTTATTTCCGATGCTAGAATTAGACAGCAACTCTGGTGGATACGACTCCAGCATGATTCTCCACCTGAATCGCACCCTGCTCAACCAGCTCCTGTACACCCATCTCCATGAGCGAGGACCCGATTCACTCGCTTTGTGAGCGATTTTACGTCCGTCTGCGGGATTGTCGGTCTACGAATGTCCAGAATTATGCCTTCTTTCCCAACGGAACTGCCAAGAATGTCTTCCACACGAACCAGGCAGAGCTGCGCGAACTTCTCGGTTATACATGTCAACGCTTCGGCATCTCCACCTCAACCCCCGTCACCAGCGAGGCGGATCTGGCACGAAGAGTGCTTGCGGATTTCAACAACATTCTGGCGGCCATTATATGGGCTAGACTCCCGTCAGCGGAGGAGTTTTTGAGAGATTTCCTTCACCTCTTTCCAGAGATAATCGGGAGCATCGCGCGACCCCTGATCACCGATGATGACCTTCCCATCTCCCTGCCCCTCGCCCGCCGAGTATTCCCGACCAACGCCCAGGACTTTTACGACGAGCAGTTTCGCTTTTGCGCCGTGACACTGATGAAGAGAGAGGAGGTGATTTATAAGGGGGAAAGATGCTTGTGTCCACTGCCCTATCTCGAGGAAAGTGAGATCGCCGAGGGCTCCTTTGGACGAGTTTTTCGTGTTCGCATTGAAGGACAACACGTTGTATCGCGAGGCAGCCAGAGCATTAACCAGAAGCCGAGATACTGCGCGAGGAAGGACTTTCCTGTTAATCATGAACGTGCGTTTCAGTGGGAACAGGAAATACTAAAGCGCATCCACCGACAGCCCCGAAGCAACGAGAATGTGATGGTGGCCATTGCTAGTCTGCAATACGGCGACACCTACAGCCTGTTCTTCGAGTTGGCATCCTGCAACCTCTGGGATTATCTGTATGGAAAATATGACAGTACCAGGCCGGTTCCCTCCGGCGTGGAGACGCGAAGCGACATCTACCGCCGTGGAGTCGCCCTGGCCGGAGCGCTGGCTTTCCTACACCATGAGTTTCGCGACCAGAAACTAGACAATTTGTCATGTTATCACCTGGATCTGAAGCCACACAACGTTCTCGTCTTTAATGCGTATACGCCGGCGGAGATCTGGAAGATTACCGACTTTGGTGTGTCCCGCGTCAAGGGTCGTAGCGATGACGGCGAGGAGGTGCAGATGCTGACGCCGTTTCTACGCAAAACTCGGCGGGTCAAGGCTCCGCGAGAGGAGCTGACGCGCAATCCTCGAGGCGAAGGAACATATCTCGCGCCCGAATGCGCCCAGCGGAACGGAAAAGTGGGCTCTGCTTCCGACGTGTGGTCGTGGGGCTGTATCTTCAGCCTTGTGATGACCTATCTCGAAGGAGGGCATGCAGCTGTGCAGGAGTTTCGCATTGAACGTCAGAAACAAGAGCACCGGGATGCTTTTTATGTCATGAAGAGCAACAACACGGCCCAGATCTCTCCTACCATCATAAGTTGGTTCAACCATCTCCGTTACCAAGCGCGCGTCAACCGCAACGGCCGTGAATTCGAGCTAGTGCGACAGACTCTTGATTTCTTGGAAAGACGAGTTTTACTCCCCAATCATACCCAACGGGCTACGGCCAAGGAGGTTGAGACTTGTCTGTCCCGGTTCAGCCACTTTTACTATGAGCAGCCATCGGAAGAGCCGCGGGCGAAAGGCGTCAGGGCATCGATTGCCCGATGGAAGAACCGTATCCCATTGTCTTCTTCCGCAATTCCCTCCGTCAGGTCTCAGGACCTTCCTGTTGATATGGCGTCAGGCATTAGGGCGAGCCTCTTTTCTCCCGATGGGGAACTACTGGTATTTTACTCTCCACAGTCCATCAAGGCTATCCCGACAAATCAGATAATGCAATCGATCACTCGGCAAACAGCCGTACCTGATTTAGTGACAATCTCCGAGCCAAAAGGCTCATGGGAGTGCGTGGCCGTGAGCTCGAGATATATTTGCGGTGGCTTAGCAGGGGACTGCTTCGACGTAAGTTGTCACTGAACGATCATACTACTAAAATGTGTGGAAAGACAGTCTGACATTCCTTGTGCATAGTGCTATGTGTATCCTGTCCAGTCAATTATGGCGTTATACGCCCCTGGGACAAGTTCACCTATAGAGGGAAAGCGCATCTATCAACAACATCTTGGTCCGATCAAGAAGGTCGTGATGTCCGAGGACGGAACGCTAACGGCCTTTCTGATCAAGCGGAAAGACTCAGATACAATGGTCTATCTGGCATACACACCAGATCTCATCGACGAACCGAGTGATAAGTAAGCTGCGACATGCATCGGTGTTGAGCTATCCGCTGACCACAATTTTGTTAGGGGCTTGTCACCTCCTTCCAGCAGATCAAATTCAGCAATATCCCACGGCGACTCCGAGCATGCCCTTCCCGGAGGCAACATGATCGCCCAAGACTATAAAGTCGGGCCGATGAAAGACATCCGTTATGTCGGATTTTCCAGTGACAGCCAATATCTTGTAGTTGTTTCGATGCCAGACGAATCCCATTTACTTGTCCGGGCCTGGGACACACAACGGGGGAGTTTATGCGGAAACCTCAGGGTTCGCTTGCAGGTAGGGCACTTTCTAGTCGGCCTGTTCTATGGTAGTACTGACCAGTACTCGGCAGGCATCTGCAGCATCGTCTGAGAAGCTCTTCACGGCATGCGCTTTGTTTCACGGACAGCCTCGTTTGGTGATCCTCTGCCACCGGAGGTACCTTCTTTATGTGACTTCCTGGACTTGGAACGGGGTTCTTCATACCCTTCCTGGGGACTTTTCCAACATGTTTCATGTCTTTGTTCGCGAGGACAATGAGCATCTAATATTCCTCGGAGACAGCGGTGATGACCGCCTCCTTCGGGTTTACCAGATGCGCATTGCAGCTGGACCTCCAGCGCCACATAAGATAGCCATGACCACGTTCGGGTCTTACAAACCCCACCTTGACACTGCCAGCTTGACCAAGAATGATAAAGGCGAAAGGGAAATGCTTATTGGTACAGCAAGAGGCGCCTTCCTTGCCATAAATCTGCCCCAGGATACTTCTGGCTGAAGTTATACTCGAGGCCGCTTCATTCAGCACATACAAGCAAACACAATACGGGCTGCCAAGCTCTGCCTCTATCAGACCCGGTCTATTTTATTCAAGCCATCGCCATGGTCTCATCTTTCTTGTCGTTCTTGTGTCTCCGCCGCCGGACAAACCACCAGTACGATACGGTGGCTACTGTAAGAGGAACAGAACAAACCACCCAGATCCAAAACTGCGGAGACACCACAAGCCTATGACTGTTTGGGTCCATTTCGAAGAATGAATTCATTCCAAGAAGGGTCTGCGCATATGAAGTCAGATATTGACGTTTCCCCTGCTGGGCAAGCCCTCGCCTGGCGTATTGGAACTTACCGCCATGAATGTGGAAGGAAGATAAATCAACGTCACGATGGTGATGACCCGCACGGTCATGGAGTCATCACTCGTCGACACCGTCAAATCCAACATGTAGTCCGTCTGGGCCTGTGTTGTGATAGAGATCTTGAATGAGATCGCATCGGACAGGAGCTGAGCTGCCCGTGCTGTTTGGCCCTGCAGAAATAGCGCGCTCTGCGAATAAGCATCCACATGATTCAAATAGTTATCGAGCAGCTGTCGCATCGCTTCTGTCTTTGGCTGCCCTGCTTGCCCATGATCTTCCAGGAACCGATTAGCAAGGTGCATTTTGTCGAAGATCTCCCTGGTTGATCGAAATATCGCCTGTAATGGCGCGCAACTGTACTCTACGGACCGAACAGCTGCGAGGTTCCGGTGGTTGTCGTCGAGACTGCCATTAGTCCTATTGGTCAGTCCGGTCACTGGTGACTACGATGTTTTTAGCATGACGAGTTTACCCCCAACCCATTCAGATGCAACTTACTACAGGTAACACCCGAGCCTGGTTGTACGCCAAATAGTCCCTCCAGTTTGGAAAGTAGGTGGCAAACAGGATGTTATGCATGAGGAGCGGATGTTCCATTAGCCTGGCGTACTGATCTGTGGACACGAGAGCCTCTGTCAATCGTCGCTGGAAGGGACAGTCCGTCGTTGGATGCATGAAGATCCAGGTGGAGGAGTTGGTCTCTTGGTCATACTGTTGATAAACCCCCGTCTGGCGGATTACCCACGATACACCGTCGTCTGTAGGTTTTAGGAAGGCGTATTTAAAGACATAGGCAATTTCTGCGGTCGCAAATGGCAGTTAGTCTGGTATTTGGATTCAGTGAGATTCGAGTGCATTATACCTAGAACACTGTTGTTATCTTTGTTCCACCTGACAAATGGGGCACCACTGAATGCCTCCTCCACGGGCAGAGTCCTCTGACAGAAGGAGAGAAAGACCTCGAGGATCTCTGGAGAAGCCCTGGTGGAATCTATGATGTTGGAGAGCATATCCGGCGTAATTTTTAGGGGCCTCCAAGAATTGCCCTGGGGTATCCCACTGCAACGCGATTAGATTACGCTTGGATTGCCGGGGTAGAATACTCACATAATGCGCAAGCCATCACGCGCAGGCGGTTTCTGGTTGGTATAGGTGGATAATTCCGCGGGGGATGTTATTTTCTTTTGTGTCACTATAGTCGTCTCCTCCTTAGGATGGTCTCCTGGTCAACACATAGATGGATTAACTCACCACGCCGCTGGGAGTCGACCTCAGTCCAGTTCACCTCCACTTTGGATTTATCTGCCTGGAAGCATTTGCGGCTTTCTGCTCGAGCCCAATAATCCTGCGGATACGCCGCCAGCGAGAACGGGTCAAACGGATATGATGCTGGTAATGCGGGGGGAGACTCAATCATGGTGGCAGGGAAGGAGACTTCAGCTGGGAGTCTTTGGAGATCCATGAAGACGGAAAGTTAGGATAAATTATAATCAACTGATTTATATTGTGCGATCTTTATATCAACCAACAATTAGAAAAGAGAAGGAGAAAAATATTGGGTTGCACCAGCATCGCCCTCTTGCACGCGCCCAGCCCTAAGCAGAAAAGACAAGAAGAAACAAAATAAAAAGTTCAATCCGAGACTCCGTGTGACAATACGACCTCACAGCTTTCATTCGTCGTCATCTTCGTCAAATCAGGACTGGCGCTGGCGGAAATTATTCCTCGAACGCCTCCCTAAGAGCGGCACGGTATCAGTAATGAGCCACCACGTCGGCTGCGCACAGCCCCAGGCTGACTTGGGGCCACAAAGGCACTTACTGCAACTCCTCCTGAAAAAAACAAGATCAGCGCTGTTATGAATGGCATGCGGAAGGAATGGGTCTAGTGGTTTACCTGGGTTACCTCACGAGGGGCATCGAAAGACCAGACCTCACTTTCTTCCAACTGTCAAACCTGCGGTTAGCCGCTTGCTGTGCCATCTCCAACGAAGTCAACCTTACTCTTATGTGAAAGTCTAAATTGGGATGATTGGGGAACAGTCTCTCCAGGAGGTCTTGGAGACCATGTCGGGTCAGGTATCGGCGATGCGCTTCCTGGCGGCGAGTGTACATGCGGGGGCTTGGGGTGACTGTAGAAGACTGGGATGCAAAGCTCCAGCTGCGTGATGGCATCTCCGTCCTGCCGGTCTAGATGGCGTATTCCGTATAGTATCTATTATCTGCGAGGAGATAAAGGGGTACAACAGTAGAAGGACCAAGGGTCAGAGCATTTCCTTGTTTGTTATACGAGAGCCTTCCCCCTCTTTGTGATGGATGGAGGCTCTGCTGGCAGTGACTCCAAGCAAAGCCACTGGATGCGATAGGCAGAGAGCTCTTCTTGTCGATTACAAACACGCCCAGAATGCCCATAATCTGTGATAGCCGGCCAATCACTGCACCTGCTCGTATCAGTCCGGTGCCTCGTGTCCGACGAGCCATCTGACTCCTCCTCGCACTAGCCCAGTGCCGTTGCTTTTTTGCCCGTGCCCGTGTGTTGACAGGTCGATCGTCATCGTCGTTGCCGGACTCTCTTCTATCTGCCTCGTGGATGATGAGTTGTTGAACTGCCCGGGGCTGGACAACAACATGGCTTCTTCAAGCAGCAGCAATGCGGACAAGCCCACCCCATTCAATCCAATCAACTGGACTCCACCGAATGTCTCGTCGCAGCAATGGTCCGAGACGACACCAGAGCCGCCAGCGTCGACCCGCGCCAGCTCCATCCTATCTCCAGAAAGCGTCTACGAACTGTCCAATGCTGTAGGAGAACAGCCTCCGGACCCGGTGTGCATGGATGAACAGGATCGGACTGTCAAGTAAGGACGTAGATCGTCGCAACTTAACTCTAATTGCTGGATATGGGGTTTTCTAACATACCGCCTCATGTAGTCGGCGGTTGCGCGGGATCCACGTTTTCGTAAGGATCCACTCATTTTTACTCCTTCCCAAGGCTCTTTCCACTGACATGGGCACGAAGATGATTACTATTAGCGGCGTGCTGGGGGTAGGTCTGTACGTCCGCAGTGGTTCGATACTTCGCATTGGTGGCCCAGCGGCGGTCCTGATTTCCATTACCTTGATGGGCCTGCTGGCGTGGCTAGTGATGCAGTGCATTGGGGAAATGCTGTCCCTGTGGCCAATCTCGAATGCGCTGGTCGAGTTCGTTAGCAGCTGGGTGGACGAGGATCTGGGAACTGCTGTTGGTATCGCATACTGGTGGGTAGATCTCTTACATCTCCCCGTCGGCGAAGGACTTACCGGGGAAAAATAGGCTCACGTATTCCATCAACTTTGCGGCTATGATTATTGCTGCGGCTGGTCAGATCGAAATATGGACTAAGAAAGGAGATGACGACCATGGAAAAGCAATCCAGGGGACAATTATATTCTTCGTGGTTCCGTTGTTCCTCGTTCTGTTCAATAGCTTCGGCGTCCAGGTCAGTAGGTAGTGGATCTCGTTGGCTAATACGGCAGGCTAACAACTTTCAGATCTATGGATTGACTGAGGTTATCGGAGGGTCTTTGAAGCTTCTCGGTGCAGTGATCATCATTATTTGCATGATTGCAATCAATGTCAAAGGTTTGTGAACAGCTAGACCTTCTTGCTTTATGTTTCTAACCGACATAGACGGCCTGGGTACAACAAGTGAGATTCTCTTCTCTTGTTCCAATATGCGCAGACCAAGTTGCTTATCCTCCATCAGACTATGAAGGCGATATGTTTCCCTACCATAAAGAAGTGGCCGGCAACTGGGCGGAAGCGTTCTTGTACGTCGTCTCTTGGTCATGAGCTTCTGTGGCGTAATTTTGACTGAATACAGTGTCTGTCTGTCGATTGCAGCGTTTGCCTACATTGGCGTCGAAATCACGGCCGCTACCGCCCTAGAAGCCCGTCTGGATAAGAAGCCTCGCTCGGGGGAAGAAGCTGCCTCTCATGCGACCAAAGGCCCTTGGCCCGCAGTGTCTGTCCAATTTTCGGCCACATGGACCAGCTTCATCGCCTGGGTCATATACTTTCTGGGCTCCCTCATGATGACGCTCAACGTCAAATGGGACGATATCAATCTTCCGCGAGCTGGATGGCTTGGTTCGCCGGGTAAAGATGAGGGAACACTTAATACTGATTCGGGTTTTGTCATAAGCGCGGCTAGATCACATATACCGGGCCTTGAGGACATGTTCACCGTGGTACTGTTGATTACAGCTCTCACGGCGGCAAACACGAATCTCTATGTTGCCTCACGGACCCTGTTTGGTCTGACGAGGAAGTTACACGGTCATCGTTGGAGCTGGCTGGCATTCTTTGGACGGACGAACAACTATCAAGTGCCCGTCCGAGCGATGTTTATCTCATGCTTCTTCCTTTGGATACCTTTCCTCTATCTATCGCCGGACAACTCGCCCGACACAACAATTCCAAGCGTAAAGAACCCCATGCTGAGATTCGTGCTGTGGTATCTACTGACTGAATGGTTCAACATAGCTCCTAGAAGTTTTATCACAGCTAGGCTCCGTCAGCTGTCTGATTGTATGGACGTGCGAATGCTGGGCGTTCCTTCGCTTCTATCACTGGTGAGTGATGCTTCAGCTGAAGCACAGTGTAGGAAGCGCGACTCACCATGGCTAGTTTGAAACGCCACCAATATGAACTGAGTAGCTCTCCGGAATTTGCGCATGTCTGTCGATTCCACCGGACTAGCGCCGAAGATCGTTATCCATGGAGGTCGCATGGGCAGCCATTGACGATGTGGCTTGCCATCGGCGGGTGTCTGTTTGTCCTCATAGTGGCAGATGGAGCGTCGCTTTGGATTGCGTTCCAGGCCCGGGCGTTCCTGTCTGCGTACCTCGCGGTGAGTACCGGGACTCCGTTCCTCAGCGGTTTCGAGTAGAGTTCATACTAATAGGTACTTACTGTTTCAGCCTATCTGCTTCATACCGCTGTGGCTCCTAATCAAAACATACCGTTCCCATGGATGGAAGAATATTAAATGGGAGCTGGAGGATCTTTCAAACCTGGCGGAAGTGAAGAATAAGATCCAGAGACTGGATGAGATCCGTCAGCGGGCAACAGCCCGAGACGACATTGTACAGAAACCCGGATGGGGTAATCTATGGGGTCTCATGTGAATGATGGGGATACTTAGGTCTCTTGCACATAACCTTACACTTCCGATATTGGCTAAGATGTACAAGATCTTGGAATATGTACCTTTATATCACACCAGGGATACTCTAGCAGTTACGTATATAGTAGATGGAAATCGAGTAATTTCTCTACTGATGACATTATACCATACCGTCTCCGTTGATTCACGATCGTACCTCCATATATCGACTCTACTGCGTTCAGAAGTTCCATCCTCCTTGGCGGAACATGAATCGGTCAGGATCGTATGCTTTGGCAATCTGCTCCAGCTTCTCCTTATTCGCCGTGCCATAGCTCGAATAGACGTCCTGATAGTCTCCTGCGTCGTTCATGAACAGAGGGTTGCCTCTGTTGGTAAGTGTCAGCAACATGCGCCATCACAAGAAGGGTCGAAAGATAAGACATACGAAATATACTCCACGTCGCCCGAGTGATAATTTGTCGGCTTCACGCTGCTAAACTGGGCATCGAATTTGGATCGCACTCCTTCGGCCACTTCACGGAGATACTGCGGGCAAGCCTCATTGCAAATCGGATTAACCCAAATGAGATCATTTTCAACCCAAAACCGATCCCCATTCTCAGGATCGAGTCCCAGGGCGTTCCCTCCACTTGCAGCGGACGCTTTTGCAATACGCACAGATAAGGGCTGCGGGGTGAAGGTCCCAAATTGGATGTCTATACTCCTCGCCGAGTCGTTCTTGATCTGCGACTGGTATGTTTCCCAGTGCAGTTCAAGCAGCTCATCCATCTGGTTGGGAGACATGTTCGGAAAGGTGTTGACGTGGGCGGCCGCATTGATGCCGTAGATCTTCGCTCCGCCCGCTTGGTTGGCCAAGTTCGTATAGGTTGTGGTATCAGTCGTATCCAGGATGGGCTCGACATCTTCGAGTCCTGAAAATGTGCCAGGAGGAGGGGTCGGACCATCGTAGAAGAAGAAGAGAGCCGGGTTCGAGACGATTGCATCTGGGAGGCCGAAGGTAAATGTGGGTATCACCGCCGCTTTTCCATCAGGATAGTCCTTGATGAAATTCGCCAACGCCTTGAAGAGTTCATGCCGCTTATCACCGGAGTAGAACTTGATGCCGCCCCAGACCTGTCCGTCGACTCCAAGCGGGTGACCTCTGAACGTGAACTTCGTCACAATGCCGAAGCGATTGCCGCCTCCCTTCAGTGCCCACCAGAGGTCAGTATGCGTGTGGTTGTTCGCGTTGACGATGGTGCCATTCCCGAGGACTAGCTCGAAATTCAACACATTGTCGCAAGCCAATCCCTTGATTGAGTCTATTAGTGGCCAGAGGGGACAATTCTTGAGAGATCTCCGGCGTAACTCACATATTGTGCCGAGTAGTAGGATAGACCACCGCCTAGAGTAAACCCTGCAACACCGATATTGGCCAGTCGCCCTCCAACGACCACCTGGTTGGTCTGTTCTGCCACCTCATAGACATCTCCCCAGCGTGCTCCGGGGCCGACATCAAAGTTCCCATCGCTAGTACGGTTGATAGAGGACAGGTTCTCGTTGAAAGAGATGAGGACACCACCATCTGTGCTCGAGACCCCTGTGTTGAAGTTATGGCCGCCGGATTTGAGCGCAAACTGGGCGGTAGGGTATTTGTTCAATTGCTGCACGGCGAAAGAGACCTCTTCCGCATTGGACGGGAAGAAAACACAGATAGGACGGTTCTTGGCGTTGACTCCGTTCCAATAATGGTGGATAGCATGGCTGTAGTCTTGGGCGTGCAGTATAGTCTCTGCCCCATAGCTGGACAGAGGATCCCAGACGACAATATCAGGGTATGTGGTGTGCAGATGCTGACAAACAGCGACTGCATCTGGTGAGGCGGCCGCAAAAGCTTGGGATGCCAATGAAGCCAGCGACAGAAGGATGGCAACATTCATGGTCTGCATAAGTAGGAGGTTGAAAAAGGGAGACCATATACTATGGATGGTACTCAGGGAGGATAAGAAAAAGACCGGTCGTATGGGAGGATGGACCGCCCATATTTATCATGAAGATCAGGAAGTGTATATTGTCCTACAGCATGCTAATGGTACAAAATAAGGAATTGATCCTCATCGGAGCGCATACCTATCAGAGACAAATATCTTCTTCACAGCACCACCAAGGCCATCCCTCCCGGTATGGTCTACCAAATGTCGTATTTCGTATTCCCTCTTGACGAAATGGAAGATCTGCGCTGGATTGCCGCAAGACAAATGTGAACCCCGCAGTCTAGTCCTATGAGTTGGATGATCACCCTTAGTAGCTTCAATGCGAAATAGGCCATTTGCACCCCCCCCCCCCCCCCTGGCAGCGGTTCTGTTCCTGAATCATTCCTTTCCGTGAATGTGAAACAGGCTGAGGCCTCGGCTATGCCGGTAGAATCACGAACTAGGCGCTTTCATACCGTATTTCCTGCGTATCCCCGCGTTTTTATTGTTTTTCTAACCATATTCATCATCATCAGATCAAATTTCTGCCCTGGTGCGTCCCCGACTTGGCGGGGATAGTGGCAGTCGATCTACAGAAGTTTTTCCATGCGCACAGCAACGATAGGACAACGGTGACCCTAATATTGCACGGACATTCGGAGAAAAATTCCTCCTTATTGTAGTGGGGGAAACTTAAGCCTTCATGAATCATTTGCGGGAGCGGTATGAAGGTCATTTTTACTGAGTATGGAGACCATGTCGTCTTTCTCACCACGCCTCGGTCATGCTACTAAAGAGGACCATGTTACCTTCTTCTATTGCTATCCTATTTTATAGATTTTACTTATAACACCACTTCGAGGACATATGGCTACAAATCTAGGCGCATGGTACAAGAGATCGATGTGAGCCAAACGCTGGGCGCGTCAATGAGGAGTATCATGAACCATGAGGATGGTCGAGTATCGGCTTGTTTCCACATTTTGCGCATACATCCATGCAATATCTTGACTATTAGACCTGTAACTTGGGGACGATGAAGCATGCAGAGGTGAAGAGATGGTTCATTTGATGTACGGCGCCTGGTCTGCTACGTTGGTTAGGTCTATGGTGGCCTATAGATCGGAGCACCGATCTTCAAAGGTGATTGTCAAGTCTGACCTTCCAACAAAAGGGTTACGTCTCAAGAGGGTCGACCGCATGTTCATGGACTGAAACGTACCGGGCAAGCGACGTCTTACTAGGGCATCGGGAGAGTATGGAGGCAACAGAGCTCCCACGGGTATGGTCGATGGATGATGGAAGTGAGCTCGGGCTGTAGGAGCATAACGGTAAGGACGGCGTTACTTATCATCATGCTGAATATGCCGAGAAATTGTCATTTGATAGATTCGCATAGGGAGGTAGGATTCTGGACCTACGAGCTACGATATATCATCCAGAGCATCACCAGTAAGTTAGAATCCTTATTGCGATCAAAGCATAGTGAAAGAATCGGTCTATGACATCATTCGAACTATATTTGATATACATACAAGGAGACCATATCTTGTTTTAAACAAACGAACAGAAACAAAAGGGTATGTAAACAACCAGCGCCAGCGAACAATCATCCAACAAAATATACGTCATGTCACACATTTCCACATCAAGACCTCCACGCAGAGGGAGAATTCTTATGCTCTCTTGTCATTCCATTCGCCCGAGATCAATACCAGGGCATCGAGACAGGATAGTCGTAATCGATATTCTCCTTATAGCACTCGATGCGCTCGCCGCAAGTGCCAAAGATCCGATCCCAGAGACGCGTCTGCTTGCCGTAGTTGCTGCTCTTCTTCCAGCCCTTGCGGTGATGAAGATCGTGATCCTCGATGACGAGTTCCGCATTGAACATTCTCAGGAGCCAGCTCAGTGTGTTGGGAGGCGTGGTGAGAAGGCGCAGTCCACTGTGGCCAGCCAGTTCGGCGAAGACGACGTACTGGTGGCAGATCCACCACTCGTAGAATCCCATCGGCATACCCATCAGTTTCATAGTAAAATATGTCATGAGGGGGATGCCCGCGATGTCGAAAAACTCCTGCTCATGGTCGGCGTACAGCGTAAGGAGTGGGTTGGGGTGCTTGGTCAGATGGTGGGTGCGGTGGTATTTCCAGAGACCGTCCACCTCGTGCATCAAGCGGTGGTACCAATAGAACCAGAAGTCGAGGATGATACCATACAGACCAATCTCCAGAGGAAGCCACACCCAGCTGATCGATGAGGGAGGCTGGCTAGTGCGGTAGCTGAAGAACACGGTGAAGATCGGACGGAAGGTCGAAGTCGTGAGCAGCGAATGGAACACCTTCGCCACTCCCACGTCGGGAACACCATCACGTTCATGTTGGTCACCGTCCAGGAAGCCAAGCGTGTGGCCGAGGCGTCGGAGGACGTGCAACTCGTGGATGGCGATGGCCTTAAAAGCCAAACTGTAGAAGATGAAGGCGGCGATCGGGGTGAAGTTATGTCCGGTGTAGGCACAATAGGCGTGGTGGATCAACAACGGAATGACGGCGTGAGTAATAACCCAGCGGTGCGTATGCCACTCGGGCATGTAGGGGACTTTGTCCTGCTTGGGGTGAACGGGCACCTCCTTATCCAGATTGACGGGGTGGATGCCGAGGAGTTCGTAGGACCAGTGGAAGATGGACCACTCGCCACGGTCGAGACGGCGCCAGGTGGACTTCATCGAGTCCTTGGGGTTCCGTAGGCCATTCATAGTGATGGTGACGGGGGTGATGAGACGTAACGTTCGTAAGTTGGTCTGTTGGATAATCGCCAGCGTCCACTACGGCGAGGGGGAGGGCGACCCCAGGATATATTTATATCGGCGCTCGGAGGTTGGCGCGCACGAACATGTGAAGGGATTTGGGGTCTGTCCCAAATTTGTCGACGGCCATGATGGCGTTCATTGGGGATGTAGGGGGGAATCCACTGCAGATCCCTCTTAGCGCTCCCTTAGATCCATCGTTGCCGACTCCAACACGATTAAGGATGCCAACAAGAATATCCCAACCTCGACAGATGATGTCAATCTCGGTTAACTGGTCTTTCTCGGACTGGTCACTGCGTTAAGTCGGATGGGCTGATAGTTAACTAACTACTTCGTAGGGTTGGGAGGCGCGATGGATTGTTCGAGATCACCACGCAGCGCCACGCCAGACACCCGATTGTCAGATGTTGGCTTCGACTAGCGAACTACTCCGGAATATGATGTTCCCCGGATCTAGCACCGGGTTGTTCTGGAACTTTGATCAAGTCTCTCCCATGTCCGTGGTTCTGCATGGTCGATCTTGATATATCTCCGTTACGTCCTCCTCTGTGAAGCCCCTGAATTTTCCTACAAGCTTGGACAGAATAGATCGATTTGTAGGACAGATTAATTGCATGCAGTACACGATGAGATCTATCAGAGATCAAAGGGCATAGATGGCACATGAAGATGAAGCAAGAGTGACAACTTCCCCCACATTACCCAGAAGAGTAACCGTTGCGATTCACTTGTTGGGGGAGAAAAAGGAGAACAATGGAATTAATTCGAATTAATTGTGGGAAAATGGTCATTTGGCTGATTCAGCAACCTCCGGCTGAGGTAATCACGGGTCATGGACATGGTTCTTTCCCGTTTGGGTAAGCATTGCGATCGCCTCCGGGGAAGTATATACTCCAGAGCCCATTCTTGTTCCACCCTCATGCAACAATCGCTCTCCCTGGTATCACATGGATTATTTGGTCTCTTCCATTGTATATCAGGCATCTTCATTTCCATATGCCGAACCGTCCGCTACATTAACAACCCGCCAGGCTTGGGCACCGGCGCTACGTGGAATCAACCTGCATTCAACAATGTTGGGATCAACGCCATGTCCTAGCATCTGATTATTCAACATACCCGAGGATGATTCATTCTTGCGTTTTGTCCGGAAGACCAGCTTCAGTGTTCCCTATTCAAGACCACCAGCCTTCCATTGAGGATTGCCTCATGGTTACTTCTAGATAGTAGCCGTATATTGGCATATGGACAAGGTCGTCTTGTCCACGTGAGAGCCTGATTGAAGATAGGTACATTTGCAAAGCGTGATGTCAAACCAGGGTGGCAATCACCTCCAAACTCTTCTCGATTCTTCGATCAGCCAGGCCTGCCATTAGCCATAGTCTTCTATAGAATGCTTTCCTAGCATTGAACGCATAAGAAACGCACCATATAATTCCTTAGCATAGGTCGCCTGTGATGACAAGCCCCTCGAGCAACATAGTATCTAGTTGGCACCTATCACTGTTTGCTTCACGTTCCCGCCGGATACTTCAATCATCCAGTCAGTGACAGGCGCTGTCACGATCAAGCGGACTGTCTCCCTAGGAAAAAGAGACACGTAGTTATCCGACCAAAAAACCGGCAGTACTTCCTCGTGTGTACGTGGATCGACCGCTTTGAGCCGGATAAAAAACGCTGGCACGGTGGAAAGATTCTCCAGTATGATCTCCATCCGCATCGACTCTTCGACTGGTGAAACCCGTCTCACATCACATGTAACTGAAGCCGGTGGCAGATGACCCAGAACTGAATAGTTGGCATATTGAGTCACAGGTGTGGTGTACCAGTTGGAACTTTCCCAATCAAGTTCGTCGTTCACTGGCGATACCCAGTAAACGTTCCGGCTCAGCACAGTCTTCTGCACAGGATCTTCTAGTAACAGCCGTAAAAATCCAACATCGCGAATTTGCCCGAGTCTCGTAACCTTGAGTACCCCCTTTGAGGAATTGGGGTTTGCTTCCGTGGTAAAGGTCTGATGGGAAAGCCATGTACCGTTTTTATCGATCAAATCCACCGAGATGACACGCCTCCCCGTCTTACGCAAAGACTGATTGATCAGGTGCACCTGTCGACTTTCATAGTCATACGCCACATGCTCTGATCTTGCTGCAATCTTGGTTCCAAAATACGCACCAGCAGGTCTGAGATAGTAGTCAAACAGCTGCCAATGCAGATTAGGCCAGGCACTATTCAACATCCAGTAGATACTCCCAGTCGCGGGACGTGTCGCAGTCTGACGTATTGTCAGGGCCTCAAACTGAGCCCGTGTTGCTTCGTAGTCCATCAACTGCGCCTTCAGAACGTAATCCTCTAGCCCGTTTGGCGCACCATATCGAGCGAATAGGGCTTTGTTGTAGATCGACCGATTATAAAATTCAGAATCATTCCGAGACATATGGAACATACCATCGTCGGGTCGTTTCCAAAGTGTCTCCATGTCGTCGGGCGATAGGAAGCGCCTCAGGCTCTCCATCTGTGGTGTCCCACAGCCTGCGCCCAGTTCCGACCCGAAGCCAAAGGCCGCTCCCAGGCGATCCCCGTACCAGTAATTGGGTGGCACCCAATCATACGGACCATCCATTTTCATTCCAGAAGGGCCCAGCTGCTTTGGGTAGCCCCGTTTGCTGGCTGAGGCAATTACGGGGTTCAGCCAATCCATCCGCTCCAATGCGCTGAGGTATATGGCAGTGGCTCGATCATCGGGCCAGAAGTCTGATCCGACCAGGAAGCCTAGCATCGAGGCATGGGCCTGCATCATCTCAGCCTCATGGAGCATGGATACTTGTGCAATTTGGTAATCTTTTTCTGTCCATTTTTCTCCCGCAGCGTCGTGGTTGTACTGTGTGTGTTAGTACGGATGATAATCCAGACGTAGGCGACATACCTCCCAGCCCTCCCATTTATCACAGCATTCCCAGCCAGCAAGGACCATCAGGCCCATGCGGTCGGCGAGATCATAGAGTTCCGGATGTTCCTGCTTTCCTTCCAAGCGGACCGTGTTTAGTCCCATGTCAAGCATGTACTGGAAGATCTTCTCGACTCGCCCCTGATCAAATCGCAGGAACATGTCTGGCGAATAGCCAGCGCCTTTAACAAGGAATCTATATCCATTGATGCTGAATACAATATCATTATATGGGTTCAGTTCGGACGTCACCTTGCGGATACCGAAATGCTGTTTTGCACCAATGTCGGAGACCCCATCTCTCCCAAGAGAAACATTCAGGGCGACGGAGTATAACGGCTGCTTACCCCATGCCGCAGGCCACCAAATCCTGGGGTTCACGATTTTAGCCTTAATGGAAACAGTCTTCATCCCGTGTGCTGCTATTCTAAATGGCTCGAATAAGTCAACCGTCTGCGAACTGTCATCCGATTGGATCCTTCCCTGAAGGATGCCTTCGATGGTCAAATTTGTATGGTTTTCAAGATCTGTGAGAACCGTCACAATCGCAGTCTGTTGTGTCTTCCGATCACTAAAGTCGGTTCGAACTCTGGTTGGGGACATAGAAATCGGCCCAGTGCGCTTCACCTCCACGTCCCGCCAGACGCCTGTCCCATTGTCAGGCGGGTATGGATTCCAGTCGACGAATCCCAAGGCAAAGTCACGGAGGTAGTTTGTTGGATACGCCTTGACGAGCAACGCATTCGAGCCTTGACGGATAAACTCCGTGATCTCGTATCGACGACCGCCATAGGATCCGTGCTGAAATGACTGGGAAGCTATCTGCACGCCATTGAAGAAGATGTCGGCTTTTGACGTTATCCCATGGGTGATGAGAAAGACATGCTCATCTGAGGATGGTCTTTGGAACTTGAACTCCTCGCGATACAACCATGCTGTTTGAAAGACGGACTGGTCTACCGCCTGAAGATTGTCAGAGTAAAAGATTGTGGTCTCGTTATATACACCATTCTCTAGGAGCCCAGCGAAGACTGTCGTTCGCGGGCTGACGCGATACCAGGAAGAAACATCAGCACCAGGCAAGGACAGGCGGGCGATATCCTTCGACACCCCATGCGCGGACTGAAGATGCCAACCAGGGATGACATGAGTATCTCCTGGTGATGCAGGAAGCACTATTTCGAACAGAAGCAAAGCTATGAGACCAAAAAGTATCATCGACATCGTCAGAAATTGGGGTCAACAGTGACGATAGATGACGGAGAAGAGGGGAGAAAGGTAAACAAGCCGAGATAGACGCAAGGTTACATCTACAGGCTCACGTGTACCACTACCGCATGGAATGTTGTTGTGAATTCCGAATGCACTCCTAGTGTATGGGATTACTAAGATAGTATACTTCGATGTATCCAGGTTGTTACTGAGCTATTGCAACCTCTTGAATGTCGTGTAATTGTAGATACAAGGTTAAGCTACGTGTCATGGGGAACAGCCCAACTTGTATTCTGCAGACACCAACTATCCAACGAGCTCAACGGCAGAACAACATTTCTTCTACTGCTGTCTGAGCACCGCCTCAACTACTTTGGTGTGCTCCATCAGGACCTCGTCTTTCAGCCGCCGGCCGATCAGCTGCACATGACAAGGAGCTCCCTCAATTTCCTTGGGTTTATCTGTTCTCGTCAGCATATATCGTATCAACCAACCATTTGGCACTTACATTCTGGGACATAGCGAACATCACGGATGTACTGCGCGTCGGCGGCTTCATTGGCTTTACCGAACGGGATGATAGATGCCGGATACTACAAAGGTCAGTGACAAGATACCGCATAGGTGACAGCACACATACGTCGACTAGACTGGCCAACACAGTATACATCGGAGCGCCGTAGCTATCGTGAGGGACTGCAGTGGACTGGTACCCCGGGGCCAAGAGCACATCCAGTTGATTCTCCAGGAAAACCTTCCGCATCTTCGCGGATACTTCCGACCTCTTCACGTTCAGGTCATACAGTTCTCTCAGCGTCGGTTCCGGGTCCGTCCCGTCCGGGTTATAGGTAGTCGTGAGCGACGGAATCCACGGTTCCCCTCCACGCGCAATATGGCTGAGCGGGGTCTTGTCAGGGTCCATGTTGAAGAATCGGAACGCTGTGTCATGGGCCGCGGAAATGGATGGGATCTTGCCGGTGAGATCGACTATCAGATGACCAGCGGCCTGGAGCTTCTTAGCCGCCGTCGCGAGCGTGCGCTGCATACACGGATGCAATGGCCGAGAAGGGTCTTCAGGGAGAAGGCCTATGGTCAGCACCGGCTTGGCGGCCGGTTCGCTCCACGGGATTCCCAGGGCAGCATCGTCTAGATCTTCGGGGTGTGAATTGGAGACCACCTTCAGGAAGAGCTCCGCATCTCTCACGGAATGACATATTGGGCCTGCAACGGCGGCGATTCCAGCAAGGCCTGCGCGGCCTGAACCGGTCTGCCCGGCGTAGGGAACCCGGCCAGCACTTGGCTTAAAACCAACCACACCACAGCACAGGGCGGGAATCCGAATGGAACCTGCGACGTCTGTTCCAACGCCGAGTATTGATCCGCGCTGAGCGATGAGGGCACCTTCGCCACCCGTACTTCCTCCTGCCGTCAGATTGAGACGGTGGGGGTTGAGCGTACGGCCGAACACGTTGTTATGCGAGTCGGCCGTCATCATCGTCTGGGGCACGTTCGTCTTAACATACAGCACTGCTCCTGCTTTGAGAAGAATCTCGACTAGAGCGGAATTGCTTGTTTGAGGGGGGCGGTCGAGAAAAGAAATAAACCCAAGCGAAGTGGGAACGCCCATCACATTGAAAGGCTCTTTCAAGCTGATAGGGAGTCCGTGGAGAGGGCCAACTAGCGTCCCTGTCCTGGATAAGTGATCATCCAGCTCTTTGGCACGGGCCAATGCTATATCAAAGAATGTTTCCGTCAAACAGGACGTCAACTGCTGGGCAATGGCGGCCCGTTTGCAGAAAGCTGTGGTAACCTCAACTGCGCTCCATTCGCGGGAGGATAACTTCTTTAGCAGCTCGGTAGCATCCGGGATCTCTGTGATCTGGAGCTCTCGATCAGAGAGAATGCCTGACTGACGGGGGACTTCTAGGACATTCTGCACGGTCCCTTGTGCGATTTGATCTAAGATCTCAGATGGCAGACGCCACGCAGAGGGGATCTTAGCTGCAGCTTCCGCCTGCTTGGCTTGAGCTTTCTGTTCCCAATCAGCAGATGTCATAGTGGAATAAATGGAGTTTGTTGAGGCAATGTACATGAGCTAGCTCGTGAGGATGGCGATAAATGTAGTCTACCGTCCCCTCACGCGGAATTGAGGAGAAGAGGGGAAGAGGGGTTATCGGAAAATAGTCCGCAGTTGTTATGCGGATAACCGGCACAGACCGAACATCAAGATAAGTGTTGGATCATCAACATGGAGAATGAGCATCGAACATGAACTCTCCACATATAGGAAACTGCAATACCTTGCAGGCATCACGAACCGCCGTGAGACTGCCTCGTGGTGTCAAGAAGGATACGCAAAACCAAAGTCTGCTTTAGCCGAACGCCCAGGCATATGCGCCATGCCGTGATAGCCTAACCCTACAGGGCTCTTAGAGAAATGCAATTCTACAGAGCGTTGATCGCACTATGAAATGTCCGGAATTGATTGTTGACACAGCCTCATCGCTTAGGGTAGTTCACACTCGATGAGGCTTTCGACCCCCTCGCCAGCACTCCATATCTTGACAATCTTCAAGCCTACCCTCCTCTCAACCAAGTCATACCATGCTGTACTAGTCCGCTGTTCCGAGGAAAGGAGGGTTAACACGATCATGTCGAGCACCGTAGTCTCCCAATGAGCGTTGGTGGGGGGCATAACATTCTCGTTGATCAATAGTTTGCTATAGCCCGGCTCCATGGCCTTTCTAACCTGTGCAAGTATGCTTTCACATACATGGTCAGGCCAGTTGTGTAGGGTTGAATGTATATAGTAGACCCGAGTCCCTCCACATATTGTTAATGACTGACAGGAACAGTTGTGCGAAATGAAGAGGTCTTCACTCTTACCTCTCACCGGCTGTTCGTGATTGAAGTCATGCTCCATACGGATGATAGCCCGGTCCAAATCCTTGACCTGGCGAATCATCATAGGCAGGTCTTGAAGGATCAATCTTCCGGGTGCGTCCGGGTAACGACTTTTTTGAAATCTTGCGACATCATGGCCTAAATTGCCGCCTATGTCGACCAAGAATGGCGCATCTGAGCTTCGATTGGCACCGTCAATCAGCCGCTCCCTCACAGCATAGACACCAGGTCCATCCAGCATGGGCGGCCAATTTAATGGGCGTGTTGTAGTATCCCTTGTCCGCGTTCAAGGACGAAACAATGAGCACAACTACTGGAGATCTCTCCCGTCAGGAAATTACATCATTCTGGCCCTGCAGAAGCATCTATACCTGTGCAGTTAGCAAGCCTTGACGTATAAAATCCATCTACAGCTACCCCTGTAACTCATCGGAACTGGAGATCCTCTCGGTCACAATTGACAGCTGACGTGTGAATCGTGTCCAGGCGATGCGGAGACGTGGACAGCGGTTGCATTGTTCCCCGCCAATAATCATCCATATCGATGTCGAACCGTGGATGAAGCTTGAACAATCACTGCAAGGTGTAAGGTACACGCACTGGTAGACGTAAGATGACACCCATGGAACCATCAAACAGCGACAACAATGCAGCGATCGGAAGACGATCTGAGACGTGGGACACGCCAGATGAAGCAATTATTGTTGATCCTTGTGGCCCGCGAGGGCAGTTGTCAAGGAGTGGTTGCACTGGTATGTGGTATTACCGCATCCGGCGCGAGGGATGCGTGGATATCGCGATGCATCGCTCGGGTCGACCTCCGTCACCCCTGGATTCATTGGCCAGGAACCACTGCGAGACAGCGGACGATGTGACCTTAATATTGCACAGATCAGGAGAATGCATTGAAGCATTCCGATCCATTGTCTCCTTGGCAATACAGCGCGGCGCCATGTGGAGTTGGCCTGTTTCTATGCTACTACCACATTCCCCGCCCTAGAATGCCGTCTGACGTTGAGATGATCGCCAAAATACCGTGGTTCACTTGGGAATTCTCCTTTGGTCTCATCAGGCCCTGCTTCCTTCTTTTCCCTCTTCATTTTCTCCTTCTCCAGATGCGCTGGGAGCGACAGACCCAACATGCGAAGACCATGGCATCTCATCCTGGCGCTGCTGGTCGGCGTCCAGGCCGTTGAGCTAGAGATTGACGATCCAGGTAAGTTATGCCTTTACTTCGGACCGTGGCTGCTCGATACTGAGCCCTGTAGCTTCGATCAAAAAAGCCGCCCAAGTCGTCGCGAAGAACATGCTCTCTTTCTATACGGGAGACCGACCCGGCGATAACCCCGGAAACCTCCCTGACCCCTACTACTGGTGGGAGGCCGGCGCCATGTTCAACAGCCTGGTCAATTACTGGTATTACACGGGCGATGACACATGGAACGACATCACCACCCAGGCAATCCTGTGGCAGGCTGGAGACACTGGCACCTTCATGCCGACCAACCAAACCCGAACAGAAGGAAATGACGACCAGGCTTTCTGGGCATTCGCCGCGATGTCTGCAGCCGAGCGGAACTTTCCAAACCCTCCGGAAACCTCGCCCGGCTGGTTGGCGATGGCACAGGCGGTCTTCAACACGCAGGCGGCGCGGTGGGATACCGAGACGTGTGGGGGCGGGCTGCGGTGGCAGATCTTCACGTTCAATAATGGGTTCAACTACAAGAACACTATCTCGAACGGCTGCTTTTTCAATCTGGCGGCCCGTCTGGCGAAGTATACGGGGAACCAGACCTATGCGGAGTGGGCTGACCGGGTGTGGAATTGGACGACATCGGTCAACCTCATGACCAACGACTGGCTATTCTATGATGGAACAGACGATCAGTCGAACTGCACGTCGTACAACCAAATCGAATGGACGTACAATTCGGGCGTATATCTTCTGGGGGCAGCCCACATGTACAACCTGGTACGTTTGCTCTGCTGTCTCTACTACACTCATGGAGGCTAACTGTCCTAGACCGGGGGTAGTCCGGTATGGAAAGAACGGACCGAGAACATTCTGAACGCCACGGACGTCTTTTTCCAGAACCAAGTCTTGTATGAGCGGGCATGCGAGCCGATCAACACGTGCAAGGTGGACCAACGGTCATTCAAGGGCTACTTGGCGAGCTGGATGGCGCAGACGACCCAGATGGCGCCGTTCACCTTTGACTGGGTCATGCCGAGACTGCGCGTCTCTGCGAAGGCAGCCGCCGAGACCTGTACCGGTGGCTCAGAGCATGGCATGTGCGCGCTGAAATGGACAGAGCGCAAGTGGGACGGCATGGAAGATGTCGGATTGCAGATTGGCGCGCTCGAAGTGATCCAGTCGACGCTCATCACGCGTGTAGATCCGCCGGTGACGAACGACAACGGGGGGACTAGTAAAGGCGACCCCGGCGGAGGTGCAGAGCCAGCGCCTCCAACGCCAGGCATTCTTACCATGAACATCACCACGGCAGATCGTGCGGGGGCAGGCATCCTGACGGTTCTGATGTCTGCGTTTGTAATCGGCTCCACGGGATGGGTACTGTATGAATAGGGATACATATTTGATTGTTGTTTATAATTGTTTGAGGCGTACGAGTCGAATATATTCTTCATTCTTCATATCCAGACGTGCTGAAGAGACTGATAACTCTGACGCATCCTGGTCGATGGGTCGGTTAGCTGGTTTCTCCAGGTGATGTTCTGGCTTCTGTATAAAAACTTCACGTTGCACTGATGGAGACTACATCGAGCTTCTCCTAGATAATCATGGTGTGCATGCCAAGAGCCGGGGGTGTGCATATCCTGGATGTTGGACAACGTCTCGTCGCTCCTCACGGCCGAGCCACCTGATGCGCCATCAAAGAGGGGAAATGAGGGGATGGCTGGCTCTTTGGACGAATACCTCGGGTGAGCTGACATGTCGCTGCTACTTAAGATCATGTTCGAGCTGAACCGTGTGCAGTATTGTCGCATCGCAGATACCCGCTGCAGCTGATCAAAAGCTCTCACTGATCGCATCACCGTTTCCAAACATTCCATCATGTCGCCGGCTATGGCTCTGTCCGATGTGGACATTCCAACGCACTGTAAAGCGGGCGTGGTCGTCAACGAAGGCCCCAACTTTGAAGTGAAAGTAGAGATGGTCCCTGTTCCGAGACCCGGTAAGCGTCATTTAGTCGGTGTCGATCTAAAGGCAAATAGGTGCAGACTAGACTGACCCTCAAAGGCCCCAATGACATCTTGATCCGGCTGAATATGACGGGCCTCTGCGCCTCTGATATCCATTATATGCAGGCAGACCTGGGTACACCCCCTATGTCTGCGTGGGGCGTCCGCTCGCCGGGCCACGAGGGCGCTGGTGTGGTAGTCAAGGTAGGCGACAACGTGACAAACTTCAAGGTTGGCGATCGGGCTGGGATCAAGCCTGTACTGGACACGTGCAGTAACTGCGAGCTCTGCTGGAGTGACAAGGAGACGTATTGCGCGGGGAAAATCCTGACGGGACTCATGGCGCCTGGTAAGTACTCTGCCTGCGGTTTTTCAATCCTCAATCCATCGTGATATGCTCCCAGGCTCACCCATGCTAGGAACCTATCAACAATATATCGTCTCCCCAGCGCGATACGCCTCGCCCATTCCCGACTCGATCCCCGACATGATTGCGGCCCCGATTATGTGTAGCGCATCGACGATGTACCGATCGCTGAAGGAGAGCGGATTGAAACCGGGCAATTGGGCGGTCTTCCCCGGTGGTGGAGGCGGCGTAGGTATCCAAGGGGTCCAACTAGCCAAGGCGATGGGCATGCGACCGATTGTCGTTGACACGGGCGCGTCCAAGCAGGCGTTGGCGATGAAGATGGGAGCCGAAGCATTTGTCGACTTTATGGAGACTCCAGATGCGACCAAGGCTGTCGTTGAAGTTGCGGATGGGGTGGGCGCGCACGGCGTGTTTGTCACGGCGCCGGCCGCTTATAAAGTGGCCACATCGTACGTGGGAGATCGCGTGGGCGCGGTGGTGATGTGCATTGGCCTAGGGAAGAAGGGGACGATCCATCTGGGCGAGGATCCCTCCCGGTTCATCATGCGCAACCTCTGCATCAAAGGGACGTTGGTCGGGAGTCGCGAAGACACGGCGCGGGCATTGGATTTTGCGCGTCGGGGACAATTGCAACAGATCTGCGAGGTGTACCCGATCGATCGACTTCCAGAGGCAGTGGAGAAGCTGCGTCGAGGGGAGGTGGCAGGACGGATTGTGGTGGATTTTAATCAGTAGAGGGAGAGCCTCAGGCAGGTTTCTGCATCCATCTAGGATATCTCTCTTCACTCACTGATCCAACGGAGCTGGAAGATACAATTTGTATTTATTCCTTACAAAATCTGTTTATTGGATTCTACCTGGATATATTATTGTTATCATCATCCATACGTATTATCGTCCACCAAGATATATATATAACATTGCCCTATTCCATACTATGAGTGGCATTTAAACCAAGTATATATTGACATACTCTGGCATAACGGAGCAACTGTGTCATAAGCTTCATTTGCGCATCCTGGTGTATAATAACGTATCTATCCCTAGTCGCTTGATAGTCCAATCCTTGTGAATATGGCTGAAAAGAAAATGTGGGTGTCCAAGAGTGCTCTAGACTTGAACCTCACGAGAGCTGATAGCTATCTACTCCGCAAAGGTAGGGGTCTAAGCGCATCCCCACGATCCCCACGAAATGCCACGGAGAGTGATTGTGGAATAAAGTCATCCGGGGGTAGCGGGGATAGGTAGGAGTAAAGATGGTAGCCCCTGTGTACATCCAACCGGTATTCCTGATAGGCTGTGGATTTCGTTGACAGATTAAACCGTCTTCTATAGTGCTGGTCTCAGAGAGGGGAATGATACCACTCCTTCACCACTTTGGTCGACAACCGGTGAATGTATATAGGAGGGGTATCAGAACAGTCTTATGCTCAATTGAGCGTCTGTTCTGTTGAGTCATCCACTGAATCATAAAGCCAAGGAAAGAAGTGCACCATATTATTTCCACAGCTCCTGTCGAAATTGGATCTGGTTGACAACGTCATGACGGATGGTGATCGGGAGTTGCAGCAGCCGAAACCGTCGAAATGGAGGGCAGACATCCGATATCACTTCCGAAGTCGAGAGTTTCGTTTACGGGGCTGGCCGTGGCAGCTCCTGCAACGAGTGCCAAGCTGATGAGGCCGGGGAGGAGAAACCTGTACCTAGGAAGTGATACAGTATGTAGAGACTAGACAAGCTGAGTTACCTTGCCACCTGTACCGGTGGAACACAAGAGAGGGTTCCACGTGGTTTGTTCCACCAAGAGGCAAGTTGAGCTAGTTGTAGAGAAGACTGTACCGGAGTAGTTACTTGGAGGATATGTTCAGGCTGACTGCCACCAAGTAGAGGCTTGTGACCTGGTGCCCAGGGGCTAGACACTACTAGAGTAAGGAAATAGTGGATCTCGGCTGAAGTCTGGGGTTGTTGGACCGTGGATCCATGCGGGGATGATCCTTCAGCAGACGTAGTACTTATCTGTAGGTACTATAGGTACCTACCTAGGTAGTAGGTACTTGTTCCCTACAACTGTATATTCGTTAAATCCCTTATACTATCAGGAAGTATTGTACAGCCGAGTATCCAGAATACTCAGGTATTATACAACACAGCGGCTTATCTCCTGGATGTCCCAGCTTGTGGCTGACCTAGTCAACCATGGACGAATCCGGGCGACTGCCATGGCGCCGGCGCGCTCTTGGCAGTTGGCTACGGGCGTTTGATAGAGGAGGATGCTCTCGGAGACCGCACCAGAACGGGCATCCGCCTCTGCCAAGAGCCATGGCGGTGGTAGTCAAAGTCTGTCAGATGAATGGGAGTGCGTGGCCGTGGAGATAACCCTGTGCATAGAGTAAAATACTGTCTGCTGCTCTTGTGTACTCCTCAGTCGTGATTGATCCGAGGTCCAGGTGTATGTAACTAAACCCTACCCATACTCCGGAGCCCTAAGTCAGCTCTCAAATGCCGTGTTTCTCAAGCGATAGACGAACCTCCTTCCGTCACATCCCCACTGTCCGATCTGTCGACCCCGGATTCCCCCCAGGGCGTCCCCACGTCTGCATCCGAGCTTCATTTCCGCTCTCCTGTACGGCAAATCCGATCGAGCTCTGCTATCCGACCTTCTCGTCCTATAAATCCCCATTCCCCATTCCCTGCATGATTCAAGCTATCTAGTTAGTCCATCTCCAAGACTGTCCTCACCGACCGGTCTTCTCTCTTTCCATCTAGCTGGCAGTGCGGGATGGCCTCCAACTCTCCCCCTCCGACCCTCGTGGCGGACGAAAAGGGTTCCTCCCAGCACAAAGACCTCGTCTTCCATGACGCCCACGACGCTGCCGGCCACGACCAGGCCGCCACCGACCAGTATGGCCGCGCCTTGGTCGAATTCGATCGCGCCGCCGAACGACGCCTGCGCTTGAAGATTGATTTCTGCATCGTCCCCACCGTCGCCCTGCTGTATCTCTTCTGTTTCATCGATCGTGCAAACATCGGTATGCCCTACATGCTTAATTCTCTCAATTTATCTTTACACGTTCTAATCTCCCTAGGAAACGCCAAACTGGCCGGCCTGGAAAAAGACCTCGGGCTCAAAGGCAACGACTACAACAAAGTCCTCTCCATTTTCTACATCTCCTACATTCTTTTCGAAGTCCCCTGCAACATCGCCTGTAAATGGATGGGTCCCGGTTGGTTTCTGCCTCTGACCACCGTCCTTTTCGGCGTGTGCTCCCTGGGCACCGCCTTTGTCAATGACATCCACGCCGTCTCGGGCGTCCGCTTCCTGCTGGGCATTTTCGAGGCCGGCATGATGCCCGGCATCGCCTACTACCTGTCGCGCTGGTATCGGCGCAGCGAGCTGGCCTTCCGCATCTCCCTCTACATCGTCATGGCGCCGCTCGCCGGCGCGTTCGGCGGGCTCCTAGCCTCGGCTATTCTCACCCTCGACCACTTCGGCGGGCTCCACACCTGGCGCATGATCTTCGCCATCGAGGGCATCATCACCATCGGCCTGGGCCTGATCGCCTTTGCCACGCTGACCGACCGCCCGGAGACCGCGCGCTGGCTGACGCAGGAGGAGAAGGACCTGGCGGTGGCGCGGCTGAAGGCGGAGCGCGTGGCAACGACCGAGGTGCTGGACAAGATGGACAAGGCCAAGATGCTGCGCGGGATCTTCAGCCCGATCACGCTGGGCACGGCGGTCATCTTCCTCCTCAACAACATCACGGTGCAGGGGCTGGCATTCTTCGCGCCGACCATCGTGCGCACCATCTACCCGCACGCCAGCGTCGTGTCGCAGCAGCTGCACACGGTGCCGCCGTACGTGGTGGGCGCGTTCTTCACGGTGCTCTTCCCGCTGCTGAGCTGGACGTTCGACCGGCGCATGGTCTTCTTCGTGGTCGGCCCGCCGCTGATGATGGTCGGGTACATCATGTTCCTGGCCAGCCAGGCGGCGATGGTGCGGTACGGGGCGACGTTCCTGATCGCCAGCGGGGCGTTTGCGTTTGGCGCGCTGTGCAACGCGCACGTCTCCAACAACGTCGTGTCGGACACGGCGCGGTCGGGCGCCATCGGCACCAACGTCATGCTGGGCAACGTCGGCGGCCTGATCTCGACCTGGTCGTTCCTCCCCTTCGACGCGCCCGACTACCACATCGGCAACGGGCTGAACCTGGCCACCTCGTCCATGACGATGATCCTGGGCGCGCTGATGTGGGCGTGGATGAAGTGGGATAACCGGAAGCGCGACCAGACGGATGTCGACCAGGCGCTGGCGGGCCTGTCGCAGAAGCAGATTCAGGATCTGGATTGGCGCAACCCGGCTTTCCGGTGGAAGACATAGAGGATTATATTGTTTGTAATGTGTTTAGTGCGTGTCACATCGCTTAGTTAATGAGGATGAATCACTCCGACTCCGCGTCTTGGCCGTAAATAAGTACTCATAATGATGGAGACTGTCTTACTCCGGAGTGATACCCCAGATAGAGTGAGTGAGTGGAGCTTTATACTCCGCAGACCGGAGAACTCCATCTCGGCGTGGGGTTGTCATCGTGACATCGGAGATTTTACGCCGCCAGTCGCCTCCCCCGGGCAGGTTCCGTCACAGTATGCGCCATGATGTGGAGATGGACAGGGATCCCATCCATAGACCCAGATAGCCGACAACCGGACTTGACTGACCGGTCGCGTGAGAAGCACTAGTTAGCCATCTAGAGCGTTTGGGATGGTTGGCATGAATAACGCGAATGCTCGGACGATGACCGAGCCCCTCACTAGCCCTCACTAGGAGTACTCCGGACGGGGTACGGCTCGGGGTAATTCGGGAGCAAAGATACCTAGTACTAGGAGCAGTGGATATCCGAATGAGGTGTCGTGTACTGATGTGAGGATAGAAAGAACTGTATATCCAAAGTGTGTATGATCGCTCGAGAAGCCCTAATATGATACTTCCTATACATGATCACCCGGCTGGGCAGAGTCAAGCGAGAACAAGCTCCGACAAGAGAGCATATATTGTACGGAGTACATCCACAAACCCTAGGCAATGCTTAGTCGCTTGGCACATCAAGACCTCATCCAGACAGACGGGACGAGTAAGAATGACGAGAGTTGGCGCTTATAGTACTAGAAAACTCTCCCAAGCCTCTCCCCATGGAGACCCCACGCTTTCTCCCCGCGTCTCCATCGATCGGCCTCTCTCTTACTGAAAGAGTGGTTCATTTTTCCAGAGGCTTGGAGCTGTTGTCTGGTCCCAACTGAAGCAATCAGACGCGAGGGGTTACATTGCAGGTCGCAGCGCAGGCCCAAGCTAGCCCACCTATAAAGCCAGCACCCCTCCTCCAACACCGAACAAACCTGCAGGACACGCGTGCATCTGGCAAGTCGTCTGTTCTCCTTCTTGTCCCTTCTCTTTGCCTCTGTCCCAGTCGCAGCAATGGCGGGCGGCTCCAAGAAACCCATCAACATCTTCCGCCTGGGGAACCTCGATGACCCCAAGCAGGTCTTCAACTGGCGCCTCTGGTTTGCCGTCGTCTCCTTCGGGCTGATGGGCGCTGCCCGGGGTGTCGACGAGGGCTTGATCTCGGGCGCCTTCAACAGCAAGGACTTTCAACGCACGATCCACTTTGACTCCTACAGCGAGGTCGAACAGACCAACATCAAGGCGAATGTGTCGGCGATGGTGCAGATCGGCTCGGTGGGCGGTGCTCTCTTGTAAGTCAAGTCCACCGGTTCTCTTTGCAGTGACAGGGACACCAACTGACGTGCCCAGCGCATTCCTCGTCTGCGATCGCATCGGACGGCTCTGGGCCACGCGCCAGCTCTGCGCGCTGTGGATTGTGGGTATCGCCATCTTCATGGGCGCCAACGGCAACCTCGGGGCTATCTACGCTGGTCGTTTCGTCGCCGGTCTGGGGGTAGGCCAGACGGTCGTTGTCGGGCCCGTCTATCTTGCTGAGATTGTATGTCTCCCTCCCATCCCCATTAGAGACGTCCCACTAATACTACCTATATAGGCCCCTGCATCCGTCCGCGGCCTGTGTACCTGTGTCTTCACCGGCTTCGTCTACCTAGGCATCGTCCTGGCATACTTCACCAACTACGGCTGCCAAGTCAACCTGGGTGACAACACGCACAAGCGCTGGGTACGTCCCCCTACCTCCCAAACCATGTCTCCAGCACATCTAACACATCTACCCCCACAGGAAGTCCCAACGAGTCTGCATATCATCTTCGCGGGACTCATCGCCCTCCTCTCCCTTCTCCAATACGAGTCCCCCCGCTTCCTCATCAAAAAGGGCAAATACGAGCACGCGCTGAAGAACCTGGCGCACCTGCGGCACCTCCCCGAGGACCACGAGTACGTCGTGCGCGAGATCCAAGGCATCCAGGCGTCGCACGACGCCGAGATGGAGGCGACGATGGGCGCCGGCCCGGTGGGCATCATCAAGGAGGCGTTCCTGGTGCCCAGCAACCTGTACCGGCTGTACCTGGCGGGGATGGCGCAGCTGATGTCGCAGTGGTCAGGCGCGGGGTCCATCACGCTGTACGCGCCGGACCTGTTCAAACTGCTGGGCATCACCGGCTCGAACGAGTCCCTCCTGGTAACAGCCGTCTTTGGTATCGTAAAGCTCGTCGCGGCGATCGTCTGCGCGCTCTTCCTGGTCGACGTGATCGGGCGCAAACGCGCGCTGCTCATCGGGATCACGCTGCAGGCCATCTCGATGGTCTACGTGGCGGGCTTCCTCACCGCCGTGCCGGAGATGGGCGTGGACGACTCGTTCCAGCTGCCGGCGAACAAGCTGGGGGCGAGCCGCGGCGCCATCGCGATGATCTACATCTCGGGAATGGGCTGGGCGCTGGGGTGGAACTCGATGCAGTACCTGCTGACGGCGGAGCTGTTCCCGCTGCGGATCCGGGCGCTGGCAACGTCGATGGCGATGACGCTGCACTTTGTCAACCAGTACGGCAACTCGCGCGCGGTGCCGAATATGCTCCTGTCGACTGCGGACGGCGGCATCACGCCCAAGGGCACGTTCTGGTTCTTCGCGGCGGTCACCATCCTCGGCGGGCTGTGGGTGCTGGTTACGGTGCCGGAGACCGCGGGCCGGTCGCTCGAGAGCATGGATCGGCTGTTTGAGCTGCCGTGGTATAAGATTGGGTTGTATGGGAATAAGGATGCCGAGCAGCGCGATCTTATCTCGGAGAGTAAGCTCCAGGAGCGCGAGTTGGAGGCTGGGGTTGGGCAGAAGACTTGATTGTATGGTAGTTTTGTAGGTGGTTCTTGGATGGAGTGATAGTTGCTGTTTAATCAATGCCATTCTTCAACCAAGCGTGGAGTTATACGATTCCTGTTTCTACAACACACGACATACCACTAGGCCATAAACCTTCTAATTTTACTACCTGTATACTAGTAGGTACTGTAGTCTCTCGAACTCTATTATCGATGCACTGGTAGTTTAATACCCAGAGTCAGTTGGCGACCTAGACCGCTCTTACAAACTCCATCAGACCAGGCGAACCAGGCGTCGTGGAATCCGGTTTCCAGCTTTGCGCCCGCGAAGCCTTCTCGTCAATGGATTCTGTAAACTCTCCACGCATGGTATAACTCTGCACCGACAATCCCTGCGCCGACAGCTCCACCTTGATCTTCTTGTTTGGACCGGTAGGCGACAGAGCGACCAGCTCGCCGTGGTGCGGATAGACGGCAGACCATGTTAAACATTGCTCCGTCGGTTTGCTGTCTTCGCTCGGCTCAACTGCTGACTTTTGGTCTTGGCGAATGGCGGTCAGAATATCCAGCATAGTCAAATGAGTCAACGCTGTGGCAACCTCCTCCTGCAGCCCAATGCGGCTTGGGGGCTGGATATCGGGGTATTCGGGCATGTCCACCGATATATCGAAATGGGTACCAAACGGCGGCACTACCGCGTTTGTGCGCACCCGCACCCTGAAAGAGCCGTGGGAGGAAGGGAGCTTGCAAGAAAAGGTCGACTCAAGTGGCGCCAAAAAGGTTTGCACGAGAGCTTCGACGGTAGGTATGGTGTGTTTCGTGGGCAGGCGGATGGACGAGAAAGGCGTGGCTTTGAACTCGCACTGTAACCCTGCAGATTGCAGCACCCGGTGAATATCGTTCAGGAACGACTCTACCCATCGCACATGCGAACTATGCTGGAGGTATGCCATGACCGGTCGCAAAAGTAGGTATTCGGGGGTGTGTCGGCGTTTCGTAGACAACGGTGGTGGGGGTTGCGTGCGGCGTCGCAGGTTCTGACGGTGGGCGTAAGCCAGGAGGATATGAATGGAGTGGGATATCGCATTGGCGAGTGTGTCGTGTTCATGGGACATCGGAGTTTCGTCAGACAGCAGATCCTGGTCGTCTACTAAGTCCAGAAGAATATCCTGCTCCTCCGACACGGGTATCTGGACTAGGTTTTGCCGCGTGATGACACCCTGATTGCCCAGCATTCTCGCCTCGCGGAACACTTCATGGAACAGCTCCTCCTCGTACAGCGTATCCCGCGCCTGGAGGATGCGATTCTCAATCGATTCAACGTCTTCAGTCACCGCCGGCTGCACCTTGGAGCAGCCAGAAATGCCCCCACAATGTTTCACTCTGACTCGCAGCATGCGCGTGCGCTGTGGTGCTAGCCCTTTGTCCAAAAACAAGCGACCATCGTCGGCCCGTCGCAACGCTGCAAGTCCCCGGTCGCGGAAGATAGGGGTCGCTGCAGCCAGTCAGTGATGCGACAAACATAACAAGCACTTTCGTGGTCCTTACCCTCCATAAACCCATATTGAACCCCCAATGCCTGTCTTTCCCGCGGTAACCGGCACACCTTCCAGCCCTTGTTCTTCACCGCAAGTACTTCCTCCCAATACCGTGTCTCGGACGCGACCTCGGATTCCAGCCGTGTCGCGGCGTCGAGTAACCTGTTGGCGGCGGCATCGAAGTTCTGTAGCCTCCAGCCACGGGACACGGTTTTGATATCTTTCGCCGTCGATTCGGGTTTAGGAGGCGGGTTGACAACCTCGGCATTGAGGGAGCCAAGAGGAGCGACCTGCTTCAGGATGGCGGACATGGACGTTTCGGCCTGACGGGGTGCATATTTGGAGAGAAGGAGGGAGACAAAATCAAGGGCGAACATAGCCTCCATATGAGCCTGTCTGGATGAAGTCAGTCCGACCGCCCCTCTTCAATCGGTAGAGGAACCCTTACAGTGCGAAATTGGTGATCTCTGCCCGTCGCTTGTACAGTTGCTCTAGACGCTCGGATGTATCGACATCCGCAGCGGATTGACCGTCAGATTCTTCATCCTCCGCCCAAGGATCCTTATGCTTATCGGCTTCGATCTGCGCGCGGAGACTGTCCTCACTGACATCGCGAAAGGCTCCCCATTGAGCGTTGATCTGGGCGATCTCCACCGGCAGCGAGTCCTGGTGTTCGCGCTTATCAATGAGTGGTCGCAGAGGAAGACTGAGAGAGTCGGGCATGATGAGTCTTCCGGAGTGGCTGTGAAAGCGGAATTGGAGAAAGACGCCGTTGTTGTTCGTTGATGCGCTCATTGATGGTATCGTCACGTGGAGATTGCCTCTGCATAGCTGACTCACTTTGTATAATTAATGCATAATCGTGGTCTTTATCAAATCAGGACTAGCGCGGGGCTCCTGCAGCCTTCCACGCTAACCCCAAACCAGTAACCAGTGTGACATCAGCATTTTCTCCTCGCGACAAAACCTTCACTCGATTTCTTCGTCTTTCTTCAAGTTGAGCGACACTGAGGGTCCCAGAACATCATCCAGACGATCATAGCATCTCATTCCCTTGTCTATTTGCTGTTCCCCCTTGTTCCCACAGAACCCAAGACAACCACTGTCAAACCGGCTCTCTCGGTGACGTAGCTTGCCCACTCCCGCTTTCTCTCACCGGAATTAAACCCCACTACTTCCTCATCAGACGACATCATCTTCTTTTCTCACTTTCAATCTACTTCAATCTCTATCTCGACCTCACTCACTCGCCGCTAGTCGACTCTCCTCGCCTCTATACTCCTCCACAAGGATTGATCGCCCGTTGCAACCCCAATCGTTCGTCCTCGCCCACGATGGCCACGACACAAGCCCCCGTCGTGCCGCCCAAGCGTCGCCGGATCGGAGTCCTGACCTCCGGTGGTGATGCTCCGGGCATGAATGGTGCTGTGCGGGCTGTCGTCCGTATGGCCATCCATTCCGAATGCGAGGCCTACGCCGTCTTCGAAGGTTACGAGGGTCTCGTCAATGGCGGCGACATGATCCGTCAACTACACTGGGAGGACGTCCGCGGATGGCTCTCCAGAGGTGGTACCCTGATCGGTTCCGCCCGTTGCATGACCTTCCGGGAGCGCCCCGGTCGTCTCAAGGCTGCCAAGAACATGGTTCTGCGGGGAATTGACGCCCTGGTGGTCTGCGGTGGTGATGGCAGTTTGACCGGTGCGGACGTCTTCCGCTCCGAATGGCCCGGTCTGTTGCAAGAATTGGTCGCCACGGGCGAATTGACCCAGGAACAGGTCAACCCCTACAAGGTTCTGAACATCGTGGGTCTCGTGGGATCCATCGACAATGACATGTCCGGCACCGACGCAACCATTGGCTGTTACTCGTCTCTGACTCGCATCTGTGATGCTGTCGACGATGTTTTCGACACCGCTTTCTCCCACCAGAGAGGTTTCGTCATTGAAGTCATGGGCCGGCACTGCGGTTGGCTTGCGCTTATGGCCGCAATCAGTACTGGTGCCGACTGGCTGTTCATTCCTGAAATGCCCCCCAAGGATGGCTGGGAGGATGCCATGTGCGACATCATCACCAAGGTAAGCATACCAGCACACGAGTCGATGACCTCTTGAGTCTAACGCCAATCCCTCTTCAGAACCGTACCGAACGCGGCAAACGTAGAACCATCGTCATCATAGCAGAGGGTGCTCAGGATCGGCAGCTCAACAAGATCTCGAGCAACACTATCAAGGATATCCTCACCAAGCGTCTGGGCTTGGACACCAGAACGACCGTTCTGGGTCACACACAACGCGGTGGTGCCGCGTGCGCCTATGATCGGTGGTTGTCCACTCTGCAGGGCGTGGAGGCCGTTCGCGCCGTGCTGGACATGAAGCCCGACACCCCATCGCCCGTCATCACAATCCGTGAAAACAAGATCATGCGCACCCCGCTGATGGAAGCGGTTCAGGCCACTAAGGAGGTCACTCAGCATATCCAGAACCGCGAGTTCGAAACCGCCATGGCTCTGCGCGACTCGGAATTCAAGGAGTACTACGACGCTTATCGGAACACCGCTACCCCCGATCACCCGAAGATGCTCCTACCGGAGAACAAGGTACGTTCCCTGGGACCAAGATATCCAACCATAGTGCTAATGCATTGCAGAGAATGCGTATTGCAATCATTCACGTCGGTGCTCCGGCTGGTGGTATGAACCAGGCCACGCGTGCCGCCGTCTCCTACTGTCTCACTCGGGGCCACACACCCCTTGCTATTCACAATGGTTTCCCCGGTCTGTGTCGGCATCACGCTGATAAGCCCGTGAGCTCGGTGCGGGGCGTCCAATGGCTGGAGCAGGACGCCTGGGTGAACGAAGGTGGTTCGGATATTGGAACAAACCGTAGCCTGCCATCTGAGGATTTTGATACCGTCGCCAAGTGCTTCGAACTCTACAAGTTCGACGGGTTGTTCGTCGTCGGTGGTTTCGAGGCCTATACGGCCGTCAGTCAACTGCGCCAAGCACGCCAAAAGTACCCTGCCTTCAAGATTCCCATGGTGGTGCTCCCTGCGACCATCTCCAACAACGTCCCGGGAACCGAGTACTCCCTGGGTAGCGACACTTGTCTCAACACCTTGATCGACTTCTGCGATGCTATTCGCCAGTCGGCGTCCTCCACCCGCCGCCGTGTGTTCGTCATTGAGACCCAAGGCGGCAAGTCGGGCTACATTGCTACCACGGCCGGTCTTGCCGTGGGTGCTGTGGCTGTCTACATTCCCGAGGAAGGTGTCGACATTAAGATGCTGGCGCGGGATATTGACTTCTTGCGCGACAACTTCTCCCACGACAAGGGAGCGAACCGCGCTGGAAAGATCATCCTGCGCAACGAATGCGCGTCCAACACCTACACGACCCAGGTGATCGCGGACATGATCAAGGAGGAAGCCAAGGGCCGGTTCGAATCGCGTGCCGCTGTGCCAGGTCACTTCCAGCAGGGTGGCAAGCCCTCGCCCATGGACCGAATCCGCGCGCAGCGCATGGCGATCCGCTGTGTCCAGCACCTGGAAGAATTCAAGGGCAAGACTCCTGACGAGATTGCGGCCAACGAGCTGTCCGCCTCGGTCATCGGCGTCAAGGGCTCCCAGGTGTTGTTCTCGGCGATGGGTGGCCCCAATGGCCTGGAGGCCACGGAGACTGACTGGACCCGCCGTCGCCCCAAGGACGAGTTCTGGCTCGAACTGCAAGACACGGTCAACATCCTGTCGGGACGGTCCAGCTGGAGTGATGGACGCCGCACATGGGCTCACCATGAGCATGCGTGATTGGTCACCTGCTAGAATCAGATCTAGATTCCTAGGATACAGCGAGCGGCCAAGAGACTGGGCCATGTAGCTATACCTGCGATGTACCTATGATGATTACACATTGAATGAATGAAAATAATGATCTTGGCAATATTTATGGGTTGTAGTGGCTATTGCTATAATTTGTCGCTTATCCAACCAATATAAAAAAAAACCTCATGATGTATGCGAAAGAATATTGCGATTAACCCCTTCCATGCAAGTTTTCAATCACAGACCCTCGATCTGCTCCAACTCATCCAGAAGCTGCACTGTCTCAGCCGGACTGGCAATCCAGGCCGTGGTCGACGCCAACCGAGCCTATATTGTCAGTACTGAGGCGAATCACGCAGGATAGAGTACACAAGTACATACCTTGAAATCATTAGCTCCAGCGGACAAGAACTGGTCCCCTACATGGAGCGTCCGCGTGCGCTCAATACCCCCAAAATACTGCTGGCAGGCCCTTACACCCCACGATTTGTCGCCAATATCGACAAAGACGTCATTGCCCCCGTTGAACGCGCAGAACGGCAAGCGGGACCCCACCGCCGATCCCTCGACGGTATTCTGCACGACGAGCACGGTCTCTTCCAGCTGCTCGCGGGAGATCTTACTCCGGTCGAGCGGGTAGACGCCGACGGCGCGGTCCTTGCGGAGGACCGCGACGGGGAGGTTGAGGTTAGACGCGCAGGCGCGCAGGGACGACTCAGCGATGTCGAGGAGTTCGGTGATGTCAGCGTCGTTCCAGGCGACCATCTCGGGGAGCAGCCATTCGTTGCGGGGCACGTAGGCGAGACGATGGGGGGCGGCGGGGTCGTAGCGGAAGAGGAAGTTACTCTCGCCGCCCATGACGACGAGGCCGTTGCGGAGGGCGGGAGTCAGGTCGGGGGAAGTGTGCATGGCGTCGAGGAGACCATGCAGGCGCTCATAGTACTTCTGGGGGTCGGTGTAGCCGGCGGCGGTGACGATGCCGACCTTGCGGCCCTGGGCGAGGAGGCGGAGGATGCGGGGAATGACGGGGCTGTCGGGGGTGAGACAGGCGCCGTCGTCGTAGAGGGTGACGTCGCCATCGAAGGTGATCAGGTCGAGGCCGGAGTTGCGCTGGAGACCGAGCAGCTGGGCGGAGTTGAGGATGAGGCGGATGTCGTTGAAGGAGGGAGCGACGAAGCGGCGGCGGCTGATGAAGCGCTGGCGGTCTTGCCATTTGAAGGCGTCCACCAGCGGCAGCGGGGTGAAGAAGAGGCCCACGGTGGGCACGAGGAGTTTCAGCTTGGATTTGCCGGGGGCATGGTCGAGGTAGTGTTTGACTGGTTGGAGGGGGTTAGCTGGGTGTTTTTGCGGAGAGGAGCGACTGGGCAGTAAGGTACTGTGGTCGCGGATGAGGTTCTCAACGTCGCGGAAGATCTCCGCGTAGCGCTGGTGCGTGTCGGCCGCCACCGCGGAGAGAGTCTCGCTCTGCTCGTGGGAGATGGCCGTGGGCTGCGAGTGCAGAACGAACGGGACGGCCAGGAGGCCCTTGATCCATTCGATCAGTTGGTCTCGGCGGTGAGACTGCGCCCGTCAGTGGGTGTTGACTCGTTGAGATAGGGGCGGTCAGGGCTAGATCCGCATACCTTGAGGGCGTCTGGGAAAGGTGAGTGATGTGAATGTTTTATCCAGGAGGAGACTTACATTCAACGCGGTATCTAGTGGTCATGGTGTGTCAATTAGGGGGGGTGTGGGATAGGAGAGTGTAGGAGTGGAGATGAGGATGTTGGAGACGGAGAGAGTTGTTATGGTGTTCTTTTCCCCGCATAACAATCCAGGCGGCCAAGATAAAGCCACACCACATGATAAGAACGAGAATGGCCTCAGGAATGTTTATTGATATTGTCTTAGCAATGGGTTTGGATCATATGCCGAGATCGGCCTGTAAGCTGTGATCCATCGTGCCTACGCAAAGCTTGGCCTTTTAGCGTGAGGCTGCCATGGGGGGCAGTAATCTACGGGAATGCCACAACTCGTGCTGCTTAGATTCACAACATCGACAACTAAAACAAGTCCTCGCGGTCATGCCATTGCATTGGATTCCCTACTGAAAATGCTTGGTCGCATTCTCGACTGTCAACAGTCCCTTCAGTCTTGCATCACTCACCCCATAAGCTCCTGGCAGCCACGGCACCTCTTCACCCAGCATGATCTTCGCCAATGCCTCCCCTGACATCAAGCAATTCGCCATTCCGTATCCATTGAAAGCAGCGGCGAGATATTCGCCCGTGCCATCTCTCCCAGTAAGCGACGAGGGAAGCTGGCCCACGAGTGGCACTCCATCTGCTGAGAACCCCATAATACCACTCCATGAACTGATAAGCGGCCATGGCCCTCTGTTCCCATACCCCAAGAACGGCGGTAGCTTCTCCCGCAGTTGCATCACGGACGCCTCTCCTGCGTAGCTGTCGTCAGGACTCAAGCACAGGTCAATGCGAGTATCCTCGCCACCAAAGTAGAAGTACCCGCTGTTTGCGTTCTGAAGGAGATAGTAGAGACCTGCGGCCCATCGTCCGGACTGCGCGTCAAACTTGGCCGGATAATGGAACCCCCATGAGAGATCGCGTCCCTGATTCGGGATGGACTCGGCTGGGTCTTGCACAGTCATGGTGCCCTTGTAAGGAAACATCCGACCCCGCAGACTGGGGAGAAGGTGGCCTGTATAGCCATTGGTGCAGTAGGCTACTTTGGCGGCTTGGAGGGACCCTCGAGGAGTTTGGACAATGTATGGGTAGTTAGTCGAAGCACTGTCATACGAGACGGCGGTGGCCGGTGTGTTGGTTTCGATAGACAATCTGGACGGATATTTCTCCATCAGACTGGCAAAGGCATTGGTCACTAATCGGTATGGCCAAACCGTTCCAGCAGGAAGGAGACAACCTCCTGCGCCGTCAATGTTGTACCGTTGCTGAGGAATTAGACCAGCTCTCGTAAGACGCTTCGATCATCGTACGTACCTTCAGTTGCTCTTTGTTTAAGACGGTATAAATCCCCCGCAGAGACGGGTGATCGCGTTCCATCATGGCGACACTCTCTTGAAACTCATCAAAGGTAGCCTCCGTGAGAAAGACCCGGAGTTTCTCAACCTTCTGCCAGTCACAATCGTCGGGCGCATATTTCTGAATTAAGCTCTCCATTTTGTCCAGATTGTCAAAGGTGAACTGGACAATCTTGCCAGCCATCTCAGCCCCATGAACTCGCGCCAGATGCAGGTACTCCTCGCCGGCATTCGCAGCCATCTGGCCGCCGTTTCGCCCAGTAGCTCCCGAACACAGCGTTCGAGCTTCGAGGACAGTGACCGTCGCCGACGGATGGTTCTCGAGAAGCGTCAGACTAACCGCTAGTCCGGTGATTCCAGAGCCGATGACAGTGAAGTCTGTCTGTTCAGGAAGAGAGGGCGATTCTGCCGTTGCCAGCGCATGGGGATCGCGTTGCCAGTATGACTGCGTGGGATTGGATTTGGGAAGGCCAGGGTCGCCTGTTAGAAGATCCGAGAGTGATACAGAGTTATTCATTGTGCTGGAACAAGATGTATATATATATCTTTAGGCCTCTGGCCCTATTCCTTCCCATTAACAGCTTTATGTTCCAGAAGGTAAAGGATACAGTTCGAAACAGAGAGGACGGGGTACAGCTGAGCGGGGGAGCTTAGTAATGCTAGAGGAACCCTGATAACTATACAAATTTCAAGAAACGATATCAAAAGTACAAAGGTTCGTGAAGGAGATAGAAGAACAGGATTGAGTTTGTATAGAGCATGTAGTTGTGCAGTAGGACATAGAGGGGCATTAACATCGACCTTCCGCCTCTGCTCTTATATTCTCCCACTTCACTTTTACAACTCGGTGGTTTATCTACCGTCACTAGCCCTACATATCATTACAGGCGCTGATTACCGCACGTCTTACCCTAAATTCCTTATCTTAGAACAGACATCGACAGACAGAACACGTGGCAAAAGCTTCCTCCTAGGGACCTTCCGCCTCCACAAACAGAGACAGACCCAGAACAACAATCGCATGAAGCAACTCAGTTCGAAGATATTTCTGAGACCGTATTAGACACTCTAGAAGAACTGAGTTTATTATCATCTACCTCAACAGACTCCATTGGGCTGTATATATGGTTACGCCTTCATTGAGCCTTCTATAGGACACAGGATGGCGTGCAAGTTGAGCCTGCGATGGCATGAGGACGGACTTCGTGGCCAAGCCGTCCATATTTATACCATCTTGATTTCCCTCAGAGACTACGATATAGTTTCTTATCTCTAGCGGGCACCAGGATCGTATTCATAGATAACGTCCCAAATCGGAGGAGATCTGGATCGCTGTCGTCTATCTTCAAACGTAGCTGCCCTACCACGGGATCTCCTTGCCGTCGTACTGGTTCAAACCGGGATTGTTCTCCCAGCCGGGTACATGGATGTTCAGGAATTTCCCGTTCTGTGCTGTCGTCGCTTCCTTCATGGTCTTTACGACCGCCTCGGCGCCCTGCGCGACTGGAAGATCCGCGCGCGATCCACCCATGTCCGTTTGGAGCCACTGTTGAGATTAGAACCGTTGCACGCGCTATCATGGACAAGGAAAATTAGGGAGGACGTACGCCTGGGCTGACAGCGAGAAAGGTAAAGCCCTCATCTACAAGATCCTCTGCATACTGTTTCGTTAACATGTTCAAGGCCGCCTTGGTGATCTTGTAAGCGGGGACAGGGTTTGATTTGAAGGTAGACGCGACACCGATGGATCCAAGAGTCGTAGAGCTGCGGTCGTAAGAATTCATCCATTACACGCAAGCAGCAAAGGGACGCACATGTTCGTCACTAGTTTCCTCTCCCCCTTGCGCAGAAGAGGAAGAAATGCTTGGGTCACCATGTGCGTGCTCGTCACATTGGCATGAAACGTGTCGTCCAGGTCCTCCCTGCAGCTCGTTAGCTCATATGCGTATACGTCTATAGACTGTCCTAGCTGGAAGAAAACGGACATCTTCTCGACTCCTCCCCGAGTCACCGGCATGACGCCCACATTGTTCACCAGCACGTCGAGTCCGCGGCCATGAAGCTGTTTCTCGACTTGGCGTGCCGCGTTTTGGACACTTGTCCGGTCGGTCGCATCCAATGGAATGAACACAACGCGACCCGAGGAAGAGGCCACCAACTCTGCCAACCCAGGAGAGTTGTCTCGCCTTGAGGTCGCAAAGACGGATGCGACCTCAGCTTTGGGGAATGAAGCTAGGTGAGTGGCGAGCGCAAGACCCAGCCCTCGGGCAGAGCCTGTAATGAGATAGTTTGCCATATCTAGGGAATGTTTCGGGGGAGTGTTGGCAGAAACAATCTTACGGTCACTAGTGAGGCAGGGGAGATATATAAATTCCTGTGATATCATCGTCGTTAACTCCTGTTATCTCCGGCTCCCATGACAAATCGGCACCTTCCAAGCCCAAACTCCATATTCCACGCATTTAATGGACTGCTCTATAGAAGAAATCGCTAAATATTCACACTGCAGTCCTCAGCGGCTATAGTTCACGATATACTCTTGATTCAGAGAACTCCGACGAACCAATCCGCTAAATCGCCGATGTTCGGCGCCAGAATTACATCCGAGGCTATTGTACTATGAGTACCGCCTTGCATCACAATAATGCATACACGAATGCCTGAAGAATGGGACATTGTCTACAAACATTCAGACCATGATCTCCCGAAGACTCCCTGGGATGATAAACACCACCTCTCGAGGTGCGGCGTTCTCCTCGCTCGCTCATCGTCGCGCCCCGCAGCGCAGTCTCCCAGCCTCCTATTATCGGGGCGGAACATCGCGAGCAGTCTTCTTCAAGCAGAGTGACCTTCCCACCGACCACACCAGCTGGGATGAAATCTTCCGTCGTGTAATCGGCAGCCCGGACCCGAATGGTCGTCAACTAGACGGCCTGGGAGGCGGCATCTCCAGCCTGTCCAAGATATGTGTTGTCGGCCCGTCGACCCGTCCCGATGCCGACATCGACTATACTTTCGTGGCGATGGGAGTGAAAGACAGCCAGGTCGACTACTCCAGTAACTGTGGGAACATGATCAGTGCGGTCGGGCCCTTTGCTGTGGACAGCCAGTTGGTACCGGTTCAGCCAGATGGCCACGCAGAGGCCGACCTGCGCATCCACAACACCAATACCGGGAAGATCATCCGGTCGCGTTTCCCCGTGGAAGACGGTGAAGCCGCATCGTCCGGCTCCTTTGCGATCGACGGTGTGGCCGGTACTGCAGCCAAGATCCAGCTCGATTTCCTGGACCCTGCGGGCTCCCGCACCGGCTCCTTGCTTCCCACTGGACAGGTGGTGGACACGTTTGATGGCGTTTCTACAACATGTATCGACGTTGGGAACCCGTGCTGTTTCGTTCTCGCATCCGACCTGGGCGTCAAAGGCACAATCACCCCCGACGAGATCGATGCGCATCCTACCCTGCTACCGCGTCTGGACTCCATCCGTCGACAGGCTGGGGTCGCCATGGGCCTCGCGGATCACCCGGACGGTGTTCCGGGAAGCGTACCCAAGATCGGGATGGTTTCGGCTCCCCCATCAAACACACAAGCATCAGGACCCGCGGTTGATGTCGTTGTGCGAGCTCTTTCAGTCGGCCAGCCACACAGGGCTGTCCCTATCACGGTGGCGCTGGCGCTGGCCGCAGCGGCCAAAGTTCCTGGGAGCGTCGTGGCCAGCATGACGAAGGTCCCTCCCGTTGATGAGACCGGAATCACTCTAGGACATGCCAGCGGCACCTTGATGGTGGGAGCCGAGTTTGGGCCCGACGGTCAGTTAAGTCATGCCACCGTCTTTCGCACGGCACGACGACTGATGGAGGGTCGTGTTTTCTGGAAAGCGTAATGCCATCGGAGATTATCTAAGTTATACCTCTCCTATTGTATTTCCACTCAAAATTCTGCTTATGGTAGTTCCATCTTGGGATATATATTTGAAACGACATTGCTATTTGTTTTAAAAGGCTAAAATCGACTCACGATATCCTCTATGCGTGCATAAATTTATGCCGTCGACACTGTACCTATAAGATGCACAATTATGTATTAGTCACATGGGCCCACGTGGACTTACATTGTTTTGAATTTCCAGGCAGCTTCATTCGAATTCCAGCTCCAAATCAACAGTCGAGCTCCGAGACCCTGTGTAACGTGTGGCTTCATCAGTCTGGTTGAATTGCTGCAATCGCCGCCATGGCTGCCTTGGCCAAGCACAAACCTCAGTTCAAAGACTATCCGGAGCCCAAGAAAGGGTGAGTCGGCGGCATCAACAAACTGAGAAAATGAATCTAACAACCTGACGTCTCCCAGGCCTGACGTCCCTCCAACATACGACCGCAAGTCCAATCCGGGTCTTCGTGGGTTCGTGATCAATATCAGTGCCTGGTTGTTCGTATTCCTCGTACCCCCTTAAGCCAAGCAACATGCTGATTCGCGAGTGAAGACTGGACTGGGTCTGGTTCCTGCCCCAGATCGTCTGGTTTAATGCCGGGTTTGGGATGCTCCGTAAAATCAAAGAGCATTTGGACTATGTCGAGCCCCGATATGATCCCACGGTTATTCCGCTGGGTTCCGGGAATCTACTCGAAAGCGAAGATGCAGTCGCGTCCACGGAACTCCCGGCCCAACCCTATCCTAATCACAAGACTAAGTATTATTCGGTCGCGGACTATCATGCGCTGTACCTGTCGGGCGAATTGACGCCTCTCGCCGTCGCGAAGGCGATCCTCCCGCTGATCCGGCGCGATATGGCCAACCAGGGTAAACATGCGGTGGCTTTCTTCGACAGTCGTGTGGACTTTGTGCTCGAGGCAGCGAAAGCGTCCACTCAGCGGTACCAGGAGAAGCGCCCTTTGGGAATTTTCGACGGGGTCCCTACTGCAGTAAAGGGCGAGTTCGATGTTGACGGGTACAAGACTCATCTTGGCTCTTTGAACGACTACACACCGGAACCTACCGAGGAGGACCCCTCCATCACGAACTGGTGTGTACGCCAGCTGCAAGATGCGGGTGCCATCATGCTTGGGAAGCTGTCTATGCATGAATTTGGATTAGGTATGGGAAGCTCGTGGTGGTTCGACCTTGAGCTAGTATACGTGCTAACTATCTGCCAGATACTACCGGCAATAACATCCACTACGGAACACCACCCAACCCGTATCATCCCGATTACTACACCGGGGGAAGCTCCTCGGGATGCGCGTACGCAGTCAGCACGGGACTCGTCCCCATTGCCCTGGGTACCGATGGAGGCGGGAGTGTGCGGATCCCGGCTTCGCTCTGCTCTGTTGCAGGACTCAAACCCACCCATAACCGCCTGTCGCACTATCCTGGAGTCAACTTTGCCAGCACCACCAGCGTCATTGGACCCCTGGCTGCGGATATCCGCTCCCTTGCCGAAGCGTACAAACTGGTTGCTACCCCCGGCCCCGATACCCTCTTTCCACCGCCCGGGCCTATCGTTCTCTCACCCTCAGCCAAGGGGAAGATCCTAGGCGTGCCGGAGGTTTGGTTCTCGCGTGCGGATCCCTCAGTGCAGCGTCTGTGTCGGTCCCTTTTGGACAAGCTAGTCACCGTATATGACTACACCCTCGTACCGATCGACATCCCGTTCCTCGTGGAGGGCCAAACGGCACACGCAATGACGATCCTCACTGACGCCTCGGCCGCGCTGACCGACACGACAAATATCACAGCCGCAAACCGTATCCTCCTCACTCTCGGCCGCACAACCCCCGCCATCGACTACGTGCTCGCGCAGAAACTGCGCCAGCTTCTCATGCAGCACCTGTCCGCGCTCTGGAAAGACTTCCCCGGCATGATCATTGTCACCCCGACGACGGCGTGTGCGGGATGGCGCGTCGAGTCCAAGTCGGAGTACAAGTACGGATTTAGCGACGGGGATAAGACTATCAAATGTATGGAATACGTTTGGCTGGCGAATTTCACTGGTATTCCCGCGATCAGCGTTCCCGCTGGATACGCGGAGCCGCAGGATGAGCCGGGCAACGGCAAGGTCCCTGTCGGGTTGATGGGCAACGGCGAATGGGGCAGCGAAGAAGCCCTGCTGCAATGGGGTCTGCATGTAGAGGAGGTCGGATCGGATCTGCAAGATCGACCTCCGACTTGGGAGGATATCGTCCAGAGAGCCAAGGCGATCGTGGACCAAGGAGTTGCCAGCGAGTAGAGCGTCGTGTTCTGTCTAGAGGAGGCATTTAGAGTAAGACGGTAGAATAGAATATGTGCAATCAGTGCGCGGTTAGCCCGCCGCTTAAATTGATAGCATCTTCCATTGACTTGACAGTGCGCTGCTGCTGGTCCACCAACGAGGAGTCCACAATACGTGCCTTCCGCTCCTCTCGGACACTCTTATACACGATCCCCGTCGTCCAGATGACCAGTGCGATGGAACAGCCGATCATCGCCCACATGCCGCGGGTGAAGCGTGGTGCCAGGTCGGCCGAATAGAAGAGGATGCTCCACCACGCATTAACCGCGTTGTTCCCCATGTTCATACTCGCGATCACGACAGACCGCTGACGAGCATCCTGCGACCTCATGGCATCATTGCACCAGGCGAAGAACGTCGCTTGACATGCATATACCGCACCGGCCCAGTAGTATGCCCCGAACACGGTAGCCGTGGACTCGAACCGAGTCAAGATAAGAACCGAAGTCACGACTCCCGTCACTCCGATAAAGTAGCCCACAAGATAGCGTTTCCCGCGGAGTACATCGGTTAGCGTGGCCCAAAAAAGAGTGGATACGATGCCGACTGCTGGCACACCCGTTGGGTAATTATTGAGCTGGGCAACCGAGTAGTGAATAGTAGGATGGGCTTTCATGTACAGCGCGAGCAACGAGTTCGACGAGAAAGACTCCGTCTCGCCTGCAATCACCCAGAGAATGACAAAGGCCCACCAGTACCACGTGGTAAAGAGCCGTTTCAAAAAGGCCCGGTCGACAGGGGCCTGTTCGGCGTTAGTGCCAGGTAGACGTGACACGGCGAGTTCGCGCTCGGATTGCGTCAAGTACGGCGCTTGCGTCGTGGCTGGGGTGTCGGGAAACAGCAGCAGACCATAGATGGCGATGGGGACGGTTATCAAGCCGTCGATCTGTAGGTGTTAATGGTGGTTCGTGTAGACTGAAGCCCGACTAGACTCACAATGAATAGCCATCGCCAGCCAGACAGGCCCCGTGCACCGTCCAAGGACGAATGGATGCCTGTCTGGATGAAGCCCCCAAACATGGTTCCAGCTAGCCCAGAGGCAGTGAATATTCCACTACGTTTGCCTAGTTCGCGCTCGGAATACCACGAGCCCAGAATATAGTGGGTTCCCGCAAAGGTACTCGCTTCCGCAAGACCCAAGAAGAAGCGAATGGCCATGATCCCCTGCGGATTATGCACAGCAGCCGTGACCATCGTCAGGGCACCCCACAGCAGGATCATGGTGGGGAAAAATATGCGTGGGCGGAAATATGTGATGGCCAGATTAGACGGCACTTGGCCCAGGATGTAGCCCACGGTGAAGATCGTGTTGATGACATTGAACTGGTTGCCATGAAAGGCCAGCTCTTCCTTCATCCCTGAGACGTACGCATTGGACAGGTTGGATCGGTCCAGGTAGTTGAAGAAGTACGTCAAACAACAGAATGAAAGAATGAAGAAGTCGATTTTCACGACCAGCTTCGTCTCTGGGTCCTGGATGGGCCACATTCTGGGGGATAAACGGGTATCCCACGTGTGGATCTGTCAATGCCTGAAGCCCATGTCCTATTATTTAGTTGACCTGTTGCAAGTCACCGACAGTGAAAATCCTCTGGTTGTCTGTTGGTGCTCTCGAGATGTTGCGGAGATGCAATGCTTGCCTTTTGGGGAAATCCGATTATGTAATGCGGACTGCGCTGGTTATCCTACGAGAAATGCTGCGCGAATATCCACGAATCAGTAGAGACACAAGGTATTGAGGTATATAATTTACTCTCTTCGTTTCATTCTCACCTGCATCCTCTCAATTGATCCGACTCGTGCCTTTCTGGTCAAGGTTTGAGCACTGCCTCCATGGTGATACTACAATGCATACCGCCTCATAATTCCTTCTCCCATTGGCTGGTATCCCCTTTCTGCCGACAGAAAATCTCTCTTTTTGGCGGGCGGTGACCTTCTTGGCTTGATCGATGCGACATCAACCTTTCGACTTCTCTCCCAGACACCGTCCCCCAGACAGACACGTCAGGATGCTGCGTGCGCCCTCCGATCCCACCGCTCTATATATGCCGATCCTCCAAAGCTTCGTCGTCGCCGCCTGATTCATCCCATGGAATGGGTGTCGGCCCCATTCGAATGGACCCCCTACCTAGGGAGAAACCCCTAGACGTCAAGTCGCCCGCGTCCGAACCGCTCTCTGAAGCCTCGACCATGGCTGGCCATGGCGGTACCATATTTTCGGATGGGAAACCATCCTTCACGAGTACGCAGGATGAGAAGCCGGCGGTGGAAGCCACCCAATTCTCCTTTTTCACAACTCGTTTGGACTCTGTGATCCACGCTTCGAGCCTGTCGTCGTTGAGGTCGTTCTATAATCCCTTCGACACGCTCCTAGAGACCGGATCTCACTCGGGACTGTGGTGGTTGGACGTCACCGCGCCATCCGATGAGGACATCGAGACGCTCTCGCGCTTCTTCGATATCCATCCACTGACCACGGAGGATATCAAGATGCGCGAGTCCCGCGAGAAAATCGAACTGTTCGGCCCATACTACTTCTTGTCGTTGCGGCCGCCCCAGCAGATCCAAATGCAGGATGGTGTCGGGACTTCGTCCCTCAATTTCTATGCCATTGTCTTTCGCGAGGGCGTGCTCAGCTTCAACTTGGGGAACTGTCCCCATCCGGGCAATGTTCGTAACCGGATCAAAGAACACCGGAGTCATCTGGCATTGACGAGCGACTGGATCTGCTACGCTCTGATGTATGTCACATGACTTCCATACTGCACATGAATTGACCATACTAACTATCTTTGGCAGTGACGACATTGTCGACGGCTTCGCTCCCTACATCAGCCGTGTCGAGACAGGCGTTGAGATGATGGAGGAGGGTGTCTCGATCACTCGGCCCGATGACATCGGACTGGCGTTGCAGCGTATCTACCATTGCCGAAAGGAAGTCATGCACATCCGCCAGCTATTGAACGACAAAACGGATGTGGTCCGCTGCTTCGCACGCCACTGCGATGCGTTTGGTTCGTCCACAGCCGAGGTAGCCCTTTATCTCAGCGACATCCAAGATCACGTCCTTACCATGATGGGTAATCTATCCCACTCCGAGCAGATGCTGTCCCGGTCGCAGTCCAAATATCTGGGGCGGTTGTCCTTCGACTCTACCCGTATGCGGAACCAGATGACTGCGACCTTGAGTCGTCTGGCGGTTATCGGAGGGATCTTTGTACCGATGCAGTACACCACAAATCTTTTTGCTATGAACGTCCAGGTTCCTGGTGAGGACACCAACCTTGGCTGGTGGTTCGGTATACTAGGCGTTATTTTGGGTCTGATTTGCTCCGCTTTGGTCATTCTTAAACGGTTTCGGATTATATAGAAGAGGATCGGCCATTTTCCTAGCTATACTGAGGCCCTTATATTATCATAGAATATAAAGGATTTGGAAAATACATACCCTATATCTAGTCGATGCTCCTCTTTCTCCACCGCCGACCTCAGGATCGGGCCGGTGGTCTTAGGCGGTTCGAGGTGGTCTGTCCGACCCGTTGCATGCCACGACTCAGAGGGCGTCCTAGTCGATTGGTAGCTTGACTGAATGGACAACGTGCCACAACGAGAGCCATTCCAACGCCCTTTGGAATGTCGCAACCCATGGGTCCGGGAAGATACGGATGCACATAGTCCACGGGAGGCTTGACGCTGCCAGTCACACACACGGCCTGTTAGACATTAATAATGGGGTATTGGCAGTGTTACCGCTTCTGCAAGTACGTATAGCATCTACAAATGCGTATACGATAGCTCTACATATTTGGTCTACACCGTCGCCTAGCCACATGCGATATATATCCAGATGCTGCATTTACGTACTTGTCTAAACTATTCCCAGTGAATGGACACTCGTCTGCCCTACGCTCCGCCTGGACTCAAAAACCGAGCATCTATATTTACATACCATGAGAACCCGCAGCGCAAGCTATGGACGTGTATGGTGACCTCGGTGTCACCAACAAGAATACCTATTCTGCAAAGGTATTACATCAGCCGCCCGGATGGTCTAGTGGTATGCAGCAACTGAACAACTAGTAATGAAATGCATATATTAACAGCAAATTAGGTATGATTCCTCGTTCGGGTCGAGGAGGTCCCGCGTTCAAATCGCGGTTCGGGCCGCTTTCCTTTTTTTCTCGCCTCTCAGAGCTGTTCAGCAAGTAGATTGTGGAAGAAGATGGTTAAAAGTTTTTCTAAAGGATAGGTGTAGCAACCTGTCCATATCCGTAGTCGCTCAGAAATTCATGGGATACACAGTTGAACGGGTTCGGAGAAAAGCCCAGACCAGTATCCAAATATTTGCCACCGCATGGGTCAGCATGGAGGCAATTTGGGGACCCAGTGAAAACCTTTGCTAGTTTTGTGGCTAAAAACCACAGAAAAATCTGATCGTCTACGGAGTATGGTATGTTGCAACTACAAGCTGCCACAGCCGTGCAACTAGCAAACAATCAGAACGATCTCTCACCTAGGCCACGAAGGTCCCTTATTGCCAAGCAGAGTCCAGTCTAGATAACCTGCATATTACCTTTCTCAGGCTCTCCGAGTGTTAATAATATGATATTCGAAGGCTAAAAAGGCTGGACGATGCTTGACGCAGCCTTCCCCAGGTCTCATAGGTGCGAAAACCTGCAAACGACATTGGATAATGGAGCCATCTTTTACACCAGACGTTTTCCCCTTTGACAGCCCAGAGGTCCAAAATACCGGAAAGTATCACTGGGGAGTGGTTGACATATAAATGTGTCCCCAGGGTGATGCAGGGACCCTTCCGATCATATTGACTCTAACCTCCAGCTTTTCCTACCGGCCGCCCGGATGGTCTAGAGGTATGGAGCACAGCTTCTGAATTATTCTTGACGTCAACTAACAAACCAACTATAGGTATGATTCCTCGTTCGGGTCGAGGAGGTCCCGCGTTCGAATCGCGGTTCGGGCCGTCGCATTCTTTTTTCCTTTTTGTCTCCACCTTATCTCCCCCATGGCATTTCTTTTTACAGGTAGCAGGTGCGTGCTGTTTGAAGACCAACTTGCTCCTCTCTTGCTAGTGGCAGTCTTACATCGAGCAAATACCGCTGTAAGGTTTGGTCTCAGGAGTCGTCATGGGCACACTCGACTAAATCCTCCGTATATTGGGAAGCCGTAGTACGCAGCAGGCAGAGGGGCCTGTCTACGCGTAGGTCTAGGCCCTCTCGGGACGAGAGTTTCATGCGATCCCCTGGCCCCCTGCATTGTTAACTCTGTAGACAGGCGAGACCGCGTAGGGCCCTCCATTGATGTTAGCGTTGGCGCACCTTGTGGTTACACATGTCGGGCATGGGTGCACGAGCGGGGTCATGGACACGTGCATCACGTTGTCAACGTGCGGCAGATTGTTCGCTGACAAGCTTGCAGTTTAAAATCGTAGGTCTGCTCCCAGGTGTCGGGGTGTATGCGTTCTTGAACATCACAATGACAACGACGGAGCCGAACGCAGTGGACGGGCCACGAGTCATTGCCGCCGTGAAAGAACTATTTCGAGAACCCGAAAGAGTACTCTTGGATGAGGAATGGGTCCCGCAGGATGGGGAACCTCGCGAACGATCGGCCTGGATGCTGGAGGCATGTGCGCTATTGCTATGCACGGCGGATCTGTTTCATCTCATCGAGACGGATAGGCGTGGATGGGTTGACGGTAGTCGATCTAACATGGATGCCCTGCGAAGCATTCTTACTTGCTTCGAGTTGATGCGAGAGTATCGATCTCGGTGCGACAAACCGTACGACGGAAGGATAGAGGATTGGTTCCTAGCCATGAGCGACGGGCGTTTGTCTGGGACAACTTCCCGTTATTCGGTAAATCGATTCGTGGTGGACGATCCGAGTTTCGCCCTGGATATTCGGCACGAAACTTTGCTGAATGGCGAAGCTTTTCAATTGTCGCTTCCACCACTCGAGACTCTGAGCCAGGACGAGCTGCGTCCGACATTTTTGTCGCACTGTCGTGACGTGATAAGCATCGCGGAAGCCAATTGCACTGAATACCGACAGGCGTTGTTGTCTGACATGCAAAGTAGGAGGTCCAGGAGGACTCGAATGGAGGTGCATACGCGTAGGCGGTTGCACAGCTATGATATCCGGGTTCTATTTGTGTCGTTGTCAGGCAGGGACGAAGTCTCTCCGGGATATAAGGAGTATTGGAGATTCTCATGCGAAGTGCAAAATGCTCGAACAGTGTATGATGAGGTCGCAGCTCGCGCACAGGTTCTGTAGAGCTTTTCTGATGCCAATGATATTCATTCTTGGTCGGTGCAATTTTCAGTAAGTGTTGACTTATATACAGTCATTTCCTGCGCTATGCCAGATGTATCCTGCCCCTTCACTTCAGGCCCGGGGCTCCAGTCCAATCGATTTTTGGTGTTCTTTAATCGAGTTCATCAGGATCTCCAAATCCTTCTCTGTTGATTCCCATTCTCTCTCAATCACCATCCGTGCATGTTCACTGCGCGGCTTAAAGATCGCGTCGAATGGGCAAGGGGATAGACACAAAACCCGATCCATAAGCCATATCATCGACTTTCTTGGGTTTGCCGTCCGGCCCAGTTCCGGGTTGCACATTGTATGCCCAGAGAATGCGTGACATGAGCAAAAAGAGCGAATTCCGCGCAATATGTCTACCGGTGCAGACGCGACGACCATAGCCGAAGAAGTTGGTAAAGCAGCCATCGTCGGGATTTCTCCCGATCCATCTCTCAGGGTGAAACTCCAAAGGATTCTCAAAATGTCTCTCATCGAAGCTCATCGACCAGTGTAACGCCATCACCATAGTCCCCTTTGGGATCCGATATCCCATAAACGTGTCCTCCTTCAGCGTGGCATGCGGCACTCCACCAGGTGCCATGGATCGCCACCGGAGCGTCTCTTCTACCACGGCCGTCATGTATGGGAGGTTTTCTCTGTCGCTCATAGTGGGGAGTCGGTCTGGTCCGACGACACGATCCAGCTCTTCCTGGGCTGTCTTGATGAAGCCGGGATAGGATAGAAGCGCCAATGTAAAGGTCTGCATAACCCCGGAAGTTGTCTCCAAGCCGGCATCTGCTAGAATACCCATATCATATGCCAACTCCAGGGGCGACATGTCCTCGGCTTGTTTGGAGACCACAAACTCCTTCGTCCAGTTCCAGACTTTGTTCTCTTTGGCAACGGTCATGTTTCGCATGTGTTGGTTGGCCTCGATCTGAAAGAATTTCTCTGCTGTTTGCTTCCAGGGCGAAATGCACATAGGCAAAGTGTTGAGCGCAGGAATCGCATCGACTATCCATGTCCCTGGTCGAGCGGCAAGGCCAAAGTTATGCATGACTTCGCGAGCGCTTTTCATCTCTTGTTCCTCGCCAGTTTCCAGGCGAAAGCCGTAAGTGAGTGTATATACCAGGCTGGCGCTGTATCGCTCGAAATGTTTGAAGAAATTGTTGGAAGAGAGGAAGTCATATAACAGCTGTTTGCTCTCCAGATCCTGAATGGGATAGTATGTCGAGGACGCACGAGGGCTCAGGACAGGAGCTTCCATGCGCTGGTGCAGCCGATAGCGCTCGTCATACCTCCGCAGGAGAAGATGCATGCCCTTGGTCAGATTCTCGTTCGCCATGACCATGCGCGGCCGGTCGCTATAGATGCTCCCGCGCTTGTCGAGTAGCTCTCGCGCGATCGTTGCATCGGCGATGAGAATGATGGTCTGTCTTCCAAACTGGACGCTCATAATGGGGCCATATTTCTTACTCCATTCATGAAATGTCCTCCACGGCAGGATCTGCGGCGCTTGGTGGATGTTGCCGATGAAGGGAAGTCGACGCGGTCCAGGGGGGAGTTTTCGATCTCTTTGGTACTCGTAAATAAGACGAAGGAGAAAAATACCCAAGATACTAGTCAGGATTGTGATGGCCATGATTGTGTCTGCAAGAATTTGGTTGTGGTATGCTGAGTCCCCGGGTCCTGCTCCACGACTCATCGGCAGAGGGTCTTGATATACCTAGCAATACGATCCATGAGAGGTGCGAGACCCCCCATCCCCGCTCATCAAGCACTTGCCCTTAAGGCATGATGCAGAAGGCAGCGAGGTTAGCGCTGACAGTTTGGAAGACGGGGCAGCGATCGTCCTGGGTGGTGTCCTATGGGAACGTGAGCTTACGAATACTCTGGACAGGGGTCACGGCCGTGAGGGCTATCTATATCTGACGAACCGCAATGACTGGGTACGCTGGCCTTTTGGTAGAAAGGGTACATGCAGAGCTGCTGCTGCACCTAAATTAGATGCGTTAGTGACAGCGCTAGTCCCAATTCTAGGCCTTTTAGACCAGATTGACTGGCCACAGGCCTGTCGCAGGGGCTGTAGGTATCTAGGAGTATTCCAAGCTTGATGGACATCTGTAGTAAAGATAGCCGATACTAGTCCTATCCGGAGTGAGTTGGATGCCTGCCCGCTTCCCCGATTGCGGGGATCCCGAACACAAGTACAGGTAGCGACTGAAGATCATTGAACCGGTACTGAATATTTCCCAAGATGATCTTCACATATGTACTCATTAAGCGAATCCTCAGGGCGGCTTGCTTACGATGGGCCTTTTCACACAGCAGCGGGCAGCAACTAGATCCTCCTAGGCCGTCGGCTATTCTAGTTTTCATAAGTGTCAACGTTTTGGCCCCGCCGTACCACTCTTAAGCTTGTTGGCCATCTCGTAACTCCAAAAGCAGTATCTATCGAGATTGTTACCTACTGAACGGGCTTGCTCCAACGCATAGTTACTTTATTGTTCAGAATGGAATCATGCATATCATCTTATCGATAAGATATCCATATCTGCCTGAGGCATCTTTACCTTTCTTCCTTGCACTGATGTTCTAAACGCCTGACAGAAGCGATTGACGCCGCATCAGCTGGATCTCTCATTAAAATTCCCAAGATTCTACCCACAGCTTAAGTCTCATATCTCACATAAAACTGGGAAAATCTCTCACAATCCACTCCTAATAAATTTTCGGGGACGTGCGGAATTACGGATATGTGCACGTGATGCTGCACAGTGCATTTGCCCCTCCAGGCAATGACCGCATCATTCTTTTCTGCTAATATGGACCCCGAGATATAGGTGCCTTGCCAGGGATTAATTCCGATTGATTGTGTTTCGGATTTGTCCAGCGCTGGACATTATGGACGACACGGGACATCATTCCCAGCCAACTGGTTGGCGTACCTCCAAGGCGTGCCAAGAATGTCGCAAGAGGAAGATCAAATGCAACGGCATCAACCCGTGCAAGACCTGCCAACTTCGGAACACTCCTTGTGTCTATCGGGACTGGATTCGCCATCGAAAGAAGAAACACCAGGAGAAATCGGAATCGGAGGAGTTTTCGCCCAATGGGGCCACGCGGGCCGAGTATGGGGTGCGCGCATCCTCGCCTGGCTTTGTGCAGCCATCGTCGTCGGCAGGCCGCCGCAACCCCAATGTGAACTATACCACCAACAGCGTTTCCGCCACCGACACCACGTCTTCCTCATCGGAAATCCAACTGTACTATGGCTCGACTTCCCACTTCGCTCTTATGCATGAGATCTACCGCGACCTGGTTTCGAACCCCGGCAATTACTCTAAAGCGCCTCAGGCCGAGGTCGAGGAAGCCAGTGCAGGCATTGATATGTTCAGTTTCCGTCGCATTTTCTTCGGGACTCCGGTGGGGCCTCACGATGCCCTCAAGAGCCTGAATGCGACAGACGTACCCGTCATGTTCCTGCCGTATGAGCTAGCCAGACTGTTCCTCGAGCGCTTCCTGTCGACCTTGCTGCATTTGGTCCCATTTCGGTCGAAGGACTCGTATCGACGGGAGCTGGAACAGTTATATCATCGTGCTCCGGGAGCTAGCAGTGACACATGGTCTCGTTGCATGTTGCTGATGGCTATGGCGATGGGGTCTCTGGGAACAGAGCATTACAGCTGGGGCGATGTTTTGTTTGAACGCGTTAAAACAACCGCAGCGCTGTCAGATGATGTTGTTAATCTTCGGACGGTTCAGATATCATTACTTATGATAAGTCTCACACAGCTGCTGAGAGGTTTCTGACTGACGAGGTGCCAGCACGCCCATTATCAGACAGAACAAGGCAGGCCAAACTCATCATTCCTGCACCTGGGTTGCGCTGCCAGGAAAGCTCTCTCAGCCGGGTTGCACAAAGAGGCGCCCAATGAGGGAGGCCAAAAAGCAGATAATATTGAAGAGCGACGAACGACCTTCTGGTCGCTCTATGTTTATGAAACGTTGGCATCCCGAAACCCGCCTGTGTACCCGCACTAATGCTTCCGCCAGTTGGATTTGTTTTCACATAGGACGACCCCGGTCTCTTCTGCAGAGAGATATCGGTATTGAACCTCCACGCGATCCACTTCTGCGAGTTCTTTACGATCTCACGAAAATGATGTCCCGCTCTGCGGATGAGATGTTCGGGAGACACCATGACTCGTTGCTACATCTGTGGAAGCTCGCACGTTCAATAACCGATGATCATCGCTCCTACGATTCCAAGGTCCAAGAAACGCTAGGCTTTGGTCTTGAAAAAGGTCCACAACCAGGAGAAATAGGTGTACGACAGGTGATGTTGGTCACTCGTATGTGACCCCCAGCTAACCCCTTTGTCGTATCAGGAAAGGCTCACTCACCACGATAGTATACTACCACACAATATTACTTACATATCGGCCGTTTCTGATATTCCGTGGGCGTTGGAGACAAGATATGAAAATGGCCCCCCAGGAGTTTGGGGATGGCGGAGCAAAGCGTCCGACTGAAATCCCAGTTTGGCTAAACGACGCCTGCAACCAAGTGATTGGCGCCGCTTACCGAACCATTCATTTCCTGTATGAAGCTTCTTTTATCAACAACCTGGTCAGGGTATGTCGATGGCTCTGCGCGTGGACCCTTAGCTTTATGCTGACATGAACACAGGAATGTCGTTATCATGGATATTTCCTATCCAGTGCAGCCTTCGCGCTCATATATGACCTCATGCATGGTGATGAACTCGCATCGAGCCACCTCCGGTGGATCCATGCCACCCTTCAATGCTTGTCCTCCATGCGAGCCGGTGACCCCATCGCAAGCAGCATGTCTGCTATCCAGACCGTTCTGAGGAAGCTGAATCCGTCGTATGAGTGGCAACCCCCGGCCACCGTGAAAGGAAATGGCTACGGCTATGATTCCAACACGGTAATGCAGCAGTCGCTGAACAATGCATCGAACAATCCGGGCCCATCCATGTCCGAGCTCTTCTCCAACAACCTGGCCGTTGGAGGCGGCCTCCCCGCTCTGTCGAACATGCAGGGAAGTTTCGTGCCCGGAAATTTTCCCCCGCCGAGTGCGAGCGCCGGCAGTGGAGAAGATCTCCTTGACCTGACCCTGTCGGACATGGGCTGGGATTTTGATTTCTCGACCATGGATTTGGAGACGTTTTTCTCCATCTACCCGAACATGGACACGCCGACGGCGTGAGGGACAGGGTTGTTGACCTTGGTTGGCTGGATAGATGGCGAGGAACAGGTATACGGGATCTGGACATGAATCTTGCTCTAATGATTACCAAACGATAATTTTCAAATCCCGAGCTTATGCGAGGAATTTACTAAATATGTGCTGAAAATAAATTATGCTTGGACTTAGATCAAGTCAAGGTTCAATCTCAGATTCATTATGTCGCGCAGATTCGGTGGGATCGAGCTAATCACTGTTGTATTCCCCCTCGAATTTCTCCATCGACAAACGTATGACTCTGGTCATCATTAAGGGTGCAATAAACCAGCTAGGCTGATAAAGCAAGCCAAGCAGGATTGAGAAGATAGACGATGGAAGACGGGGATGAGCGGAGTCCATCTGACAGCCATCTCAGGTTCCACTTGGATTTCCCACCGACGATAGCATTATAGACCTGCCATTGGAGGACGGAGCAACCGCAATGAGTAGAGGAAGTCATCGAGGCGATTCAGGCGGTTCCAAAGTCAGATGGTCGCCGACTCTGTTGTTGATCAGTCATCCAGTCGGGGTGGATGATTCATCACCGGTCGCCGTCCATCCATGGAGGACGCCATGCCCACACTCTTCTTGGCCTTCTCTTTGACAGGGCATGGGACTATGGGTATGTTCATGTTCCTACTGGGTTATCCATGGAGAGGAGGAGCTCTTCGCGGTGAGCTACCAGGTGCTCCCTTCGAGACTCCTGCCAATCACCAAACCCTAAGAGTAGTTCTGGAATTGAAACCCTAAGACCATGTTAGTCTGGACTAGGCAGGTCGTGCTCTACTTAGTCCTCATAGGGGGTGCCGAGAAAATGCCTAGGCAGTGGTTGTATGGACGATGGGTCTAGCCCTCAACGGGGGGAAGTGGTCCGTCTCGATGACCTTAATGACCTCCCTATCTGGGTGATAGTGCCAATGGTGGGGCTGAATCAACGGGGTAGGTACTGATGATCAAACAGTGATCGATTGTGATTGTCTGGTAGATGATAGTTCAGTTACATTGGTCTAACCTCTTCAGTAGTATACTTCTACACAGTATATCCTGCACACTGTACGAGTACGCTGAATCAGTCACCCCTACTGCCCATTCTATATTATATTGAACCCTGTTGTATGCTCCAATCTAACCACATGAATCCATCTATCCTTGTTTTCACCCGCTCTTCTTCCTTTGTACATAGTTTTGCCATTCGCGGCACCGGCAATGTACCGGCAAAAATGGTACCAGTCTCACGAGAAGGAAGAGAAGAAACGGGCTCTAGTATCTCAAAGAAATTTGTCAACGGTGGATTGACTGAAGAGCGATGCAACGTCCTATGCTTTTTACTACGGTTCCGGCCGAATGCGGCGAAGACTCTGTGCTCCACCTGGGGAGTGTCAGAGCATAAAGAGATTAGTCATCCACTAGTACTCTGGAAACGCAAATCCGGACCAATAACGAGCCCGTATGAACATCTATGCGAGGCTGAGTAATCACGGCATACTTCTGCCCTTTCTACAATCCTCATCTTCATCCGCACCAACGACTCTTCCTTAGCCTCGCTTTCTCTGTCGCTCCCATACAGCCATCCACTAGAGTCGCTACGAGCAATAAGCTCGTCCTCCAGAGTTGTAGCGATTCGTCGGAGCCGACACTCTCCACTGCTCAGAATTCGGCCGGAACAATCTGCAGCGGCAATGTCAGATCCGAACCATGGGCTCCTTCCCGTGGTCCCGAGGATGATCACCCACTGCCCATAGGATCGCCCCTATCGATGATTCTCTTACCCTGGGGTGGAGAAAAGTCAGACCCTCCCGGTGTCCACCAGACCAGGTCTCCGGCCTAGACTTGCCCCAGAACAGGAGCTCTCGGCTAGTCGGAATTCTTGAGCGTGTCTGGAGGTGCCCGGTTGGCAGAAAAACCTTAGAAAAGCTCTATCCCGCCAATGGATCTGCCTCTGGACCCCCGGAGTTGCGAGTGTCCTACTTTAAGACCGCGCCTGCTCCTACCCGCCCATGTGTTTGGTTTTTGGTCGTCGATAGGTACTTACCTCGTGCTTGCTATGCAATAGCTTGACCTTCAAGATGGTACTGTTGGATCCAACAGTCGCCTCTCGTTCGCATTCACTGCCTATTCGGCAGCGTTTGGTTCCAGAGCTACTCAGGTAAGTCCCGGTGCATTTGGATTGTGGCCCCAATTCTACATTTTCAGCCGGCTGATCTTCTGCCGTGGAATAGACTGTATAGTCCAGAACCACGGGACAACACCAATGGAGTGCAAGCGAATGGCCTCTCCTCATCATTGCACAGGCGAAAGGATTCGGCAGTTTCTTGGAGCGCTCAGGATCCGACACTTCTAGCCCTCACTCAGCTGGGCGTCTTCCGGTTGTCTTGTGACCAGGCCTTTACGACCATTCTGGATGGCCGTGAAACCAACATCATCTCTCACGCAACACCGTCGACGTCTCATCCCTCGACATCTCGGACTTTTCATGGCGGCACATTCGGAATGCGGACCCTGGGTTTGAAATGGGATGGTTATGAAACAGTCGACTCACCCAATGTGACGGCAGACGCTACGCGACATATCATCCGTGATGTCTCTCTCGAAACGGAGCTTCAATCCCACCCTTTCATTGTGCGGCATCCTCATGTCCGATTCTACGCCGAGGTCCCTCTGCATACTACGAATGGGGAGGTGTTTGGAACGTACTGCGTGGTTGGCCAACAGCCACGACCGGCCTTTGAAATCAGCAGTCTTAGAGAGCTTCGGGACGTCGCAGATTCTATCTCACACCATCTCGAGAACGTCTGGACGATACAACACCAGCAGAAGTCGGATCGCATGTTGAATGCTCTAGTGAAGTTTGTTCAAAGCCAATCAGATGCCATTCACACTGAGCAAAGAGCACGTTCGATGAGCATCGCATCCAGCTCTCCGTTCCGGAGATTGTCAGAGCTTCATGATAACGAACCATTATCGCGGACTTCATCAAATGCGACGCGTTCTATCTCTCCGAGAACTACGCGGCACGGCGGGAGTCGCGCTTCTTCCTCTCATCCACATGAACCAAGCCTGAGAGAGAAGCATCAGGCACACGTTCGTAGGCGCTCTGACGAGTCGAGCACTCTGGTGACCGTTTCCGAGGGCGCCGCACTTTCTCCGGGAACGTCGCTGCTCTTTTCAAGAGCCAGTGCATTGATTCGTGAATCTATGGAGCTGGATGGTGTCATGTTCCTTGATGCCTCACGGAGTAATTCTCGAAGGTAAGCATTCCATACTCCAAAATCGGCGGACAGTGGTAACTGTATTATAGCCATTCCACTTCAAGTACAAGCGACTGGGAACATGATGGAAAGGATACCGACTCTGTTGCCTCGTCAAGCCATTCCGCTGCGTTGTCATCCCATGCTCAGTGGTCTGATCAAGCGTGTGAGCCCATGGGCATGGCCGTCTCAGAGTCTTCTGCAGAGAACAAGGAAAATATCTCCCGACTGGCTTTGACAGAAGGACTTCTTCGTGACATGTTTACTGCCTTTCCAAATGGCGAAATATTCCATCCTGGCGAGGTGGCTGTGTCGTTCCCTATCGCCCCAAACGGTGGTCGGCGACACAGCCTGCAAAGCTTTGAATCAAAGCAGCATCTCCACCATGTTGTCACGCATCGCCTGGCAAATGAGTTTCCTGAAGCAAAATCCCTCGTCTTTTTACCTCTCTGGAACTGGGATACATCACGGTGGCTCGCTGGGGCTCTGGTTTGGACTTCAGATCCTCGCCGTGCGTTGGGATCAGACGACCTAGCTTATCTGAAGACATTCGGTGACTCTCTTGTCGCGGAGTTTTCGCAACTAGGATGGACTGCAACAGAGCAGTCGAAATCCGACCTTCTTTCCTCTGTCAGCCACGAGCTTCGCTCTCCACTGCACGGTATGCTCGCAAGCGCCGAGCTTCTGCAAACTACCCCGTTGGAGCCTGCTCAACGAGACATGGTCACTATGGTTGAGACGTGCGGTCTGACATTGTTGGATACGATGAATTACTTGTAAGTGTCATACCTGTGTTCTGCAGACCACCCATCTTACCATTTGACTCGCAGGTTGGATTTCGCCAAAATTAACAACCTAACACATGTGCATAAGTCCGGCGGCAAGCACGACAGAGTTGAGCTTGATAATCTCATAACCCCCTTTGACCTCGACAGCATGCTTGAAGACGTGACAGAGTCTCTTTATGCTGGTCATCGGTCACTCATGGATGCCTCCAAGATCGCCGGTCGATACCTTCCCAGCGGAACAGGCGTGAGCGGAAGAGTAGATGGCCTCGGGAAGGAGAACCACGATGATCTGTCGGTGGTTGTTCGTATCGAAGAGCAAGATTCGTGGGTCATCCGCTCGATTTCCGGAGCCTGGAGAAGGATTGTCATGAACATTCTTGGAAATGCCTTCAAGTTCACGCGGTCTGGGCTCATTGAGGTCTCCTTATCCAAAACAGTTGAGCGGCACGAAGACTATAAAACGACCTTTGCGAGTCTTTCGATAACCGACACGGGTTGTGGCATATCGTCGAGCTTTCTCGAACACCAGCTGTTCAAACCTTTCGCGCAGGAGGATATTCTAACCGAGGGCGTGGGACTAGGTCTTTCCATTGTCTATCGACTGGCAACTTACCTCGGTGGTAGCATCGAGGTGAAGAGCCAAGTGGGGGTCGGCACAACAGTCGATGTGCGGATCCCAGTGGAATTTGCGGCCGAGACACCACTCCCACTCCATACTACCTCCCTGAAAATGCCTGACCAGCCTGGTTCCCGCACTATGACACGCGTGTGTCTGGTTGGCCTCAATGCGTACGCAGACCTCAGGGACGCCCCATGCGGAGTCCTCAGCACAGAGGCAAAACGCAAACTCTCTGTTCGAGGTGCTGTGAGCAATGTTCTGCTCAGTCAGCCTGGCTGGATGGTTTGCTTCGCGGACTCCCTTGAGGCATCATGTGGCGACATTGCGATCATTGAAGAGTCTGGTCTAAAGAAGATTTCTGCTGCTGGCTCGACGAAGCCAGATTACCGCACCATCATCGTGCTCGGTGAACGAGGCGTATCGCTTCCAGGTAATTTCACAATCGAAGGGGCCGACATTATCTACTTGTCCCAACCGTGAGTATCTTTAACCTATCACTGGTTTCGACAATGTGCTGATGTGACAACAGGATCGGGCCTCGCAAGATCAAGGAGGCACTGCAGCGATATATTGATTCGCATCGCGAAGCCAGTCCTACGGCACAGAGCCCAATTGCCGGACCGTTTTCCGGTATTCCCCAGCGCGGACGATCCTTATCCGACGCATTCGCCCTTGCGAAGGGCATTGAGTCTCCTCCGGTGATGAAGGAAAACGTGGCTGAATTCGCCCCAGCCTCACCACAAGCGGTTGACCATAAGAATTTCCACGTGCTTATTGTAGACGACAATGACATCAACATAAAGATCCTTGCAACTTTTATGCGCCGGATTGGTTGCAGCTATGAGACTGCCACCAATGGCCAGATGGCTCTTGACAAGTACAAGGAGCGCAATGGAGAGTTTGACTACATCCTTATGGGTAAGAGCCCTATGACCATGGGTACAGAGGTGCTCGTGCATAGCTGACGATAGATAGATATTTCCATGCCCATAATGGATGGCATTATCGCTTCCAGCAAGATCAGAGAATACGAAGAACAACATTCGCTCCGCCGAGCTGCCATCATGGCAGTCACCGGGGTGGCATCCAGCGGCATGCAGCAACAAGCATTTGCTGCCGGGATAGATGACTACCTGGTCAAGCCTCTATCCCTTCACGATTTGAAACGAATTATGAACATTGCATGATTGGTATAGGCTCCTGATAGACGGGTTTAAATGGTGCACATATTTCAGATATATATCTTTTTGGTCATGGGTTCAGGTTTGCAGTTACCTTTTATCATGTAATTACGATTTTATGCCACTTGGAGGGTTCCTGTGAAAGTGTTTGCAAGATAGCCATACCGCAGTGTCAGTCGGATCCATCTCAATAGCCAATATAAGATAAATGTCAAAATCAAGGTGAATTGACTCTTGATTCGCAAAGAGAATATAAGTAGACGGTCTTTGGCTCATCCTGATGTTGTACCCCTGTATATTAAGGAGAATCTTGAGCTTTCTAGAACAAAGCTTCATGACCCACGCCTGAGACACTACCCACGCTTCTGGGCCTTATGACCGCAAATATATTGAGTCGGGGATCCAATTACGTTACTTTGACCCCTGTTTACCAATATCATGGACCTGGACCCAGATTGCCGAAGCCGTGGAAATTTGCTGCGAGTGCTTTTATCTATATCCGTGGTGTTCAGCCCTCTGGGTGGAGCTTGGGATGGAATTTAGTGCTTCAATTGGCCCTTTTGGTCCGAAAGAGTGGAGTGTGGCGGAATTGCGGATGTAGGGCTGACGGCTATACGGGTTTACGGACAGAAGACTCAGGAACCGATTCTCATATAAGAAGAAAAGGACAAGGAAACAGAAAAAGGTACGAAAGTCAATCTGGTCTGCAGAGCGGTAGCCTTAATTCGCTTCTACTCTCTGGTTTGATCGGTGTCGTTGGCTTGGTTGGTCTCACGGAGCGTTTCGGTATGACTACATAATTCCCGAGCCATTCATCCTGGTTCTGTACTGATAGTGAACACAGCCCAGCTGGAAAAAGACAGCAATGTACAATTCTTCGTCGAGCACAGTCGACGTGGAGCAAGGGGACTCAGGAGTGCGAAAGCGCCTGACCCTGACTTTTTGCAATGTCAACGTCCACGTCACAGCTCCTGATGCGGCGTTGGGAGACACATTGCTGTCGGTTGCTGACCCAAGGCAATATTTGGATATATTCCGCAGAAGCAAACGGCCAAAGAGGGTATGATATTGGCTTGGCGTCTGTCCAGACCACAGCAGGCTGACTGGCTGCAGACAATCCTGAAGAACATCAACGGCCAAGTGAGACCAGGAGAAATGGTACGTGTAGACGGAAACCGAGGACACATCCCATGCTGACTGCAGTAGATGCTCGTTCTAGGAAGACCCGGGTCTGGCTGCACATCCTTGCTGCGCGTCCTCTCCAACGACCGCGAATCCTTCGACGAAGTCGCGGGCGACACTTGGTATGGCAGCATGGACCATAAGGAGGCCAAGCGGTTCCGGCAGCAAATCATGTTCAACAACGAAGACGACGTGCATTTCCCGACGCTGACCGTCAACCGCACGATCAAGTTCGCTTTGCGCAACAAGGTGCCGCGCGAACGCCCGGGCCATCTGCAGAACAGAGACGATTTCGTGCAGGAGAAGCGGGACGGCATCCTCGACAGCCTCGCCATCCCACATACCAAGAAAACACTGGTTGGGAACGAGTTCATTCGCGGCGTGTCCGGTGGCGAGCGGAAGCGTGTGTCGCTGGCTGAGGTGATGGCTGGTCAGGTAGGGAGCATCTGATCCACATATAAAGAATTGATGACGCTGACGTGGGATAGAGTCCGGTCCAGTTCTGGGACAACCCTACGCGTGGTCTGGACTCAAAGACTGCGGTGGAGTTTGCGCGCCTGCTGCGACGAGAAGCCAATGAGAACGACAAGACGATTGTGGCGACTATGTACCAGGCAGGAAACGGCATCTACAATGAATTCGACAAGATCCTCGTGCTTGCGGATGGGCGAACGATCTACTATGGACCCCGGAGTCTGGCGCGGCAGTACTTTGAGGAGATGGGGTTTGTCTGTCCTAAGGGGGCCAATATCGCGGACTTCTTGACTTCTGTTACCGTGCTCACTGAGCGTGTCATTCGCCCGGGAATGGAGGAGAAGATTCCGAATACCCCGGAAGAGTTTGAGGCCCGGTACCATGCCAGCGATATCCATGCCCAGATGATGGATGATATCAGTCCTCCCGAGAAGCTCACTAAGGAGAAGGATGATCTAGTCATGGCCGTGGCTAGTGAAAAGAGGAAGAAGCATGTCCCTCGGCCGCAGAGTCCATATACCACCAGCCTATGGCGCCAGGTGGCCGCTTGCACAGTCCGGTGAGTCGCAAACATTATTATTTAGCAACTATTAGCTGATTGAAGGTTTATAGACAATTCCAGATCATGGCAGGCGACAGACTTTCCCTTGTGATCAAAGTTGTTTCTGCCATCCTCCAAGCTCTCGTCTGTGGCAGTCTCTTCTACAACCTGCAACCTGACAGTACCTCTATCTTTCTGCGTCCCGGCGTGCTCTTCTTTCCCGTCATCTACTTCCTTTTAGACTCAATGGGAGAAACGACGGCTTCGTTCATGGGCCGTCCGATTCTCACCCGCCAGAAGAGGTTTGCCTTCTATCGCCCGACTGCCTTCTGCATCGCCAATGCCATAACCGACATCCCCGTGGTAATCACCCAGGTGACGTGCTTCTCACTCATTCTGTATTTCATGTCAGCGCTGCAGATGGACGCCGGGAAGTTCTTCACCTACTGGATCATAGTCATCGTGCAGACGCTGTGTTTCATGCAGATGTTCCGTGCGGTGGGCAGTCTGTGCAAGCAGTTCGGCAATGCCTCAAAAATTACAGGGTTACTCTCGACTATCTTCTTCGTGTACGGAGGTATGCAATATCCAATACCACTCAGGGCCATCCACCGTTACTAAGAGTCTTCAGGTTATCTGATCCCGTTCGAGAAAATGCATGTGTGGTTCCGGTGGATCTTCTACCTCAACCCCGGCGCATACGCGTTTGAGGCTCTCATGGCAAACGAGTTCGTGGGATTGGAGCTGGAATGCGTCGCTCCAGATTACATTCCCTACGGAATGGCGTACAATGATGCGCCGGCCAGCGCACGCGGCTGTTCAGTGCTAGGCAGCGACGGAAACACGATCAACGGCGCTGCGTACATCCGCGAGCAGTACAGCTACTCTGTCCACCATATCTGGCGCAGCTTCGGCATCATTGTCGGGTTCTGGGCCTTCTTCATCTTCCTTACGTCTGTCGGATTCGAGCTGCGCAACAGCCAGGGCGGATCCTCGGTCCTCCTGTACAAACGAGGGAGCCAGAAGAAACGCACTGCGGACGAGGAGGCTACCCCGAAACCCAAAGCGGATGCTGGTGCGCTCACGTCGACTGTCAAGCAGTCGACTTTTACGTGGAATAATCTGGACTACCACGTCCCGTTCCACGGCCAGAAGAAGCAGCTGCTTGACCAGGTGTTTGGATACGTGAAGCCAGGGAACCTGGTGGCGTTGATGGGGTGCTCCGGTGCTGGAAAGACAACGTATGTGTCATTAGTAGCAAGAAGGCGAGCACGGCTAACTCGTATAGACTCCTGGATGTCCTGGCCCAACGCAAGGACAGCGGCGAAATCTACGGATCGATTCTCATTGATGGTCGTCCCCAGGGGATTAGCTTCCAGCGGACTACGGGTTATTGCGAGCAGATGGATGTGCATGAGGCTACTTCGACGGTCAAGGAAGCGCTTATCTTTTCCGCGCTGCTTCGTCAACCGGCGAGTGTGCCTCGGGAGGAAAAGCTGGCATATGTCGATCAGATTATCGATCTTCTCGAGCTCACCGATATCCAGGATGCTCTGATTGGAGGTAAGGATCTTTCATAAGTTTCTTGGAGAGACATGCTGATGAAGAGCAGTCCCCGGAGCTGGTCTCAGTATCGAACAGCGCAAGCGAGTCACGTTGGGAGTTGAGCTTGTCGCAAAGCCAACGCTTCTTTTCTTGGATGAACCCACGTCTGGGCTTGATGGCCAGTCTGCGTATAACATCATTCGATTCCTGCGGAAACTCGTCGATGGCGGACAGGCTGTCTTGGTAAGTTTACCTTATAGCCAAGGATCCAACTCTCCTGACTCGGTCTCTAGTGTACAATTCACCAACCCTCCGCCGTGCTATTCGATGCATTCGACTCCCTCCTCCTACTTGCGAAAGGTGGAAAGATGGCCTATTTTGGCGAAAGTAAGTGTTCCTGACGACCATCTCGTGAGCCACATCTAACTCCCGTAGCTGGTAAGGATTCGGTCAAAGTGCTCGACTACTTCGCCAAGAACGGTGCTCCATGCCCTCCGGACGAGAATCCCGCCGAGCACATTGTCGAGGTGATTCAAGGATACACCGAGCAAAAGATCGATTGGGTCGATGTGTGGAGCCGGTCCGAAGAACGAGAGCGTGCTCTTGCTGAACTGGAAGTCCTGAATAAGGATAGCAAGGCAAACACGCCGGAGGATGAAGACCAGTCTGATTTCGCCACGTCCCACTGGTTCCAGTTCTGTATGGTGCTGAAGCGGCTCATGATTCAAATCTGGCGGTCTCCAGTAAGCTCAAGATTCTCTCAGAGGAGAGGACGTGCTAACAAATGTAGGACTACATTTGGAACAAGATCATTCTGCACATTTTTGCAGCCCTTTTCAGCGGTTTCACCTTTTGGAAAATGGGCGATGGCACATTTGCGCTGCAACTTCGTCTGTTCGCGATCTTCAACTTTATCTTCGTGGCGCCTGGTTGTATCAATCAGATGCAGCCCTTCTTCCTGCATAACCGGGACATTTTTGAAACCAGAGAGAAAAAGGTATGTCTGCATGCAAGTTGGGACGTACAACTAACTCACAATCTTAGTCTAAAACCTACCACTGGATTGCGTTCATTGGTGCGCAGGCCGTATCTGAGATCCCATACCTGATCATCTGCGCGACGCTCTACTTCTTGTGCTGGTACTACACCGCCGGATTCCCGAACGACTCGAGCGTGGCTGGACAGGTTTACTTGCAAATGATCTGTAAGTTAATGCGATCCTGACTCACTCGCAGCGCTAACATTCGCCAGTCTACGAATTCCTCTACACCTCCATCGGCCAAGCCATTGCGGCCTACGCACCGAATGAATACTTCGCCGCAATTATGAACCCCGTGCTGATCGGTGCGGGCCTGGTCAGTTTCTGTGGTGTCGTAGCCCCGTATTCGGCGATGCAGCCCTTCTGGAGATACTGGATGTACTACCTCGATCCATTCACGTATCTTGTCGGCGGACTGCTCGGTGAAGTGCTGTGGGACCTGAAGGTTACTTGCGAGCCCTCCGAGCTGGTCCACTTTACTGCGCCGTTGGGGCAGACGTGTGGGGAGTACATGGCTAGCTTCCTGAGTGAACAGCCCGGCTACCTTGTGGATAACTCCACGTCGGATTGCTCCTTTTGCAAATACACCACTGGTGCTGATTATGCAAAGACCTTTAATCTGAAGGAGAAGTATTATGCTTGGAGAGATGTATGTCACTCTTTCACATTTGCTTCCCGTTGGATAGATGTGCTGACTGCTTTTAGACTGGTATCACTGCGCTGTTTTGCATAAGCACTTACGCCGTTGTCTTTGTGATGATGAAGCTTAGGAGCAAGAAGACGAAGAGCGCTCGCTCTGAATAAGTTGTTGCAGCACATGCTGGGCCACTATTCCAGCAAGGAATGCACTGGTTAAGAGTGAATGGTCGGGGTGGGGGAACTAAATGTTGGACGTTATAGACAGATATACTATGGATAGACTTGGGTGATAGAGCTCTAGAAATACTAATCATATAGAATATAGCATACTTGTCGAAAAATTTGCTGATTGATGCGCGTTATTAATTAAGATGAGCGAGTCTTTAACTAAGCATTGTCTACCTAGTATTCTTAGTTTTCGTAACAAGGACTCGTGGTACAGACTGAATGCAGCATGGATTACATAGAAGGCGGGAGAGATTCAATACATATTTCATAAGTCAGTCATTCCCACTTCGTAGCTACAGAGCCATGGAGTTATTTCCATTCATCCACGGCAGAAAGCAACTCATGGTAGCCATGAACTGGGGAGTGTCGATAAAAAAAGTCGATTCCAGCCCGCTCGCACATAGCTCGCAGCCTGCAGAACTTACCAACTTCCTCATCACTCATTTTCGGAGGCTCACGCGGCGCAGAACTGAGGGAACCGAACTCCTCCTTCGACAGGATCTTCAAACAAAAGGGCTGTACATGTAATTCCTTGAGGCCCGAGAATCGCTCATCCCTCATCGCCACCATCCTCTCCAACTGGGCAATCAGCTGATCGAGCTTCCGATCCCAGCAATGCACCAGGTACAGCTTTTCCAGAGTCGGCGGCAACAAGTCAACCAGCTCCGTTTCCCAGCGCTCCCCAACTAGATTCGGCAACCGGATACGGACTTCTTTCAGGGCTGTAAAATCTGCCAGTGAACCGAACAGATCATTCCTCAGAGACTCCTCCCCGATCTGGAAAGGAGGATGAGGACACATATCATTAAGTCTCAGTTTCGTCAGACTGTGCTTCTGCGTCAGTAGCGGCGCGTAAAATGCTGCCGGGACAAAGTCTTCGGAATGTTGTCCCTTGGCGAATAAGTCCTGGTGTTGGTACTCGAACGATTCCAGGCTTGCACATGCGGTGATGAGTTGCCGCATGCCCAAGGAACCACCGCATTGGTCCAGGCGGAGGGACCTTACTCCGGACTTTCCTCGCAGAGCCGTGTCTTCATCATGTGTGTCGGCGTAGAGCGTTTCCGCGGCTGTGGCTGCAGTGAATAATCGCAAAGAAGGGAGCTGGAAGAACGGCAGTGCCTCAGACGCATCGAAGGGGTAGGAGAGTCCCCTGGAGCCGATGGATAGCACTTCCAGATGTTGGAGGACAGGAGAGTCAGAGGGTTTATCGTCCTGAGCGCGGGCAAGAAGGCTTCTCACATGCTTCGATCTTTCTATGGAAGTAATGTGGAGGGAGCGGAGATTCTCCAGCTTGGCGAGGAGCAATGCGGCCCAGGCATCTGTGCTCCCCAGCTGCAGATCCTTTTCCCATTGTCGCTGTTCGTCCAAATCATCGCATATGCTTTGTACCAGAGGACGGAGCTCAGAGATGTCCTGCTCTTCTGGAGCGGGCATGTGGACCCAATTGTGTATCTCAGGGAGCTGGATGTCATAGATTGAGTATGCAATTCGTGGATTCCGAAGCGCTGTACGGACGAATTGAATCAAACTGTTCTCGCTGTAACACCATTCGAGGTTGACACGATGGTACAACCGGGGAAGGAAGAGCCGGTAGAAGCGGCGGGAGACGAGCAGCAGATTCGGCTGGCGCGGCCAGAAAAGATGATCCTGTATGGAGAGCAGGATCTCGTCCGGTAGCTTACACGTCATTGTCAGTTAGCTCGCAACGATGACGCTCTTCACTAGGACCTGGCCGAACTTGGGCCATGGGAAAAGTTTGATCGACCGGAGCCCGCCGAAGTTCCGTAAACATCTAACTAGATTAGGAAAGGTATGAAGCTGTACAATCCACTACTTTCCTCCGTAGCCGAGGCTTGGCTGTGGTTGACCATGACCAATCTCAGGATACGAAAAGGACTCGATACCTGGACGTCGGATTCAAGTATAGCTGAAAGCTATGTCTATAGATAGCTACACCTGCCGTGATCTAAAAACCGTCTAAGCGAAAGCCCCAACAACGCTCATGCAAAACGCTCCCAGGAACACAAGAATGCAAGCACACACTCTCTTCCTACCCCGTAGCACACGCCAGCTCTCATCGCTGAGAAAGTCCTCAGACATTAGTTCGATCAGGGACGCGAAGATCAACAGACCGGCAGAGATGGCGTTCATTGTGCCCACAAGTAACAGACCCACTTCCGAGTCGGGGCTGTACAGAGTGTGAGTTGCGATGCCAATGGCCTGTCCGATGGGTGTCCTATGAAGAGTCAGCGGAGGGTGGAATGCAACACAGGGCAGGGTAACTTACGTGCATCCGTAAGCCAGCGACATCAGCCATGGCTGCCAGGCCTTTTCGGGCCAAGAGAGAACAGCAATTCGGGAGCCCAGAGCGAGTCCCTCGAATGTTTCTGGAATTGGTTAGCGGGCTGAAACAGTATACTTTGTGAGAATGAACATACGGTGAAAGACGATCGCGATCAACAGGATGACGAATTCACTCCCCACCGAAACACTGAGCGACATGCCGATAAAGACACTGTGGAAGAGAATTCCCATCTCTAGCATGAACACCTGCATAATTTCTTTGCGACGCTTCTGATGTGGGCTCAAGAAGCCCTCATGGTCCTGCTCGCCATCAGAGACAGGCTCCACCTTGGGCTCATCGTTATATTGGTGAGGATCGGGGGCAGAAGAAATGCGGCATATCCGATCGGGGTCTTCTCCGATTTTGTTGATCGCACGACTAATGCTGGACGACCGTCCGATCAACGGTCCCTTGTCACGGAGATGAGGTCGCGAATCGAGTCCAGGAGGCGGTGTGGGATTAGATTGAGGGTCCGAATGATCGGTTATATCGATCCTCGGAAGGGTGTCGTCAACGGATTTGTCTGACGCATTCGGCCTGGACACTTGAGTCGGCATACGGCAGCAGTGCCTCGCCGGGCTGAAAACCATTTCAATCACGGTGACGAAGAATATGCCCGCCAGCGCGATAGCGCCGGGCATCTGAGGGTAGTCGGTGGTCCAGAAGCCAGATAAGCACGGGTCATTGAGTGATTGGAAGGCCGTTGGGAGAAGGTGTACGAAGGCGGTGGCGATTAAGACACCGGTTCCAAAGTGGCTGACGCAGAAGAGAAACGAAGAAGGGATCCGAAGGCGAGGAAACCATATGGCTAGAATAGGAAATGCGCAGGCGAGAAAGGATACGCCGAGGATGATGAACAGGGCCCCGACATGCAGCGGAGTGTTGTATAAAGCACTGTTCGCGCCTCCGCTGGCACAACTGTCCTTTCGGCGGACGAGTGGCACACTCTTCTCGGGGGTTGCGACTATATCACAGGTTAGACAATTTCCTGAGATATTGTTGGAGGGACGATAAAGACATACCTTCGGACGATGAAGGAGAAGGTTCAGATATAAAGTATCTCGCCAGGCTATCGTGGGAGATGACGGCCGACGTCAACAGAACGGAGAGAAGCCACAACGCCCAGCTCCGGGCTTTCTCAAACGAGGATTGATTATTCTTTAGGGATAATTCACCCTGTTGACCGTGGGTGATGACGGCCATGGGGTGAGGGAGACGTCCTATTGCCGTGTTAGTTCATTCCGACCAACAGTCACAGCACGGAATCATACCTGACTTTGTCAGCGACGCCTCCACGCTCCATAGCCTGCGCTTCTCCGGGTCCCTTAATTGAGTGGTTGCATTGCCCGCTTCTTCAAACGCGGATCGTGATGGCTCATCCAACCCAATGCCTTTCTTGTGTTCACGGGCGTTGGAGATGCCATTCAGATCTTGGCGGGTGGTCAAGTCCGGAGCGAGGAACGGGGGGTTCTGGTTCCACTCGCAGTGGAGGATGGTGTCGTCCGTTCGAGAGGGGCAGTTCATTGCTACCAGAGACTGATTTTATGAAGATGAAGAATGAACAACTCGACGTGGTCGTTGAAATGTGGGCGATATGGGGGATCTTGGCGGCAGTGGTTACATAACAGGCTTGGCAGCGTGTCTACAGTCTTCCACAGCATTGAATCAATGAATCCGAGAGACAGATTTATTTATTTATATATTTATAACGAGAACTCCATCGGCCAGACACCCCTCAGACCCTCTCCGACACCACTATTGCTTCCAATCACGAGGGTCTCTCTCTTCAGTCTGTCCCGAAACGGTCCACTTCCGCTGGCAGATTCCGACGCTCGCGCAGGGCCGACGCTTCTTGGCATTTGATGACGCGGTTTTTTCGGCCCGGTTTTCTCCACGCCGGTCGAGAGATTTTCCTATCTGCCTGGAGGATCACCAAGGTACCTACAATGGAAAAGATACTGGTGTGCCCCGTCGTATGCGAAACTTCTCTCGGGATATGCGTCTCTACCAGGTTGTTCGGACGAGAGAATTCATGAATTACGGTGAAGCCCAAGTATGGTGCTGAGGAGAGACATCTTGTCCACCACGGTTGGAGAGACACATGCATCCCCAGTACTATATGTACCTCTACGGCCCAAGACAGCCCGATATGTATGCACGACAGAACCCCAAGGATGATACATCGCTTGCCATGACTTCCACTTGGGCATGCCTCTGAAAACTCTGCGGCGAACGAATAAACTTCACATCCGACAGTCTTGGCCCATGATCGAGTGTTTCATTTGTAGTAAACTGCAGGCTGTTGGACCCAGCATGAGAACAATGTTGCCTGAGCTCGTGGACCCCTAGCGACATTAGTCTATCTCTATCCCTTCTGATCTTTAAATTTGATCAGAAATGGGATAAGTGGAAATGCTCCCATAGTCACCAGAGACCCACGAGTTACCTCTGAATGACCTTGGTTTCCATGGTAGACCAGCTCCAAACAAGAACCAAAGCCATGGACTTGTCATAAACCAGTCGAGATTATATCACTACCGACAAGCTGGGTATGATCCACCAATAACTACAACTCAAATTGTTCATCTTCTCCACCACCGCTCGATCGGGTAGTGTCCGTAGAAATGGATGATATCACCAAAGCGCAACTCATGAACCGATATTTAACTGTGACTGGCAGGTTCACACAATGAAAATCATACAATTCTCACAAGGTCCTTATTTTTCACATTCACAACGCGACCAGTCAACATGGGTTACGATTTTACCGTCTTCAAAGGCTCCAGCGATGGATCCATAAAGCAGGGGAAAACCCACCGTGACGCTCTCAAAGGCGACGAGGTGCTCGTCCGCGTCACCCATTCCGGGCTCTGCTATACAGATGTGCATTATCGAAACACAGACATGGCCTTGGGCCACGAGGGTGCAGCCGTTGTCGAAGAAACCGGCCCCGAGGTGAAGGAGCTCAAGAAGGGCGATAGAGTCGGCTGGGGCTACGAACACGACTGCTGCGGTCGATGCTCCCATTGCCTGACGGGCTGGGAAACAATGTGTCCCGAGCGCAAGATGTACGCCGGCGCCGATCTGGACCAGGGGTCCTTCGCGACTCACGCCATCTGGCGAGAAGCCTTCCTCTTCAAGATCCCCGACAGTCTCAGCAGCGAAGACGCGGCGCCCCTGATGTGCGGCGGCGCGACGGTGTGGAACGCCATGCATGTTACCGATGTGCGGGGGACATCGCGGGTCGGAATCGTCGGCATCGGTGGCTTGGGGCACCTCGCCATCCAGTTCGCGGCAAAGATGGGCTGCCAGGTGGTGGTGTTCTCGGGGACCAACAGCAAGAAGGAGGAGGCCATGAAGCTCGGCGCCCATGAATTCTACGCTACGAAGGGGGTAAAGGAGCTGAAGATTGGGAAGAAGCTCACCCATCTCATCGTGACGACCAGTGCTCAGCCCGACTGGGACATGTATGTCAACGTCCTGGACGCTGGGGCGATGATTTCGCCGCTGTCCGTGTCGGGCGATGAGTTCAAGTTCCCGTACATGGGGATGTTGCTCAACGGACTGTCCATCAAGGGCTCGATTGTTGCGGCGCGGCAGGTTCATCGCGACATGTTGGAATTCGCGGCCTTCCACGGCATCAAGCCGATGAAAATGACTTTCCCGATGACGGTGGACGGTATTCACGATGCTTTCAAGACCTTGGAGGATGGCAAGATGAGATATCGCGGAATCCTTATCCCGAAATAGAATCGGGCTTGTATAACATATTCGTACAGCGTACACATGGGTAAATGTCTAGGAGGGTCTGAATCTGTATCTATACATGGGAGATGCTACCTACCTACGCTTCTAACTGCTTGTATCTTATTTTGTATCCACAGACGAGCGAGCTCAAATTCCAAATATGGTCTCGACAGGCCTATTGTTCGCCAATTGAAAAGTGATTCGAAGCCCCCGATGGTCGCCAGTCCTTTGAAACGTCGCTTCACCCATGAGCTATATAAACTACCTTGTAACGAGATAGAACAAAGCTAGACTACGCTGGTAACAAGTACACACTCTTTTTACTAGCGCACTTATAGAAACGTCATCAATCTTATGATCGTCTGTTATGGAGGAATTGGTCAAACTTTCTATATGCAGTCTACAACGGGAAGTGTATCTACTAGACCGAAGTATCCCTTTGTTTTATAAGATCGCCTCGACGATGTATTATACAGCCCGCAATCAAGGGTCAAAGGGGCACCTGACGCGACTTTTGTTACACGACCAAGCACGGTAATGGTCGGCCTTTCATTCAGTATGAAATACCTAAGCTTACTTCTCCGGATCAAAAAGCAATACTATACTAGAGATAGCTAGGGTCAGCAGCTTTCATATTAAGCGAGTGGTGTTCGATCCATGGAACCCCCGTGAATGGGGATGAACGACAGCGCCGTAAGGGTCCACTAGCCGGCACTTGAACACGAATGACGTCGACCGGCCCCTCGAGACAAGCCCCTATAGGCCCCAAAGACGGGGTATCGCAGATCGTCATCCCAGCACCCGGGCTAAGCCAAGAAGATTGACACTTTTCCCCGTCAATCCGGCAGGGATCACCCCCAGACGCAAACTGTTGGCCAAGGGGGATCATCAGGCAGAGGTGTCGTTGAAAGGGGCAGAGGGGCAGCAAAGACTGACCCACCATGGTGTGCTCTCGTTAAAAAGCCCTCCTGGACCTCTTCCCTCGGCCAACCCAGCTTCAATCGCTGAGGGATGTAGTCAATCGCATGGCCTCATGAACGTCTTTCATATCGAGAGTCATCCGTCCCGACGACGGATCCCCTGGATAGGCCCGTTGCTGGGCCTCATCTTGATCTGCCTCTTCTATTCGCAGTCGAAACCGCCTCACAGTCCCACGGTGGGAGCGCCCGTCAGAGCCACCAAAGATCCGCTTCGCGAGTGTCCCGAATACGAGGGTCTGAAAGATGTGCTCGTTGTGCTCAAGACGGGGGTGACGGAGGCCCGTGAAAAGGTCCCCATCCATCTGCAGACCACGCTGCGCTGCGTGCCAAACTACATCCTGCTCTCCGACTTCGAGGAGGACATCGGCGGCGTGCACGTCTACGATGTTCTGCGCGGCCTACCGGAGCATGTGCGGCGAACCCACCCCGACTTCGACATCTACAATCGCGTGCGAGAAGGCGGGCGACAGGCCCTGACCAAGGAGGATCTGACGCAAGACGTCAACACGGCGTTCGGAAAACCCAACAACCCCGGGTGGAAGCTGGACAAGTGGAAGTTTCTGCCGATGATTGACGCCGCGATTCGTGTCCAGAGCGAAGCGAAGTGGTACGTGTTCATGGAGGCTGACACGTACTTTGTGTGGCCGAACCTTCTTGGATGGTTGAGCAAGTTCGACTGGCGAAAGCCGCATTATCTGGGAAACCAGATGCAAATTTCGGATGTGCTCTTTGCCCATGGTGGGTCAGGGTTTATTCTCTCGCAGCCTGCGATACGGCGCGCGTGGAATTTGATGCAGTCCGACATCAACAAATGGATGCAGGTGAACGACGAGCACTGGGCTGGCGACAGCGTGCTGGGGAAACTTCTCTCGGAGGCGGGAGTGAACCTCCTGTGGTCGTGGCCGATGCTGCAGAACGCGCACCCCGCAGAGTTCGATCCCTTCACGGAGGGCTACTTCAAGACACCGTGGTGCTATGCGCCGGTTGCGTATCACCACATGGTTCCGGAACAGATCGCCGAGCTCTGGAAGTTCGACCGACGATGGTTCCACGATGGAAACAAGATTCTTACCTACCGCGATGTGTTCCGCCATGTGGTTCGCCCGCGACTGAACCTCGTCCAGAACGACTGGGATAATAATCTGGATGAGAGCAACAGCCGCAGTAGTCTGAGCACAGTGGAGTGTCGGAAGCATTGTGTCAACGATCCCGCGTGTCTACAGTACACATTTGACTCTGGGCGATGCTGGACCTCCCAGGGCGCGAAGCTGGGAGTGAAGAAGCCCGGAGTGACATCTGGCTGGATTGAGACTCGGATCGATGCAATGATGGAACGACTGGGCCACTGTCGCCAGCCAAATTGGGTGATATGATGAACGAATTGTGTCTATATATTCTTTTAAAGCCTGCCTTTTTGATGTATAACTATATTTTCCCTCTTGTACATACAGTGATCCCGGCAAACAATGTCAATATCTATACATTGGACTATTCTGGTGAGTTGTTCGAACCACCCGTGTTCTCTGGCCTGGCCCATAAGGTTATCCAAGAGAGTAAAGGCGACAAATCAAACCTCAAACCAACATCCTTTTCGCCATTGCTTATGGGATGTACCATATCCGAAGGCTTGGAGGCTGCCACGTCAATGTCAGCCCCCGCTCTGCGAGTAACAAGGCTAGAGAAAAAGAAAATATATACCTGGAATTTCGAGTTCCCACTCTGGTGACACTCATGTTGCTTCATCTCGATTCTCTCCCGCACAGGTTCGAATCCGACTCTGTCTGTGTCAGCACATGCTATGTCTGCCTCAACACTGGCGTCTTGTGACTTACTTGGTCGAAGTGTGGTTTTCAGACCTGGTTTGTGCGCTGGATGCTTGTTCTAGTGACTGTTTAACATTTTGTTTAGGCGATGATATTTTCGATGTGAGGGCTCTCATCGATCATAGCAACAAACATGTCGTCGTCAGTCTGAGGTATGGAGATCAGGCGCAGAAGAGTTCTGGGAATTCGAAGAATCATGCGTTTCCAGCCAACGCTTCCATATCTCGACCTGGATCAGGGACTCTAAGACAGAGTCTCGTAGTTGAAACGGGTTCATCGCTGTCAAAGGAATTCGAGGCCAAAGCAGAATACAGCCTAAACTACGCTGGAGTCTCACTGAGTGGCAATACAAGCTACAGCAACAAGAGGTCATTCAAATCGGACTCGATCTATGGCCTCTGGAGCCTTGACCAAAAGACTCGTTCGGTATTTCTTGATGGCGACCAAACAAACAATATTAACGAAGCCTTTCTCCAAACAGTCAGGAACCTCCCCGCTTGGGACCCCGATGACTCTGCCGTGAAATCACAGTATCAGTCATTTTTCCATTTTTGGGGTACTCACTTTATCAAAGAGTGTTTTCTTGGCAGACGATACCAACTAAGGATTGTGAACGAGAATAAGTCCAGTGATACGAAGGAGAAGATGACCTCTAGTATCGAGGGGGAATATGGAAATATTGTGAAGACAAGAGGGGGTGGTAAAAGCACACATGAATCAGCAAGCTATATGATGACTTGCGATATCAAGTGCTTTGTACGAGGAGGTGACCCGAACTTCGCAATGAAGCTGGCGGATGATCCACAGGATCCGGTCAAATTCAACAACTGGGTGGAAAGTTCTCAGGAGGACGCTACAGACGCCATTATCAATGTTCGTCTGGAGGACTTCGGCACACTACTGAAAAACAGCTCGAATCAGGATTATCGGCGCCTGGGTCAACAACTTTCAGATGCTTTCAGCGTCTTGGACGACACGGTGACGATAGGGGCAACATTGACAATGAATACCAGGAGGTGGGGCCTCCCCAGAAGAGGATCTTTTCCTGTTGATGCCAGGGTTTGGTTTTCTGTTAGTGGCCCTGGTATAACCATCGAACCCGTTTCGGGACAAGACTGCACCTTGCACGAGCAAACTACGACCAGTTTTGTGGCAAATCATGACGTGTCAGCCACTATTTCACGTACATTACCCAGTTTCGTCCCGGAATATATGAACAGCTATCTTTCACTTAGCATGATTGGAAATCCAGTACTCCAGCTCCTATCGGGTCTCCCAATGTCCGTTCATTTGAAAATATCTGGGCCTGCATCAGCCGGCCCTATCAGGTTTTATCTCAAAACAACATGTGGTGAAGTTTCCCTGATAGGCTCATCTCAGACTTCTACGTTTTCTATCAAAAAGCCGGATCCGGATCCCTGGAGCTGGTGGCCATCTATTGAAGGAGCTGTGGAATTGCCAAACCTCCTCGTCACGGGAGATTATGAGGCTATACAGAACTGATGGTAAAAGTGACACTGTTATCCTAAATACTGTAGATTCTAATTGATGGTCTAAATGGCTGACATGGTATGATTCACAAAAGACGAAGACATTTAGTTCCTTCCCCTTCCACCATCATCGCCAGGGAGCGGAACGGTTGATCCGGGCTTGAAATCCGACACTGTGATGGTGGAGCTAGACCCCCGAACGATGTACTCCTTGGCCAGCCCCTTCGTATGGAGTTCTCCCAACTCACGGTCCTCGAACGTGAACGGGCCGATATTTGTCGACTTGCCCGAATCCCAGTTGTACCGGTCAAAGACATGAACCTGATACTTGAGCGAGGTCTTCGATCCCAGCTTGGCGAGCGCACCAGTCACGCTGTATGAGTATCCGCCGATAGCAAAGAACCAGTCCCAGCTCTCGTCCTTGGTGGCATAATAGTTCTCCCAGCCGCTGACAAAGGTCGTTGAGCCGTTTGTGGCCGAGACGGAGTTATATGCGTCCGTGGCCTCATTCTGGATGAGTGTCTGCACTGCGTCCTGGAAGCCTGAAAGGTCCTTCAACATCTCCTCGACGGACACGCTCTGGTCGTCTCCCGAGTTGCCGAGGTAATGCTCCATGTTGGTTTTGGCATTGTCCAGACCCAGTGTGCCTGCCGTTTTGGCGATGGCGTAAAACTTCGTCTTGGCCAGGTAGTCACTGGGGCCAGCGTCTTCCGAGTTCCATTCGCCACTGCCGTCGCCGCTGGAGGGTGGTGTGGGATCGCTGGGGGGAGGAGGGATGGCAACACCGCGGGAGGTGAGGGGGAACGCGGAGCTGGAGGATATCCATGTGGATAGTAAGAGGGCTGAGGCCGCGAATGCGCGCATATTGTAGAAATTGTAGGTCTTGGAGGTGGATAGGAAAGATGAGATGATGTTGGTTGTTCTTGTTCACATTGATTGCTCCTGGGAATTTGACAGATATTTATACGTTAGCTCTTGCTTTCACAGCTGAGTTGAATGTTGCGATACGAATCTCATCAGGACTATCATTTATTTTTGGCTACATGAGATGAAGAGAGGCTCGTATCGATAGCATCGAAATTGGCGATCGTATAAAACAACAAAAATAGCATATACTGAAGCTTGGCAGGTGGTGAAGATCACTCGTATTCCAGGCCGTCCATGCTTGGCACTCGAGGCTGTGTCTAGCCAGGCACCGAGTACGAAGAGACCCTTGTCAGTACCGTGTGTGTGTGAAGATCATCTCGGGTACCTAATCGCAAGTATCACCAAGACCCAAAAAGGGGGGTATAAAAAAGATGGTCCCGACGAGGGTCGAACTCGCGACCTTGGCGTTATTAGCACCACGCTCTAACCGACTGAGCTACAGGACCTTTGTTGAAGGATAGTGATGGAATATTGTTATATTAAACAGCCAAACGCACCAGACTACATCTACAAGCCTGTCCGTACAATAAGGTGAATCTTTGCGAAACTTTTGCCTAGACCACTACAAATCTACTTGTCAATCAATCTCCAATAGCACGTCCTGGATCTCTACTCGAACCTGGTGTACACTCATAGCTCATCCTTAACCGTAGCTCGCTCATCCGGCGTGTATCTCTTCTTCTTCGTCATGGCAGCCAGGATATCCACAATCAAGTCCGCTGCAGCTACTGATGTTGTCTCTGCGGTAGAGTCGTATGGCGGGCTGACTTCCACGACATCAGCCCCGACGAGGTTCAGTCCCTCGAGCCCTTTAATATACCGCTTGAGCTCTCTCGTCGTCCAGCCCCCAGACTCCGGCGTCCCAGTTGCAGGAGCAATGCTCGGATCCAGCACTGTCATCGTAAGTAACTAAAATGCAGCTAGGAGTGAGAAAATCAAGCCTTACCATCGATATCAATCGAAAGATACACCGGATTCTGCCCGACCACAGCAATGGTCCGTTTGACAATACCCTCTACCCCAATATCATCAATTTCATGCGCCTCGATGCGGTGGAATCCCACCACCTTCTCATCAATCTCATAGTCCCGGGGTCCGAACAGCTTCGTTCGCAGGCCTCCATGCACGCTCGCTCCCTTATTTATACATCCCTCGCGGGATGCGTGCCAGAAGAACGTCCCATGCGTAATGGCCGACTGCTCCGACGCGATGCCCGTGTATCCCTCGTACGGATCCCAGGTGTCCAAATGCGAGTCCAGATGGATGACGGAGATAGGCCCGTAGACAGTCTTGAGCGACCGCAGAATCGGGAGCACGATAGAGTGGTCGCCGCCGAGAGAGATAATCCGTGGGTGAGTCCAGCCGTCCGTTGCATTGGTCTTGTGGTAGAGGACTTGTCGGTAGCCCTGTTCCATCTGCTTAAAGGCATGGGCAGCATCGAATGGAGTGATGGGCACGTCTCCGCAATCGATGATGTTCAGGCCTTCTTCGAATGGGTCGACGCCCCAGACGGTGTTGTAGCTGCGGCCTTTTTTCTCCCGTGAGGATCCAGCGCGGATTCCTCGAGGACCGAATCGGGCGCCAGGTCTGTAGGATGTGCTGGTGTCGTATGGGAATCCGAGGATCGCGATGTCTAGGGGCTACAGAGGGGGTAAGTATGTCGAACACGGGTAATCTCGGTGCATACGTACAGTGTCGTGATCTGACGCTAGACATCTCTGCCATTCCAGATGGGCGAATGTCACGGGCTGTGAAAAGGGAAGATCTTTGTCGAGGTCTATGCAGGTCAGGGTATACTACTTGTTGGTGCGGAGATATATATATATACCTTCAATCGAATGGGCGTAGTCTGGTCCAATGTTGAGCGCAGACACTGCACCCAGACCCAAAAAAGCAGATAATAATCTCATATTGAACAGAATTCACCACACAAATGCGATACTCAAGAGTCAACCCCAGTCATCCCTCTTGATAGCCATTTTATAGCTCGGATAATGTGATATCCCCACTCGCAGACGATAAGGCCTCGCTGACGATTACCCTCGACCAAATCCGCTCCAAGTCCGCCTTATCGGCCCGTCCAATAAGACCGAGTTGGAGATGAACTCCCTGGGGCATACAAAGCAGTCCAGGATCCCCGACTTCTCCACCCGCTAACGATTTCCCTCCTCGTTCAACATGTCTCCGCGTACAAGACAGAGGGTCACAAAAACCAAAACGTTTTCCGGGTGTGGCCCCATGCTTCTGAGGTTGGCAAAATTCCATTAGCTAATGGCTCTAGATGTTGGACTTGTCGTCGCCGCAAGGTAAAATGCGATAACAACCGCCCCAGCTGTCTTCGCTGTCGTCGCGGTGGGGATACCTGCGAGGGGTACAATGTGGATCTATACTGGATGTCTCAAGAGAATGAACGTCCTTGTTCTATCAAGAGGAAAGCCATGTTGGTGCGTGACCCAGCACTGCCTCTGTCATGTTTGTCCACAGAGATCGATCAGATGCTGCTGCAGCTGGAGGAACGGGTAATCAGGGATAATGAAGGCATTGTTGGGCCTTTTACGGCGTTCGAAGCTTGTGACTATACCTCTGCTCTGGTCAGAATCGCCACAGGTCATACAGATGACAGTGACTCTATTGCGACGGACTCTATATCCCTCTTCGATCCCGCCTCACCAACCCCATCGAGCCTGTCCCTTTATATCGACGCCGTCGCAGCAGAGCTCATGCATAATTACATCCATATTGTTTCCCACGTTCTTCAACCCGCGGACCATCCCAAAAATCCTTATCGGTCGATTTATGTGCCTCGGGCGATAGCAGCCGGCCGTATAGTGGTAGGGATTGGTGACAACCAGTCACATAGTGGAACTGCATTGTCCCATGCCCTCCTTGCCGTTTCTGCATTCCACATGTATCGAAACCAGCCGGAGAATCAACACTACGACAAACTTGCTAGATTACACCGTGTAGAAGCGGTGTCGAGCCTGAAAAACGCACTGTCTGTGGGCGAAGGAACGAGTGATCGATCCACCACGTTGTCAGCCATGCTATCGTTGGTCTCCATTGATGTAAGTGGAAACCACCCCAGAATTGATATCGGCTACTAACTTTACCAGCTTATGGAAGGCGAATTTACTGAATTCTGGATCCATTTAGAGGGCTGCGAGAGGCTCATGTCATCCTTCGGAGGCCCACCAGATAACTCCCCACAGCACACACAGTTGAACAACATATGCTCCTTTATGCATACGCTATCCCAGTCGACGGCCCCTTACACAACCCCAAAGCCGTCATTAGAGGCATGCGACAGAATTGAAGATCTGCTCAATCATTCACCATTTCTTCCAGATGACCACAGCCTGGAATTCACATATGGCACCACAGCGAACCTCGCCAGTTACTTACATCTGACCATATCTCTATCGCAAAGCATCGCATACTTTGAGCTGAATGAGCTACCAACTCCTCCATACTTACGCAAAGCATGTATGGCTCTGTATGCCGCCATCAGTGGCTGGTCGATTAACCAGGAGTCGCTGGCCTCCTTGCCTGGAACTGACTATGAAACCCGCTCGCTCATCACCTGTCACGTCGTTGCATTCCATGCCGCCATCGTGATCTACTTTCATACAATGTTAGACTACCCTACTCCGCATTCTATCCTCCAGTCCTATAACAAGATCTGCGTGTCTAACCTCCTTGCGGCCGAGGTACTCAAAATGTCGAACGGAGCAAGCAAGGGATGGAATGCTATGGCCCCCATTGTTTGGCCTGGATTCGTTGCGTCGTGTGAGGCAGAATTAATTGATCAACCGTTATGGCGAGCCTGGTGGACTGGGGTACAGAAATATTGCATTGGGTCTATCAAGACACTCTGGGACGTTGTCCAAGATGTCTGGCGCGACCGGGATGCTGGCCTCGCCCAGAAGCCAGGATGGCGCGAGGTCTTGAGACGGCGAGGAAAGAGAGTCATGAGTGGCGGATGAAAATAAGAGCTTTTAACTGCAATGTATCTAACGTGCCAATCGTATGTCCAATTTCGTCCTGCATCCCGTGTCTACTGTACATGGCTATGTTGCCCAGAATTGATCGGAGCGGCCGACAATGATAAGATCTACGAATGGCAGCAGTCAGCGAGTGTCTTATCAACTCGAGAAGAAAGCCAGCGATAAGAGTTCTGTTGTAAGTCTATAAGGAACTCGACTCTATCGAAGAAGTGACGAAGCTTTGTACGACCTTACTACCCAGTCTTACAAACATTTGCTATCATGCTTGCTCGCCGGACTTCCGAGAAGGGCTCCCCCAACGCCAAATCAATAGAGACAAGCTCCACCTCGCAGCAGGAGGAAGGGAATGTCCATATCCTCGGATCCGGCTCCCAGCAGCTACATCGGAAGCTGGGTGTGAAAGAGGTCCAGCTTTTTGCTTTGTCGGCAGCGATTGGAACGTGTACGTTTCCTGGCTAAGATGATTGACTTACAAGGGAGCTCACTTGAATTCCCAGCGATTTTCGTCACAATTGGAAACGCTTTGCCTAAAGCAGGGCCGGCTGGTTTATTCATCGGATTCCTGATATGGGGCAGCTGTGTTCTTGCTGTCAATGAATGTTATGGTAAGAACTTTCAGTCAAAACGCGAGTTGATGTTGATAGGGTACAGGAGAGATGATCTGTTATATGCCCGTGACTAGTGCGACCATCACGTTCGCATCCAAATGGGTTGATCCGGCGTTGGGCTTTGCAATGGGGTGGAATTACTTCTTGAACATGTAAGGCACGAGCCTCTATGTGAGTTGTTGCTCATACTAACTCATACAAGGGCGTTGCTGGTGCCCTTCGAGATTGTTGCCCTAAGCCTGATGATAGGATATTGGACCGATAAAGTGAGTTGATCTCATCGCCTCAAACATGAGAATCCGCTGATCTCGAGAAGGTTCCAGCCGCGGCTGTGGTCGTAATAATGATGGTGATCTATTTGTGTGTCCATTCACAGCGACATTGATATCTTTGCTAACTTGTAAATAGCCTCCTGAACGTTGTTTCTGTCCGATGGTTCGGTATGGCTGAGTTCTATATTGGCATCTTCAAGATTCTTCTCGCCGTGGGTCTCATCGCATACACCTTTGTGACCATGGTAGGAGGTAATCCCAAGCATGATGTCTATGGATTCCGGTACTGGAACAACCCGGGCGCATTTGCAGAACATCTCGTATCCGGCTCCAGTGGCCGATTCTGCGGTGTGTTGGCATCCATTGTCCAAGCTGGATTCACAATCTGCGGGTCAGTACTAGATGTGACCTACTTTGGGCTATGCTAACAGCCATAGTCCCGAATACCTGAGCATGATCGCAGCCGAAACCCATAACCCACGTACAGTACTTCGTCGAGCCTTCAAAACGTTTATCCTGAGAGTATCTCTGTTCTTTGTTGGCGGGGCCCTGTGTATCTCTATCGTCATTCCCTACAATGATCCTACGCTTGCAAAGTTGCAGGATGAGGGAATATCAACGGGTGCCGCTTCGCCGTACGTTATCTCCATGGAACGACTGGGTATCGCGGGCTTGGGAAGTGTTATAAACGCCGGAATTATGATTTCCTTGCTCAGTGCAGGAAACGCACTGTTGTTCTCTGCAACACGAACATTACATGGAATGGCGGTGGATGGCAAGGCACCCAAGGTGTTTTCCCACTGTACGAAGAACGGGATCCCGTAAGTAGGCAATGCTTCTAGAACGGACACATCACTGATATCACAGAATCTGGGCCCTTCTTGCAGCACTGTCTCTGTGTCTCCTCGCCCTACTGCAGATTTCGGAGACGTCCGCCCAGGTGATGGACTAGTACGTGCTTCTCTGTGGTATCTCCTACGTCGCTAACGGTCAAAGCCTCGTCATCCTCATTACCGCGAACCAACTACTGAATCATTTCTCTGTTAGCCTTACATATATCCACTTCTACCGAGCCCTTCGAGCTCAGGGGATCGACCGCGATACTCTACCGTATAAGGGGAAGTTCCAACCTTACACCTCTTACGTTGCTGTAGTCGCTACAGCCCTGTTAACCCTCCTTTTGGGCTTTGACTTGTTCGTTGATATTAAAAACAACTGGAGCATCAAGTACTTCTTCCTGGACTACGCGATGCTGCTATTCTATGGGATCATGTTCGTGGGCTGGAAAGTGGTTAAGCGGTCCTCCTTTATTCCTCCGTCTGAGGTGGATCTGAATCTGGGAGAGACAAAGAACGAGATTGATATGTATGAGATGCTGCATAAAGACCAACCGGTTGGAAGGGCGGAGAAGGTTCTGTTGAAGATCCTGCCGATGTAGCTAAGGTAGTTAGATATGAAATTGATCGGAAGATAGTGCAATCTGAATGTGGACTTATCTCGCTGACGGTTACCCCGACTGTTATCGGAATCCCCGCACGACAACCCCTCTATGATTGCAAATGGGACCGGGGAGAAATCGACTTACGCAGATTTAAATTCGACGAGTCTGTAAGGCAGCAGGCAAATGTCCTCAACACAGCACTCATCATGGCTACTTTCTCGCTCCTAACCCAGTACATATGGAAATGGATGCAGAAGAGCCTATTCCTAAGTATTTTCGTTGCCGCAATAGCCCTTGTTGTCCTCTACGGGCTGGCCAAGGTGCATAGAAACCTCATCGTCTCTCCGTTAAGACCAGTTCCAGGACCAAAATTCTTTGCCTTGACACGATGGCGTCTCGCATACGAGGACTACCGTGGGACTCGTACACGCTGTATCAACAATCTACATAAGCAGTACGGAGACGTTGTCCGTGTCGGTCCTAACGAGCTCTCGTTCAACAGTCTGTCTGCATTGAAGTCCATCTATGGTGCTGGGAGTGGGTTCCAGCGGGACAAGTTCTATCGCATGTTCGATGCGTATGGGCGCCAGGTGATGTTTAGCTTTGCCTTCTCCGTTGACCACCGGGGTATCTCGCCCGCTTCTTAATGCCAGACGAATGCTGACCAACTGCAGAACGGAAGAAGCTACTCAATCATGCCTATTCAAAGACAGCAGTGCTTTCGTCCCGGAACGCTGCCATGGTTGAAGAGAAAACCAGGCAGTTCCTCTCTCTTCTTGACAGAGAGGCCAAGTCTGGGATCATGGAGATATTCAATGCCCTCCATTATTTCTCCATGGATAGCATCACACAGTTCCTCTATGGAGAATCTCAAGGTGCGACAACGGCGTTGACCGCGTCTGCTAACCGCAGTCTGTTGGACGACATTATCGATCCTGCCCGGCGGAAGCTCTCATGGTTCGCCGTGCACTTTCCCCATCTCACCCACTGGTTATATTCCCGTACTGGCGCCATGGAGTGGCTCCTAACAACCTTCGGACTACTTCCAATGTCGAAACCATCGACTTATACCGGAATCCGGCGCCATGCGCTGGTCGCCGCAGAGCACATCCGAGACCAGACTATCGAGGATCCCACGGAGTCCATTGCGGCACGACTATTCCACGCCATGCGAACACGAGAAAAAGGCCCGGCCATGGATTACTTGGATGTGGCGAGTGAATGCGCCGACCACTTCCTTGCTGGGATCGACACTACCAGTGACACCTTGATGTTTGCTATATTTGCCTTGTCGCAACCAGCAAACCTATCATTCCAAGAGAAGCTGCACCAGGAGATACAGTCCCTTCCTGACGAGGTCGTTGTCGACGATGTGGTCAATGCGCTCGCAGCAGATAAGCTACCCTATCTTGATGCTGTGATCAAAGAGACACTGCGTTTGTACGCACCTCTTCCTGGAAGCGAGCCCCGGTGGTCAGAAAAAGACGAAGTCATCGACGGCTATCGTGTCCCTGCTCGAACCATCGTCAGCATGAGTCCCTACTGTCTTCATCGGAACGAGCATGTCTATAAGGAACCATTGGAGTTCAATCCGGACCGCTGGCTAGGTCCATCCGAGCAGGTAGCAGAGATGAAGAAATGGTTTTGGGCATTTTCCAGTGGAGGTCGCATGTGTATCGGAATGCAGTAAGTGTGCCCCTGATTATTTGACGAGGGCATGGCTAATGAATAGTCTGGCGATGGCGGAAATGACAACTCTGCTGGCTAGCGTGTACCGCAAATGCAGAACGGAAATAGCACCTGGGTTTGAGAGAGTTTCTCCAGGGGTCACCGCGAGATATGAAGTCTTTTATGATGAAAAGTTTCCGAGAATGGAGGAACACATATGTTGGATAAGATTTAGATCTAGGTGATGCCTTGACGCCTGGGATTTTAGTGACCATGCAGTCAATGTAAGGATTGGTCATTCATATCTTGTTCAGCCGGCATATTGTCTTGCTTCCATTAATTTCGGTCCATAGTTCGTGTACTCAATGCAGACCTGCGTTCTTTGGTAAACCTCTCCTTGCAGAAGGCTTTGCATCATTTAGTCACAATCGCCTCATCAACCACAATAGGTCCCTTCCTAGTATCATCGATACCATGCTCCTTGATATAGCCCTGCTCTTCATCCATGTTCTCCTTCGGTTGATCTTGATGACCGACAGGCACATGACTTTTGACGACCAACCAAGTAGGTAACACAGCAAGCCCTGTAGTGTTCAGACGAGTAAGCATTCAGTTCCCGGAAAGAGCTAAGCTCACACAACGCGGATGATCTTGTATCACACGTACCGAGGAGAATTGTGTTAACGGCTAGAGGAACCCGTCCTCCATGCCACTTGCGGGTGTTGAGTCCGAAGGACACAGCTTGGCTGAAGCTCTCTTGCCCTCTCAGAATACCAGACAACCGAGCTGAATTAAATTAGCTCTGCATAGCACAATATCACATATCACTCACATAGCTCGGAAATGTTATCCGTCATTGTGGAAATCAGATAGTAGCACCAATTTTGCAGCGCCTGCTGAGAGAACTCTGTTGACAATGTCAGTAACGGAGCTACAAACGTTGCTGCTGAACATACGCCAAAGTAGGACAACGAAGAATCCTTCCACGAACCCGGAGTCGGTCCAGTCGTACGATGGCGGATGGGCTGTGTACTTTTCTTGTATCACCCAGGCGTACACCCATGCCACGACGTGCACCGCAATAACGTAGAAAAAGCTGACGGGATTAATATCTCGCTGTAAAATTTTTGAGGTATGGTCTCACCTGTATTTTATGCGGTTCTTCGTGCTTATTTTCTTATAGTCCAAGAAGCGACTGATAATTGCCGAGGAGAGGAGGTTGGCGAAGTTGGCTGTACGCAAGGTCAGCCCATCGCTTGATAAAGAGCATGAGACTATTCCACATACTAACGAATCCCATCAGAGCGCGTGCACGAACGCCGAAATAATACGTTTGAAAGTCTATTGCTTTTAGTATGGCCCATCGAATATCGGATACTTACAAACATACTCCCGGAATATTGGTTAAAATATGCAGCCCAAAACAGGGGTAGAAGCAACATGACCTAAAGCAACCCATCAGTAATTATATATATTGTTTCTCTGGTTAGCACTGACCTCTTTGCGACGAGAGAGCTTCCATAACTCAAGAAACTCCTCACGCCAGGAGTTTTGCAGCACTATCCTGACCTTGCTTCCATCACTGCGCTGGACCTTTTCCGGTGGAGATAGGAATATGGCCAAAGGCGCAGCAACGCATTGTAGTGCAACGAAGATCAAGTATGTTTCTTAATCACATGTTAATAAATGCGGGCTCGACAGTTCGAAAAGGACAAGGGACCATACCGTATCCAACCTTCCCTCTGCTCTTTGCGTTCTCCGAGCTATACCATGTCAGCCACTAAACGTCCAGCACTTTTTACTATTACTATACTCACTGATTAAGTCCGAGTACAATAGCTCCTCCCAGCAAGGGCCCACCCGTGCGAAACCAGAGCCAGATGCTGTCCCAAATTAGCATTTGAACTATGAAAGTCTTCCAAAGTGATGTCGCACTTCATATATTTGCCTTTCTTGCCAGGCTCGGGATAACCCAGAGCCACTGCGCCCTCGGATGCCCAAAATAAGCCGGCCCTGTGTCTTTCGTCAGAGATGTGTGCGTTGTCTAGAGGTATCTGTGATACTTACGACAGTCCACAGGCTACTGCCCCAACCAGGACGAACCACTCATTTCCCTGTAACCATGCATCAGTATACTGCTCAGAGATAGTCACCCAGGGATACGGACATATCGATTATTCGTGTATAGAGCAGCCCTAATCACAATTCTATCAGACGCGGGCAAGTTCGTATATCGCACAAACCGATATACTCACGAATATATTGGATACCCGATCGCGCCCAGCAAGAGCGTCCAGTTTAGCCCAATACGGTTGGCAACTGGCCCTCCAAACAAGCACAAGAATCCCACTAAGCGACATGTTAGCGTTCCGTCGAATAAATAATCAGGAACAGCATGTTGTACTTAATGCGAATACCAACGCATTTGCCGAATTCACTAGATAGGGCTCCTGTGCACCTCCGGCCCCTAGGGAGTTCATTGCATTCCACAATCCCGGGGCCATGAAGCCCACACCACCGATGATGCAGGCATTGAACAGGGTGGAGTGGTACCATTTCCGTTGTACCTCTTCCTCAAACGAGGAAGCAGGGGATTTCCTGAAAGAAAGCGCCTTTAACATGGTGCAGCCGTTCTTCTAGGTCGGGTGTGAAAGGCACCAAGAAAATGAGTAGAGTACTACAGGCCATCATGCTACGCAGGTAGTATATGAATTTTCCTTCTAATCTATCGTCCAGCCCTACTCTTTGCATGTCTTGATCGAGCGGGAAAATTGCGTGCTTTAGGCGGCGTGCAAGTAGCGTACCACCCTTTACTCGCCATGACACATGGTTTGAGCCCACGACCAATCGTTAGCAGTTATCCGTTAGGCTGTTCGGGGCGACCCGCCTCTAAAATGATCTGGACGCTTCAAGTTTCCGAGAAAGAACATTGAGCAATATTGACCCCTTGAGGAGGATAACAGCATTGTGTTCGAACTTATAATGGTTATTGTGACTTCTGACTTAGGTTATAATGTTGGGATCCTTGTCTAAGAAACATATACCCAGGGTTGGAACCCATGCATTTACCCAATTGATATCTGGTGATAATGAATAGTCAACAAACCACAATGTTGCTCGCAGTTACAATTCTTTACAAATTGTCTCTAAATATATTACTCCTTATCAGTAGAGAAGTCATGTACCAACTACCTAAGGGTATTCTATGGGCCCAGTGAAGATGTGACTAGCACGCCATAACATGGGGGTCTTGGCTCCTTGGCAGTCTTGTTCTCGATTTGCATGCGTTCTTGGATCTTATGTGCAGGATACGACAGTGTGTTGATAGAATTGGGATCCACCCGGAAGGCACGTATCCATAATTTAGAAGGTTCCGCTTCAGCTGTAACATTGTCGGCCAGCAGGTTACATGCGGCGGCTCTGAAGGGCCGTACGTGTATCCAGTATTCTCGCCTGCTTTCCGGAGCAACGAACCTTATCGGTCCACTTGATAGTTGTAGGTTATGAGAGACTTCAATCGCGAGGTGGCGTATGCCATGCAGTCCCGTTCTACCTCTTTCCGACAGCAATGATGACACAAGTATCCTTGCAACATACAACCAACGCATACATCGTGCGGACAACTTGACCAGCGGTCTCTAACGCTAGATACATGGAGTGCAAGAGTTTCTCAACTTTTGTCTGTGCAGACGACGCCATCTTGCCACAGCAGCTTAGACAGCCAGCCTCGGTTGGCATCGGCAGCACGACATCTACCACTCCACTGCACCACCATGAGCTTCTCAGTAACATCAACCTGCCAGTAGTACGGTGGCAGAGGGTCAGTCGGTGTACAACGGTTGCAATATTTGCTGATTGATACTCTTGGGCTAGTAAGCATGAGCTTTTCTTTAGGGCGGATGTATATGATCCTGAAATGTCCACTTGAATATAATCATATAATTAGTAGTCATTCCGTGGATATGCCATCCCGAGATATTGGAACACGACTAACACTATTCCGGAGATCCAAGGGGCACTTACTTGCTAGTCAAAAAACAGGCACCTGATGGAGCACACTTTTATCTATATTATAAGCTTCTTGGAGGGCTTAAGAATAGATCAAGACTTAATTAATACAGAGTCTCACCAAATATACTATCACTCACAGTCTAGCTGGGTTAAGTCTATGATAAACGTCATTCTAAGCTCCTGTATCCATCTTAATGCCCATCTTGGAAATGTGGTCAACTGCACTAAAGGTGTCATCTTCACAGGTACTCCTACACACACATCTGTTTGATATGGAAAGCTGAACCAGCACTATTTAAAATCAATACCATGGATTTCAACCTGATCTAAGCCGCACTTTCTGGTTAAACTTCTGGATAATTACAGAAAATCACCCTTCAAACTCCAGTGATTGCTTATTAATATATAGATTGTTTGTAACCGGGAAAGGTTTTAATCTCATAGAAATCCTATTCAAATTAACTCGCCATTGTATATTGTCAAGTTCAGTCAAATCAGGATCATGCAGGGTTTCAATTTTAAGAGGGGCATCTGGACTTGGGAGTAGACTGTCGGCCAGGTGAGAGCTCGACCCTGTCAATGTATATCCACTATAATCGATGTTGATATCGAGAAGGCGTGGTAACTTGCATAGTTGGAAAAGCACCTGCTGCCATGTCCCAGACTTCAGTTTCACCAGAACGAAACTAATGTACTTCATTTTATGAGCAGATTGGTTGATAAGCGAAAGGAGAACGTCAGATGAAACTGAAACTCCTCCTAGATGAAGAGACTCTAAACAAAGTGTGGGTGGGAAGGCGACAAGGTCAAAATCTAAGACGTTGGCGCTGGATAATGAGAGCGATTCGAGGTTCGGTGCACTTTCAACCATTCTAAAAAAATCAGGGGCATAGGTGCTATTAGGAAGAGCAGCATATTCTGGCAAGATTGGCGTCTGCCAGTATCTCTGGTCCGCTGAATCCGTGTATGCACGAACTTGTAGCCCTAGGTGTCGAAGATGTTGCAAAATATCTCCGATAGGTATTTGTAAAGAATTGGTTTTGTTCGGAAAGAAGCGCCCAAAGTCATGGGTAATAGGAAATGTGACTTCAAGTTCTGACAGGTTTGGAAGTGGCAGGTAACGCAATATGGAAATGACTGTGTCCATATACGATTCCCTCTGAGATTGTGGCAATGATGAGGGCGGTTCGTGAAATTCAAGGGCCCTGATATTGGTGAATTTGATCAGAAGAGGCCAGTAGCATTCCGCCAAGTCTTTGATATATAGTGTACTGGCGCTAGGCGGAAGGCTCTCCGTAAAGCCAAAGTCAACTTGACGGACATATGTAGCATACGGGCTTTTCGATAATTGTATAAGTCGCTCTAGAGGCGAGGCCACCAGCGACGAAGTACAATATGCTTTTATATGCTGGAACAGCCAAGGTGACGCGCTGCGGCAGAAGGCCCCGTTCACAAGACGCAGGTTGGCTAAGTCCCGTCGAGCTTGAGAGATCGAGTAATGCCTAACATGGTCCTCCAAGTATATGAACTCATTGTATACGTTCCAAACACAATGAACAATCTATAAGAGAAGTTAGGCGCTAAGCAAAGGAATCGACTGATACAATCATAGGCCTTACATGATCATATATCTCTGCAGGTATCTGCATGTTGCTTCCCAAATTCTTTCAGCTTGAGCCTTCAGTGCAATTTCGTGAGGTCTGATGTTGGTAGTCAGGAGAGGGGGTCGTCTTGTGCGGGGCACTCCAGACCCCTCTTGACTGACGGGTCGGATTAGTGCATTGCATTACTCACTATTAGTACGTTATGCCTGACATGCATGGTATCTATTGGCCAATGATATAAAACCACAAGACTCGCTACCTGGCTAGTCAACAGTCGGCCGGGTCTACAATGCTCCAACGCAAGGTCCTTGGTCCAATAAAAGTACTACTTCATTTCAAAATATACCGCGAATATGCCAAATTATAAACATAGAGACAACTTTGTGAAATATGAGTATCAAGGCATAAATAACGTAAAAAACCAAATAAATCATATAACGCACGTTAGAACTGCCAATATTCTTCACACAAAGCTTCCTAAAACACAATCGTTCCAATTTGGAATAACATGCCTGGTTGGATCTGCATATTGGCAAGACTCCGTGCATACCAGCTTCACTAAGGCCCAAAGCCAGTAACATTGAGCTGGTCAATGTAGACTATCTGTATGACATGTAGGTCCCATAACTTCCGTAATTCCCGTAGCGTCCATAATCTCCATAGTCACCATAGCTCCTTGGAGGGGTGGGAGTGGGTGTTGCAGGTGGCGTGGGAGTAGAGCTCGGTTTCTCGGGATCGCCATCACTCTTGTTCATCTCAGGGTGACCGCAATCCTCATTCTTTGAGCAGATATCGAAAATTGGATAAGCGGTAATAGAAGCGGGTGTTGGAGTCAGTTCAGAGGCGGGGCTCTTTATTGGAGCAGCTTGGGAGAGAATCTCGCTGCTTAGAAAGACAAGAAAAGCTTTGTGGGTAAAATGCATTGTGTTCACTGCAGACGGTGGTAGTAACTATGTGCAATGCAGAATTGCCATGAATGAAACCGGGGGGAGGGGGCCGAGGAAGTATTTATAACACTAACTGTCTGATATCTTTGGCAGACAAAGGAGAAGACGCTGTTCCTCCAAATAGTCCATGATGTTCTATATTCTGTGTCACATCGCGGGTTCGTAGCGGAGTACAAAAACCAGTCCAGCGGATGAGTGCATTGTATGCCTATAACAATATATCCCCGATAACGTAGTTCCAGGGATTTTATAGCACATCATACCATGCTGTGTACCATTTTGACCAACTCTGTGGATACCACCAACCGGAAAGCTCCCGCACTTTCGTGTTCCCTAACCATGAGACACCCGAGGTTACTGCTAACAAGTAATTCGATCCGCATCAGAAGCAAGACATATCCTCTATCCTTTATCTGGCGGACTCTACTGAAAGCAAACGGGATCCTCTGAGGGTGCCCTGTCTTTCTATGCTTTCCATGTCTTCTGGAATACCAGCTTGGAAAGTCGAGATGAGATCATTGAGTCGGAACGAACGCGCTGAAGATGAAGAAAAACTACTCTCCAATGAAGGTCTAAATCCGGTTCATCCAGGAAACAGGCGCGCTAAAATCGTGGTATGGGGTAAATTATCACTTCTTGCGATGACTGCAGGAATCTCCTGCTTGGTTGGTATTGTTATCGGGAAGCAGATACTGGACCTGAATGAAGCGTGTGCTCTACATGTCTCCAACTATTGTGAGTGACACCAAAGCAAGAGGCATACTTCAAGGCTCTGACATCCACAGCGCCGGTTCTATCCGATCTGAAAATTGAATATCATCAGCAACAATACAATGGCTCATTCTTGCACGAGACAATATTTCGTCAGGGAGCAAGCCCAGAAGTCGACGCAGCTTGGGACTCACTTGGGTGCAGCTGTGGGTGTCGTATTATTCATTGCCCAATAGCTGATCGCTAACAACTGGCCAACAATAGATAGACCCATTCGAGTCCATCAAGACGAAGCCCAGAAAACTGGTATATCTATCAGTCACATCCGGATAAGCGAAAAATATGGCGGCGGATATCCGGCAAGTGTCGAAGGAATGCATCACCTACACTGCTTGGTGGGTGTTTTGCGACAATCCACGTTTTCCATGGTGGAGTTCGTTTCTGACAAGGCGAGCTAGAACCTTCTCAGACAAGCTCTCTACTATAACTATGACTACTACCATGACCTCGGCCAAGGTGCTTTTAAGAATGATGATTACATCGTTCGACGCCACGTTTGTAAGTATATCGCGTGTCGGGAGCTTGTTGTTGCATGTGCTCACCCATCATAGCGCATTGTCTTGATATTCTTAGACAACAACTAATGTGTACCGTCGACATTGGTGTCTTCGGTCAAATATGGGTTCATCAGGACCATCCTGAACCGTTCGTTGACTTCAACACGGCACATCGTTGTCGAAATTTCGATGAAATCCGACGATGGGTGGAGCGACGTCAACTTCCAGAGAAGGTTCCTGCAGACTTTTTGCAACCTCCAAATAGCCATGACACTGTGTATGCTGAGATCCCCTGAGTGGTGGGATGAGTATAATGCTCGTTCGGGCGTTTTATTATGTTGTCAGACTTCGGGATGGCCTTGGGCTATGTAGACATACGAGCTAAGTTAATGATAAGGCTCAGCGAAATTGTGCCGTGGGCAAGAAAGAAAACTTACAAGCCTCATCCAACGAGCGCTTTGTATGCGGTATAATCTGGAAGCATATTAATACCCGATAATTTGGAAGGGATCTCGGTAGTCAGATTCCGCAGAATCAACAGCTATCATTCTTCACTTAGAGACTAGTTTCTAGGGTTGACCCAAAATTGGGATACAGAAATGAACGCTCAGTACGACTGCAATAATACTATCGTCTACAAGAAATATCTAGTACTCAATGCTGTACACGTGGTGCCCATGTCGCATTTCCATATGCTGATCCTCCGTAAGTCAAATATCCCGGATCAACAGGGCCCATCTGCGCAAGAATGTCACCTCGATCTCCAAATGTAAGGACAGTTTGCATACCCATCACCATATGTTGGAGTATATGGCAATGGTACATCCACACTCCTGCATTTGTCACCCTGATGCGCCAGGCTCGCCACCCGGATGGGGCGAGAGGTTCCGTTTCCTTTCGATACCTGTAAAGGACAGATGTATCGCGTTGGATAGGTTGATATGTCCGTAGTCGCTCCTCATTAGCCGTAGCATTATATAGACCATCTCCTCCCCCAATGTCATAATAGTGCCTACCATGGGCATGGAACGGGTGAGCGTCAACTCCCCCATTGTTGACAGTACCTCGGTTTTGCCATACTATCTCGAGGACTTCTCCCATCTTAGCTGGGAAGGTACGCGTAACATTATCAAACCCATTGCCTCGCGAGATTGCTCGGTGATAGGTCTCAGCAGGGTCGAGCTTTCCGGTGTAGATATCGACCAGGTAGGGAGCCTGTGGCAAGGTTTGCACCCAATCGTATCCGTTTTGCAGCCAAATGACATGATCGCTGACATTCTGGTGAACGTTGATGATGATCCTTCGCGTGACCTCCTCCAGCTTGGGAAATGTCTGGTCTGGGTGGAACGGTTCTAATTCGTAATCAAGCCATCCTTGAACGAGCTTTGCAACAGGAAGCGGCGGTGGTGAAGGGACGGTGGTCACGTCGACGCCAATGCCAGACGAGTAGTCCAAAACGGCAAAGTTTGTCAAGACTTCCGGTCGCGCCAGAGTGGTGAGTTGCATATAGAATTGTCTTCTGTTGGCATTTCTCAAGTCGCCCTCGGACTTAGACTTCAACAGCACGCTATATCTCTGACCGCCAGCGATTTGCAGAAAACAAGTGTTTAACGGCTTTGTGTAATGGCCATCTGCCTCGACAATATGCATGTCATGACTTTCTATGGCAAGCGAGACAAAGGATAGCGCGGTGGCCCCGATAAATCTCAAGAGATACGATTTTCCGGGCTCAACGGAGATTGAAGACAACTCGCACAAGTTGGTGTCGTTTGTGTTCTGGCGAGTCTTCCCATTCACCAGTATGCCTTCGGTTTCTCCACTCCATGTGAAGTTACTCGACCTTAGACCCTCCACAATCTGCTTGTCGGTCCCGCTGAAGAAGTCCGAGAGCATAACCGTACGTTCATCGTCATAATTAAAGAGCGGGCGGTCCCATGGCTCCACAATCAGCGGTCCGACAGCAGTGAGAGCCTGGAATCCAACGTGGGAATGATAAAAATAAGTCCCTGCAGTACCGACTTCTGGCGTGACTTCGTAGTCGAAAAATCTACCTGCAGGAATGGGCCACTGGCTTGCTGCGGGTGCTCCGTCGGAAAAGGGAGCCGTAAACGCTGTCAAGCCATGCCAGTGCTATGACACGGTCAGTATTGTAGAGGTATAGGTCATGGTTATATTGCTTACAATTGTCGTGTTCTCGTCCTTCATGTCATTGTAAACGCGAATCCGACTCACTTGTCCTTCCTTCAGACGCAGCTCTGGGCCAGGAGAGGACCCATTAACCAGGACTGAGTATCTGTTCATGCATGCCTGACGATAAGTCTGTGCTGTCACCCGCAGTATATGGTCTGGCTGGAAAGATTCATCATGAAGGACTGCCCGTCCTATAGATGGCTGCACCAAAGAAAGGAACGATATTAATCTGGTCAACTTGCGGAACATTTTGGAAAGATAGCTTCGACGCGTCCATGGTGGAGAAAACAGTCATAATTGAGTGAGAAAGAGCCCATTTATGACTTTTTGCTTACGAGGGTCACCGAAGGATTAACGCACGTGGCACCAACTGAGCAACAACGATCGAGTATGAGCCACCATGTAGGACATCTGAGACCTGCACGCGTTTCTGAGGGCTTCTCGCTTGCACGTCTCTCAAATTTATTCTAACCGATTAACATCCTGCTGGGGGCCTGACTGCAAGTCTTTCTCTGTTTTTGACAATGATATGCAGCCAGGTACTGTGGTCATGCTTGGTCGCGAGCCAATTAGCCAACACGAGTTCAGCCCCAAAGCCTTAGCTTGATGCATACCCGATTTTTTCTATCTGCAGCTGGATGATCATTCCTGCCTGACAGGCCCTTGCGCAACATTGACCGAATACGAAGACACCGAGCTGCTTAGGTACCGTAGGTACACTCAACCTCAGAGCCAGGCCATGTCCCCGGAAACATCGCATTGCCAATAATCGTTCTACCTAGGTAGTTGCTTTTGTGCCTGACCAAGTACGGTGCAGGGAGTGAGAAATGGGGCATCGGACCATGTGCATGTTAACTGCATCCGGAGGAAAGCAGCTAACTGTTTCAGAAACAATTATATTTGTGATTGTTTGCGTCCCGGCTCCATTCATGCTCTCCTTAATCGGCAACAACTTCCTTCCCTTACGTCGCCATGCTCAAGATCTCCTTCAACACTTGCAAACCGAGGAGGTTCTTCCTGCCTGCAAGGGTATCGCTGAGGGTATTCTCGGCCACCTTCGCGATTTCCTGTTCATCTGTGACTCCTAACCCCGCCAGTGTGCAGGGCAGTTCCAGCAGCGCCACGAACCGGGCCAATGCATCGCCTCGTTTAAGATGGCTAGTATGCGAGCTCGGGGTGCCTCTGCCTTATTTTTAGTGAGCCGCAGCACATGTGGGAGCAGGATACAGCTGGTGATTCCTAGCTTTTCTTCAGTATACTTGGGTAAACGCCATTCGAAGAGAAAATGCCATATTGCCGTGCCGCACGCCTGCAATGCTCCCCCGGTAATCATATTAGTCCTGATCATTGGAATAAACTTGTTCAGCGGTGGCATTACCAGTTGATGACCAATTGCAGGGCTGGCACCAAAAAGCACTCCCCATTCCATGCAGGGCAACAAGGATCGCGCAGAGTCTTGCTGGTGCTGGCCGATTCCCAAAGGAGTTTCGCCTCATCCATGGTCTCGCGGCCAACTGACTATATAGTAGGATGGGGTGAGTCGTAAACGAGTCTGAATGGCAGCGGACTATGGTCTCCTGTTGCACAGACTGCACTGAAAGCATGCATGGTCGCAATGTTTGAGTAGTCTCATTATCCTTTGACAAAAACAGTGGCAATATCTGCTGTGAGTAAGAATAGTCACTTGGAATATCGGTTTAGAATGTTTTGAAGATGCACGATGCTCTAAGCGATGTCTATCGGCCACTCCATAGACTGCCTTGCTTCATCTCCTGGTCGAATCCCACTTCTGCAGTTCTCTCGGCACACATTTCTAGAATTTCCTAGCCTACAGCGGCATCCATTCACGGGAAGTCCCTTTATAACGCACAATTGGCATCGTATTGCTCAGAATGCAGCATCCATGATTGGCAGAGGGATGGTGCAATCTCGCCCGCCGGCCTCGTTATCCAACGCCACGAGTATACCCGCCAGCGGGCACCGCATTAGGGAAGAATCGTCGGCGACAGGCCCTGGATGGACCCAGTTTTCGCCTAGAAGGCGCCAAATGAGCCCGCGACATTCGGGCTTGGCGACGGGACACGCGGGGTGACGGAATCACGCAAGACAGGCCAGTACCGAGTATAAAACGCGGTCGTTCCCAGTATAATTCCTGCGCTATTATCACTCACTGCTTCCAGACAAAAGCATTCTCTATCTTCCATCTGCAAAGGCATATAGTGCAAAGAGATCCCCAAAGGTTAATGTACCCTTCCTAAAACAAGATGGATCGACTCGGGGCTGATCATTGTGCTCCTAGCACGCATCATGCGCTCGTTCTGGCTCACTTCGGCCCTGCTGCCTCTGGTGGCCGCCGACTGGCAGTTTAAGTCGCGAACGGACCTGGCGCCTCCCCGGCTCAACATCACTATCCCCGCAGCCGCCGATGTCGAACAGGGCTATCTCTTCGTCGCTCCCTTTGCGGGGTTTTCCGACAAGGCCGGCGAGATGCACGGTCCTCGTCAGGCTGCCCCGTACATCTTCCGCGACGATGGGGAGTTGGTCTGGTCCGGATATGGGTACTATTCCATCTGGGCCACCAACTTCCAGGCGGCCCGCTGGAAGGGTAAGGACATCCTGTTCTGCTTTGAGGGTGACCACAACGCCGGCTATGGCCACGGCCACGGCCATACCACCATCATGGACCAGCATTATGAGACCATTCGGGAGCTCCGGGCTGGGAACCACAAGCTGACTGACAAGCACGAGTTCCATATCATCAATGAGGAGACTACAGTCATTCAGATCTACCAGCCCGTCCCAATGGATCTGACCCCCTGGGGTGTCAGCCCTGAGCAGCAATGGATCGTCGATGCTATGTTCCAAGGTACGCTGCGCACCAATAGCATTTACGGAATCCACGCTGACCTGTGCAGAACTTGACATCGAAACTGGTGAGCTCCTCTTCGAGTGGTCCAGTCTGGACCATGTGCTTCCTGACGGTATGTACCCCAACGCTTCCACCCAGACGTGCGCGAATCTAACAGTAGCAGAGGCGGTCCTCCCCATCAACCCAGGCCAGGCTGGTTCAGGCTTCAACTCGTCGGACGCTTGGGATTACTTTCACATTAATTCGGTTGATAAGGACGCTGAAGGGAACTACTTGATCTCCGCGCGTGATGCGTGCGCTGTCCACAAGATCAACGGATCAACTGGCGAGATCATCTGGCGTCTAGGTGGGTTAAAGTCAGACTTTGAACTTGGGTCCAACGTCAAATTCTGCTTCCAGCACCATGCTCGGTTCGTCTCCAAGGACGGCAGCAAGGAGGTCATCTCGCTGTACGACAACTCTGCCCACGGCACAGAGGACGGACGCGGTCACGAAGTCCACACCAATGCCATCTCCCAGGGGAAGATCATTGAAGTGGACACTGCAACCTGGAAGGCATCCATCGTTCAAGCCTTCCAGCCCCCGGATGACCTCCTGTCCAAGTCCCAGGGAAGCACACAGCTGCTTCCCAACGGCAACGTGATGGTGAACTGGGGCTCGGAGGGCGCGCTCACGGAGTTCCGTCCGGACGGCACCCCGATCTTCCACACCTACATGGACTCGGGTCTCCTCGGTGAGGGTGTCGAAAATTACCGCGGCTTCCGTTACAACTGGACGGGCCTGCCGAACGAGACTCCGGCCATTGTGTCTCTCGAAAATGATGAGGGTACCACCGTCTATGTCTCCTGGAACGGAGACACCGAGACCAAGGTGTGGCGTTTCTTCAACGTCGTTGACGAGTACGGTTCGCGCGAGTTCTTGGGCGAGACGGAGCGCACTGGCTTCGAGACTGCTTTTCCGATCAAAGGCCCCAGGGTGCAATCCGTTGCCGCCGAAGCTATCGGTGCTACTGGTCGTGTCTTGACTTCAACTGCCGTTGCGAAGACTCGGGCAGAGGTTCTTCCCCCTCACTCTGCCTCACATTCCGGCTTGTCGTCTCTCTTGCGGGACGAGTTGGCGTCGCAGTTCAAGCTCGACGATGACAGCCGCTGGGCAGAGTACATGATCCTGAAGATCGACCGTTTCTCGAGGGAGTAATGACGTCTCCTAGGTCGTAGGCTGTTCGGCCGACTTGGCTTTGCCCTTGTTAGTCTAGCTGAGTGTTGGTAGTCGATAAATCAGAATGGATTGTTTTCTATCTGGTGTACACTATATCCCGTAAACCCGAAATATCTATCACTTCCCCAACCCAACCAGGGAGTGTAGCTGAAATCATATGCATTCGCGTACCCGCGGTTCAAACAAGCAGCTGAGAGGCTTACTCAGGAAGATGGCAGGATCGAACCTTAGTATTTGTGCACGGGTTGCGGATCCTGTTGGATGTTCCCCGGGTTGTAGTAGGGGCTGTCTGTCTCTTTGCTCTGGAGATGGTACGCACCTCGGACCATTTTCTCGTTGACTCGCTCGAGCGTGTCGTGTGGTATCACGTTTTCCACCGCGACGAGGCCGTCACGAGAGAGGCTGCGGATGGAATTTTCTAGATTCTGGGTACTGAGTTGGCGTTCCCTGCTCTCTGCTTGGATGGGGATACCACTGTGGGGTATGAAGACAACCCCCGATGTTGGATAGAGAAACGGCTAGCCAGGCAGGAAGGTCGAAGTCTCCTTGCTATGGGAGGGGTTCGTAACATGTTGACGATTCAATATCAGTAGCTTGGGTGTGGTTGAATGCAAGGATTCCCTTCTAGAAGAAATATAGTTCACCTTATAAACATGCCAATTCGAACTGGTTATGTTCGGGGGTGCTCCAATCTCCAGTTCCCTGGCATTGCGGGTATTTGGAGCCCGGAGAAATTTGGGTTCCTGTATGGAGTACAACCACTAGAGCATCACAATCCCAGCTGCCAGCATGGATATCAGATAGGAAGATGTATGCATATACTTGGTGGTTACTCCGTGTTGGGTGGTGGGGGGGGGTTGGAGGGGTGACCTGTTGAACTAAGAGATGCAGCAAACAGCCATAAGGACCTAAATCTGCCCGAAGAAGACAGCTTGGATACTAGCTAGTTTCTTCATATTTCATTTGGAAAAAGGATTAATTAGATAGCAAAAAGAGAAAGACGAGAGGGAGAAGGGGAGGGAACAAATGTGTGTTGGCTAAAAGTGTACGGGAGCAAAAAGACATGGAGCTGTGGGGAGTCGAACCCCAGACCTCTCGCAGGTCTCATTTAGGTATGCGAAGCGAGCGCTCTACCAACTGAGCTACAACCCCTTTTGGTGTTATGTAATGCTCATATTTTGTGTACTAATACATAGGTTCTTTTTTAGTTGGAGACAATATAGAATCACTCAGTGTGTTGAATTCATTTACACATAAATCAGCTTAGATCAACGACCAAGATGCAGTACGAGTATGAGCCTTATCATGGAATAATTCCCTGTTAATCTCTCCATCTATGCCGCTTCTTGGCATATGGTGTTAATTAACACAGGATACTCAAGCGTTATATATATTATCCATTGGCCAGTGCTCCAAAATAGGTTCTTTTGAATCATACTCTGATTAACCACCACACATAGACTTCGCCAGTCCTTTTGGCTGACACCTCTTGGTTTTTCTCTTCCCCGAAGAAAAAAGGCAAATGAGACCGTAAGCTCGGGATAAACCCTCAACCCCTCAACCAAAACACGAGCTCTGAGTCACCTAATGAGACAAGTATCCTACCCACTGGAGCTGGAATCAAAGGCTACATTCTAGATACACAGCTGATTTCTTACTCATGCCATGTCACAAACCAAATAATCTATTACGCACAATTTCACCACAATGCTTAGAGACGGAGTCGTCGTATCAATATCCAAATCCTACCCCTCACCAACAGACCAAGCCTCAATCATCGAGCGATATAAGACCCTCCGACTGACAGGGCTCAAACAAGACCCCCAATCCTTCTCATCAACATACGACCAGGAGCTCCAGTTTCCACTCGAGAAATGGCTGGCTCGGATGGCCAACCCCGAGGCCCGGACCCTCGTTGCCTTGAAAGCTGGTGTGAACGAGACACCATCAACACCCCAAGACGACATTGCCGCTCTTTTATCAAGAGACTGGGTTGGTACTCTAACGACCATGGGGCCAAAGAGTCTCCAGGCAGATGATTTCCGGAGCACCGCACCATGGACCCTGTTCACCAACCCGCATAGTCATGCGCCAAGCCGAGGCGGGAGCAAAACAGGATGTGTCTACATGCTTGCGGGCATGTTTGTTGTTCAAGAGGAAAGAAGAAATGGACATGGCCGCCGTCTGGTCGAGAAGGCTGTTCAAAACGCCTATAACGAGGCGGAACAAGCACACGCCGACCGGCTGTTCGTGGTTGCCCTCGTCAACCCAGAAAACCAGTCGGCCTGCGCCCTGTACGCGGCATGTGGCTTTGAGATCTGGGATGGCGAGGTAGCTATGGAAGGCGGAGGTGCGATCGAGACGTGCGTGGCGATGGTATTGGAGAAAGGATTGACCAAGGGAGTTTCATGAACAACAAGACTGGGCTGTATGAAAGATAAGTCATGCTGTTAGAGCATAACTTCGGCATTAGCACCCAGATTGCCCTGTGTATGCTTTTATTACCAAATCCTAAACAACCCTGTGCTCACTTTTCATCTATACCACAACAGTCTTAACAGTGTTTCTGTTTGCACCTTCCATCAACCCACGAGTACTATTTACATAGCTGGGAGGGAACCTGCCACTCAGCACACAAGCCTCTCGTGATAAAGAAGATTCTGTGCCGCGCGAGATCAGCTGAACTCCGTATTTAGCATTCCTATATCGAGTCATTACCCCATGCATGCTCTAAGATTGACCAAGGTGGAGGTATGTCGCGACCTGGATGATGCCAGCACTTCCTCTAAAGAGTATGTGCTGGCCAAAACTCCGAGCGCGATAGATAGACAGGGATCGGTTGAATGACACTTCAAAGCCCGTTGCTTTCCAACTGCAGGGGACCAATTTCAAATATTTGATGTCTATTCCGGAGCACCCGTGTAAACCCCGGCAGCCACTAAATTGGAACGATCCGACATGGACGCAGCGCAACGCAATTGGATGGGTCTCTGAACGAATGCATCTAGTGGCCTAGTGCCTTTCAATCATCGACTACTCAGAGTGGCTTCCCCTGCCCCATATAAAAATTCCTATTGCATCTGGTGTTTCTTGGCACGCATACATCGGCCGATGTTTGTCCGCGCAGAAGTCCGCCGCAGGCGAACAAGGATTATGTTCTAGAATCAACGGAATCAAAAACAGCGTGGCAGCCTTGCAGATGCACCAACGCTTAGGGCATGGCACTACTGCAGCTATTAGCATAGCCGAAGGAAACCCACGCAGCCCTGGACTAGCATAAAATCATAAGAGAGGTCACTCTCCCGGGCAGGAGTAGCCCCCTGTATCCATCCTGTCTCTCGAACAAGCGAAATGCATGTGGAAAAGCTGATCCTTACGTTAGGGGTGTTTGACCTGGTGGAGGAGCAGCCATAAGGACTTTCTCCCGTGGGTCATGAACTTTTGCGCGCGACAGAGTCTAGTACACCACGTACAGAGCCAGCCAGACTATACGACTTTCGCCCACATTCCAAGTTCCTCGCAGCCAAATATTCACGGAAATGGTTATTTCCGTGTCGGTGGTGTTCTCGGCCACTTGGGAAAACAGAGTCAAAGCCCTGGATGTAAGCACTGCAAACATGCCACGTTCTGTTTCTGTTCGTGACTCATGCAGTGACGAACAGAGCCTCTGTTTTACCTCCACCATGGTAATCTCGACCACGTCCTGTGAGAATAGCAATTGAAGGATCTCCCTGCGCGCCTGCACCAGGTTATTGACCCGATCACGCCGTTCGAGTACGGTGGGAAAACGTTACCCTGGACTTCTAAATTAATACCGGGAAGTTGGCGCCGCGCAACGTTACTCTAGAGCAGCTCCTCAATATTAGAGGGGGTACATTGTGTTATGATTATTGACAAGAGGACTGCAACTAGAATCTTATGGATCTTATAATTGTGCATGCAGTGTAGAGAAGGGGCTAAAGTATATATGACTGATAGAAGCAATGCATTCGGTCTGGCGTGCAGTCAATCCCTTATCGCATGTCGCAGTATCACCGCCAGGTACTTTTCAGAGCTCTCCACCTGTCCCTCAGGCTACGCTGACTGGAGCTTTCCGTACTAGACGGTTTCTCTGCATCATCGATCGGAAGGCCATCTATAGAGGTTGTGGGCTTATCGGCATTATGAGCTGGGGAATCTAGGCCCGCAGCTGCATCGACCTTGGTATCTTGGGTACTCGGGCAGACCAATGTTGCCTCTGATGTTGTATCATTTGCCGCTTTTTCCTGAGCCATGAGGGCCTCCCGTCGTCGGCGTTCAAGTCCGCGCCGTGCAGCGCCTTCAATACCTCCTTCACCTAACATAGCTGTGCCAGCAGGACCGGGGGCGAGGGCACTCCAATCGAGATTGAGGCCCATCTTGGTGGGTGGAGATGGGAATGCAGACCAAAATGTAGGTATAAACTGGAAGGATAGCAAGATATTTAGTTCGAAATCCAAAAACCAAGTGTGGGATGGGGTCTATAAATACGTGCAACAGGTGGTTGATCGGCGGAAGGTAAGATGGAGACAGATGACATCACATGCAACCAAACATATTCGCAAAAAGCCCAACAACACTGATCATCGTCGTGCGCAGTGTACTCCGTATTTTAGGAATGAGCCTGATTCCAGTTGTTGGTCTGAAGTAGTCCGATGCCCCATGTGGACATCATGAACCCCTCTCTCTCCATCCCTTCCCAACGCTGGGCTTTCCTCCGCCCCGTCAATCTTTGCATAGGGAACGATAATCCAACCGGGATATAAAACACAAGCACCGCCATATACCGTTTGAATTTCCCGACAACTATCTCGAGTATGGGATAGAGTTATGGAGATGGAGATAAGCGCGTGAATTGAATGAGAAGCATTGCATTCATTATATAGATGTTGCGTGGGCCAGTATTGTTTTAGAAACTTCGGGTTCGTTCTAATGTCCATTCTGGGAGATCGTCGTTCAACGAGGTTTCTTGTATTGTCAATAGAGTTATGGAGAATTGGTATGAATTGACAAATAACTCTACAGTGACTATAAAACAGCAGCCCCAACTCCATGTACAGATCTAAGGTATCATGCACTTGAATCAGAAAAAGACAATCATCAATCAGATAACATCATCGCGTCAAAGTAACCCAGCGTCAAAAATCATCCAACATGACACATACCACACTCCACATCAGGACGAACCCACAATCCGCAAATACAGCGAGAACAGACAAGACGCAATGATATAGTAAACCTTGTACGTATGCTCATCATACTCCTTTGAACGCGGCACCCAGACTCTGAGCGCAATCACGATGCAGGTGTACAAGAGCAGGCACGCAGACACAAAGAGCTTGACATAGGTGGCCCCAGAATACTGCCCAAGATCCACCCATCTCAAGCAAATAAATGCCGCGTACAGCATGAACGTCGCGGTGTACCTTCTCAACTTGAGGCGTGCGTCTGCGGAGAGGATGACTGGAAGCGTTCGACGACCGGCCTTGCGGTCACCGTCCACGTCATGGAACTCTTGGAGTTGGCAAGTGAGAAAGACCCAAACTGCGAATAAAGCGTCAAAGCCATGCCAGATGCTCGCATTGGAGACGTGGTTGCAGATAATCAGATCGATCCAGCGATACATCATGTATGTTCCTACGCCAGCGAAGGCATTCCGGAAGAAAGGGTGGTTGATCCTCGGCCATACATAGCAGAAGAGGGTCCAAAGCTCCCAGAGGAAGAGCAGATGGGATGCTTCTCGACCGGTAACTGCAGATATCACTGGAAATGACAATAGCCAGGAGAGTATGAGGCGTATTCTGGCCCCACGCATGGTAAGGAGACCAGCGGGAATGGGGCGATGAGGTTTGTTCAGAGCATCTTCTTCCACCGAGGTAACTTGGTTGAGGATGTCGAAGACGTATGCGAAGATGAAAGAGTCAAACAGCGATTCGGTAATGATGGCCAGGGTGGTAAGGATAGGTTGCGGGTTGGCTATCAGACGAGCAAACACACCAACCATCCAGACGGCAAGCGATGCACCGGCATTTGACTTTAACATGCGACTGGTGATGAGGAGTTCATGACACAGCCAGAGGTAGCAGGCAGAGATAAAGCGTTCGACTCTACAAAGATAATGCTGTTAGAACGTATGATCCAAATTGAGGGTTGTGCCTTACCTTGAGTCTTTCTTGTCCGGGACATTGAGCGGATCGCCATGTAGCAGGGCCATGATGGCTTGGTTATCTATTTCGTGAAGGATAGATACGCAGATACACGATGAGGAGAGAGAAGAAGACATTAAAGGAAACAGGTACATGTGAGGCTTTTTTATTGCTCAATATTGCCACTGCAGGTATGTCTTGGATATGCCGTATGTTCGCTCAATAACATGACGATTGTGATGGAAACATCCGTCTCGAGGAATATGTGAAGATGGTGGCTACGACAGCCTGTGCTTCAGGGCGATCTCTACAACTTGATGCTCTGTACTGCATATTAGAGGGATTTGCCGCGTATGGTGAATAGTGTGCCTACAGGCCATTAGAAACATACGTACCATAGTTAGTGCTTTATTCTCGCATATGCACCCTGCAAAAAGACATATGGCCGAACCGGAGGTTTTTCAATCACATATGTAAGGTCAAGTAGGTACCAACGGTCCTTTTCAATATCTCCCAATGGACTGGTGGCCCTACAGTATAGGTGGAGTTGTAGAGGTGTGGAGATACTGGAACAACGACTTCGTGGCAACGCACTACGCCTAATGAGGCAGCTAAGTACGTCAGACAGGAAGTCTGACGGGTTCTTAGAGTGCACCGGGCTTTGGCTAGTGGAACTATGCCGCGGGATCTGCCGGAATACAGGCATATAAAACCCCTGCTATATGGAGTGTACTTTCTCTGGAAGAGATCGAGGCCCTGGTCTGACAGGGCAATCGGCTTCTCATACCCAACTAGGAACAGTGTCCGAAACCCTGAATAACGTGGATATGGCACATGGTAGCATTTTTCGATCTTGAACACTTGGTCATGTTCCTGTTGTGTTAGGTAGGGTCTACTCCGGACATTTAGTATATTGATGATATTGATGGGAGCTTGTTAAGCTTGGCCATCACACTCCGAGGGGTTATGGGGGCCATTTAGATGTAGTCCTTCCGACATCGAAGCCTGATTCAAGATATGCAACGATGTTTCGAACGCCGAAATCATGCAAGGCAACCCCTTTGGGCGGGCTGCAGCTGAATGGGTCCAAAGGATCCCCCGGCCGGGTCCCAAGGACCAAAGTGCTGTCACCGGTGACCGCCCCTTGGGAGCTTCCGAAGTTCCCCCGGGAGGGGATGCTGACAGCCCGGAGGGTTGGTTGACACCGATCAAAGATAAGAAAAGGAATTCAAAAATTGGGTGGTATCCTAAAGTTACTGTCATCGGAGGAGCTAGAATTGTAGAGAAAATCTCTCGCTTAAATTTCCCTTCTTATTCTACACAGCCGAGGTCGTTGAATCGTCTGATGTGATGATTTCCATTGTCAAACGGTGTGTCTGGGACCTGTTTAAGCGTGACCCGGGGCTCGGGATTCGGACTCCACAAGCTTCCTTCGTATTCGTACGGATTACCAATCCCGATAGAAATGGCTGCATTCTAGAGAGCCAGTCTCAGATCCGGATGGTACAGGAATGAGTTTCTATGAGGACTCGAATATTTTCGACATTGCCCAACGCACATGGGGCTTCCAGCTATCGTCCAGGGACTGCCAGATGTCACGCATGACCGCAGCACCCCATCCATCTAGACACCAGTGGCCCCGCTCGAGGTGAAGAAAGACACAGTAATGCGCGAGGATCACCAGTGCTAGTGGTTCGTGGGTCTGCAGATCTTTCAATACTTCCTTGGACAGGCGAATCGCCCACCCGACCGCCAGGGTGAGTGTGGGGTGCCCGGAGAAAACAGTATATGATAGCACTCGAAGCTCACCAATTGCCTTCTGATACGCCTCTCTAGTGTCCGTTAAACTGTCAGACTGGCAGTGTAGGTTCAGGGCGTCAAGAGTGTCCAGTGCATGGGCCACGTCATCCGGCACAGCGACATCAGGGTGCTTGAAGTTGAAGATCGGAGCAAGATTGCTCTCTTGTATCCACTCGCTGGCAACTTTGCTGATATGGATCACTCCTCGAGCGAGAAGGAGCACCCTGAGTAACTCTTCCAGAGACGTCGTATGGATTTCGAGGCCCTGATCTTGCGGTGAAGCGGTGACCGAGTATCCAAAAGCAAACGCTACAACGATGGATGAAAATACAAACATGGCTTTCGCGTTTGCGGGAGTAATCTGGAGGACTTGCTCGCGGAAAGAGGACAACCCAGGGTCTTGGTGGGCTACCGATAAACTCAGATAAGCGGCTCGATTGTCTGGCCTGAGCCGTGCGAGGTGAAGGGCCGACAATGACAGGATCCCGTGCATGAGAAACGGCCACGCAACGGCCTCTTCCATCACATACTGCGACCAGACTGGGTCGGTTTCCTCATTGCGAGAGAGAGACTTGTATGCCACATGGCACCAGTGTGCCACGAGCTCCAATTGGGTCATGTTAAGCTCCGTGGTGAGCCCGGTGGCGTGATGCGCTGATCCCAGCTTTTCAAATGCCGAGAAGGGATTTTCCTCACTTAAAGAAGACGGACTTGGATGCGATTTCTTGTTGTTTTTGGGACGTTCCTTTCCCCATTCCAAGAAAGAAGGAGCTGGGTAGCTGCAGCATTCTTCGCGTTTTTGACAATTGGAGCATTCTGGTCGCACCTCGTCACACTGATGATTCAGTCGGGGGTCTTGTATGGACGATCTCCAGGCCGAGACCATGTATCTAGGAAACATACCTTGACGCGTCGGCGTTTACACTCATGACAGCCCCCGCGCGACTTGCGATGGGTCCGCCGTCGAGACATTGTCGGATATTCATGCGTGGGACGGTTGAAAGGAAATATCGTGGACTTGAAGACGATTCAAAAGTACATTTTGAGGGGCAGGAGAATGGTGGCTGACTCAGGGAAGCCTGTATTGCGCCACGTTTAACTGTTGCAAGCTTAAATCGGCGGGTCTCGCGGGGCTTAAAACTTACTAAAGTGGATGCCTGTTTTGGTGCAACCTGTTCATCCGCCAATCTACTCTCAGATATATCCCCAACAACAGGACCTATTTCAGAGTCTTAACGCTCGATCCCATGATGAGACTCCGGGTTCCGGTCAGTCTGGGCGGGGCCGAGACACCCAGCTTCTCCCCCTGACAACAGAGGCTGCTGCTCGGCAGACGAATCTGCCGGGGACCAGCAAGAACACGGATGTGGAATTTATGTCTCTCCTCAACGAGTAGGTCAGAGCATCAGCCTTGGTTAAGCCGATGACTCCATGCTTAGCCGCTGTATATGAGACAACCCGGACATTTAGTGATGTGACGATGACCCCGTACATGGACGCAACATTAACAATGACACCGCGGTTGAATCGGGGAGAGTTGCCAGACTTAGTAGTGGATACATGGGGGTATAAGCGGAGTTGATACGCTCCCAGTTTCTCCTGCTTCTGCATCGCTTGCAGCTGCGTCCGACTGCCCACCATACACCGTTAAGATTGCTGTCGATCATCTTGTTCCAGTTTGGATATCGTGCTCGGCTGATTGGATAGCGGATCCGCTGATTCCGGGGTTGTTGACCGCGTAGTCGATACGGGCGAATGCATCTAGGTACCTTTTGAGTAATTAAATAGTTGGTAGAGACATGGTACGTCACGTTGATATTCAGTGGTATGGCCTGCGGCCCTTGGAATTGCGAGTTCAGAGCTTTGGCCGCCGACTCGGCAGCGGAGACGTTCGTGTTTGCGATAGCAAGCTGGCGCACCCCATGTCATACGAATGAAAGGGTAGCTGCCTTTCCGATGCCTGGAGTATGTTCAGTTTGCCTGGAACCGGTGTTTCAACGGTCAAGAGCATGAGGCCATACCGGATACGGCACCGGTGATGAAGCCTACTCCTCGTAGTAAAATCTGCATTGTGATAGAGCATACGCTAAGTAAAACGGATCTCTAGTAGAAGAGTGAAGATATACACCAACGGACCGAATGAAAAATGCCCAACTTAAGACCGTCAAGGCGAGAGGAGCCCTGACCTCTGGTTACCAATAGCCGCCACTGGCGAAGAGAACGACAAGTGCCATAGTCAAAGCGGAAAGAGTCCGAGGAGTGTCCACCCCGTCCACGTCACCCAGGCATGAAAGCTTGCTTGAAGGTGTCTGATATCATGTGCCATTGACTGTACTAGCTAGTGCATGTCGCTGTGTCTGGAATGCAGTCGTCGTCTTTGCAGTGTCGCAGCCGGTGCCACCACATTAAGCATTGACTACGGCGAGTATCTGCCAGACGGGGTAGCCAAAACATTGCAAGAGCTATGCAGGGGAAACAGAAGAGTACGAGTGATGAATTGGTCCCATAGTGCCGCATTTAACAATAAGAACGCTGCAAGATATCCACATAAGTACTATTTAACTACCTGATATACGAAACCCATGATATCTAGTCCACCCTCCACTCACCATCATTAGGTACTTGCAGAGATCGACACCATCGCAAAGCCTTTAAAGTAGCGCTGTGCCTCGCCGCCATACGCGAAAGAAATGCGACCAGTTCGGGTTCTGATCGAAGGTGAAGGTATAATATGCGATGGAATATAGCAGGCGATTCCCAGACACGTGTTCTCATACCCTCTTCCGCAATAAGTCCGGGTTCCTATCGAACAGCGTCAACTCCACGAGCTGGCTCCAGCATGCGCTCCATTTGGCATGTACATCCAAAGCAACGAGGAAGCTGCAAGGTAGCTATAGAGAAGAGATATACACTGAAAGCGCAACGCAATGGAATTGTATAATCTAGTTTACCGATCTAACTACAGACGAGCCCTTGAAGCTTCGACTTCCTGCTTAGCCCACTGCTTCAGAACGCCTCTTTGGATCTTTCCGCTCGCGAGGCGTGGGATGTCGTCGACCAGCTTAACACCGCCGACAAGCTGCTTATGCTTTGCAACACGCTCCTTCATGTAGGCTTGTATATTGTCCACGGTCAATTGGCGGCCCTCCTTCAACCGGACGTAAGCCCGGGGTCTCTCTTCGCCCTCTGCAACTTGAACACCTATCACACCGGCGTCTTCAACCGCATCGTGCTCTAACAATACGGCCTCCAGCTCAGCAGGTGCTACCTGAAGTGCGTTGACCTTGATGAGCTCCTTCTTCCGATCAACAATCCAGAACCAATTGTCCTTGGCAACGGCGACATCGCCGGTTTTTAGCCATCCATCCCAGTCCAGGCTCTCCGCAGTGGCCTTCTCATTGCGCCAGTATCGCAGACAGACATTCGGTCCGCGGACATACATCTCGCCAGGATGCCCTGGCTCGACAATAAGACCATCGTCGCCGATAAGTCTGCACTCACAGTTTGGGATAAGCATGCCCACACTACCTGTTTCGTCCATCATTCCACCAGGAACGAGAATAGCACCACACGTCACCTCAGTCATACCCCACCCCTGCACCACGCGAACCTTGAAGCGCTCCTGGATGTTGTTTTGCAGCTCTCTGGAAAGCGGCGCCGCGCCGCAAAGAATATTCCGTACGCTGCTGAGGTCGTATGTTGACGTTTCGGGGCGTTTATCGAGCATGATGAGAATCGGAGGAGCAACCTGGAGGTGGGCGATGCGATATTGCTGGATGGTGCGGAGGAAGTCTTCAAAGACGAACTTGCGCATAATGTAGATCGGGAAGCCGAGCTTGGGCGCCATGAGACATGCGTAGAGCTGGCCTTGACCTGTAATTAGAGGAGAACCATTAAGCCTGGGCTAGGCTCTGTAGATCACATACCATAAGCATGATACAGAGGCAGGAAACCCACCCAGCGCTCTTCCGGACGAGGCGCATCCACGGCTGCGTAGGACGTTGCCTGGTCTCGTATAAAAATCGTCTGCTCGACGTTGGCGATCAGATTGCGGTGCGAGATGCACACTCCCTTTGGTAGGCCCGTGGTTCCAGAGGAATAATTGATCGTCGCAACAGCGCTTTGCGCCGTGTCCGCCATCTCGTCCCATTTCCACGACGCGCCCTCCTCCTCGGTGCCGATCATAGTGCGCCAATCGTGCACACCGTGTAGTGGGCCAATTGGCGCCTCGTCGGTGAACAGGAAAATGCGGTCCTTGCTGAGCCCAGCGCGTCGAGAAGCCTCGATTGCATTGTCGATCAAGCTGGGATGAGCGAGCAGCAACTTCGCATCGGTGTTTCTGATCTGATACTCCAGCTCCGATGGTGTATACGCTGGGTTTGCGCCGCTAAAGATGCGCCCCGCGCCTACGATGCCCTGGTAGGCGATTGGAACGAAGAGATGGTTCGGTGTGAGGATGAGGACGACCTCGCCTTTCTGGATGCGCAGTCTGTCCAGACCGAAACCGAGTCGGCGCACCCACGATAGCATCTGTCGCGGGGACAGACAATGTGCGGGATTTTCAGCATCGATCCAGATGGGCTTGTCGGAGAGGGGCTCATTGGAGGGGTAGATATACGAGAGGATGTTCGTCGAAGGTATATTCAACGGGGGGAAGACGGACTTGTATGACATGCTGGCGGTGGAAGAAAATTAGAGATAGACACTTCACCCTCGCTACTCTATAATTTTCTTCAAGTTACTTTTCTCCTGACATGTTTTTGTAGCTCGCTGTCATTTTCGATCTACCCCTGAAGCTCCTGCGGGGGACTCGGATAATGATATGCTCTACCTCGGTCGAGGCCGGCCTGCAACTTGACTGGAGCTCGGCCATACAAGAGAGCTTCATCAAATTTATCTTTTTAGTTCTTTCACTTGATAGATGAAGTCATGTCTGATCTCGCAGATTTCCCCAATTCTTTCAATTTGAACGGAAAGGCCGCACTGGTGACGGGAGGTATAGTATTCCCCCTCCCGTGAAGATTGCACGAATGCAGCTAACTCGTGCCGATGCTACCAGAATTCGGGGGGCCTCGGTCTACACGCTGCTACCGCTTTTTTGAGAGCGGGAGCTAAGATCGTGTTTATCACTGCGCGCAAGCAAACTGGGGTCGATGAGGCCGTCAACGAGCTGAACAAACTGCCCGGCATCAGTGTAAGGGCCATTGGCATCGCCGCCAACGTCGCCAACACGGAGGCCATCCAGCGTCTGGTCGATCAGGTGAAGCAGTACGAATCCAAGCTGGATATCCTGGTTGCCAATGCGGGCGCCACATGGGGAGGACCGTTTGAGCCGACACCGGATTGGGCGTCGCAGAAGGTGCTCGACTTGAATGTTCGCGGCTTGTTCAATCTTGCTATGGATGAGTAGCCTGGACCCCCTGAGCTATCGCCGTAACAAGCTAATACACCATCGATCCAACTGCCAGGTGGCCTGTAGGGCCGCGTCGCCTCGGGTAACCATTCCCGCGTCGAGTGAGGGGCACCAATATAGACGGACAGACTATCACCAGCTATTTATTTACTTCCTCCACACACCGCTACTCCACACTCAGTCAACCCACAATGACGAAGAGCAGTGCCTCCAACAACCACGCCCTGGTATTCGGTGCCTCCGGCATCACAGGGTGGGCGATCGTGAACGCCATCCTGAACGGATACCCCTCACCCGATGCATTCAGCAAAGTCACCGCATTGACGAACCGCCCACTCTCAGCCGAACAGGCGCTATGGCCCTCATCGAGCAAGTTGCAGCTGGTGTCCGGGATAGACCTACAGAGCGACCCTGAAACACTCCAGCGCGAGCTGCGGACGCACGTGAAAGACATCGAGACCGTGTCGACGGTGTATTTCTTCGCATATATCATGGACATGGCGCCCGCGAACGAGATTGAGATCAACGTGCGCATCCTGGGCATCGCCATGACCGCTATCGAAAAGCTGAGCCCAAATCTGCGGTTCGTCGCGCTGCCGACGGGCACGAAACGGTACGGCGTGCATCTGGTCGACGAGTTCCCGTGGAAGAACGACCTCCCCTTGCGGGAGACGCTGCCGCGAATCCCCGAGCCGCACGCCTCGCAAGTGTTCTACTACAATCAGATTGACTTGTTGAAGAGCATGTCGGAGGGCAAACCATGGACCTACTGCACGGTCATGCCGGATGTGATCGTCGGGTTCGTGCCCAACAACAATGTCTACTGTCTCGCGCAGTGGCTGGCGATCTACCTCAGTCTCTACCGCGAGATCAACGGCGAGGGCGCGGAGGTGGTCTTCCCGGGGACAATGGAAAGTTGGACGATCAAGAGCAACGATAGCAGCCAGGATATTATCGCGCGGTTTACGATCTATGCCAGTTTGCATCCCGAGGTCAGCGGCGGCCAGGATTTCAACGCGGCGGATCATTCGCAGCCGTCCAGCTGGTCTGCGAAATGGGCGATTATCTGCGACTACTTCGGGTTGAAAGGCGTGGCGCCGGTAAAGGGCCCTGGGCCAGACCCTGCGCGGTACATCACGGAGAACCAGGCGAAATGGGGGGAGATGGAGTCGAAGTATGGACTGCGCGAAGGTCACGTTGGAAAGAATGAGCGCAGCTTCCAGTTCTTTCCGTACTTCATCATGACGATGCTCAGCTTCGACCGGCAATTGGACATGACGAAGATGCACGCCGCCTGGGGCGATGCAAAGGAGGAGTTGACTACCCTGCAGGCGTGGTATACGGCGTTTGATCGATTCCGCGAAGCCCAAATCATTCCCTAGGCTCCACCTACTGCAGTATCTAGGGAGCGTGTAAATGGCATGAACCAATTCAGCAATTGTCTAGTACAGTAGTAACTACAGATTAACCTGGATGGTACCAAAATCGAGATACTTCCATGTACCGGATATACATCCATGGCGGTGGATGGGCGATGGGCAGCGTATCTTATCATCTCGCACCACAGTACGAATGTCCCTTGCGCTGGGCGACAACCACAGGGCGCTTCATCCTTTCTGCGTGGTTGACTCTGATTCCTGGCATATTCCTTGGGCAGTGCATGGCTACGGGCGAGTGTATGGGGCAAGCGGAGTCCATTTTAAGTGCATTAAATACAATATTTTCGAATCATGATAGTGAAGAGAACATATCGTCAAAAGAAAATCGTGCCGATCGTTCACGCAGTTCCCAGAACCTTTTTGAACGTTGCCTCAGTATGCTCCCATACCTTCCGGGCAAAATCCTTCTGTCGGTATTCATTCATGACCTTCTCATTTGTCGCGTTTGCGCCATCATAGTTCAATATGTAGGAGCCACCACCTACTTTGCCGTTCGAAGCCATACTCGTCTGGACGCCATCCGGTAGGGGCACGCCAATCTTGGATGGATCTGAAGGCGTAGCAGGTGGATATGCGGCCGACGTCGAGATGAAGAGGTTGCGCTCGCCACTCTCCTGCTCTGAGATCGAGAACGGCCGGGACAGGAAACCGAGAATCGATCCTGCGAACGATCCGACGGTGCTATTCATCAGTGGCGTGCGAACGATGCCGGGGAAGACGTGCGCGAAGCTAATAGTCGGATATTGCGAGGCAAGGTGTTCGATCGCCAGGGAGTTCATCGTTGCAGCATAAGTTACTGACTTGAAGAAGGACCATGACTTTTGGAGATCGAGATTATCCTCACTGATCTGCCCTTCCTGTCCAGCTCCAAGCACAGTGACCACTCTTCCTGGAGTTTTGGATGCGCTGAGTAACGGGAGGAGATTATGGACGAATCGCATGCGTGAGTAGTAACGCAGGGCATGATTATTCTCGAGGCCTTCCGTAGTGTCTATAAGGGTCCGACTGTCAGTACGTAGCCACGCAGATGATCGCACGGAGCTGATACACTACCTTTCTTCGAGGTCGCAAGGTGTCCAGTCGTCATGAACAGCAGATCAATGCTCTCCTCCTTGTTCTTAATTACGGCGCACACGTCGTCCACATTTCGGAGCAAGGACAGGTCGGACTGGATGAAGTTGAAGGAGCCGTTCGGGTTGGCTGCTTTGAGCTCTTCCACGATGCGCGATCCTGCGGCCGGATTGCGGCCCACCAGATGGATGGTCGGCTGTTTGACGGAGTTGGCTAACTGCTTCGCGGTGTATTCGCCGATTCCGCTCGTGCCTCCGACGAATACAGCGACAAAGTGAGGGTTGCGCGAGTTAAGGGCGGAGTTGGAGCTCCGCACTTGAGTGAGGCCGACCATACTCGGTTTCGCGGGGGAGAAAGTGTGTATAAGCAATCCGGGATGATGAAGATATTTGTGATTTACAACGGCACTCCCAGGACGTTGACGTAGGATCAGGAGGTTAAATACTGTGCGACCGGGAGTCCGTAAGCTGACAAAAGGACGAAAACATCCGATCGATCTGTCCCCGCGGAATGCGCGGATGATGTCATCCATCTCGACATGGTCGATCTCTACGAAGTACACTCTGCACCGTACACTTTATGTCCATTGCGATGATCTCAGCATTCGATATGTATGCAAACTAAATACAAAACTTTTAGGCTGAAAAGAAAATATCAAAAATACCACCCTCTCGGCACCATTTTTCTTGAAAACACATCTCGGAGAGGAGTAAATAACCCCAGATTAACAAGACAAAGAATCAGATGAGTCACGATAAGGTCGCAGTGGGCTGATGCGCCCTGTGAGCATCCTATAACAGTGTAAGTCTCTTCCTGGCAGTGTCTACAGATAACCACATACGTGTTGATGGTACAGGAACTTAGCTTTCTTTGTCCAAGTGCTTTCGAAGATCATCGCACAGCACTCTTGCGTTTCGGTAACCCGCAATCCAGCATTTCCGTATAACCTCACCGAGCCAAACATTGATAAGACCATGACTCCCAAATTCCCACTCGAGTGGATTCACTATATCATAAATGATACTGCCGAACTGTGCCATGTCTGTATAAATGGAGCGGCCCTCATCGCCGGTAGTCTTTTCCATGTTGGTACCAGGGTTAAGTAATATCGCGTCTGAGAAGCCACAAAAATGGATGGCTAAGTTAGAATCCACGAGAAGGTTTTGTGTCGTTATGTTGGTGTGAATGATGCACTTGTCATGAATCGTTGCCAAGGCAGACGCTATCTGGAGAAACCACCGGCGTTGAATGACTCTCGGGGGTCTATGGGACACCAAATAGTCGAATAGGCTCCCCTTGCTCATATAACCAAGGGTTATGCTGGTGTCCCATGAGCTTCCATGATATGATACCATCCCTTCACATCCCGTCAGGCGTTTATAAGCCTCTATCTCCGTGTGAATACTGGGATCACAGCGTTTCGAGGCCTCCTCTGTGCTTCGTACTCTGATCTTGATAGCATAGTTGCCACGGCGCACAACTAGCCCATTGGAACCCTTGCTGAGAATTTGGTCACCCTGTTTCAGCTGATCGGTGGGAATCGCGCTGCGAAGGGTTGCATAAGTAGCGCCATCGACGAGGTAACTAAGACAATCCATATCTTGAGGAAGCTGAAAATTTTAGTGGAGAAATGACTTGTTGGTGGTGATTATATCTGAGGATGCAGTGATCTGGACCAGTAGATCCGGACTGGGAGTACTGGATATGGCGAACGACACAGAACGTGGGATACGAAGAAACTGATGCCAACTTCGAATCAAGAGAAGCTAATTGACCCCAGGAGGAATTGGTGGTATGAAGGTGATGCAGAAGTGAAAGGGCGGTGGAGGCCAATGACTCGTAAAGGAATCACTTCTCGATGGGTTGGTTGACAGTGTATTGTGGGATGGACAGTCTGATGAGTTGGAAGAGATGGCTCTGTGTCCGGAATTTGAGGATTGTAGGCGCGTCAAGAACTTGCTCACTTCGCTTAGTGGCCGCCGCTGACCAACCTCATTGATCCCAACGAGACGAGACGGTTTTTGTGGTTGTGAAGAAGGGCCAGTAGGTTTTCCCAGGAGCGTGGCGGTCTGTTTATGAAGAAGATATTAGTTCCCTGAAGCCAGCGTGTAAGACGTTGGGAGTGTTGGATAGCTACCTCCTAGAAAGGAATCTTTGTTGCTTGTGCGAACTGCTGTGCCGTATGGAGCTGTTTTGGTCAGGTTAGGTGGCCTGCCTCACTAAGATAGTTAGACAAGACGAAAGGAAACTTACCTATTAATGGAATGTTGACGCCGATTTGACCAACGTTGACACGGCGCTGGAAAGTGTTGGCATGTTTTCCACTCGTGGTAAAGATTGAACACGCATTGCCATCTGACATCCTGTGAGTATGGACGCTTGGAATTGGAAGAGCGCACATACATTTGTTTTGGTTGATCAGGTCTATAGCTTCATCTAATGTTTCCACTTCCATGCAGATCAGAACCGGTCCGAAGATCTCGGTTTGATAGCATTCCATGTACGTTTCCACACCAGTAAGGATGGTAGGTCCAACAAAATTCCCATCAGGATAGTCAGGCACTTTGACATCCCGCCCGTCAAGAAGCACCGTGGCCCTTTCTTCTATGGCTCGCTGGATGGCACCGCAGACTTTGTTCTTCGCTGATGCATCTATCAAGGGCCCGACCTTCGACTCCTGATCACCTCCACAACCGACAACCATGGACTGCGCAAGTTCAACCAGCTTAGGTATCCATTCGCGTGTGCTACCCACGAAGACAGCAACACTGAGTGCCATGCATCGCTGGCCAGCGGCACCGAATGCGCTTCCCGCAATTGCAAACAGGGTGGACATCATGTTCGAATCTTCCAGGATGACGCCGTGGTTCTTGCCCCCGCATTCCGCTTGGATACGCTTTCCTGCCCTACGGGCAACATCGTGAACTTCTTTCGCAGCAGCCTCGGACCCGACGAAGCTGACTGCTTGGACATCGGGTTGTGTTATGAGCGAGTGCACCACGGAAGGGCCGCCATGTAGGATGTTAAAAACCCCTGGTGGAAATCCCGTCTTGATAAAGGCCTTTGCTAACAGAGAGGAGGTCGTTGGGGTCTTTTCTGATGGCTTCAGGACTACTGTGTTTCCAGTGATGAGAGCGTATGGTATCGACCATAACGGGATCATGAATGGAAAAGAAAATGGAGAGATTGTGACACAAACACCCTGCGAAGAATAGTGTTAAAGAAATCATTCTCAGTGAAGTAGTGGGTGTGCACACCAGTGGCTCATATAAGGTCTGCAATAAGGTCGCGTCCCCTCCCAGATACATTCCTGCCATCTCGGGTCCAATGGAACAGGCGGCATGGATGCAATCCAGGCCACGAAAAACCTCCGCGTCTGCATCCGCTAAGGTCTTTCCGACTTCTCGTGAAAGACACGTAACCTAAGGACCAAACGGTCAGTTGGGAGGACGGACGGTGGAGAATGGATGGAGTGGTTCTGACAATCGCTGGGGACATCTCTCGCAAGATATCAATCAGTCGGAGCAGGTATTCTCTCCGCTTCTGGAAGCCCAGCGACGCCCATTCGGGATGGGCATCCTGCGCCGCTGCGACGGCGCTCTGTATCTCAGAAAGGGTACTACTCGGTACACGACAAAGGAGACCTTGCGAGACCTTTCTTCGGAGTCAGTGGGACATTCTTCCAGGAGCCACAGATATAAGTACCGGATCCAGCACACTAGTCCAGTCCTTCGCCTTTGACATCACATGGGTGTTGTTTATGAACAGATGGGTGACCGTGGGACGGGCATCAGGTTCTCCTGAATCTTCGTCGGTGACCGTCTCGACACTTTCCTCCCTCTCTCGGGATATGCTTGCGCGAACTGATCGTCCGTTCTGGATATCCTAGAACAAGTTAGCCATTAACTGCATCTTGATTTTATGCAGATTATTCCGTCGAATTCGTACCTCGGACCAACGGCGCGTGCGTTCATCTGACACCAGTGCCTCACTGCCCTTGGGCGATAAGCTCGAGTAGGGCGTGAATCTGGCTCGGCGCGATGGCACGGGTGCCCTACCTACGGGCGGCATGTCAACAGGTCGGATATCAAGATCAGTGATAGAACCCTGAGACGTGGTATCTGATAAAAAGGAGACCTCCGGGCTTTATCAGAGCCCCGTGGGCGTTCAAGCAGCGGCTGATAAGCAATCGCTCTACGTAAAGACACCCTGATAAGGCGAGCGATTCTATACTGTCATTGGCCAGAAACAATAGGTACCGTGCGGGGTAGCAGTTATGTCATCAGTGATGCGGAGTTGTTTTCTGTCTGTTTATTTTCGGATCGTTATTGTCGTTCCCTCCTGGAGAACTATTTCTCGGGTCATTGAACTATATGGAGCAAAGCCTATCAAATTATCGCTGATGATAAACTAGGTATACTTCGTAAAGGGCATGTTTTGTCTTTCAGGAGTTTCTATTGGGGAGTTATCGTAATAAAATAACGTAGCGTCAAAGTTCACAAATGACGTCCACGAGGCCTTAACCTTGAACCATGTGTTTCTTGATAGTCTCCGATCAGATAAGATTTTGAGCTCCTACTGTATGATAGCTGTTATTGGCCACTATCACGGTCCCTGGTGATCTCCGAGGTAGAGCTCACCTTACAGATAAGCCAAAACCTACCAGCCCTATCTTATCGGCTCAAACAGAGACAAACGTCAATATGCCAGGCATAGAAACGCATCTAGGGCCCAGAATAAGGAGCGTTGAAAAGGATTCAGCAATTCCATTCAAGCACAGAGCCTTCCTTGCCACTATCACCAATTCCATTTCCCCATTCCACAAGAAAGCTATCCCACTTCCCACTAAATAACATGGCAAATTTTAATGGAGACGATGTACACGCACCTCCCAATGCACCGGACACCATCACTATCTTGGACCAGGACGCACCACTACTTCACCTCATGACCATAATTCGCAACGTTAACACAGACCATCGGGATTTTTGCTCCGCGGTCGAAAAGGTGGCACGCCGACTTGTATCGACAGGTAAATATACGCCTACGTTCTGTAAACGATAATATCTGATGATCCTGAATAGCCCTGAACCACGTTCCAATTGAGCCATATACTATCACAACTCCAATCAATACGACATACCAAGGTGTTCGTTTTACAAAAGGCGTTTGTGGTGTAAGCATCCTGCGGGCAGGAACAAGTATGGAGCAGGTCCTCCGAGAGACGTGGATGTGAGTGATAAAATTATCGATGAGTTGGGCTATGCTAACGGAATGGGTAGGGGACCGCTGAGTTTCGGAAAACTATTGATCCAACGAGATGAGACTACATGTCGTGCAGAGATCTATTATTCCAAGCTACCCCCTCAGATCACAAAAGATGGTAAGGGGAATTCCTTGTCCTCGTGATGACATCACCTAATAAAGATCGCAGTCGTCTTGCTTCTCGAGCCCATGCTAGCAACTGGTGGCTCTGTCATAAAGGCCTTGGAGACACTCAGAGCTCATGGAGTTGCAGAAGAGTCCATTGTACTTGTGAATATAATCTCGTCTCAACCAGGGCTAGACGTGGTATCACAGAAATACCCATCTTTGAAAATTGTATCAGCTGCGGTTGACCGAGAGTTGAATACGAAGAAGTAGGTTTCACTCTTGCCAAATGGAAATCTTAGGCTGACTTTGCAACTCTAGATATATCAGCCCGGGATTGGGTGATTTCGGAGACCGGTACTATGGAACTTGTGGTTAGATTAGCCTATTTTGACACTGTATTACGGAGTGCACGATTCTGTTTATTGGATATTCTTGCACTTAGCATTCGAAAGCATGTAGAGCACGTTGGACTTTTTGTAGTTGAGATCTTATAGTTCCAAGGTACTTTGGCATGAAGCATAACATCACAAAACTGTCCATCTTAGCAAACGTTCCTGATCGATTGTCACACATGGAATAGTAGACTAAGACATAATCCCTGAAGTGTTACGATATGGGCGCACAGTCAAGCATAGAGAAATAGTATCCATATCTATTAGACGTGTAATTCGTACAACAATCAAAGTGCTGTTCCAAACAATCTATCGCCGATATCTCCCACACCAGGCTTTATATATCCCTTCCCGTCAACTTCGCTATCAACATGTCCTACCACGAACTCCGTTCCTTCAGGCCAAACACTGGCAGCATGAGAAAGGCCACTAGGGGCGGAAAGCATAGACAAGAATGTGACCTTCTCAACTCCCCAATCCCTAGGTCTGTCGTTAGTACCCGTTATGTCTAATGGGATACACTTTCACATACTTGAGAATGCTCACAACGGCCCCCGCCGTTCCTCCCGTGGCGATTAATGGATCAAGAACGTAGGCTTGTTTGATATACGATGGTTTGAGGGGAAGCTTATTGTAATATTCGACAGGCTGCAACGACGCTTGGTCTCTGAAGATGCCCATATGGTAAACCGCAGTCGATACTGTTTCCGGCACATTCTCCATGAAGCCGTCGAACATGGCCAGTCCAGAACGCAGAACAACAATGACTGCTAACGTCTCGTCTTCTCCTGCGGTGACTTCAACATTTTTGCAGATCACGGTGGCCAAGTCGTGGACTACGGAGCGAACTTCAAATGGTTTCAACGCGCGGTCTCGTAGCTTGTCGAGGAGCGATGCGATGCGGGCGTCGTTTAACTGGCGGACATTCGTCGGGACAGAAACCGTCATATTGAAGTAATGTAAAATGGAAGTATGACACGACACGCATGGATGAGGGAGTCTTTGAATGAGAAACAGTCTGGACACCGTCAAGGTCCTACAGGAAACCCCTCTATAAAGAAGGCCGACGGCCACCCTCTACGGCAAACTTCTGCTATCCAGTATCAGACTAGCGAAGTTGTGCATTGATAGCCACCAATCGGCATGATACAGCCGGGAGATGCCTAATCTTAGATAAGATAGTCATATCGGAGCAGCCCGATAAGAGAGCTTCCCCGCATTGAGGTGGTACTCAGTAGAGACAACGCATCCCCATCTGCTTCAGTCCTTTGTCTTTTCCGTCCTCATTGCTTACTTGTTCTACTACCAACGTAAGCTTGCACAGGATACGCTCACCATCATGGATAGCAAAGTCGAACAACTTTTGAGCCTTGAGGCCGTTCGTGCGAGGGCCCATACTGTATTCCGATTTGCACAGCAGGGAAAGTTGAACCATTTCGACTACCATCCCGAGAAATTGGATGAAGTTGCCGACTATGTTATGAACATCATCGAGGTATGTAGGAGTTGCGTCCCGTATCTTTCGATCGACCTTTGTTCGATCTTGTTCGTCTTTCTGACGGCCTGTTCTTAGCGCGACTTCGGCCCGGACCGCTATCATTTGATTCCTCCCCACGGTCGCTGGCAGCATTTTGAAGTCGGAGACGTTCCGCGTATCGCGAATCTCAGATCAGATTGGGAAAAGGCAGGACATGACGCCAAAGAACAAGCTCGGAGCTTGGTGGATCTCTTCTTCGTCTCAGTCCTCTTGGACGCGGGAGCTGGAGATACCTGGCGATATACCGAGCCAGGCACTGGTGCTGTCTACACAAGAAGCGAGGGAATCGCGGTTGCATCTCTTTACATGTATCTGGGTGGCATGTTTGCGAATGCTGATTCCTCACGCAAGGACATGGTGCATGGTACGTCGGACATTTTTCCATTTCCTGCATGGCTCTCTAATACAATATAGGAGAGGCGCTGCGAAAGATGAGTCTTGACACACTGTCAACTGGGTTTCAGGCCAGCGAAGGTAACCCTCTACTCGGCGTTTCTGCTCGAGGTGCAATTTTGCATAGACTTGGGGAATCATTGCTCAATCTTCCGGAGATTTTTGGACCCTCCGGCCGCCCTGGTCTGCTCGTCGGTAAGGGACACATCTGCCAGCTGATACTTCTTTAACCAAGCTAATTCGCCAAAGATTACCTCTTAGAAAAGAGCAAGGGACCTTTGGATTACTCGCTTCTTTGGACTACTCTCCAAAAGACACTTATCCCGATCTGGCCTTCGGATAGAACTCGCATTCGGGGACAGCCCATCGGTGATGCCTGGCCGCTGAAAGTGTTGAGCCAGAACTCAGAAGATGGATCTGATCCTGAGACAGCTTCCATTCAGCCTTTCCACAAGCTAACTCAGTGGTTAGCATACACGTTGATGGTACCATTTACCCGTCTCCTATCGATGTCATGGACCAAAAGCGAACTGGGAACGGGTCTTCCCGAGTACCGTAATGGGGGTCTATTTGTGGATATGGAGCTGTTGACGTTGAAGCCCGATGCCCAGAAGAAAGGACTAAAGGTTTCCAAAAGTGAGCTTCCGTGCTTTGGAGCGGGTGACGATGAGATTGTGGAATGGCGCGCGATGACGGTCGCGCTGCTCGATGAATTGCATAAACGGGTTGAAAGTAGTAGTGACCGGTTTGGTGGTGTTCGGCTGAGTTTACCGCAAATGTTGGAGGCTGGTTCATGGAAGGCGGGACGAGAGCTTGCTGCGGAGAAGAGACCAGCGACGAAGTCCAGTCCCATTCTCAATTCTGGTGACGGAACTCTTTTCTGAACGCGAGGTAGCTAGGTAGATGAATACACTGGAGCTGGAAGATCATTCCTAGCTATTTCCAAATGAATTATGCCAAATACCAGTCCTGAAGTCAATCAAGTGCGAGATATAAAATCAATGCATTTTCCGGCAAGACAAAAGGCATCAGCACCATCATCCAACTGCTTTTGTTTATTCCTGACCATTTTGGGAAATTGTCAGATTAGATTAGATCCGATAAGGCTTATCAAGATAATCTGCGATAACTGATGCTCCAATGGAAACCGCGGAGGTGTTATCACCACAAGCCTGATTGCTCTTCAACTGGTTATCACTTTATCAATGCTTTCTCCCATACGTGCGTTGTCCACCTACTAGTGTGTCTGAGATCATACAATCTTAGAATCATGAGCTGCGATCTAGCGCTCCCTATCAGTTGACCATCTCATCTACACTAGGCGGTCTGGATATATATATCAAGCAACAGGTCTACCTACTAAATCATCAGTGTGCACTTTACATACATACTTTCCACCAGATTTCATCATCTCACCCCCTAAGCAGTCAACGAAAGACTAACTATCGACACAACGGATCACAACTCCAAATGACGACTACACAAACTTCGGCATCTATAGCTGACCGCTACAGCAACCGCATAGTTGTAGGTACGATGTCCGTGCAAGTCAACATTCCTGCTAACATTCCACGATCAGCTCACAACCTATCCCTGTCAAAGCGTCGCGAATCCAATTCCACTGGAATGGGGTGCATCCACCCCTGAGGAACGAGGACCCGTCATTGTGTCTAGATCAAAGAACACGCTCAGCAAGCGCAACGCAATCGGCGCCCATGGTGGCAGCTATGCAATCTACACGGCACTCGCCATTGCCTCCGGGCAGCTAGATGCCGACTTCCGGCCTAACTTTTTGAACACCCAGCCGACTTTTGACTTTCCTGTCCAGCCAGCATGGAGCGACAAGAAGAAAATCGTATCGATGGACCCGTTTGGCCATGATATCGTGAAATACTACGGTCGCTACCTGGAGGACGGAATCGATGTGCGCCCTACGATAGCGGTGACGAGAGCAACCATGCGTGTCTCTGAAATCACCGAAGCAATTAAGATTGGACGTCTTCCGATCGATGAACATATCGTTCTGAACAAGTTGGGGGATGTCAGGGTTACCAAGGTGGCGGTCGAGCCAGTCTGGTATCTTCCTGGCGTCGCTGAGCGCTTCGGGGTAGATGAGACCCTTCTCCGCAGGGCGTTGTTCGAGCATACCGGTGGCAATTATCCAGAGCTGATTACCCGGCCGGATATGAAGGTTTTCCTTCCACCTATTGGCGGTCTCACGGTGTACATTTTTGGCCCTCCCGAGCGCGTGTCAGATCCCAACATCCGCCTTGCATTGCGAATCCACGACGAATGCAACGGTTCTGATGTCTTCCAATCAGATATCTGTACCTGCCGTCCATACTTGGCGTTCGGTATCGAGGAAGCCATTAAAGAGGCGCAGAATGGAGGCTCCGGGGTCGTGATCTACTTCCGTAAGGAAGGTCGTGCGCTTGGAGAAGTCGTGAAATACCTGGTGTATAACTCGCGGAAGAGAGGTGGCGATACAGCAGACAAATACTTCCAGAGGACGGAAAATATCGCCGGAACGAAGGATGTGAGTTCTGTCCTTACAGATTGTAGCTTCAGAGCTAACCTTCATCGCAGATGCGCTTCCAAGCCCTTATGCCTGATATTCTGCATTGGTTAGGTATTACCAAGGTGGACCGTATGCTATCGATGTCCAATATGAAGCACGATGCCATCGTCGAGCAAGGGATCCCGATCCATGAGCGAGTGCCAATTCCAGACGGTATGTTCCAAATCGTGCTTATGATCTATCTAGCACATGAAAGGACGTGTGTGCTGACGCTCGACATAGATATGATACCGGAGGATTCTCGCGTTGAGATTGACGCCAAAATCCACTCTGGTTACTTTACTACAGGAAAGCAGTTGACAGAAGAAGACTTGAAGCAGGTGAAGGGTCGTGGATGGGAGTCTTGGGAAGATGTTACGGTGTGTTCCATTACCCGGATCTTCATGCATCCAAATGGCTAATCTATTTGAACCACAGCATTGAGTAAGCTACTCGGACAAGATAGTTACAGAGGATTTGAACGCCTCTTCCACGTCGGATTTTCGAAATCCTGGAGCGCGTCCCAGGATAATCATGTTCTTAAGAAGGCCTATTGTTTGTTAATAGAATAAACCTGAAGAGATTTGAAAGTGACTTACAGCGCAATAGCTCGTCCACATCCAGGACCCAAGAGCTTCGAATCCTAGAAATACCTGGTCCATTGTCTGTCTGATTCCAGCTGGCTTTGTCGACAAGAGACTGCGAAGTGGAGTAAGACGACGATGGATCCTGCTGAACGCCAGCATCACGTAACATTCTGGGTTTCCAAGCGCCAGATCCATTTGATTGATCAAACGAGAATCCCATCTCTTCAAGATAGCCCTCCACGTCATGACAGTCCAGCCATGTTCCGTCGAGACCATGCACCTTGAGAAGTTCATGCCGCTCATCAGCGGGTTCTTTTGCCTCTCCCGACCATCCCTCCGGAAGGGTGCCCAGAATCTTTCTCGGAAGTCGCATATTTTCAGGATATATGGGGTTGCCGTCGGAGTCGAACCGCGGGAAATGTGTTCCGGCACCACCGATACAGTAGAATGGAGTCGCTGGAATTTCGAGATTCTCATGTGGACCAGCCCAGACAAGGCATTTCAAATAGGGTATCATCTGCTGTCTATATTTGATGCATGGAACGAGGCGAAACACACGGTATACCTCTTGCGGATTGGATCGTGGGTCAATGAATAGTTGATAGATATGGGTGAGGCAATATCGATGTAGTCTCCTTGAGAAACTGGATTCGTTGAAGCTCAGCGAGCCGTTATCAGGGCTACTCAGCGGTCTTGCGACCGACTTTGGTAGAGGACATTGACAGGTTGGTGGCGGTTGAGAGCGTGACCCTGTCCTCAGAATCGTCGCGTCGTCGATTTTCATTCTAATGTCTGAATCAGTCTGTTGTTGGTCAACGACGTAGCCAAAAGAAGCGTCCGCATCAGCGAGAGAGTCATTAGCTACAACATTTGCTTTGCGCGACCTCTCAGATTCCGTCTTTGTAGAATCTATTGAAGCTTGTACTTCACGAACAGTATGTTCCAACTGACCGAAAAGACAAGGATGGGTGATATGAAGGTCCGACTGTATCGCCATTTGGTGAAACGCTGAGAGGGAGCCGGATATTCTGTTCATGCTCTTTTGCAATAAAGATAAACGATTCTCCATGTTCCGATACAAGGCTTCCTTCTTGAGTCGGTATGCCCTCTGAGCCATTCGAACTTGAGTTCGCCGATCCTAAGTCGATAATTAGGTTCTGGTTCTTGTTGATAGCAGAGAAAGTCGACTGAGGACCTACGTTGGCGGATGAGACTCTAGGTCTTCCTCGCTTCCTTTTGCGCTCTGGTTTTGTTGTCGTCTTAGGGTCACTCTGTCCTTTACTATCTTGTTCTATCGGCTCTTGAGCGTCGTCGCTTCGTTGTATGCGAGGGGCGAACCCGTCAGGGTAGTAATTTCGGGCTGAGAGAGTCTCTGATAGTGTGCGATCCTCCATTGCGATTTAATGTGACAGCCGTGTGTTTCAAAATACAGAGCGAGAACTTGCTGACGAGAACAGTTGTCTAGAAAACAGCTCTATTGTATTTAAAGTCTCATAATTGTCAGCCCAGACTCACGGTCGAGATATGAAATATCCATATCGACGGAGTGGGGATCCTCGGCTGATCATATAATCGCAAAATCTTAAGCCTCGGATGTGGAGCGGAAGGATAACGTCAACCATACTAAATTATCACAAATTGATTCAATTACAGCCTAGGATGCGACAAGTGTCCATTTCAGCTGATCAGTCATGGCGTTGACAGAACCCAGAACCTACTAATCATTGCCCTGGCATCCATCAGTGATACCACCAGCTTTCTTCTGCACCTTGTTGTTGTTGAAGCACCGCCTGCGCGTGAAAACCGGGGTGTTGAACGTGGCCTTCCATTCCATGCCATCCTTGTCCGGCTTATCGAGCCATTGGAAGTGATAATCAGTCAATCCCAGCCCAATGCAACTTTTGATGCTTGCCTTCAGTTTCTCCCCTTTGTCCGCACCCCATCCAGCCCCTCGCATGGTATATCTCGAAAAGGCGACCTTGTACCACCCTTCGCATTTACCTCTGGGCTTATCAAGGGGCCAAGTCCGAGGGTGTGGAGAGACAGATTCCAACTGATAGGTGTAGCTACCTCGTGTGTATTTCCCTCCGTGCTTATAGCCATAGGCATTGGGGTACTGGGCCGGGTCGCAGGAGTAGATGATGTGCTTGAATGAATCAAGACATTGCTGCTTGTCAAACTTGGCGGCCCCATTGCTGAGCTGAATCGTGTACATGTGCGCTTCGTGGGTGCCCTCGTTGAACACGCGTTGGTCGATCCAGTTGGGGGATGCGTGTTCGACCACCTCCTCGCAGTACTTTTGGTAGGTGGCATCCACCACAGAAGGACTCATGTACCTCGCCCCCAAATCCCGGCTGTGCGAAAAGCACTGGAATGTGTCGCGCAACTTGCACACTGAATAACTACCGCCAATGGCCTCGGAGTGCCCCGCCAGGGCTGCGTGCATGACGAAGGATGCCAATGTCGTGTGGCCAAGCTCGTTCGGGTGGAAGAATTTACCCCAACGATCCGGCAGGCCAAAGCCAAAATCGTAGTCGTTGTCGGTGGGACAGCCAGGAGGAATGATGGGACCTCTGCGGGTCAGGCGAGCCAGGGCTTCGGCCATGGGATTTCCAGTGCGGTACAAGATGGAGTTGTATAACCTCTCCTTCCATCTCTTTGCCAACGATTGTACCTCAAGCTGTTCCTCAGGTGCTGGTTCAGGAGCCGGCTCAATTGTATCGTCTAGTAGATCGTCGTCGCGTTTTTTGAGGTCTTCCTTGTTTGGCCTGTTCGTGGCGGGCTTGAAGAATTGGATGTTGGGTTGCTTTGGGTCCGGGACCTTTCCTGTCGTTCCAGGCCAGCACATCCTGTCAGGTCAGAAGCGTTAGTTATCGGTTGCAGAATGACGATGGGCAAAATGGCACTTACTGTCCAGCAACCTTGTCGCTTTCAACCCAGGGGTTCCAGTCAGCAAAACGGATCTTGTATCTCACGCCGCTCTTCTGGCGATATTCATCAACAACAGACTCAATGGCCCGGTTTGTCTTGAGCACGAGTTCGTTGAACTTTCGGCGATTCTCCAAGGTCAACTTGTAACCAAGCCCGGATCTCGGGAACGTGAAGTCCTGCTTGAGCTCGCAGTCGTCATCCTTGTCTTCATCGTAGAAATACTGTGCGTACCCGGCGTACACGACCACGCCGTCATGCTTCATCTTGTCGTTGAGTTCGTTCAGGATTTCGCGGATGTTGGGCTTCAAGATGCTGTCGATGTTCGCCTCGGCTTTGCTGACGGCGTCTTCGCAACCCTTCTTTCCACCGTAGGGAAGCATGATGCACGACTTGATCACATCGGTCAAGCAGAGGTCGTTACCCCCAGCCGTCATGACGACAAGGTCCATGTCAGATTCCAGCTTCTTCGCTTGTTCCACGATGTCGGAAGTGCGCGCGCCACTGCATGCAAGGTACTGGAAATGTTTCACCGAATCGCCAAAGGCGCGGTCCAGGACGCCGACATACGACTTGTCGTAACGAGAGTACGCGACATCGTCGGCGTTCTTTGACCACAGATTTCCCGCACCGATCCCGGCAGTGAAGCTGTCGCCAATAGCAGCCCACCTTGCAACCCAATTAGCACTGTAGCCATCGTTTGCATTGCTGTTGATTGAGAAAAATGAGCCGTTCGGAGCCATGGAGGTATCGTTCATGTAAAGGCCAACATCGTCCGGGGTGTAGATCGCGTAGCCGGAGACGAGGTTCAAGAGGAAAAGAAGTACATGGATGAGGATCGAGGAGAGATTGGTCGAAGTCTGGAACTTCGCCATGTTTGTGGTGAGGCCAAGAGCCCCTTATCAGTGTGATATCTGGCTCTTGATGAAGCGAAATGGAAGCCAGCAAGATGGAAGAAGGGTAGGTAAGAGAGGAAGGAATTGTTGAAAGAAAAATCTTGTAAGGATGAGCTGGCTTTATATACGCTACATCATTGCCACCAGGAGAATTGTATTCACTAAGGCGGTAAGAGGTCATATATTGATGCACGGGGATTTCCACTTTTCTACCTATTGAAGGCTCCTTCACGGCATAATTCACGCATGATCATCTATAGAGCGGAGACTGCCTAAATCACCATTGATTGCAAGAGGCACAGCTACTGGACTTCTATAGCAATGCATGATAGTCAAAGGATCAAATAACTATCTCTCAGCTTGTTAGAAGATGTAGAAGTCCCAATACATAGGAGCAGATAGACCTTTTTTTTGTGCGGGCTCTCATAGGAGTTGTAAAGTCACGAGCCAATGATTTATGATTCACAGAACAGGCCATGTATGTGAATCTCGAATATTATTACACTCCCATTTTAGGTCTGAGTGTACAGATATATTGCACACTGTGAATGCATGGATCTTGCCGTTGTCGTGCAGCTCAATTCACTGCTAAGAATGGCTGATAGACATTTCCTATTTCCTATGCCTCTACACTGGCGATGATGGAAGCCTATAGTAAGCACAATCGTCTCAAAGCATCTGCATTGTGAAAACATGCAACTAGGCTATGGGAACATCAATGTTTATCTTGATACGGCTGATGAAAGCTTCGGCAAGATTTCGAACCCGCATAGGGGCACAAGCTCGACTGGTCTGACTACCTCGGACGACGGCAAGAGAGTGAGTGCAAGGGCGATAAATGTCTCAAGCGAGTGACGAGTTTAAAAATGGCCAATGGGCTGGGACGTCTTATAGCCTTGAATTGTTTCTGTGTACAATGTCAAGATGGGGTGTTTCAATACGATTCTACTCTGAAGATTGGGTTGATTTCTCGGTGATAGCGCGTGGGCAGGAAGACGTCTTGGGGGTTGGCTTCATGTTTGTAGGTTTGTTTACCATCGAGTACCGACGTGTGTCATTGAGTATCTCGGCCTGATCGCAATTATGATTAAGATTCAAATGTATCTGTGACTATCTTTGGTAGTGAACAAATTATCTCCTTCTGTCAACGATCCGGTCGCAACATTCAAGAAAGCAAAAATCAAATTGTTCCGTTCTGCGTCGAATCAACTGATCCATTCGCTGTCATGCGAAGCCATGCGAAGCCATGTGAAAGAAGCTAAGTACGACCTGTAGTAGGACCAGCGGACGAGATCAAGGAAGAATTAGTCGCAGAAGGCGATGTGCCGTTGGTGAAGTTGCGGGAGCCTGCGACACCGCGTGTTGGAGCCAGAAGGCCGTGTCACCCTGTCATGGTCGAATTTTGGAGGCCAATGTTCCTGTAGCCTGCCATTGGTGATAAAGTCGGGCTCACAGGACCGCTCGTCGGTGGCATTTGGGCGATAGAACTATTTGAAATAGGGATAGTTGCCACGGGTGCAGTACGTGTAGTTGGAGTACCCGGGACACCGACGCAATACCAGTAATCGTCCTGTGTATGAAAGCGTTAGTCATTTGGATGCGTCGGAGGGACTTCGTGGGTTATGAACTTACCTGCAAACCCACGCAATTTTCCGTGAGGTCGGAATTCCACTTCAGAAAGTCTTTGACCGAGAAGGTGCCAAACATTCTAACAATGTCGTCGCAGGTCTCGCCGTAGGTTCTCTTGTACCAGGACACGCACTTGGAAGTTATGCCAGTGGCAGTAGGAGACGGCACCTTGGTGACCGTTGGAGGCATGGGCAACCATCCGCCATCGTACGCTGCAGCACAGTAGTAGTAGCCCGGAATTAGACCTTTACAGTCGGGTCCCAGTGCCGGATTCCACTTATGCAAATCGTCCTCCTTGAGCAAGGGCACATCTTTGAGGATCTTCTCACATGTATCACCCTGTGAGGAAACAGTTAGCAATCACCCCCTAAACTCGGCAGCATCGAATCTTACCTTCACAGCCTTGTGGAAGTCTTGACAATTCGGTGCAATCCCAGACTGTGTAGGACGAGCGGTCTCCTCAGGAGGATCCAGACTGGTAGTGGTCAAAGAGGGAATTACCATCGGGGGAGGGGTTTGGGGTGGATAGCTGATCGAGAATGTTGTCGTAGGTTTGACTCCGACACACACCCACCAGCCGACCCAGGGGTAACGGCAATCTTCCTTCAGAGCAGGATTCCACTCGAGACTAGAGGATTCTGTTAGTATTTTTTCCTAGCGAATCTAACAGAGGGATTGGGGCGAACTCACAGATCTTCGAATGTCATCCATGAGTCGTACTGGGCGTGAATGGATTCGCAAGTCTCTCCAGCTCTTACACGATGCCATCTGTTACAGTTCTTTGCCTGTCCATCTTGTGTTCTGGTTGGAGGCCACGCAGTCTCAACCGGGGTGGTAGTTACATTCCAAGAGGTTATGGGATTGATGAACGTATAGGAAGAGTCCGTTGTGTCCGTAGTCGAGATGGGCGTGGTTGTTATGGTGGTGGTGATCGTCGTGGTCGGTCTGGGGCCAGAGGCTTTTGTGGTGCTTTCATCAGATGTGGTTGTTATGGTTGTTGAGATTGTTGTAGTCGGCCTAGGACCATTCGCTTTGGTGGTGGTGCTTTCCACAGGCCCAACGCCGACACAGTAGGATGTATCCGCCCAGAAATTGACCAGACAATCAGCCGAGACTGACGGATTCCAGCGCAGAAAGTCGTCCATGGAGATTCTGAATGCAGTGGTGACCGAAAAACAGGTGTCTCCCTTTTGAACAGTGTACCACTTGTTGCAGTTGGAAACAACGCCTGGGGTAGTAGGGCGAGATGGCGAAGCGTCCCAGGTAGTGGAGGCCCCATGAGAGAGGCTTACCACTCCTAGGAGGATGCTGAGGAGGATGCGGAAGGGTGTCATTTTGGGGACCGTAGTACTGAAACAAGGGAAGTAAAGAAACGGTGGAGGAAAGTGCGTGGGATGAGGAAATTGAGCTCCTTTTATGGCTTCTGAAAAGGAAATTTCCACGTTCACATAGGTGGCGAAATGAACCATAGTATCACAAATTTTGGGGCTATATGGAATGCTCCATTTGATGCTGACAGTGAATATGGGTGAACCGAATTCCATCATCATAATGTAGGCCATAATTAATGTCACTATCTTTGACTGAGTGAATAGGCCAAGGGCCTCGCCACATAATCTTTCTTTTTTCCATTCTGAGGAAGATTTGCGAATGAAGCATCTCAATATCTCTGTACCATTCATTACCTTGATGAACATATTCTGCATTTCCAGCCAGCACATTCTGCACAGGAGACATCCGCATGGGAGATGTGGCACATAGACGGTAGCTACAGGCCGCATATTCCAGCTTCCTGCCCCTAAGAAGATGTCTATCCCAGGAACTAGCCAGCATGACCAGGACATATAAGGACTCTCTGGTTGGAATAATTAAAGAGTATTTGCACACCCAATGCGCATATGAAAAGATGTGAGGGCAGCTTCAAACCGCTACAACTAGTCCTGTGCGTAGCCCATCAGGTACAGTAGTTGAATCGAAGGAGCAATAGAAAGACCGTGTCCTTCGTCGAGTCAGACTCATTGTAGCCCATAAAGGAACAAAAAGCTAAAAAATAGGCGAGGACTGACTTTCGAGTCTCTCAAAAATTTAATATATCCGTGTTTGAGATGTTATAGCACAGCAATCTGCCTCGGATACGCATGACGATCCGCATCTCTTGCCTGTCTTGATGCACGGGAAGGATTCACAAATGTCATTGAAGTGTTTTTAGGACCTTAATGAATACCACAGTACTTCTGAATTGTCGGTATACCTATGTAGCAGGCCTGTGCCCAGGCTCCTGACTCTCTGTTCTGCCTTAGCGCCTTCATATAGAGTCCATACCTACTAGGTACCTACTTAAATACCACCTGTTCAGTCCACCATTACGTGCAATATCAGACCTCGATAAAACCAATTTCAAAAACATTTGACTATTAGATTAAGTATCTGAGAGCGACATTTGCTAGCAGAACTAGTATTGAGAAGTATTGCAACCATGTTGCGTAACGAGAAACATTCTCCCTGAATATCATCCATACCCTCTACCATCCACCTGGGCAGGTCAACGACGACGACGACGGCACTCTTCCACCATCGAAGTGAAAAGACTGTGGTACGAACTTTGGGGGTCGTTGTACAGGGTAACTGGAGGTGACTCATAGCGTGCCTGGTACAAGGTCTTGATGCCGTAGACATCGTGTGGGCTAGGCACCTCTCCCGACTGGATGAATGCCGGGCCTGCCCTTCGGATATAGCTGTACAGACCAGTCTTGCCATCATTAATTGCGAACATATTGCTGGGATACAGCATGATCGACTTCCAATCTACGTCACCGTCCCTTGAATTGGCGTTGTTCGGCGACGTGTAAAATCCTTCTGGGAGGGGCAAAAAGTTGGTCGCTGTAAACTCAACCTGCGCTGCAGCCCAAAAGTTGGTGCAGATACCATCCAGCCCCCAGATCTGCATGAGGGAGAGACCCCGTGATTTTTCCTCGAATTGTGCCAAATGTTGACAGTAGAAGTGAAATGGGCCATCGGTGCCCCAGAAAGCAGGGTCCCCTTGTTCATGGAAAAGCCCCCAAACGTGTCCTATCTCGTGTGTGATAGCCCAAAGGGTTCCGTTGTATTGTTCGGGATTCTGCACACCTAGGACCATTGAGGGACCATCCGAACCGGTCGGTGTGGTACGTCCTGTGGAGCTGTGAAACACGGCGTCTCCGTAGAGTCGAATTTCGAGGGTAGTTTTCCGATTCGCGAGGCACTCAGTGCGGCTGACCTCCTCCATCACGAAGTCATACGGCAAACCAGCACCGTACCATAGACTCATGCCGTGGCGAATGAATTGAGACAGGACATTTCGGGCTCTTTCGTTCTCATAGCAATAGAGAACTCTCTTATCAGGCCATGGCTCCAAGATGTCGTTTGGCTTGATGCGGACATAATTCAACTTGAACTCTGATGGATGAGGCTCAAAGCTTGGGTGTCCAGCGTTGACAAGGGTAGAAACAAAGAGGAGGAATATGGCAAGCATGATAGCCACCAGAGGGTTGTGGCGAGCCATCCTTCCAGTGACCTGTTCATGATTTAGTATTATGTTTCATATAGATGCGTTCACAACATACCTTTTTCACAATTCGCAGCAGGGTTTGTGGCAGGTTGTGGGAAGATGAAAGTCACTTGACAGGTGGAGATAGAAAGAGGAGAACAAAAGAGGTTGACAAAAAGACGTCAAAAAAAGAGGACAACAAAAAGAAGTTAACAAAAAGAGGATAGACAAGAGTATTTATAGGCAGCGGATTAGTTGAGACTGAGTCTTTTTATTCACCTTGTTTCATGCAATCATGGCTCTTGCCGCTCACTTTGTGGGGTATGCCGTGTAGGTAGTTACTGAGTGAAGTTATATAAGTGAATGACTTTTCGACGCGAACATGGAAAGTTCCTTAAGAAAAGAGCCTCCAAAAAACCGTATAATTCACCAGCCTGTGTAGGACTAGTATATATATGGGTACGCTGACTTCATCGAACTTCACATACCTACAATCCTCTTACCCTCTCCCCTTTCAAGCTCCATACCTTCCCATACTACAATCCCACGAACAAGTCTGACAGCATGGCACGACTCTCTAGTAGGGTCGTGCACTACCTCATTGTCTTGCTTCTATCCTGTTCTGTCATCATCGTCTCCGGTAGTCAGGTCTCCAGTCTTCAGGTATTGGCTACTGCAGATAATGATTACTCGTGCTCCAAAGATAAACCTTGCACCCTAGGCTGCTGTGGTCCACTCGATGCTACTGGAAAAGGAGTCTGCGGTTTAGGACCTGACTTCTGTGGAAAAGGATGTACATCTGACTGTGACCGGAAGAGCGAATGTGATCCAGGCTGGGGAAAGGAATGGTCGAACGCATCTACCTGTCCTTTGAAGGTCTGCTGCAGCAAGTTTGGCTTCTGCGGTAAGTATAAAACTCTAATGCGACTCATATACTTCGAACTCTTACTGACAATTTACCCCCTACAGGTACCACTTCGGATTTCTGCGGCGACAAGAAAGTCATCTCTCCTGAATGCAACGGCAACAGTGCTACCAAGAGAGTCATCGGTTACTGGGAAGCATGGAACGCTCAGCGACCCTGTGTACGTACGTATTTCGCATGATATCCTTACCATGGTGGTGAAAAGCAACTAATACCTTTCTTCAGGCATGAACCCCCAGGATATCCCTCTAGGATACTATACCCACATCAACTTTGCCTTCGCCCTGATCAACCCCAAGACCTTCCGCCTGGCTGATATGGATGAAGAAACCGGAAAGCGTTACAAAGAACTGGCATCAATCAAGATGAAGCAGCCAAGTTTGCAGATTTACCTTGCCGTTGGAGGATGGGCCATGAACGATCCCGGTCAATATCGGACCGCCTTCTCAGACCTTGCTGCCTCCACCTCGGCACAAGATACCTTCTTTGAATCTCTGGTTACCTTCTTGCAGTCCAATGGGTTTGATGGCGTTGATCTCGACTGGGAATACCCGGTTGCGGACGATCGTGGCGGCAGACCGGAAGACTTTGCAAACTTTGTCACCTTGTTGAAACGGCTGCGCGAGCGCCTCAACCAGACAGGGCGCCATTACGGAATTACAATCACCTTGGTCAGTACCTTCGCCCCTCTCCATATAAGCACATTGATTTGAGTTTATGACTGACGTCTTTACAGCCTGCCTCGTACTGGTACCTTAGAGGCTTCGACCTCATCCACATTGAGCCATACGTTGACTGGTTCAACGTCATGACATACGATATTCGTGAGTAACCACGCTTTCCCCGTGTGACGGCAAAATACAACTAACTTGGGAACGCAGACGGCGTATGGGATAAGACTGTCGATGATTTCAAATCCAAGGCCTACGCGCACACGAATCTGACCGAGATCAACTCGGGTCTTGAGCTTCTGTGGCGGAACAACATCAACCCCGAACGTGTGGTTATGGGCCTCGGGTTCTACGGACGAAGCTTCACGATGGAGAACCCCGACTGCATGACACCAGGCTGTCGCTTCAAGGACGGCGGCCGCCAGGGAGAATGCACGGGACAGTCTGGAGTTCTTTCCGCTGCCGAGATTCACAAGATTCTCAACACAACCAAAGACGTCACCATTCAGTTTGATAAAGACGCAGCAGTCAAGATCGCCACCTGGGACAAGGATCAATGGGTCAGCTGGGACGACAAGGAGACATTGAAACTCAAGGTCGACTACGCGAACCGGCGATGCCTTGGTGGTGTTATGGTGTGGGCGGTTGATTTGGACGACGGCACACTCATTGATGCTCTTGGGCAGGCAATGGGCAAGAACAAGACGTTGGTTGGGTCGATGCAGCTCCCATCGGTCCCGGACCTTGTCCTTGATCCTAGAGACTTGGGGCCAACGGAAGGACCTAAGCCTCCCAGAACCAGCTAGATTGGGATTTCCAATGTGTACCTTGGATTGCTGAATAAGGCGAGCTGAGGTGGAAGATTGATATTGTTCTTTCTGTTATCTAGTCTTTTTTAACAGTTTAATGCAAGGATGTCGTTTAGTTCTCCATTGGATCACTGTAATTGTCGCGTCGGACTATTAAGACCCGTCACCCTAGTACGGTAAAAATGGTGTAGATGGACCGGCCATAGCCACTTAGTAGGCCCTACTCTAGTTTCCCTGATAGTATTTCCCTGGCACTTCTCACCCCCAAACTACCTCTTCAATGGCCATATTATTTCTCTCGCCAAGCGTCTCATCTCCACGGTTCCACACAACACAATCCAAATCCCGCTGAGTAATCGGACACTACCGTCAACATTCATAGAATGCCGGGAGAGAAGCAATATAAAGAAAACTCTGCTGTAAGTCGTATCAATAGGTTCGTATTGGATTGGAGGCGATGCGTTTATACCACTCGAACTTCCTCGGCCCTACTTCCGCCTACTTGCTCTGGTCTGTACCTACAGTTCAACCCCTTCTCCCAGGATAATGCCCTTCCAATTCACGAGATCGAAGGTCGTGGCCTTCGGGAAGATCTTGACTGCAGGATCTCTCGCCAGCGCTGGAGGCTGGGAGCTATGGACAAGGCATTGTTACTTCGAGCCATTTGGGCCCGAAAATGACCCGCTATTCCAAAGCCGGTACTTCAAGCAGTACAATCCTGGCAACCATCCGTCTCTGGACGACTCTTGCGTGCGAAAGGTGCCTCTATCCCAGATACCAGCTGAGTTGGTCGATGATGCCCTCAATGGCGGATCTAAACTTGTTGAGAGGTTCTGCGCGGGGGTATGGGGTGGGTATGGTAAGTACCGTTGATTACAGTTGTTACTGATTAGAGCCTCACGTTCTATATGTATAGGGTACGCTATCCAACGGAGAATATTGTCCAGGATGGGAAGGAATGACTCCAACAAGGACTCAATGCTGTGGGACAGAAAGCAGCTACTGGAGAGCACCTACGAAGAAGGTAGAGCCATTTCCAAGGCCCTATGCCTAATCATAACCGGCACTTTGAATGTGTTTCGCTAAAATTTTGATGCAGGGACCATCGTGACTGATCACTTCATGGTTGTCGGCAAGACTCCTAGATCTATCACTATGTGGGGAGCCGAGTCTCCCTCGGAGAATCCCGGAGTACCACGCGATATGGAAAATCTGTCCGAGATTACAGCTGACATCGATCTGGACCAGGGCGTGGCAGAATTCCGGCTGAAGAATATCTTCTATAGTGGCGTGGAGCAAACCGCGAAATCACTGTTTCCGCCGCCGGTCGTGTGGCTGCATTTTCAGTACTGCAAGTTGTTAGTGGAGGCTGGAGTAAGCCACTGCAGGGAATAGGTTATTACTCTGCGTAAGGTTATGCTTCTTGCATCTGTGCAGACTATGGTACCATTTTGCGGCCACTGGAACTCGAGTTTGACCCATTGCTTCCACCTATACCGGCGTTTTTAGTGTTTATAGATTGTATTATATAGTGTACAAGAACATCCCCCGCTCGACAGAAACGAAAGCTCATAGACCCCGTGTGAAGACATATAGACTGGATATGATGTTGCGTTCTTTCTGGCTCCTTGCTTCAACATCTAGCATTCGGGTCGAGTGCTTTCTGCTGTGATCTTGATAATGCGCGCATACAAATTCCCGCTAGTTCGGTGGTAAAGCCGTCAAGATACTGGAGGTGGATGACTTCAGCTAGGGTTAACTTTCGGACTGGGATGCTGTGAATCAAACCAGGAACGCTCTGTAACAAGTCCACGCTGTAGTTGGCGTCTGGATCCCAGGGATGAGAGATAACATTGCAAAAGAGGGTTAAGACGGCAGTTATGGCGTAAAAGAGAATGACCCTGATTGATGAGAGCTCTGTCAGTTGCAATCAAGCCTTGGCCTTACTCGCAGCAACCCACATACCAGAAACATTCCCCTTTCACCACAGGCAACACCTTATAAAGGTAAGACAATGTTGAGCGACTCGCGTTAACTGAAAGCCTTAAACTCGAGGTGATCCCGTCAAGTCCAGACCCTGCGAAATCCGTTCCGGAGAGCTGGCATCTGACGCTGGCTTGGTGGACGGTGATAACACAATGATAGTATGCGAGTCGCAGCATTACCATCTGCGTGTTGACACTGGCGCTGATAGGCGTCTCCAGAGAGAAGTATAACGTCGGTCGGAATTCCACGGGAAGTGATAATCTCCATTGGTCGAGTGCCTCATCAAGGCTTCGAATCCTTGACAGCAACTCGGGCACAGACTGATGCAGGGAATTAGCCGAGTACAGCTCTTGGTACACTCTTGACTTCAGGATAGAGAGGCGGAGATCCCAGGGGAAGAGTGGTATTGTATGGTCATCGATCTGCGGAGTGCTTTGTTGCAGATTGATGTCTTGCAGCGGCACATAATCCGAAGGTAGTGTAAGGTCGCAATGAGTCTCATTCATGCAAGGTGGCTGCCCTGTCCGCAGGCATATATCCTTGTCGAATGAATAACAAAGCCAGAAGAGGTCACGTAGATGGCAGCTTATATCGCTTTTATTGTATGCCAGCAAGGATGAGACTGAGGTTTTATTGGCCAGTGACATGTGAGCCCCCAGTGCATACAGCAAGCGAATGGCTATTGACAAGGTCACAGCAGCCGACTGAAGGTCCCCTAAGAAATATTGGAGTTGCACCTGGAGATTAGGTTAGACTCCATTAGAAGCACATGGTGAGGGAGTACTTGTACACACCAGCATGATCAATGACTGCAGGCCATCGATAGTCATCTCCCCAACCACCGCTGCCATAAAGCTTTGTGCCGCAGAAGCATAGGATTGGCAGTCCGTGGCGTCATGTATGCTGTCGTCAAATCCAAAGAGAGATACAAGGGAGAGGAATGAATACACGCAAGATTTGGCGCTGGCTGAGCCAGAGGGCCGGCCGGGACTGTAAGCGAGGTCCAATGTCTTCTTGAAAAGCGACCCGCTGACCACGGGGAAGACTAGGCCCTGGAAGGACGAGGTATAGATCCCAATATATCTTTCGACTTCGGGTCTACTGGGAAGCTCTGGGCGTAGAGAGGGTGATAATGTAGTGTCCGCACGCAACCGAAGCGGTTTCAGCCACTGAAGCTCAAGAGCGAACAACTTGTCGAAGTTGATGGCTTCCCCAACCTGAGACTCGATCCATTTCCGACCCTCGTCCGAGAACACATGGTGTCCTCCAAGATAGGTGACATTGTTCAGGAACGTATTCCCTGGTCTCAAATGCCGTGTCGGATCGGCCGCCTGGGGAGAACCTAGCCGCACTGGTCAGAGCTGGAGACGACAATAGGGCCTCCAACAGACAATACGCACCCTGGTCAACATCATTCATGAGTTCTCCACTCTCTCTAGATATTGGTAGAGCCACCTGGGCACTAACCACACGGATTAGTATGCTGTTCTTGCCATTATGCATTACGTCAGGTGGTCCTCGAAAAATGGAAAGTATTGCGAGGTGCACAATGGCGTCGGAAGCAAATGAAAATATCCAACAGCAATAGTAAACCGGGCTATCGCCATACCTTATGCCGGCCTGCCCCCGGATTCTATTATAGGTACAGGCCAGATTATGGTGCTTGCACCAATTGCACTGCGGAAACTCAGCGTCACATTGGATCTAGGCACATGGTAAGACTAGATCCAAGTCGCGACTGGTAACACGGAGACAAACCTTCTTTCTATAACAGGAGTCGCATGCTCTTCGTCTAGGTCTCTGAGGGCCTCTGCGTGGCCTGCGCCTAGTACTACTTCGTGCACGGTCTCCTGGCATTTCTCAGGTAGTGACGTAGCACGCAGGGTGCCAAGCAAGTGCAAGAGAATCCAGACTCCGTCCTGGCAGCCAATGCTGAATAGAGACCTCGATACGGCGCGAATAATGCGCTAGCAATAGGGATTTCGAGCCTCTATTGACATCATATTTCAGGAGTTTGAACTTGCGCAGAACTTGCCATCCGCCTATAGAGACTGCACCTCTTTCCGCTGAGTAATCGGAGAAGACCCGGGTGGTGGTCCCTCTTTAAGACTCGGCAAGCGTGGCTCTAATCCTATCTTGATCGATATGGGTCAAAATCCAAACAGAGTAAGTCTCCCTCTATTGAATCTGCTTCCATGATAGAATGATAATTGCTATATCTCACTTGGAGTCCTAGGGATGAATAGTTCTATCTACCAGAAGGATCAAGTAGTCGCACCGTAGACTTGGCCCGCTTAATGATCATCCAGCAATCTATGCTTGCGAATGAAGTCGGACCAGGTTTGGAGTTGCAGTCCGGGGATCTAATGTCCAAACTTTGACAGGTTAGCGCACATTATGTATAATAAACACGAACATCAAAGGGAGTGTAGAAGCTTTGACCTACCCCATTGGCTCGCACAAACTCAACCCGCGCGTAAACGTGGCTACACTTTTCGAAAATCATCAGCTGCTCTGTGAAGTCCAGGGCGATATCCCCGGACATGCCATCACGGGAGATAAGCAACTGCTGAAGCTCGCTGGCACTGACTGGGTGGTAGCGAGTTGGGACATTGTAATCTAGCATCTCGATTTAGCGCTCAGGACCTTACAAAGAAATAGCTTACCAGCATAATATCTACCGTGCCTATCATATACATGAAAGACTTACCCTACATTTTCAAACGAGATTGAATACGGAGTATGTCCCAGGACGGCGAGCAGTCCATTCAGTAAGCGTACGTACTAGGTAGGTAGTTAATTAGTTATGCTCCGCTCCGCTGAATCATCAGTGAAGAATGTGCTCACACGAGGGCCCAGAGGTTAGGGAACCCACACAGCCCCTGTTTTTATTCGGACCGAACTGGAGATGCGAAACCCGATAGTGGGCATTGTGGAGAGAGTATGTAAGAATGCGGATCCGGACATTTCGGTCTCGTAAAAAGAGACAATTATGAGTCCGGTGACCGAATAGCCCCACATCCGACAGCCGGCATTATTGAATAGTAATCTGACTCTTGGACCCAGTCTTAATATACGGTCTGACAGCTTTTATTAAAACCGCTGCACCTCAAACACATTCCCATCGGCTTCTCTGACCAACACGATTGACTTTCAGCAAATCTCAACATGAGCCGTGTCGTTCTTGTCACCGGAGCCAATAGAGGTGAGCCGACGATAGCCATTACAGAATCAGTTGGATCTGATTTCGATCTGTAGGCATCGGAAGAGGTCTCGTGGCCCATTATCTTACCCAGCCGGACACTACTGTTATTGGAACGGTTCGGGATATCTCATCCGAGAAAGCAAAGGAACTCAATGCGCTGTCAAAGGGCCCCGGCTCTGGCCTGATTATCGTGTCACTTAACGCCGACAACCCATCAAGCGCAGCAGAGGCCGCGTCCGAAATCCAGACGCAGCATCACATCGATCACATTGACGTTGTCATTGCCAATGCCGGAATTTGCAACCACTGGGGCCCGGTGCTAGAAATGACTGATTCGGACGTGCTCTCGCACTTCGAAGTGAACACGTTGGGACCGCTCAGGCTGTTCAAAGCCGTCGCACCGTTGCTGCAAAAAGCCAGTACTCCCAAGTTTGTTTATATTTCCACGCTCCTGGCGAGTATCCATGAGATTGAGAACATTCCTTCGTTCACCACCACCGCCTATGGAATGTCAAAGGTGGCTGGAAACTATCTGGTCAAGAAGATCGATGCCGAGAACAAGCACTTGATTGCTTTGTCGGTGGACCCCGGGTAGGTTTAGATTCCAACCCCCGTTGCAAGAAGAGTGCAGCAGACTGATGCTGGCATCTTGTTTCCGAACTATAAGGCTTGTTCAAACCGACATGGGTGCTCGGGCTGTGCAGAACTTTGGACTAGAAAAACCTCCGGTAACTATTGATGATACCGTTCGTGGAATTACATCTCAGGTATGAACGCCTAGTTGTCATTTTGAGCATTGTAATGGCTAACACTGTCCAGATCGATGCGGCAACGAAGTCAACTACGTCTGGGCAGTTTGTTAGCTACAACGGAGACAGGGTTCCTTGGTAGATGAGGCTTGAAGGTGTCGGAAACTAGGTACCTGGCCTGGAGCACAAAGCAATGACCATTCTTGCCGCTCCATACGTAGCATTATTCTTGTTTTTCTCCACAGAAGGTTGATGTGATGTTTTGCACATACAGAAGGCAATATTCCAATGTACAAGGCAGTAGAAACAGAGTTTTTATTAAATTTGCATCATCTGGAACAAAATTAAGGTTGTGACAGCAAAAGTCGGTGGCTACAGGTACAAGGATACTAAGTAGGTCATATATATATATCAAGCAAGAAGGGGATAGCCTGCAATAACAGCCCATGGATGATTCACTGCCTTAAAGAAACTGTTTCGATAAGCTCATGGGAGCCATACGTCAACTTTGAACTCCACAAGAAGCGCCGGAAACGGCAAACTTTCGATGCCCACCATGGTGAACAACGGCTGATGATGAGGACACCATTTCCGGATGTAGTGAGCCGTGTTCTCTCGCGCTTGCTCTCCAATAGATGATAATCCCACAAAATATGTGCGCACTTTCACCACATATCCCGCCCGAACGACCCCCTTTAACAGCGCGCCCCGCCTGGAGGAGAGTGTGGGTGATCAGATCGTTCACGTTAATCTGCTCCGCAATCTTCAGGGAGGTATTTCTGGTCAGCGGGTTCATACCGGCTAGGAGACTATTAGACACATAGACATGTTGATAGGAGCACATATTACTAGATGCGTTCAGGGTATACTACTTACTTTGCCCGGTTATGACCGGTCTATTGTCGATGATGCAGGCATCGCTAAACCCGCATTTCTCGCGGCATTCTTCCCCAAAGCCAGGTAGTGCGTGATATTTGAAGCAAGCCATACTCAACAGTATGAAAGTTAGATTCCCAGCATCTTCCAGTAAGCTGATCAGAGGATGGAGCTTATTTATGTCTCTATACAGACTTGATTTTCTAGAATCAAAGAGACTTTTCCAATTTGGATGAGGCCGTTTTAATGAGGGCGCCTAGGGCGTCGCTCACTGAGTATTTCTTATTATCGGTTAAGGCTTAGTGAGCGCTTAGGTCCTACTTAGGGCAGAATTAGTTATTAGTTACGTGCGCCCTGAGCTGCATATATCTTAATATTCTATATCACTAGCTTGACGACTATATTGAATTAACTGTCTCTATAATGCCTATCCCTCTAATTTACGCGGTTTATCTAATATAACTATTATTATGATAGAGCGTAGTAAGTTTCTTAGATAGTAAAATCCGTCAGATATAATTGTAGTAATTTATAATAGTTCTGGTAAAAATATAAAAATAATATCTTTGCTACGCTTTCAAACTTATTAAATAATAATCTTATTTATTCTGTTTTTTTAACTCATCTCGTGTATATACAGATATTTTTTTTTCTTACTTTTTGTATTTTAAATGCTTTGCTAATAATAGATAAAAAGTCTTTTTAGCACGAAGAAGATGTCTATAAGAAATATTGTAAGTGTCGTTTTATTTCTAAATATATTTCTTAATCTTTTTTTTTTTTTAATCAGACGAGGAGATTATTTAAACCGGTGAGGGTCAGCACGTGACTTAATCCCCTTATTCCGGCCACTCCAGGATAATTGCAGGGTTCGAGGATCTCACATTGACACTGGTTTCGAGATTCTGCCACCGTCTTCGTCATTTCGTCATCTGTCATCAGCTCTCAGCCCCTTCCTTGGAATCCGCCTGAACGGTCTTTGTGTCAACGCACGCAACAATGGACATCCAAGTATGTTACGCCCGCAAACATCAAGTAGATGCTTCCTCACCAATTCTAGGGGAAAGTTGGCAGCGCCGAAGAATACGAGGCCGCTCGATCTCGTCTCCTTGAGAAGGAGAAAGCGGCGACTCGCCTACTACAGGAGATAGCGGGTCTGCGACGTGAACTGCCCATAGTGCGCATCCGCGACCCAGGTCGGTTCCAATTCGACACGCCTAGCGGCGTAAAGAGCCTGTTGGATCTATTCGAAGGGCGCAAGCAGCTCATACTCTATCATTTTATGTTGGGGCCGCAGGAGACTCAGGGCTGCGTGGGTTGCTCGTTCTGTATGGACCATATCCCTGACCTTCGTCACCTGTGGAGTAGGGATACTACTTTCGCCGCGGTGGCTACCGCGCCCTTGTCTGAAGTGACCGCGTACGGGAATCGGATGGGCTGGAAGTTTCCTTTCTATAGCTCTGCAAGGATGCATAAGACGTGGGCTGAAGCCGAGGCAGAGGGAGAAACCATCACCTGGAAACCCCGCAACGGCTACTTTGGTCTATGCTCGTTTTTCCGGGACGGAGACGAGGTTTTTCACACCTATGAGACCTCGTCTCGTGGCGTGGAGATCCTACTATCCACTTATCACCTGTTGGATATGACCTTGTTAGGTCGGCAGGAGGCAGGAAATGGAATGAACAACTTCCGCCGTCATGATGAATACTAAATTAGCAGGAAATGAAGCAAAAGTTTGTTGATTTTCAACCCTGATCTATCATGCACGGAATGGGGCACCGGAGTTTATTGAAGCCGATGATAATGGGGCTTACAAAACCATCCTATGATTCCAACCACAAACCTCGTGCATACCTAATCAATGCTAAGTAGGCCCAAAATCATCATGCACACAATATTGATGTCGCAATTGTTACCAGGACCAATAGTAACATCCAAAAGGTAAACCCAGAGTTCAACCCCCACCCCCCCCCCCCCCTGGTGTAACCAGCGGTTATTGATATTGATGTTGATGTTGCCGGTGGCGTGCATGTCAAGAGGTTCATCTTAAAACTATGCTTTACGACCGACTGGGAAGAGTGAAAACATATTATACTTTCCCAAGTTTTGTTTAGTCTCGGGCAAATATCGGGGGCATTGATCTGGCTTGTTCGAACAACGTTCGATCGATTTATTCACCTCTCATATTGTTAATATAAAAGGCGTCTTGGCCAGCGGGATTAGTCCTAAGATCGTGCTAGTCGACCGGCAGCGCGGGGTATATGGTAGATTATATTTCCCCGGATTTTTCTTGGTTGCGGGCAATTGTCGGGAATTCAACTGGTTTGAAGAGCGTCTTGTCGATGAAGTGGGCACGTTTAGGGCGTTCTATACTACTCGGTGGCTGTGGGTTTGATTGATGTGGCTTCTCTCGGATGGTCTGCTCCAGTAGAATAATGGCTTTCTCTTTGCTACCTCATGGCATAAGAAGCCAAGGCAAGTGGTAAAACGTTGGATCGGAAAATTATATAACAGCGAAGGGGCACATTGCTGTGGATATTCCAAGAGGATCATCACGCATCTTCCCATCTCGTTGGAGATCTTCTGAAGATCTTCAGAGTTCCCCGCGACCAACATTTTGTCAGGTTCGCATCTCTCTTCGAACACCACAATGCTTCTCACTGTCTTGGCAGTTGTGGGTTGTTTCACCGCGGTCAATGGACATGGATATCTGACGATCCCCGCAAGTCGTACCCGGCTTGGGTTCGAGGTAAGCATTCCGGTACTCGGTACTTGGTGCATCATCTTGACGATCACTTCGCGTTGTACAGACTGGTATTGATACCTGCCCCGAATGTTCTATCTTGGAGCCAGTCACCGCCTGGCCTGATCTTGAGGCCGCTCAAGTTGGCCGGAGTGGACCATGTGGCTACAATGCTCGTGTCAGCGTCGACTACAATCAGCCCAGTGAATACTGGGGCAATGAACCGGTAGTCACGTATACTTCGGGGGAAGTTGTTGAGGTTCAATGGTGTGTTGATGCCAACGGCGACCATGGTGGCATGTTCACATACGGCATTTGCCAGAACCAAACCCTGGTGGATAAGTTCCTCACTCCAGGATACCTTCCCACCAATGAGGAAAAGCAGGCCGCAGAGGATTGTTTTCTGGACGGTGAGCTCAAGTGTAAAGATGTCTCCGGCCAGACGTGCGGGTACAACCCGGATTGTACAGAGGGAGCAGCCTGCTGGAGAAACGATTGGTTCACATGCAATGCCTTTCAGGCGAATACAGCACGAGCCTGTCAGGGTGTTGATGGAGCGTCACTGAACTCCTGCAAGACAACCATTGCGGGTGGTTATACCGTCACCAAGCGGATCAAGATCCCCGACTACTCCTCCGATCATACCTTGCTCCGCTTTAGATGGAACTCTTTCCAGACCGCACAGGTCTATCTTCACTGTGCCGACATTGCGATTGCTGGGTCTGGAGGTGGTACAACTTCCAAGTCTACGACCTCCACTACAAGTACCACTTCCACCTCACGATCCACTTCGACGTCTGCGCCCACGACCACATCCTCCGCCTCAACTGCCACGCCCATTTGCACTACCCAGGCTAGCCTAATCCCCGTCACATTTCAAGAATTTGTGACCACCATGTGGGGAGAGAACGTCTTCGTCACTGGGTCAATCAGCCAGCTGGGCTCTTGGTCCACCGATAAGGCAGTGGCGCTGTCTGCCACTGGGTACACCGCATCGAACCCGCTCTGGACCACTACGATAGACCTTCCGGCGGGGACAACTTTTGAATATAAGTTCATTAAGAAGGAGACCGACGGGAGTATCATCTGGGAGAGCGATCCAAACCGCAGCTACACTGTCCCTACTGGATGCTCTGGCACCACCGCCACCGCAGCAGCTAGCTGGCGGTAGGTTCAGGATCGTATGAGGTGAATGATATATGGAGATGTGTGCCCTTTGTTGCGAGCATTGTGGGTAGGAATATTGATATGAGAAGCCCATTTCATCAAGGTATTACCAGTGATAACTCTCTCCCTTTTTTTTTTTTTTTTTTTTTTTTTGTTTTTGCAGAAATGGGAATCGCTTCTCTTTGGGCAGCCTCCAATAGGTATCTCGTAGACAACACCGTCTATGCCATGTGCCGAGCAGGCAAATGTGATCACAGTTCATATTTCGCAAAGATGACGACATTGCAATAATATTCAGAAGCTCGTTCTATGCGATCCTATAGTTTGGTTGTGCTCAGGTCTACTCAGGAAGCAAACAGTTGCGACGGGTGGGCGTTAAAGCAGAAAAGGGAAAGCCATTGACTTGCGCAGATAATATATTCTGTAAAACTAGTTCCCTTTTTGGGCCTTCTTCTTTTTCCCTTGTACTGTGGTGAGAATGGCTGTCTATACAATGAGATTGAACAGGAGGAACTACACAAGACCCTTCGTACGTAAATGGAATGAGTGTCCTCCTATATTTTTCGCGCTTACCCCTCTCCCCCGCCCTTAGTCTGTCGCCGGAGGAAACCTACTAAAGTATTTGCTATGCTGGTACAGAGTGGTAACTATAGTATTTTTCTACTGAGGAAAGAGATCTAATATTTGTGCTGGGCTTTAGAGGAGCGTGGCGGGCAAGAGTGGATTGTAAGTAGAGAAGCGGGTAAGGGGATGATTATTAGTTAGGGTGCAGTTTATTGAGGCTACTTACTTAGGGTACTTAGTCTCCTGCTTACCCCGTGTTTAGTGATCGCCTCAGGCTGCTTAGAGCGTGCTTAGGACGTGCTCAGATGTACTCAGTGAGCAAAAAGCGGCGAAGGGTGAGTACTAAAACGGAAAGAGTAGGCCATCGACTGTCCTAGAAAATCAAGTACATATGCTGTTTTTGCCCTGGGTGTAACTCGTCTACTTTGCCCGCTTTGTCGGCGGGAAAGACCAGAACTCAGAAGCCCAGACGATATATTCTTTTTTATTCTGTCTATGGTATTGTAAGAGAGTGTGAGAGGTTTAGGCCAGACATCCAAACGCAGCTGTTGTAGCATTGAATCCAGAGAATGGCCAGAATTGAACCTCATTAAACGTAGGTAATGATAAACCCTGGACACAATAAATGGTTTACTGATCCAACATGAAAAGCTACTCTGCTCACAGTAGAGATTGAGGTGCATAGTACATTAGCTGATGCAGCAATGTGAGATGCGTTGTATATATATATATCTGGAGGAATGACCCCTTTAGTCCCTAGCATTGAGGTACTAGATCCCACGAATTTCAGCCAAAAAGTCCATGGAATGGAAGCTAAACACTCCTCTCACATGCCACAACTTGTTACAATCGACTTCTACACAGCAGCTACTTGGAGCTGGAATTACAACCAGCAGTGATCGGTGAAAGGCCACTACTTATTTCATCCTTAATCTGTATCCCGCCCATGATAGTCACGTTTATCGACAGTATATAGATAAGACGAGCGAATAAAAAAGCTAGAAGTGTATAAAAAAGAGACAGGTTGGTTTTCATGTTTATCACAGAAACGAATAGGTTGGAAAATTGAATCTCCAGCATTGATAACAACAAATAGTCACATAATGCCAAGCATTCTTGACGCTTATCAGTGACTGATATCCCTTCCCATGTTAATACCCCATCAGCCATCCCTCCAATGGCCCCTTGATTAAAACATAGACAGTTTTGCATTGCCCAATTTGCTAGCTTGGGTATCCTCTTGATCGGCACACATCCTGCAGGCTATTGTTTTGCGGATCGGGTTCTGTTAATGAACCTATTGGCGGGCAATTGTCTTCATTATTGAGTCGATAAGCGACCTCGATAGCTGTTGGCACATGAATAATAACCACGTATAGGGGCATTGCAAACATCGACAGCAGAGAGAATGTGGCAAATGCATGGCGAGCAGTGCATAGAGTACCACTCCCGGCCTCGTCATTCCCGAAGGAGCTAAGACCATGTAAAGCAAGGAAGCGATGTTGCATGCAAGATAAATGAGATTGCCTTATCATCATTTCACCGAATTAGTCAGGCAATTTGCAACACGAGATGACAGGGATTCTATCGCAACCACACGATCTGTTCCCGCACAAGTTGGCGGAGAGTGGCTGAAGATCGCGCCAGTCCGTGCATGCGTCGTACAAGGATGTCCGGTATTGGGAGCAAAGAACTGATCTACAAGCCTCAGTTATAGGAGAACGGGACAATAGAAAGACGCTTATCTCGGAGAAAACTGAGCGACTAACAATAGAGTTTCTTTACGTTGGATTTCAGATTTGAGGTAACGTTCTCGGTCGTCTGAAAATGCGTCTAAGTCAAGGAAGGGTAGGATATGCCGGATCTACTATCAATCCCAAAATAGGATTTATTGGAGGCCCACTGATCGTCCAGACTGATGAACTATTGTTCGAGTGAATGGATAAGCCGGGTGGTCATCCGGGAGTTCGTGCTGCTGCAACCTCACATCTGGACCCACTGTCTCATGCTGGTGTATTCGCTCCAGGGTATGTTGGGATGACATATTCAGAGAGGGTAGGAGGTAAAAGGATGCCAGATAGTAATAAGGAGTATGGAGAGAGGAAGGTAAAGAAATATAGAACGTACTGACCAATCAATCTCGCACTCCGTATAGTGACGGCTGAGAAAATGGTATGAAGCAGATCAGTGACTCGGAGTCATGGATTCCCCAATGGCATCTACAATGGGATCTACAATCGCAGCACAATAATCGGGGACCAGAACCGGGCTCCATACACTTCGAGGGCTACTCTGGCTCTTCCAAGAGAGGACAGAAAGCTTCTCACGGACAAGCTCTGTGTGGATGCGCCCGACAGGTATAACATGCGTGAAGGGCCCAAAGGAGAGAATCAGTATCATGTCACAGCGGTGGGACAAAGTATAATGTGGCCGATCCCCAGGCTCATGGTTCATCAAGATGCTACCGAGACCCGATCGACGGGAACTGGGTTGTGGATGGTGGAGTGCATGAGCCAAAGCGCTGGAAAGGTGGCCGAATCTGGAGAAAAAAATGGATACATTGGAGCATCATGGACAGGAATGTCATCGTTATCCACGCACGGCCATTGGTTTAGGGGAAAGTTGTAGTTGATGGTCCGCGGAAATGCTGGGAGACCAGGCCGGGGTATCATGGAGGTTGATAAGATGCACTGATGTGAGTCGCCGTGGGCGTCAGGGACCAGGCTTGTGGAGCCTCTTCTTATCAGCTGCAGGGCATATCCAAAGGGTCCCGCATAGTTAGTTGACACCACTACCGAGCGGGAGATGAAGTAAATAATGGGAACCGAAGGGCTGGTGCCGATCCAAGAGATAAGCAATCCTGGCCCGCTGATTGGCCCCATCCGGCGCATGCCCTAAGTATCGCCAGATCCGGGAGCAGGATATAACACACCCTCCTATCCTTCATTCCAGAGCTTTGGTTCTTATACTTCTCAGATTCAATTGATTGTGTACAACACCATGTCCGCCATGTCTTTTGATGCCCTCACCCCATACGAGGTCATCGCCGCCGTCGCGCGGTCCGGTGTCACCCGCGGCAACATGCGCCTTGATAAGGTGTTTCTGAGCTCCGTCTCCGCAGGATGTCTGCTGGCCTTCGCTTGTGGCACCGTCTTGAGCACCGGAACAACGCCATGGTTCCAAGAAAACGCCCCAGGCTTGATACGAACCATTAGCGCTCTCGTTTTCCCGTATGGCTTATGCATGATCATCCTTACTGGAGCGGATCTCTGCACGGGATCGTTTATGGTAAGTGACAAGCATCAGCAAAAGCAACTGTCGCATGCTGACAGCCACTAGTTTACAACAGTTGCGGCTCTGCAGCGCCAGCTCTCGTGGAAGAAGATGCTTCTCCATTGGTTCGTCACCTTCTGGGGTAACTTGGCGGGATCTTTGTTTGTTGTTGCGATCATCTTTGGCTGTGAGTGTCTTTCATCTAGTGTACTACTATATACTTACTGACTCATGGAAGATGGCAACGTCTTCTCCACTGAACCCTTCAAGTCCGCCGTCATCACCTTCGCAACCAAGAAACAAGTCACCCCCGACTTCCACAACATCTTCCTCCGCGGTATCGGATGCAACTGGTTGGTGTGTTTGGGATGTTACTTGGGCATCCAGGGCCGAGAGCTCTCGTCCAAGATCATTGGTATTTGGCTGCCCATTTTCGCCTTCGTCTCTCTCGGGTTCGACCACGTCGTCGCCAACATGACCTTTATCCCCATGTCTATCTGGCTCGGTGCGCCCGGCATCAGCGTAGGCCTCTACATCTGGAAGGGTATCATCCCGACCCTGCTGGGTAACATCGTCGGTGGTGGTCTTTTTGTCGGTATGTAGTCATGATAATCGGATATGCTGGGTTATCCATTGCTAACTTTCCTAGGAACCTACTACTGGTATATGTACCTTCTTAAAGACGAGGTTCTGACCCTCACCGGTCTGCGCAAGGGCATGGACCGATCCGAGGTCAACAGCGTCGCTCCTCCGGCCAAGGAGGACGTCGAGGCCTCCGCTGGAGTCGTCGACAGCAGTGGCTCGGCCAGGAGCCACTAGAGCCACTTATTGATAGGAATGATGTTATCTAATGAGATTAAAGTAATATTTGGCACCTAATTATATAGCTATACATATACCACTACTAATAGAATATGCTTCCTGGAGTGGATTGTCTGTATTCTCACTAGTTCATTCAACTATGAAACCTTTTTTCCATGCTCCTTCACAATCTTTTTCTTAGGGCGAAGTATGAACAGTTAGAAGCACTACAGAAACAGGAGCTATATTAATCACTTGCAGTGGTTGGTACTTTGTAGAGTATCTTCCGATCAGTGAAGGAAGCTGTGCCTGCGGCGCATGTGCAGTCGAAGTTCCCTTGCGCTCAAACATTGCAGCGATGGGCTCATACCCGCCAACTAAAATGAGCATTACATTACTGAAAAGCGCCAAGCCTGTCAGTGGTATGTAAGGTGCGATGCGATATATGGCTGAGATCGTGGTTTGACGATTCTGTACGGGAGCATTGTAGACGAGCGCTTCGGAGGGACCCATGCATAAACGGGTGAACCCGGAACATCGAGCAGAGTCCGAATGATTCGCAAGTTGCGCTGCAGTCTGTCCGTGACCTGCTTGGCCGCCCGGTTATTTCTAAACCGTGCCAATACCGGCCAGTGGGGATGGGTCCATTGTACCGTTCGGTTGGGCTGTTGAATGGTAAGAGCCAGTAGCTCGCTAAGGCCTGTCGCCTTTACAAGGGCAAGAAGAAGCGAATGTATAATGAGTAGCTTGACGATACAGATAACATTTTTGCCGTTGAAAGGGTCGATGAATATCGTCCGATCCTTGTTAAGCCGATTTCTGGTTAGACTATAAGTAAATTGCCAAGGGATACTTAGTTATCAACTTACTTCTGGTCAATCACGTACTTCAGCCGAAAAGGTCGCCTTTAGGTCCTGTGTCGACGGCATGGGTGCTTTGTCCAGGACAAGCTTCATATCCTCATACTTCAGAAATTCTTTCGTATATTGCGGAGACAGCCCGATGTCTCTGGCGCGGGCAGCCAAAGCTGACTGCAAAACCACAGGCAGAAGCGAGGCAATTTTTATGTCCCAGCTGAGCGTCCCATAATGTAGAGGATGCATCAAGAACTCTTTCGTTTGGTACGGCTGTGGGGTAGCTTGGAGAGTGAAGGGAGCTTTAAGTAGCTAAATTCCAGAAGTGCAAAGAACAAATTTGGGAGTTAATGACCTTCCTTGTTAATTGCCGGTAATGATAGAAGGTATGACATTCAAGGAGTGAAGGAGGAAGGGCGTACTCATTTTAATCACCCCTTTCGACCTAAATTAGGCCTGGTTTATGGATTAATCGCGTAGCCAGGCAGAGGAACAGTTTGATATCCTGCTGAATAGAGATAGAAAAGGGATACATGGCCTCATAACACTCCGTTCTACGAAGACCAACCCATCATCAGCTAAGAACGACAAAAGGAGAATTAACACATTGGGCAGGATACCCAGGTCAGATCCAGGGATTTTCTCGTCAGTGAAATCCTTCTACACTTCCTCAACGGGATCACCACTAGCAATACCCGGTCTGAAGACTTGTGATGTTAATTTGATACCCACTGTTCTAATCTCTAGTTAATATCAGTGGTAATACTTGATGTATCTGGAGTCGTCTCATTGTGTCTCCTCTAAAGACTGTATTCTCTGCGACCGAGAATCGGCAGTGAAAACCCTCGATTGACTGCATTCTAGATTCGGCATTGATGGCGGAGCACTATCGTCCGGCCCACATCGGGCAATTTTATGTATCCTTAGTATAGTTCGCCGCAAAGTCGCCTAAACACTTTCCGACATCATATGCAGAATGAACTTGTTTGGGGCTCTAGCATATTCAGATAGAGCGAGTAATGGAGACACATTTCTCCCAACATCGCAATATAGGCTTCTTGCATTGAGGCAAAATGTGCCTGTCGGGAATTTTAGGGACGACAGATGAAGCCCCACGCGGTCCGGATTTACCCACAGCGCTCACCGAGATTATCTGGAGTAGAATCATGCTTTACTCGAAAGGACATAGTATGGGTGGATCTTTTTTTCGTATATTTTTTGACATCAATCTTATTTAAGTTTTCTATCCTACGACATGCAGGGATTTTGTCAGAACCTCATGAAAGCTCAACATGATTCAAGTTCCCAGCGCAACGGCCGACCCTGAGCGTTGCCACTCTGCCGAAGGGCCTGCGTTCGAGAAAGATGCAGCCTTGGCAGTGGTGGGCGACCAAGCTATGGACATCGACCCCGCCGTGGAGAAGCGCGTGCTGCGGAAGATTGATATGTTCTTTATGCCGGCCATGCTCATCGGTATGTCGTTCATTTGGGCGTTATTGTCCTGAGAGTGCTAATATGTGCTAGGCTATGGCTTCGTCTATTGGGACAAAGTGAGTGTCATCCCACGAGGGTTGTATACTCGACTATCGGCTAATACCGATAGGCCATTCTGGGAAGTGCCACCCTGTTCGGCATGACGACCGACCTCCAGCTCCTGGTGATGGATCATACGACGACTCCCCCGTCCAAGGACACTACCCGGCTCAGCTGGGCCACGTCGTTGTTCTATTTCGGCATGCTGGCCGGCCTGTACCCGATGACGTTTATCCTGCAGCGATTCAAGATTCAGCATATTTTCGCCCCGATCGTGATGCTGTGGGCCATTACATGTGCGGCCACAGCAGGGGTACGCTCGTGGCACGGACTGTTCGTCCAACGCTTTTTCTTGGGTAATCACAATTCTTGCTATGTAAGGAAATCGCTGCTAATACAGAACAGGCTTTGTTGAGAGCGTAGTGCCTACCGGCTTCATGACCATCGTCAGTGGATACTACACGCAGAAGGAGCAGGCCATGCGTCAGGCATGGTGGTTCTCTGGTACTGGGTGGTTCACTATCATCGGAGGAGCGCTGAATTACGCATTTGGACAGATTGAATCCGGCTCCCTGCGCCGCTGGCAGTATATCTACATCTTCGCAGGAGCCTTGACATTTCTATTCGGTCTCTGGTGTGCCGCCATGCCGGATTCTCCGGTCTCTGCCTGGTTTCTCACTCCCGAGGAACGAGTCGTCGCGGTTGAACGTCTCCGAAAAGGACAGACCGGAGTTCGATGCCAGAAGATCAAATGGGACCAGATTAAGGAGTCTTTCTTGGACATCAAATTGTACCTGGTGGCGATTATGATGGCGGCAGCGTAAGTCAATCCCTAACTTGTCCGTATTCGGTCTAATTTCTCCTTCAGGTACACCATCAACGGCGCCATTTCTGGCTTCGGTCCACTGATTGTGTCGACTTTCGGATTCGATACCCTGGATTCAATTCTCTTCCAGTTCCCCGTCGGTGGCATCTGTCTGATTTTCATCCCGCTCTGCGGATACATCGCCTCTCGTATCCCGAACACCCGCATCCCGATGCTGATCACTTGCTGTCTTCCCGTCATCGCAGGTTGTATCATAATCTGGAAATCCGAATGGGGATACAAGCCCGCCGCGCCAGTTGTCGGATACGCCTTGACCGGGTTCTTCGGCCCTGTCGTCAGTCTCATCATTACGCTGGGGGCGAGCAACGTGGCCGGCGCAACCAAGAAGACCATCATGGCCGCCAGTGTGTTCGTCGCCTACACCGTTGGAAACATCATCGGTCCTCAGCTAGTCAACAGCAAGACCGTGGGTCAGCACTACCCCGAGTTGTGGAAGGGAATGATCATCTGCTACTGCATTACGATTGCGGCGGCGGCGGCACTATACGTCGTCTTATGGAGGGAGAATCGGCGACGCGACCAGCTGGAGCTTGACGAGAGCGAACGCGACAAGCTTGCGTTCCTCGATTTGACAGACAAGCAAAATCCGTTCTTCCGGTATGTACTGTGACATACGCATGGATTGGTGTAAAGAGATAGGGAGGTCTGTATAAAAGTATCATTAGGTGGTTATGTGCGTGCATCTATGTACTGTAATATCAATTAGGGGCAAGGGTATTAGGTCAGATATCAGCAATCGAGGTCTTCCCAGAGATGATCCTGAAATCCTCTGCCATCATCTCCCGTCACCACTATCCACATTACCTTCTGCGCGATCTTCGCCTCTCGCTTCTCAGCGCGCTCAATCCCCTTTTCGCTCTTCTGGAGCTTCTTGCCGATCTTCTTCTCCCCTTCTTTTGTCAGCTTGTCTGTTTTCTTATTCAATTTTTTCATCTCCTTCTCCAGGTCCTCCTGCACGATCAGCCGGCCCTGCATAGACTCCCCCAGAGGGCCCTGTAGTCGCTCGTTCGCTCGATCCCGCGCAGCGGTCTTCAGAGCCTCCACCTCTTCAAGCTGCGAAGCCAGTTCGCGCTGTATAGCCTCCGCCTCGGCAGCCAACTTGGCCGCCTTTTCCCGTTGTTCAGTAAGACGCGTATTCTGCTTCTCAGAAAACACCCGCTCCTGCTTCTCCGACGCCCTCTTCAACCAGTTATCCGATAGCGGCAGCGCATCGGCAAAGGTCAGAGGCAGGACATAGTCGCGTATCGCCTCCAGCCGTCTCATCTGGGGGTCATACTTCCTCTCACTCCCGCCTTTGGCCTCCTTCGTCCCCTTCCCAGAAAAACTCCCCTCCCCTGCATCCCCTTCCGTATTAGCAAACACATCATCCCCCTCCTCATCCCTCTTAGACGACACAGGCGCAAGCTCCAACACCTCCCCCGGGATCCCCACTTCCTCCATCATAACCTTAGTTGTAAGCACCTGCACCCGCAGCCTCCGCGGCGCGAACAGCTGCTCATTGGCCAGCTTCATGTACGCCTGCGTGCGCAGCTGAGACACCTTGACAGACCCATACTCCGCGGCCACCTGCACGCCCACCGCAACCAGCTGCGTCTCCAGCAGCGGGAGCAACCCGAGCAGACTGCTCGCCGCGCTAGTTGCCTGGAGATACGGATGCGCCAGCCACACCTCGTTCAGGCCGTCGATGAAAGCCAGAAAATCCGACGCGGAGATGCCATGGTCCCCCAGATCGGGCGCGTAGGCCCGTGCGAACGGGCGGTAGATGCTCCCGTGGAGAGTGTGGGAGGTTTCTATGATAATTAGCTTATTGACTTTGAGGGGGGATCTGATTGAGGGAAAGGGAGACGTACGGGGCACGACGCAGGGCTTGGGCAGGATGCGGGATTGGCGCGGCCCGGCGTCGGATATTTGACTGTGCACTAGGACTGGCGCGGACGACGGGGAGTAATATGGCGGTGGGGGGTTGTGGGTGTCGTTGTCCCTGTCCCAGGCAGACGGGTTATTTCTTCCTGTCCCTGAGTTGAACGTCGCCTCAGCAGACGGTCGAGCTGGGAGAGGTGGTTTCTTCTCCATATTGGGTCTGATCAGGATGTAAAGGTGTCCTTCTACAGCATCCTTTTTTTTTGTCGCCTAAAGGGGATGTTCAGGTCACGTGGATTAGCACATATCACGTGCTGCGTTGTTGTTGTTGGCCAGATATGGGATATGTAACTGAAACTGCCCGCGCTGTTCGAATATACTATTTACTATTCTTGTTGGTACAATAAGATGCTGAATTAGAGAGCATATATCAAAAGATGGTCGCTCATTGCAGTGCAACGCTCGAACGCCAAATCAACCCGCTGAAATCGAAATATATTCTCGCATCCACCAACTACTCCTCCAGGTTCTTATTTGCCATGATCTTCGAGTTTCCAACAATAGTCTCCGCCAAGGACATGATGGACGAATTGTTCACAATGTCCAGGATGGAGATATCAGCTTGCGCCTCCTTCATAGTCCACGCTCGAATATCCACCGCTGTCAGACTATCCACACCATACCCACTGACCGGTTTCGACCCATCAACGTCGTCAACATCAACCATCATTTGTTTGGCGAGTCTGGCCCGGAGGGCCTCAGAGACTGCTTCTGCAGCGGCCGCACGATTGGTTGCTTTCCCGAGCTGTTCCGATAAGCCAGGACCAGAAGCACCTTCACCTTCACCAGTCGCGCCGATTCGTTTGAGGTGCGCCATCTTCGAATCAGAGAAGTAGTATGGCATATCGATCCCTTCAGCAGCAAGATATCCACCTGATGCGAGACCCAAGATAACCTGAGCACTGTCTGGATCGTGGACATCTCCATTACCAATGCCGGTCTGAAGGATACCCACGAGCTCAGCCCCAGTGAGTCCAATAAATCCCAAGTTTCGCATCATCTCCTTCATGTCGGATTTCTCGGCCATGTATCCCACGTCAAACACAGCACCGACATCAATTGCCATAGCCGCCATACCTTGAGCCCGGCGGTGACGCGCCAGTGCATCCAAGAATGTGTTACCTAGCGCGTGTCAGCTAAACCCAGCAAACACCGAAGACAAAGAACGACCTACCAGCAGCATAGTTTGCTTGGCCCCGCAGTCCAATGATCCCAGAGACCGACGACAACATGATGAAAAAGTCCAGATCTCTAGGTGTGGTTAAGTGGATGTTCCATGTCCCACGCGCTTTCGTGTTCGTGCTCAGCTCCCACTGCTTAGGCGTCATTTGCCTAAAAGTTGCATCCTGCGAAGGAAGTTAGAGATGATCCCAAATGATCATTCCGGTCTGTGAAGGAACTTACTGCAAGCGACATGGCGGCTTGAACGACTCCCCGAACCGGTGGTCGGCCATCTGCCGTAATCTCGTTCATCACTTGTTGGACCTGCTCGAAGTTGCTGATATCACACTGATATGCTGTGACATTTGCCCCCTGGGCCTCGATATCCGCTATCAGCTTTTTTGCTTCTAAGCGGTTGCCACCGCTCCTCGATAGGAAGATTAGATGCCGCGCGCCATTTCCAGCCATCCACTTAGCAATGTGTTGTCCGAGGCCACCAAATCCTCCGACAATGATATAAGAGGCATCAGACAGGAATTCTATCGGTTTTATGGGAGGTGGAATGGCCATAACCGTTTCAGAACCTGTGGCTTTGAACACCACTTTGCCCATTTGGTTGCCACCGCGGAGAAGCCGCAAACCATCCGCTATCTCGGAGAATCCCTTGACTTGGAGAGGAGACGCCGGCTGACAGCCCTTTTCTAGACAGAATCCCATGGCCTTCTTGAACAGTTTCGATGCCCGGTTGGGATTCGCGTTGCGGAGGCCATTGATGTCCACCACATGGTAAGAGAGATTCCTAGTAGCAAGCGCACCGAGGTCCGTATGCTCTGCTGGGATGAGTTAGTAAGAGCCCAAACTCCAGTATCATGGCATTGCCTACCGGAAGGCTTCTGTCCTATCTCAATAAAGCGTCCAAATGGAGCCAAGCATGCCCCAGAGTGCCGGACTGACTCGCCCGACAAACAGTTTACGACGACGTCCACGCCCACGGATTGTGTGACACGCAGGATGCCGTGTAAAAAGTCGACTCCACGGCTATAGAAGACATGATCCTCTTGAAGGCCATACGTCTCCATGAGGTGAGACCGTTTCGCCTCGGACCCAACAGTGACATATACTTCTGCACCGAGATTCTGCGCGATCATAATCGCCGCTTGGCCAACGCCGCTGGCCGCTGAATGGACGAGTACCTTCTCGCCATCAACTAGCCGTGCACATTCTACTAACGCCTGGTATGCTGTGCAGTAGTTTATCGGGAGCGCGGCCGCTGTCTCAAATGACATCCCGATCAACATACGCTGTACCAGACATGCTGGACTCCGGACCGTGTTAGCGAAGGCTCCCGTGCACCAGGTCATGACCCGATTCCCCGGTGTGAAATCCGCCACATTGGACCCAACATCCTTGATGACTCCACTGCATTCATAACCAAATGCGGGGTCACGGGCCTGATCTATGGCCGACTGAAGGTCAAGCGCGCTGAGCCCAGTTGCCTTGACTTCTATCTCGACATCGTCTGCTGCGAGAGGCGACTGCGTAGGTGGGTTGTCCATAAAATAAACAGAGTCGACGTTCCCAGGGACCCCGAGACGCAGAGCGAGGTTTCTGCCCTGCTGCTGCAACGGCCCGGGCTCCGGTCTTGGCCCGTCTCGAAGAACAGACGAGTAGTGATTGAGTTCACGATCGAGTCGAATACGCGGAATCTGGAGAAGCCCATCTCGGACGGAGAACTCGTGATCAGTATCTCCTGCCGCAGCACGCTGGAGAAGCTGGATAATGATATTGGCATCCCCTTCATTGTCATTCCGGCTAGGGTCGACGTCAAGCGTCGTCAATGAGAGTTCCGGATGCTCTTGGTTTATACTGCGAACGAGTCCAGTGACCAGAGAGGCTTTTGGCTCCCTGCACTCTATAGTTGCTCCCGAAGTCACCCAAAGTATGCTCTGTGATTCGAGCAAAAGTCGCTTCAGTAGGAGGAAATTCTTCGCCGATATGTCGAACAAGATTGGACGCTCCAAGTCAGACGTGATTACGCAGTGCTTGGTCGAAAGGTCCATGCCTTGGGTGTGGCACAGGGTTGTATAGACTGGCTCAACGCCGTGAGGTTGCAATTGCTGCTTCAAACTTTCGAACAGGGGGCCAGGGTGTGATGGACCAACAATGAGAACTTCATCTAGGATACGACCAGGTCCAGTGTCCGGAGAAGAAACCAGGAAAGGCAGTGATTGTACCGAGCTATATTCCTCAATCACTGCATAATCGATCCCTTTGAAGTTATGCTTCCGGAGCTGCTGGTCCCAAGAATCTTGAGAGTCGGCAAAAAGTTCCGATGGGAGGATGATTAGGCTTCCTTGATCCTTCAGGAAAGACCGAGCCTTTTCAAGAAGCGCATCGGTATCGTTCGACTCGACGTTTGCCCTGATAATGATGCAGTCGAAGTCCTGAGGCTGCAGGGCTTGCTCTTCCCAGCTTCGATTAGTTTCAAGCTGCATAGCTCTGAAATATGGTCCCCATGCGTTGGAAATCTTTTCCAAACTTTTCACGTCCTCTGCATTTTCTGTCGCTGCCCTGTACAGCTGCAACCAAGGAGTGGACTCATCGTCGCGACCCTTCAGCGCATTGAGAAGAGTTTCAGTAATCTCCCCAGTTCCTGCACCCACCTCGAGGACCTTCAAATCGGGGTGTTTATGGCCAAGCAGTCGAACAAACGACTCTAATGAGCCTACTGCCTCCCCAATTTCCTTAGGAGAATTGTGAGAAGTGTGCCTCATGGCTTTCAGATACGAGACATCCACGTCCCAATGTATCTTGCTAGCGATTTTCCTCATTCCGTCTGAACCCTCATTCTTGGACTTTCCGCCTCCCAGACGAGTTATCCTGAGTTGATCGAACATGATCTGGGGACTCTCCCATTCGGTGGTGGAAGCTTTGATCGTCACTTCTCCGTCTCTCAGACCATATGGTTCCGCAGTGGAGTGAACGCTAAATATTGTCCCCGGTTCTGCGGAGACATTTGCAGATACCATCATGCGGCCGATAGATATTGGCACAGATGCGCCCTTCTCGAACTCCCCGCCATTCAGGATCGCAAGGCAGGAATGCACTATGGGATCGAGTGTGCATGGGTGGATCAAATGGTCATGGGTGAAGCCGTGAGGCATGTGCTGCCTGACGTTCGGAGTACGGACAGCACACACCATCTCTCTTCCGCTCGTATGAATATCTTCGACATTCTGGAATGTTCCTCCAAACTCAAGACCGAGTTCAGATTGCTCGGAATAGAAAGCATCGGTACGGATGGATTGCCGACAATTCTGGCGCGCACGCTGGTACCCAGAACGGTACATTGCGCTAGCTTCCTTGGTCTCGTCCACGAACCACTCCGTGCTAGCATCAAACTTGTACTGAATGCGCACAAGCCCTGTGCAATTGAGCGTCCAGGGATTATGTGCCTGCCGTGAGTAGATGGAAAATTCCTTCCGTGCTAATCCGGTGTCCTGGCCTGCGCTTGCCCGGGGATGCATGTGAAGCATGGTTTCAACTCCTTCTTCGCCAGAGGGGATCATGATAGCCGCCTTTATTGAGACATCGCGCAATTCAAAATTCTCAACAGCCCTGTCAGCGTCCGCGATTTCTCTCGATGCCTCCAGAGCCATTGCGAGCATTCCTGCAGCTGGGTAAATGACTTTTCCCTGAACCTGGTGATCTTCCATCCATGGATTCTCGGAGAGACGTAGAAAGTGACGCCAACGGGGATGATTGTCGTTGTCTTCATTATCTCTCAGCCCAAGCAAGTCCTTCCGCGGGAATTTCTTGAAGCGGTAGCTAGATGCTACGGCAGACTCGTGCCAGTAGCGGTTCGAGTGGTTCCATGGATATGGTGGAAGATCAACCAGAGGTTTCGGTATGTCGTTCGAATCAGGACAGTTTGCTGCTGCAATGTCCGACTGATATCCATGTTGAAACAGCACACCCATTGCTTCCAGGAGGCTCTGGGCTGCGTCCTTTTTGCGGTCCAACACCGATATAGTGGTACACTGAGCGTCTGCTGCTTTCAGATTCTGCTTCACAGGGCCTTGAAGAGCCCCATGGGGACCAACCTCCAACATTATGTTGACAGAGCAATATCCTCTGTTTTGTTTCGCTCTGCGGTTATTGGAGTGGGTGATGAGGCCGGTCATGGCCTGCGAGAACTTGACCTGGTTTAGAAGATTGGTCACCCAATACTCTCCACCGAGGTCAGCATTATCAATGAGCTCCCCAGTCACACAAGAGTACATTTTCGGCGAGTCAGGAGTTTCTGGAAGGCCTTTGACGTCTTTCAGGAGATCGTGGTACATGTCCGCAACCACCTTCATATGGCCTGAGTGATAGGCTCGATTCACCCCCAGTCTCTTGGCTAGATGGCCATCAGCTTTGATGAGCTTTTCTGCTTCGATGATGACAGGGACGTCGCCAGAAAAAGTCACGCTGGTTGGGCTGTTGACGCAAGCCACAACCAGCTCTCCGCCATGCACATCCTTGACGTCTTTTATGTATTCCTTGGCGGTCTCCTCGCTGATCCCAGCGGCCAGCATGTCACCATCCAGCTCTAGCTCTGGATTAGCGTCCGGCACGATGGAGCATACACGTCCACGGTGATATGCAACTTTCCAGGCCGATTCCCTAGTCAGAGCACCCTTGGCGTACGCGGCGGCTGTTTCTCCCCCGGAATGTCCGATCACGAGTTCCGGTGGCCAGACGCCTAAGCTTCGCAAAAGATCAACCAACGCCACCTGCACTGCAATGCAGAGAGGCTGGCTAAATTCAGCTGGGTTGATCCGTGAGGACTCTGCGTCACGTAAAAGCTCCTGTACGAGCGACCACGGGCAGCCGAGTGAATCCAGGTATTTATCGGCCGCACGCAAGCTCTCAGCGTAGGCGTCGTATGCCATCAGTCGCCGACCCATGGCGTAGTGCTGTGCCCCCTGGCCGGTGAAAACAAAGGCAAGTTTTGGTTTTTGGGATGTTCGCACAGGTGGAGCTATATCTACCTGTCCAGTGGCGAGTTCCTCAGGATTAGAGCAGACAGCAAACGACCTCCATGGGAACTGAGTGCGCTTTTTTGATGCCGTATACGCGAGGTCCCTGAGAAGTCTGTACTGTTCCGGTTGACTGTACATGCTAGTTTTCATACTCAAGTACTCCTTCCAGGAGTCAGAAATACGGTTCAACCCGCCTTGCTCGTGAGCGGACCACACGACCAGCTTTGGAAACGCCTTAACGTTGGAGATTTCATCGTCCACCGTTGAGAAGCCCGAGTCATCAGACACCTGGGATCTTGTCGGGCTGTGGGAGGACTCTTCCGCGGCCTTGGAGATATGGCGACCAGTCTTGCCGCTTCTTTTGAGATAGGAAGCTGCATCTTCCAGAATAGCGTGGGCATTTGCTCCGGCAAATCCGAACGAGTTCACGCTGGCCCTTCGTGGTCCCGGATATGGCCATTGCGTTACTTCCGTCGGCACAGCGAGATTCCATTCTTTGAGGCGTATACGAGGGTTGGTGTCTTCGTACCATATCTGTGGGGGTATAATTCCTTTCTCCAGAACATAGATCGTCTTGATTAATGCTGCTAATCCGCTGGCTCCTTCGAGGTGCCCGATGTTGGCCTTGATCGATCCCACCCAAAGTGGCTGGCCTGGTAGCCTCGATTTGCCGATTGTCTCGCCTAAGGCTCGCGTCTCTGTAGAGTCGCCTGCGACAGTACCGGTGCCCTTGGTTTTCTTAGCACAGCCTCACCCACTATCGCAGCGTCCTGGAAACTCACATGGGCTTCGAAGTAACCGGTTTCTTCCATATTCAGGCCCACCTCGTCATATACCTTACGTATCAAGGCTTCTTGCATGCTTCTTGAAGGCAAGGTTAGACCCGGAGTGTTTCCATCCTGGTTACTACCAGTGTTGCAGATAACTGCCCTGATCACGTCATTGTCCTCGATCGCCTTCTCGAGGGATTTGACCACGACGAAACACGTTCCTTCACCACGGCCGTATCCGTCAGCTTTTGCATCGAACGTCTTGGACTTGCCCTCCGGCGATATCATCTGCAGATTTGACAGCTGCATGTTCATTTCTGTCGATGATATAATATTCACTCCGCCGGCGAGGGCCTATATCTCTTAGCCACGCTCTGTCTGACACATAAATCATTAACCTACCATCTCTGACTCCCCACTTCGAATGCTCTGGCACGCGAGATGAAGGGCCACTAGCGATGACGAGCACGCCGTATCAACTGTCATACTTGGACCTGTCAGGTTAAAGAACCACGACACGCGGTTGGAAAGACACGAAGCCTCCGTCCCGGTTGCATTGTAGAAAGGCAGGGTCTCGGGGTCCCTGTTAATGATATTCTGATAATCGTGGTTGAAGCATCCCACGTAACATGAAGTCTGAGACCCGGAGGCCTTGCTGAGGGTAATACCCGCTGAGTGGAATTAGCGGGCGAGTACACATCTGGCGGTCTGTAGCTGGGTAGACACACCGTTTTCCATCGCCTCGTACGCAACTTCCAAGCACATTCGCTGCTGGGGATCCATTGCCTTTGCCTCTGATGGCGTGATGGAGAAAAAAGGCGCATCGAAAGCGTCAATCACGCGGTTCATGAAGTGAGCAGCCTTGAAGTTCTGAGACCCTGGCCGACTGGGCTGCGGATGGTAGAAGGCGTCCGCATTGAAACGATCTTTGGGCGTATCTGACAGGGTGCTTTTTGCGTCCATGAGTATTTCCCAAAGAAGGTCAGGGTTGGACGCATCCCCGGGAAATCGACCTCCACAGCCGACGATGGCAATGGGCGTGATCTTGGTTTCCTCTGTGTCTGTCATTGTGATTTTTAGCTAATTTCCAGGTCTTGGGGTTATCGAGTCAATTCTGAAAACTGTTCATGGCCGATTCCTTGGTCCCTAAAGCCGTCTTAGACACAGTATCTCTTATATATCATTCATATAGTGATAGTCCCTGCAGCAAGTATGCACCAATCCATTCGGGGACTGAATCCTTGTTGTCTTGAGTTTTACGGGCGACATGTTCGTGACCGTAATACATACAACTCAACCGTGGATTTACAGGCCCACCTGCACACTCCATTGTCGCGTATGAAGAACTTGGAATAACACTTGACTTCTCCTTGCACTGTACAGCATCATCATCACATGAGCGTGGGCTCCTTGAACACCATGATGCTAGATTGACTGATTCAAGAGAGTCTTTACCTGTTTCCGGCAGTCCACATACCTCATCCATTTCATAACACATATATACTCAATGTGATTGGCTCCTTCTCACGATAGAAAGGTTCCGAAAACCTGGTTTATAGTATCCGAAAGTATATCGATGACCACCTCAATGCCTTATTAAGACAGTCGCAGAACCCGTCATATCCTGATATAGAAGTCTGGCCATTTATAATCGAACTCAATCGATCAGGTAAACGTAAAGAGGCAAATTCTACCTGCAGTTCGTTCCTTCGCATCACCAAAACCCATCAGCATGCGTTTCCTCTGCCTCCATGGAATCGGCTCCAGCGCGCAGGTTTTTGAGACCCAGTTATCGGCCCTAACCGCTGGTTTGGGCTCCCGTTATGAGTTTGTCTTTCTTCAGGGCGATATTCCTTCTGAGGCAGGACCAGGTGAGTCTGATGAAAATACGTCACGTCAAAGTCTCATCGTCGCATAGGTGTCGAAGGCGTGGCAGACGGTCCATACTATTCGTTCTTCTCGCTCCCCACTCCAGACCAGCTGCATGCTGCGTATGAAGTGATCGACCAGGCTCTGGACACTGAAGGCCCCTTTGATGGCATCATGGGGTTCTCACAAGGGGCGTCGCTGGCTGCATCCTACCTGCTTTCGAAGTCAAACCCCGAGCCACCAGTCAAATGCGCAGTGTTCTTCTGTGCCAGTATGCCGTTCGATGTGGGGTCCTCCTGTTTTTGCCCCTTGGAGGACGGAAGCTTTCAGGATGAGGTCACCGGCGAGGACGTCTCAGGGGAGATACAGGAAACCATCCCCGAACTCCTAGATCGAGACAAGTATCCAGGACAGCTGGGGCAACGCTTTCTTCGCCGATACGAGTCAGGTAGTTCCACGGAGCTTTGCCTCCCCACTGTTCATGTCTACTCTAGTCAGGACCCATACTACGCTCAGTCTCAAGGTTTGGCGCGCATGTGTCAATCCTTCGACCGAGAAGAGGTGGTGCATAAAGGTGGCCATACCATTCCTTGGGATGAAAAGATTACTGTTGAAATCATTGAGTGTATTCGGCGAATGGTGCATGCGGCCGATCTTGGATAGGAACCTACTGGCATAGTTAGCTTAAGAATCAGACCGCGGTCCAGACCGGCAAATCTACAAATACTTCTCAATCATCTCCGTCTGTCATCTTTTCAAATAGTACCACTACCACACTAGCAAAACATCCGAATATCACACTGTAAGGTTCCTCATCCTTCTCTCAATACACACGTTTGACGCCCAGTATCCCCAGATGACATCGGCATCTCGTACCCAACAATCCCTAGTCGGCTCATGGTCGCTTCTCGAATACCGGTCAGAGGTGCAAGACAGCGGAGTGACCATCCATCCAATGGGGCAAGGATCCCGTGGGATTATCACATATGCACCAAACGGGTATATGGCGGTCCAGCTTGTGCCGGCAGTCACCAAGAAAGTGAAGCACACCATCCATGATCTCCTGGCATACACCGGCCGCTACTGGTGTGAGGAGCAACCTGATGGGGCTGTTATGGTAAAACATCGCCTGGAGGTGTCCTCTGAGCCCGGAATGGATGGGTCAATTCAGCAAAGATTGGTTACCCTCTCTGACAACCAGCTCACTCTGTCATGCCCTGCCTTTGTCAATTTGGAAGTAAGGCACACTCATTCCCCTCCAGCCTGGCTTGCATAAGTTTTAATGATCGACTAGGGTGTTTTCCAAAAGCCGGAGTTGGTGTGGAAGAGAATTGATGGATCGGCTTCCGATGGTCTGGAGTAAGAATGCTCAGTTGTCGGAGAATCAGTATGGTCAAGGCTGCGGTGGATGATCGCGGGGTCTGAACAATGTCCATTATTACCCGATGTAGTAATCCGTCATCGGCTTCCATCCCGCCGAATAACGTCTCCTGCGCATTCCTCATGCAGTGCGTTGAGAAAGGTTGAACCTCCGTACAAATCGGGACTGGTTCGATCCATGAACAGGAATAAAACTTTCGTATCGGAACACTCTTGCAGGTCTATAAGACGGCATGCTTCCTGCAAAACCACATATGGGAGACCTCTGCATCGTCATTCTTGATAAACTCTTACGAGAAATCTCCTGATTCCCTCTACCCTGTTCCATGCAAAATGCCTCCCCTCGGTTTGCTTTACACTTTCAATTTTATGCCCAATCCGCGGGCAATGAAGGTATGTGTCACTAGCATTTCTACGTCCGGTCTAAAACATCCCTAGATCATGGCCGTCGCAAATATGAACAACCTGGAATTGGACGTTACGCCTGATTTTGTCCTCAGACGCGACAACAAGACACCAGAGTTCCTCGCAGACTACCCGATGGGAAAGGTCCCTGCCTTCCGAACGGCAGATGGACTGAAGATTTTCGAGTCTGATGCTATAGCCCAGTATGTTGCTGAGTCGGGGCCTTTTTACGAACAACTCCTCGGCCACAACATCGCAGAGCGCACGATCATCCGACAATGGATTTGCATGGCGAATAATGAGATCATGGAGCCTATATTGCCACTGGTTTTGTGGCGAGTTGGGCGAAGGATCTTCGATCAGAAGATCGAGACGATCAACCTCGAGAAGCTCGAACGGGGTCTCAATTGTCTCGAAGGACACATAAAAGAACGTGTGTGGGTGGCAACAGATGCCAAGCTAAGCCTGGCGGATATCAGCATGGCTTCAGCACTATACTGGGGATTCAAGTTTGTTATTGATAAAGAAATGCGCCATGCATATCCCGGAATCATGGCGTGGTACAAGAGGACTCTCGAGAGCGATGGAGTCAAGGAGGCTTTTGGAGAGATGGACCTCATAGACAAGCGCATCGTTCAAGAGGAGGAACACTAGAATATGTTCTCTGGGAGATAAAGAATACTATCTATTGTGTTTTATTTTGCGGTCTAAAATGGAGTTGTAGATTGGAGCAACCGCCTCCAGTAACACATACCAAACTACGATAGAACTTACTTAGTAGAGCTTGCCCTCATTCCTGATAGCTTTACTACCAGACCTGCCTCATATGCTCAGGCAACTGCTCTGGTCCAACGAGATAGAAACAAGAATCCTCATGCATACCATGACAAGTCTACTTCGCACCCCGGTGGTCGCATTTCTGGGCAGCCTGATGCTGCAAGTACCAACCTATCTAGTTTAGATCCGTTCTAGAGCCCGGTGCAAGGTACAAGAAGTTCTCGATCGGGGCCTTGATCGAGGTCCATTCGAGGGTACGTCATCCAGACGCAGGGGCGCACGGTTTAGGAAATACATGCTGCCTCGTGCTGTGTTCCCTGATAATCATGTGGCTCGGATGCAACCTAGCTGCAGAACATGATCTATCCAGCATTGCCTGGTTTCCCAGCGATGTGGATTCGATCGGAGGCAACCAAAGGCAAACCACAGAGAGCAGAACTCAAAACTCTTCGAAAGCAAGGCAAAGAAGTATGATCCCGTAAATTTGGTATAGTCACGGTATTTCAGCGCCTGTTTGTCCATCGGTCTATGAGACTATGACGACGCTGAGGATCCGTGCCAGAGGTTACAGGTTGCGCGAGGAGGAAGTCCGATCCCAATGGAGTAACAGAAAGGGGACCATCGGGGAATGGGATCATGGTGACAGAAGAGGAGCTTTGAAGAAATGAGCTGGTTGATTTCCCGGTCCTAGTAGATATCCACACCTGCAGCTGAAGGATCCCTTGCCAGGGAGTTTGTCTTGGGAGTGTGGCTGTATATAAATTGCGTTTTTCGCTAGCCCTGCATGTACGGAAAGCACGCTTTTCTTCTTCGAGGAAACATTTTTATGATTCTGAGTTACCAATCTCACATCGAACAAATGGAGCCACTTGTTGTCGTTGGCTATGCAGTCAGATATCCGCAAGAAGCGGCCAGCGTGGAGCAGTTTTGGGACGTTCTCATGGCAGCGCGAGAGTCAAGCACACCTGCTCCCAAGGACAGACTCAACTCTACAGCATTCTATCATCCGGATCCCAACCATGGAGGAACAGTAAGAACACAAACCCACATGTTCGTTACAAAAGATGACAAAGTTGACCATTTCCCGACATTAGTTTCATGCAAAAAGAGCACACTTTCTTAGGGACGATCCTAAAGGATTCGATGCAGCATTTTTCAAAATGAGCAAAACGGAGCTCTTAAGCTTGGATCCGCAGCACCGGTTGGTTATGGAGAATGTATATCATGCTCTGGAGAACGGTGAGTATTATCATCTTCTATGGTTGTTCGGTTATAGGGATGAGACTGATCATTAATCTTGTCCTGGTCTAGCTGGCGTTACAATGGAAAACGCAATCTCTTCAAACACCTCCGTCTTTGTCAACGGTTATAACCATGATCATGCAGATAACATAAATCTGGATCCGGAAACGATTTTAAGGTATAAGCCCACTGGAACTGACAACTCATTGACTTCCGGGAGAGTAAGCTGGTTTTACGATTTCCGTGGGCCCAGCTTGACTATCGACACGGCGTGCTCCGGAAGTCTAGTCGGTCTTCATCTCGCCTGTCAAAGCCTCAAGGAGAAGGAAAGCGATATGGTGAGGTTTCCTATATCAGCTACCTTGCTGAAGGACTGCATACTAACACCATGCCCTCATCGGGCTTCGAATATAGGCGGTTGTGAGTGGTGTTAATGTCATCGGATTTCTTTCACACATGATTGGCATGAGCTATTCTGGATTTGTGGGATCTGAAGGGAAATGCTTCTCCTTTGACCACAGAGCTGACGGGTATGCAAGAGGTGAGGGTGTTGGCACCGTAATCGTCAAGCGTCTTTCCGATGCTGTCGAGGACGGGGATGTCATTAGAGCGGTGATCCGTGGAACCGGCCTTAACCACGACGGGCGTACCCCTGGGATAACATACCCGAGTTTATCATCGCAAGAGGAGCTCATTCGACGGACATATCGCAGGGCAGGGCTAGATACCGCTGATACGTGCTACATCGAGAGCCATGGGACAGGCACTCAGGCAGGAGATTTCATTGAAGCATCCGCCATCAGTCGCGGATTTGACACAGCTAGCCGGAATACGCCACTGTACGTTGGGGCTCTCAAATCAAATATTGGTCATTTGGAGGGCGGGTCAGGGATAGCTGGTCTAATCAAGACTATCATGATCCTCGAGAACGGCATCATACCCCCAAATGTCAACTTCGAGAAACCGAATCCCAAAATACCGGTTGACGAGTGGAAGCTCAAGTTTCCCACTGAGCGCACACCTTGGCCGCACTCGGGCCCACGGCGGGCATCGGTCAGTTGCTTCGGGCTGAACGGCACCAACTCTCACTGCATTCTGGATGATGCATGTGGTTTTCTGAGAGCCCAAGGAATTGCCGGTAAACACAGAACGGTGCCTCCCAACACGAGTCAACCTCAAATCTCCAACATGAATAGGGATATCCCAGCACAAGATGACGCCCCGTTAAGTCCCAAGCAAACAATCCCAGATGCTCACTCTGGTACATATCTCAACGGCAATATCAATACAACGAAAGCGCCCACCCAGCTCTTTCTCATGTCTGCGTTTGATGAGAAGGCTTTCTCACGGACAGAATCCCAATTGGCCAATTACCTGGTTAGCAGGCTAGACATACCCACTGAAGAAGAGAGGAAGCTCTTGCACGACTTAGCATTTACATTATCGGAGAAAAGGACTCGGTTCTCCTGGTCAGCTTGTTTCTTGGCGAGCTCTCTTTCTCAGCTTCACCAACAACTGGCAGAAGGGTGTTTAAAGCCATATCATTCTCGTGCACCCCCGAGACTAGGCTTTGTATTCACAGGCCAAGGAGCCCAATACGCAGGCATGGGGAAACAACTTCTTGGATTCCCCGTTTTCCACAGGTCACTAGAGGCTGCTGATGCATATTTCCAATCACTTGGCTGCACATGGAGACTACTGGGTACGACCGCCCCAATCATTTTCATGTTCTTTGCTAACGATGTTTTATAGATGAGCTTACTTGCGATAAAGACAACACCCGGGTAGATGAGCCAGCCATTGCTCATCCGTCATCTACGGCAGTTCAAATTGCGCTAGTTGATCTTCTAGAAAGCTGGGGCATAACGCCTTCACGTGTTATTGGGCACTCATCGGGAGAAATCGCTGCTGCATATTGTGCCGGGAAGCTATCTCGCGAAGCAGCCTGGAAGGTGGCATACTTCCGCGGCCAGGTTGTGTATGGATCAATAAGTCGTGAGGGTGCAATGATGGCGATCGGGCTAAGCCCAAGCAATTTGCAGCCTTACCTGGAGGAAGTCCAAAACACCAACCCCGAGGGTGTTATAACAATAGCCTGCTTCAATAGCCCGAAGAATCAGACTGTATCTGGTGACACTCCTATGATCGACGAGCTGAAAGAACGGCTTGATGCACATCGCATTTTTGCTCGGAAACTTACACTCGGAAAGGCCTACCATTCTCCGCACATGAGAACATTCACGGAGGATTATCAGCATGCTATGGGGTCATTGCAGGACCTGGGTGAATCGTTCGACGGCCGCGCGGTGGAGATGTTCTCTACATTCACTGGGGAAAAGGTGCTCGACTGCTTTCTGGATTCGTCACACTGGTGCGCAAATATGGTAGGTTCTGTCCAGTTTGAGAAGGCGCTTCGGGCCTTTTGCGATGCTACTACTGGAGACAACGATTCCCAAGAGATGGGTTCGGCAATTGATGAGATTGTCGAGATCGGGGCCCATGGAGCGCTCCGGAGTGCCATCAAAGAGACGATAGACACCTTGAATGGAATAACATACTGGCCAACCTTGGACCGGAACACTCCTGACGCAACTAGCCTTCTCCAAACCGTGGCAGGGCTATCATCCAGGGGATATCCGGCCAATATCAGCGAGATAAACCAGGTCCAAAGCCAGTTCGACCGGTGGGACTTACTTTCAGATTTGCCCCCTTATCCTTTTGATCACAGCAACCGAGACATCTACGAGAGCCGGTTGGCAAAGAATCTCCGTCTCCGTGAGCACCCACGGCATGATATTTTTGGAGCCCCGAAAAACGACTGGGACCCTCGATACCCAAGTTTCAGGCACTTTCTACGTCTCAAAGAAAGCCCATGGCTCAAGGAGTATATGGTAAGGAACAGGGACCTCTAGTCAATTGATACCTTCGCGTTTCCTGACTTCCATAGGTTCATGGGCAATATATATATCCACCAGCCGGCTTTCTTGTCATGGCTGTCGAGTCATCCATGCAGATGGCGGACAAGGAAACCTCAATTCGAGGGATTAATGTATCACGTGTCGACTTCAGTGCTCCTTTGTCTATACCAGACCACGCCGAAGGGGTTGAAGTTAGCTTATCCTATGCTCCGGCTGATGACGGAAGTGGGATGAGACGATTTCGTGTCAACTCATACAATGAGGAGCAGGAGCAATGGACTGAACATTGCAGTGGGTACATCAGCGTCGAATATGCTGAATCTGAAGGGAGATTAGAGATTGATGGCGAAGCCAACACAGAATGGCTAGACTCCCTACGTGATAGTGAGAGGCAGCTCACGGAGTCAGTCGAGCGCAGAAGGGTATTCGAGCAACTTGAATCCTGCGGATTGCATCTGGGGCCGCTGTTTCAGCACTTATCAAACATGAAGACCAGTGGAAATCGGAACGGACACGGCCTGGCTACTGTTAAAGTCCCTGATATCAGATCCATAATGCCGGAACATTACATGCACCCTCACATGCTACATCCAGTGACGCTCCAAAACATGCTCAGTTCGGTCACAGTTGCACTCAGTGACCTGTCTAACACTCAACCCGAAGGGGGAGTATTCTTTCCGAAATATATCGATAATGTTTGGATCTCTAGCGGAGGCTCATACAAACCACACACTCAATTCCGTTGCTTCAGTACAGCGACAGCAGCTGGAATCAACCTACGCCATTGTCAAATTCATATTTTGGCCGAGCCTTCTCTTTCCGAGGTTGCCGTGTCACTCTCAGGCATCCAGCTAGCCAGGCACATCTCGGACGAGGATTTCTCGAAGACTCCGTCGATACCACGTTTCTACTCCACGGAGTGGCAGCCGGATATCCATCTCGTCACAAACGAATTCTTCGACAGTCTGGTCAACCACCAGGAGGATACGGACAACAAATGGGGCAGCGAATGCGAACACTTCACCGACCTGCAACTGGCTGCGACGCTAATCTCGACCGACGCACTTTTTGATCTAAAGGGCCTTGACCTGACTGGCCTAGAGCCACATTACCATCGCTTTTATGATCTCCTCAAACATATTGCAGCAGATATCCTCACCAATGCTATACCAAGAGTCCCTTTCAAGCTCTGGAAGAAGTATGCAGAAGACGAGCACCTTAAAGAAGATCTCTACAAAAGAGTACAATTACTGAATAGCGACGGTGCTCTGTTGATAAAGGTCGGAACCCGAATTCCCGCCTTCTTCCGGCAGGAACTTGATCCCTTGCATATCATGTTTGGACAGGATGATCTCATGACGGAATATTACGATGATGACTTCAAAATTGGGACTATCCAGGAGAAGCTCTCACATTACCTGTCTCTCTTCCGCTGGAATAAGTCCAACCTGTCGGTCCTTGAAGTAGGAGCCGGAACAGGATCGTTCACTTCCCAAGTCCTCACTCATCTCTCTCCCCAAGATGCGGACAGATCCATTTCGGAATACGTCTTCACCGACCTCTCGCCAGGCTTTTTCGAAAAGGCGAAGCAACGCCTTCGCCCGTGGAGTGATATTATGACATACAAGAAACTCGACGTCGGAAATGACCCTCTGGCCCAAGGCTTTGAGTTGGCCGCGTTCGACCTGATTATAGCGAGTAATGTGCTTCATGCAACGCCAAATCTCTTTGACACGCTGCAAAACATACATTCATTACTCAAGCCAGGCGGGAAGTTGGTCTTTCACGAAGGCGTCCGTCAAGACGCCTTGTGGACTAATATCTCCTTCAGTCCGCTGTCTGGGTGGTGGCTGAGCACTGAACCTGAGCGGCGGTGGTGCCCCTACATTCCAACAGAGATTTGGAATGATTATCTTCATACAGCAGGATTTTCAGGCATAGATCTAGAGTTTGCAAGCTCAGACTACGCGGAGTTTTCGAAAATTAGTCTGATGGTTTCTACTGCTCTGAGTCAGTCTTCTAGGCCTGTGCCGGATCGCGTCGAAGCCATTCTCATTCTGCCTGATTCCAAGGAGCCTACAATCGTAAAGGAGCTCAGGAGACAGATGGGTCAGCTTGGAATTAGTCTCTCCTTACACACATTGTCAGAAGTTTCCACTCTCGATATCTCAGAGAAGCCTTGCCTGGCCTTGTTGGGGACTGATATGCCAATTCTAAGCCATGACAATTTTACCGCTGTGGACGAACTGAAAGAACTTCTCCTACGATGCAGAAATCTAATATGGATTTCTGGGGATTCTACAAAAGAGCCTTTCTTTGATATTGCTACGGGCCTCATTCGGAGCATGCGACACGCTGAAGGCAAGGATGATAGAAATTTCGTGACTGTTTCTGTTTCTGACACGGAACCTATCGACAAGTCTCTCAGTGAAGCAATCTCCAAGATCTTCCGACATCAGTTCCTATCTCCTGGCCTGTGCGAGACCAAAAATGCTGAATATCGGATTGAGAAAGGGTCAATCTTGACAAGTCGTGTTAGCCCAAACCAGGACGCAACATTGACAATCAGGAGTGGATTATCTTTGCCGCAGGCGGTTCCAACACCATGGAACGATGTCCATCGACCGCAAAAGCTCGTCAACCGACAATCTCGTGGTTCAAAGCTAGAGCTTGTCTGGGTATCGGATGACGTTCAGTCGGAGAGGCTCGGAGACAATGAAGTCGATATCAATGTCAAGGCCGTTAGTCTGCGCTGGAGGGACTCTTTGGCATCCAGCGGTGAATTACCTCAGGAAGGCTTAGGTGGAGAGGCGTCCGGCATTATCACTCGTGTCGGGTCCGCGGTGAGAGGTCTTCACAAGGGCGATAGGGTTATGTGCTTCGGTGATCGCCGGCAGGGCAGAGAGGGTGCCCTACGATCGGTGCTACGAGTGAACGCTTTGCTCGTTACTCCCATACCGGATGATCTGTCGCTTGAAGCTGCTGCTGCACTACTTGCCGATTGGACAGTGGCAATATATTCATTGAGGTACATCGGCAAATTGGTTTCCAGGGACAAGATACTCATCCAAGCCGCGACTGGGAGCATAGGCCAAGCCGCAATACGATATGCACAGTCCGTGGATGCAAATATCTTCGCTGCAGTGTCCAACACTGGCGAGAAGGAGTATCTCATGAGAGAGTATGGTCTCCTCGAAGATCACATTTTCTACACCCCATCGCCTTTTATGTCAAACCAGATAAAACGAAAGGTTCCCGAGGGTGTGGACATCGTTCTATTGCCTTCATCACACCACAGCTTTATGCGCACAATTGGTTACGTCGCGCCTTTTGGCAAGATTCTAGAGGTTAGCACCGGCAACGTGGAGTCAGGAGTTTCACTTCCTTCAATAAATCATCCCAGCAGTGTCATATTTGCCAGGGTCGATGTTCATTCTTTTGCCAAACACCGCCCAAGCATGGTTCAAGAGGTTCTGGGTGATATCAAGCACTTACTTTCACTACCACATGCTCTCCCTGAACAGCCTGCGAAGGTTCTTACATACAGTCAGTTGCACGAGGGCCTTCAGAAGTTGCGAGGTGGCAATATCGACAATGTCATTTTGCAGCCTGCGGATGACATCGTTCCTGTCGTGCCAGAGGTTTCGAGACCATCAATGCTTGATGAGACTGCGTCCTACATCATAATAGGTACCCTGAATTCTCTGAGTCTCAAAATGGGCATGCGTCTGGCAGAGCGAGGTGCCAAGAATCTCATATTCCTGTCCGCTTCTTCTTCCTTCCAGGCTGATGTTGGTGAGACCGAACGCATGCTGGGTTCTTTGAGAACGCAAGGCTGTGCTGTGCACCTGCGTTCTTGTGACTTTTTCAATGAGACTGAGCTCCACCATGCCATGACGGAGTTGAAACAGCAACTTCCGCCTGTGAAGGGGGTCATCTACCGACCTCACGAGACTCAGCCCATTAAATCCACAGAATCGCCAAGCAATCATTACCAGAAATTTCGCGAGTTGTGGCTCGTCCATCAGACGTTCCCCGCCGTTGATTATCTGGTGATGGTATCGCCCATGAAAGGCCTAGACGGCCTCTGCACCGAGTCCGAAACACACCCAACACGCACATTCCAGGATACCCTTGTCCATCATCGCGTCTCCCTCGGACTACATTCGGCAAGTGTTGACTTGGGCGATATGAACGATGATGACGCATTGGCCGTGATAGACTATGCGACCAGCAGCCGAGACCATGCATCGTTCCCTTCCTCTCAAATTATATCACAGTTCCCCGGTCCCTTCTCATCCGACAGGCAGCAATCTGTCCCGACGTACCTGTCGGATCCTCTGTTTCACCAGCTCCCAGTCTCACAGCCTCGCGACAAATCGACAGACTCGCCCACGGAAAGAAAGCTCAGCGTCGCTGACCTGCTACAAAGCTCCCACGACAGCGAGCACGCTGGAGAGATCGTATCACGCGAAATCCGGCGGAAACTGTCCAATCTCCTCAACGTATCCGAGGATGAGATCAGCTCAGAACATAACATTCGAGACAATGGTGTGGATTCTCTTATCGAGATGGAATTCCAGAATTGGATCGACAAGGAGCTGAAGATCAACCTCCCTTCGGAGGATTTGATCTCCAAGAGCATTTCCAAGTTGAGTGCCCAGGTTGTGTCGGCTTCGCCATTGGTGCAATGTACATAGTTTGCAGGCATGAACAGGGGGACGCTGTTCAGTGATGGGGAGAGTCAATTGTCGGTGTATTTGCTTTTTATGAGCAGTGTTGATGTGCAATATCCTCTTTACTGCCATGCACACTCGGTTTTCCTTGCCAAAAAAAGTCCTTGTAGTCTGGTCAGGGCGGAATTCAACATCATGTCCAAGATTTATGCTTATCTCTGGAGTCAATAGTTTGGCCTGTTGTCAACTAGTATATTGTGATGTTTATCAACAACATACACCTATATAGCCGGGCCTTTTGCAAAGCTCTTTCACTTGATTCTGTATGATACTGCGCTTGTAATAAAGAAATTCACCGGACTGCACCTTTTCCTTCATCATAAACCGATCAGACTATTCTTCATATACACAGAAAAAGCAACAACATCTCCCTGCATCAATCTCCCATGGTTGACACCCCTTGCGTTCATCATAACCACACCCCTCCTACTACCAACCCTGTAGCCCATTTTAGACGATTGCCATTCGCACTTTTGTTGAAGGGACGGCGTGAACAACATGGCCAAATCCATCGATATCGTGAGCGACGAGCAGCCACGCCCATTCGAAGCCGTCACCCCCGTCGGGGAGAGACGGCTCATCCGCAAGATTGACATCCAGTATGGCTCCCTCAACACAATCATCACCCACCGCTAATCTAGCAGTCTAATGCCCCTCCTGACGATATCCTATGCCTTCCAACTTCTCGACAAGACCAGCCTCTCGTACGCCGCCATGCTCGGCATCAAGACCGACCTGGTACATCCTACATCCCTTTACCCTCCACCACACCCATCTAACAAAAACAGCATCTAGTCGGACAGCAATACAGCTGGACATCGAGCATATTCTACATCGGCTACCTGGTCGCGTCGTATCCCGTATCAATTGGGTTCGTGAAGTTCCCACTCGCCAAGTTCCTCAGTCTGCTCATGTACGTCTCGGTTCTCCCCCGGCAGAAGACCACAACTGACACGCGCAGCGGCGCATGGGGTATTGTGCTCACCCTCCATGCCGTCGCCCACGACTACCCCAGTCTCATGGTCGTCCGCGTATTCCTGGGCGTATGCGAAAGCTCGCAGACGCACGGCTTCTCCCTCATCACGGGGATGTGGTACACGCCGCGGGAGCAGGTAGCGCGCCACATGGTTTGGGCTATGGGGAATTGTGTAGGCGAGGCTGTGGGCTCGTTGGTCTCGTATGGACTGCTCTACTACACGGGCAATTTTCCGCAGTGGAAGGTGGGCCAACCCTCTCTGCACTTGTCTATATACTCATATCGATTCCTCCAGATACTGTTCATCCTATTCGGTCTCTTGACAGTCCTCTGGTCCACCGTGCTATGGTTCTTTCTCCCCGACTCCCCGGACGACGCATACTTCCTGAACGAAAAGGAGCGCACATTCGCAGCCCTGCGCCCCAAAAAATCCCAACACACCACGCAAACAAAGATCTGGAAACAAGACCAGTTCGTCGAGACGCTCCGCGACCCAAAGTCCTGGTGGTTCGCCGCCTTCATGTTCAATCTTATGGTCCCCAGTGGCGGGGTCACCGCTGTATGCTCCCCCCTCCAACCACACCACCATGCCTAACAGTCGATCAGTTCTCAACCATCCTAGTCAACAGCTTCGGCTTCAACAAATACACCACAGTGCTCATGGGCCTCCCCGCCGTCGGCGTCCAGCTCCTCTCCTTCCTGGCCATCGGCTTCATAACGACGACCTGGCGACGGACCCGTCTAAACTGCATCGCCGGGCTACACGTCAACTCCCTCCTCGGCATACTCCTCGTAAAACTCCTGCCCGAAGAGAAAAAATGGGGCCGCCTCGTCGGTTTCTGGCTCGTGCGCGCGTATATGCCCATGCTGCCTCTGACGCTGACGCTCCTCGCGAGCAATACGGCCGGGTTCACGAAGAAAGCGACCACCGGGGCTATGCTGTTTATTGGGTACTGCGTGGGGAATCTGGTTGGTCCGCAGTTCTTTCTTAGTTCCGAGGCACCAGATTATCAGGTTCGTTGAACGGCGCCTGCGCGATATAGAGCTTGGTTACTAACGGGTGTAGACTGCGTATACCACCTGGATGATCTGCTTTGTGCTTACAATTTTTCTGTCTGTCGGGATGAGGGTGTACCTCAAATGGGAGAACCGTCGCAGAGACCGGGAACAGGAGATGCATGTTGACGCAGAAGACAAATTGATGGTCGATTTTCAAATGGACAGGCAGTTAGAGAAAGTGGATGAGACGGACCGCATGAATCGCGGATTCCGATATGTCCTCTAATCACCACTATCTGCGCGTCACTCAAGGTCATTTTGAGCGATAGTCATTCTAATTCATTAGGTTCATGATTCATTAACACCCGACCTCAATCCGCCTTCCTTTCCTCATTCCTCCCATCTTCAAGGCCCAGCTTATCCCACTTCTCCAGAAACAGGTCCATCGTGTCGCCCTCCTGGCGCTCGCGTCCGTGTCGGATGACCGTGGAAAAATGCGGGTAGATGCTACTGAACCCTTGGGCATCCTTTCCGCGCCACGACTGCGTCTCAAAGTCGGTGAACAGGGCGTCTGTCTCCGGCGGCAGCGCCACCTTCATCTCCCGCGCGGACATCTGCACCATGCGGAGGGTGCCCTTGGCAAACTGGAACCGGCGCGAGAACGCACGACCGATGATGCAGAGTTCCACGAACGCATTCCGGTTGTGTGGGTCATCCAGCTCTTCCAGGAGAGTAAAAAGACCGATCGTTACCCATTGAATGGTGGAGGGCGCCATACGGTCGATGCCCCATTTATCACGGTGGATGTTGAGCAAGGACGAGATGCGTCGGGCGGTGGAAATACAGAGACGGCGGGTGGACTCGGCGGTTTCAGCGTCCAGCGTGTCACCGCCGCTGGAGCGGAGGAAGCCGAAGATTTGCAGGACGGTGGTGTGGTAGAAAAGGCTGGGTCCATCAGCATAAAGGTCTCAACATGATCCGGAATCTAACTGACTGAAGACTCAGAATGTGGGGAACCTCTGCGGCCTCGGTATGGAGACAGTCTGGGAGGTTCGCGTACCAGCCTTGGAGCTGGCGGTAGATATCGTTCACGATGGAGACCATCTCCACCTTTGCGGGAGGGTCATCTTTCTTATGGAATTCGCGACTAATGCCGATGGTGATGCAGCAGAAATCGGACCATCGGTCAAACACACAGTTGTGATGGCCTCGGACGGGCTGCGCACTTCGTGGATACGGCGACCAAGTATCCAGAGGATCTTCATGAGTGATAGGAACACGCGCCCTTTGTGGTGGGTTGATATCCATATGCTTCATCAAGGACACCGTAGCGGTTCTGGGCGAGTTAGCATGTAGCCGCTCCAACAGCAATTTCCACTTACGATGCAATATTAAACACTCCCCACAGCGTTCGGTTGATCACATTCTCCTCCATGCGCACAGATTCGCTATTCGAAATCCGCGGAGGGTGAGCAGCAGCGTATTCCTCTGCTGCCCGAGTTGCAAGGTCCAGATACACCCAGCCTAGACGATCTTTGCCCATCAAAACCATGCTGTCATCTCATTAGCAAGTGGTCCTGTCGTTATCTTCGCGTCACCTACCGAATGAACAGGATCAGAAGACCCTGGATGGTGGGAATACTGGCATGCCCCTGTCCTTCTTCTTCCACTTCGAGGAGTCGCCGGGCTTCGTCGTAGAAATGGTTTCCGCGTGAGAGCATGTCTCCAGGTACGGTGAAAACTTCGGCGTAGTCGGAATAGTACTGACAGCCTCATGTTAATATCTGGTCTTCGCACGGTATTGTTGTATCATTGTTTCTAGGCTACATACACTCGCCTCAGCAAGGATCGCATTGACCAGGAAGGGGGAGCAAAACCGACTGCGCAGATTCCCCGACTGCATGTCCCGAACGAAGGCGTCTTTATCGAGCCAGTCAAAGAACGGGTAGGTCCAGGTGATCCACAGCGATACCAGGTGTGACACGAGATCGTCGTTGTCGGTCACGGTGGTCCACGGCTTGGCTGGTACGCGATAGACGGGCACGTCGGTCAAACGACGGACATCCATGACGCGCCGGCCAGAGGCCTGCATGGAGTCGTCGCTGTCGTCATCGGAGTGCCGCGAGATCTGGCTCTGCATCTCGCGGAGCTCGGGCGTGCTTTCAATCTCCGAGCGCGAAAAGCTCTGCTCGAGGAACATCTGGAGCTCCTCGAACGAGGCATTACTCTGGATGAGGTTCAGCAGCTGGGCGATCCGGGTGGACTCGCTCTCCCGCAGGGCACTGAGAAGACGGAGGAGGACATCCTCGGCCTGTTCCAGACGGTCGATCTTGCGCTTCATAGCGAACTTCCGGCGCATGTCGGCCATTTCGTCGACGATGCATTCGATGCCATTTGCCACACAGTGTTCGCAGGGAGGATCACCCCGGCACTATCACCGTTATACTCCATCCGACGACAACCGAGAACTCGGGGAGAAAGCATACCTTCAGCTTCTTCAGCTTACACGCCCGACAGGCGGTGGTCTTGTGTTTGCGGCCCGGAACGACATCGTCCGTGGATACTGAACGTCTCGGGGGATGGCCTGGCGCAGGAGCTAGACTACGAGAGGAGTGAGAATCGGACATGAATCGCTTCACGCCGGGGCGGTCGTGGGACATAACCGGAACAAGAGATGGGGGAAGAGTCTCCCACGGGTTGGCAAAGGGGACATGACTGTATATAAGTACGAGGCACGGTACGTGCGAACCCAAGGACGGAGCGAGCAACGGGCTTGCCGAAGGAGACTACATACGGAAATCGCAAGACCAACAGAAAAGAAGTGGGGAAAGATCTAGTAAATTCAAAGGTAATCGTCGAAGGCGACATGCGCTAGAAAAGACAGAAAAAGAATAAGACAGGTGCTAAGCCGACTAACGAGCAGCACAACAACTCCGCGGCCCCAGTTGGCGTCTGCACGAGAGCAATAATTAGCACTGCTGGTGGCAGTTTTTCCCAGCCAATAACATCCTCTAAACCGGCCTCGATTCGGGCCAGCTATTGGACCATTGATATCATGTACCCGAGCAGTTCCTCGGCGGGCCCCACCGCATACAAAGGGTACCTCCACGCGACTCCGGCCCAATGGTCCCTGGACTTCCTCCTCTGTCTTTGGGTAGGCTGAGTGGCGTTCATTAGAAGTACCGAGTAGAACAAGACAACATCGCTTCCATTGCTTCCATTCCTGTTTGGCTTGTATCGGAATTCCGCCCAGTTGCCAGGCTCCAGCCCTAAGCTGACCTCAACCCAAGACATGCCGTATCAACTGCGTATCAGCCCCCTATCAGCCACTTCCTCAACACCAAGGTGAGACTCATCTGAAGCATATTCCGCCGGCTTTCGGCCGAAGCTTCTCCACAGACGATCTGGGGACAAATAAGCGACCGTCCGTATGTCCCTCGGATCCCTAGCTTAATGATCCTACTGGCCAGACCGCTCCCGACACTCGCTTGCATGACAGGTGGCTCGGGGTTCTTTGTTCGCTTCCTCATGCATGCAAGGGACTCTCAGGTGATCAGAGCCTCGTTCGAGAACTTGGGCTATGTTGGGATCGTGGCGCCGGCCGAGTCAGACGGGATGAAGGGCTTGCTGGGTTTGGCATACCAATCGGTGTGGCTGCGTACGCGGTAGCAAACAATCTCTGGCTTAACCAGACACAAGCATGACAACTCGCCCAACAAAGAGATTTCATGCAGCTAGCGTTTAGTTCTGGCGCCACCAGTTTGACTCTCTCCGCACAGAGCTTCTGCATGATGCGACATGATTGGTTTTTGCCGCTATCTATTTCCTATTGGTTCGATCACGATTTCCGAGCTGTTCGTTACAGCCCAAAGAAAGGAGGTTATCCTGAAGTACCATGCATGTCTCGGCTGTATACCGAGACTCTGCTCGACATACAACTCATTGCTTGCATCTTATGGTGCATGCTATAGACGAGTTTTCGGTAGCAAGGTGCCGTATTCAGTTTGATCTGTTTGTAAATATCTGATGGACCGGTGATGCAGGACGCCATCGTGGGATCCGGACAGGATGCATTATTTGATCTATGACAGCAACTGACAGACCAAAGTACCGACTGAATGATCGCCTTCGGTATTTAGGATACATTTTCTATTGGTGAGTCCAGTTGGTGGGACAATATACATGGTTTAGCGCTTGACGTGACCCACATGCGAGTTCATCTACTCCGTAGACAGCTTGAGCATTACGCTGGTACATCAATAATATACTCATTAATATCAACTATAGATAGTCCGTGGGAACAAGGAGATCATCATGTTCCGTCAACGCTAGTCGAGGTTAGATATACAACGTTGCATGTTCCACTGGACTTGACGTATGGAGACAGTTGCAGGGGGGAAATTTGGCAATCATCACGACATGGTAGCACTCATTGAATTGGAAGGGTTTCAAACTGATCCTGGGGGGTTGCACAGGCAATCAACTCAGCCTTACAGGTGTTGTTTACCAAACCAGTCTTGCATTCTTCTACCTACAAATGACGCTATATGTAAGACAAAGGACTTGGGTAGCAATCAAACACACTATTTCTCATGTTTACGCATGCACACTCCAGTTTTTTCTTTGCTGCATGACAGAAGAAGTATCCAGCCGCTTGCGGGATCAACCTGGGTGTCGAATCTCGGGTGCAATAACACGAGTGTATGGCAACGGGTGCGTTGAAGTCTGTCAACTCAGCGTGTAATTGCCAGTTGCAACATCCTGCAGGTGAAATTCTTTACTATCAATAAAGTTATTTGCATGATAGGCGGTGGGTCTCATACAAAGAAACCAACCTTGATCTACAGAGTCGGGTCATATTCTTCCTAATGGAGAGTCCGTGGTGCCTATGAACTCGGAGCCGAGTGATTACGAGCCAGAGTGAGCGAGGTGGACTCAGCATGACTCGGACAGCAGCATTTGCTAAACTACAGAGCAACTACACCCCTCAGAGCTGTCCCATGGCAGTTCCCAACTAAGACTGTAATCTATGATAAATACAGCCTCATGATTCGAGAAGGTTAGCCTGAGACCAACCTCAGCTAGAGACGCACGACAGAGTTTACAACACCGACTCTCGCTCTCTTCGGCCGCGACATATCTGCCCAACGATTTCCATTAATAATTTTAACTGTTCGCTGACTTATCGCAGTGAGTTCCAGCAGACTAGCAGAAACTAAGACGATCTAGTGGTATAGTCTTCCCCTCATATGCCATCCACAAACGAGCACCATGTCAATCGCACGAGCCATCCGAAGTACGGAGTAGGACGGGACGATACTCCGTACTGTACATTCCCAATCGGTGCCTGGTGTACCTGTCGTGTTCATTGTTTGGGTCGGTGTGGACTTCCGCCAATGATACCGACACATCCGCAACTTCAGCAGCAACACGGTGGGTCGATCTATACCTGAAAATCCTTCTGAACAATTTGGCCATCCTGAAAAGCAGACACTTGGAGACGAGAATACTGTCACTGGAACCCTGTATCACATGATCGTGCGTCTGTCTGCATGTTGGGCCCAAGACGGAAGGGAAAGGATCTGCTTCGAAGGTCTGCCGTGTATGCACCGTTTATGAATCCACATCTTGGCACGGCGGCCCTCCTATATCTCTTACTCCGTATATACGGAGTACATGAAAGAACACGCGATAGGATCTCCTGAGCTACGTGGGGAACTGGGCTTCGGCTATCAAACGGCGTCCAAGTCGGTGTCTCGCCGAGATAGGACCGACCATATCTGACAGGGGGCCAACTCCTCGTGATTCCCATCTCGATTATTCTCCGAGGACACGGTTGAGCTCTCTGCGTGTACCTGTATGGAGAAACTCATCCGACGGAAGTGACACCACTAACTTCCCTTTGGAGGATCATGGGGCTCGCTAAAATTGGATGTGACGGGGACAGGTGAAGTCTGATATGGGGTGCTTGAGGGCCGATCACCACTTCTAGAACCGTCCCCGACACGATAAAATTCTGGCCGGCTTTAGCGTATTTAGGTCTGTACCGAGCGTGCTAGGGCACTCCGAGTGGATGGACGGTGTCGTGGTGTGGCGCGGAGTGCGTCGTCCTCCGTATGAAACACCAATCACGCCGGCAGAGCGTCGATCGCGTTGCATCCAGCGACTGCCATTAAGGGAAAGCCTCGCCCCAGCCAAGCAAGCGACCCTCCAGAAATCTTCAACTCGTCCACTCTTGTCCTCGCGTCACTGTCGGAATTCTGATATCCGGTTGGGGGCGAAATCGCCGCGTCGGGCCCGTCTTAGTGCCAGGATGGAATGACAGCAGTAGCGTTGATGCAGAATTCCAAATCCTGAGCCGATGCTTCTCCACTATCTCCAAGGATGGTCAAACGTGTTCTCTACTCGTACTCTCGACCTGGGAGGTCACCGGTGAATTCAGAGAAGAATCGCATCCGGAAGCTCCGAGAAAAGGCCAGAATTATGCTAATGGGAATACCGTAAGATTATGTACGTGGCACAGAGGGAGCATCGTGCATATTGAGATGGGTAGGCCTGACATGGGATCTGTTTAGGGTAAGCGGTGCAGACATTCACAGCTTGGATCTTAACTGTAGCCTCATGATGCCGTCATGGTTATGTAAGTACTTGATCATCATTGCAGAGTACAATATGTCTTCGAGAAGGAGACAGGGCTGTGTTCGCTGTTCACAAATAATAATGAACCGAATGGCTACACTGCTTGGGGTTGGTCCGTATGCCAATACCCGAGATCAGACCTGGCCGGATAATACTTGGGACGTCGAACGAGCACGCTTACCACGCTGAGTCCTAAGTCGTACGCTTTATCTGCTCACATGTTGAGTCTTCTTTAGTTCTTGTTGGTTCTCCGAGCCCGAGCGTTCAATAGTCTGGACTTCTACGTCGATCAGAGGGTATTGCTCTGCTAGTCTAGTAAATGGCTTTCACCTAATAAAGGCAGCCCACGGCACTCGTACACGATGAACCAGCGGCTCATGTTCGGATACACAGCGGCAGTCCCAGGCTCCCGGGTTGCAGGGCCATCGGCTAACACCCACATATAGGACATGGATGGGTACTATGCACACTGTTCCATGGGACATTCAGCGACTTGTAAGCCGCCCCTCTATTTCTGGATCTTCTTCCGGCAATGATTTCCGAGATCAACCCGAGTCCCGTCAATGTCATGGCTGTCTTCATGATACCTCCATGAGCCTCAGTACAGATATCACGACCTTGAAGAGAATATGACCGATTCTCTCATGGTTTGACTCCTCAGCACAAGCTATACTCTGCACATGCTCTTGTCCAATCACATCCGCTGACAGCTGCTGAATCATAGCACGTGACCATGAACGTTTTCGGGTCAGCGGAAGCGGTCAACATACTGCTACCGCACACCGCCAAATACGGCAGTATTCCACCGCCTGCCACACGCAGTATACTGCCGGATGCGGCCAGGCACGGCTGTTTCAAAGCCTCACAGCACCCCCAGCGCATGACAACCATCCGACCTCTACACACATCTGCATATCATCACCACACACGATACCCACTACGCACCACAATTGACCTCTGCGAACCCCCTTCCACGCCCCCGACCACCCCCGATCCCATCCCGCACAATGCGCCCGATGCGCAGCCACGACGACTTCATCCGCGACCTCTCTCCCCCAGCGGCTGCCGACGACGACCTCCGCAAGCGCAACAAGGTCGCGCACACCTCCAACCGCCTCTGCCATGACTGGATGGTGGTATCGGGCAACTGCCACTACGCGCGGGACCGGGGGTCGTTCACCACGTACCGGCCGGTAGCGCAGACGCAGCGCATCAAGAACAACATCTTCAACCCGCACGAGGAGCTGCACGTGGCGGGCGTGGGCACGGTGCAGCTGACGGTGTGTCGCAGTCGCGCAGACCCGGCGCCGCAGACGCTCGTGCTCGAGGACGTGCTGCACATCCCCGAGGCGCTGTGCAACGGGTTCAACCCGCTGCTGTACGGGAGCAGCATGTCGTGCAATGCGGACTGCTGGGAGGGCGGCGATGCGCACGGCCGGCCGCTGTGGGTTAGTCTGCCCTTTGCCGGGCATACGCGGCTGGTGCTGTGGGGGAATCCGCAGGGAGAGTCGGAGCTGATTGAGGGGAGGTACTATACGCTCAGTTTGTATATTACGCCCGAGGAGAAGAGGGCTATTGTGCAGGGGGTGTGAGAATAACTCAATGGGTGGTGGCTTGGTTGCATCTTGGTGTTTTGGGATTATAGGGATTGGTTGGTTGCATTGGGTGTATATTATGGATGAACTGATGAATATATGTGCATTGTCTAGTGTTGGATATACTCGAGGCTAGATTCTTCCACGTTAATGAACGCCAACGCCACGAGGACGTGCATACGATTAATGAGCCAGCGCCACCACGCCATGACTCGATGCCCCTTTCTCTGCCATCTCACCGGTGGCTGCTGTTAGTGTTGGACCTGCATGAGGCGTGCAACCACCGATTAGACGGGGTCTGAGCGTATACCGACGATATTATACAGTCAGAACAGTCAGAAGAGATATTGAAGTATGCGACGCCACGGCCAGACAGATCACAGCCTATTTCCACTTGCAAGCATATCAACCCCAGGCTGGAATCACAGCCTCATTCCAACAGCGCCGTCGGCTAGTGTTGGAAGTGCGTTCCATGACCCCCTGGCATACCCATGACTCTATCCCCATGCCATCACCATCGATAATCCCTGCAAAGAACCCCAGCGAAGCCAGTCCGCTCCCATGGGAAATTTGTGGCGGAATCGCACCTATCACGGTGCAGTCGGCGACAGCTGTCCAGTCCAGATACGGAGGCGAACGGCCTTTTCCGCCTGTCCCTCGGATAAACGGTAGTTCTAGTCTGAACCGAATCTGAGTCTGAGCTTCAGAGTTGGATCGTCTAGCATCGCTAGACGAGGACTCCGAATCCGCCAGTTGGAGACACGGTATCTCGGTCCGTGCCCCGACAGACACAAACCATTGCTTCAGTATTCCTGCCTTCATCGAGGAATCCCAAGTCTACCTTATCTATATGCCATATGTCATGAAGCTGCACACACAGACGACACTCTGTAACAGCCGAAATGCACATGCAGCGAACAAACAACCCCGAACATCTTAGCCCTTCTCCGCATCTCCACCTCCACTACCCTCCTGTCGCACCAACTCAGCCAAGACCAACTTACCCCGGAGACATCCTCTCTTTACCCGTTTCGGGACGGGGGTAACTACCGGCGGGGTCGCTATGACCCCCAGCCAGGGCTGACACTCGTGGTGGCTGCATGCGACAGGATCAGTCTCACGATCATGGGGGGTTCTCGCTTGATTCTGGGACGCTGGTCGGTCGTGTGTCAGACCCTGGCTGGGGTGATTCAGGTTGTATATAGCCCGGTCGATCTGCCATCCCCGCCTGCTCGCCTTCGGTCTACGTCTGTCCTGTCTGCAGATAGTCATACACTCCTTTGACAGTATAGGTATAGCCATGGGTATGGGCATGGGCCGCGATCCCTCCTCGTCGTTCAGCGATGATGGCCGTCTGCACGGCGTCAACAACGCCGCTCTGGCGGTGGCCATGTTGCAGCAGAAGCCGCGGCTGCTGAGCAAGAGCATGTTCAAGGTGCGTACCGTCTCTGTAGAACAGCCCCGGCAGGAATAGTTCTAACGGGATACAGCTGTACTGGTGCATCGCTGTGGCCATGCTCAACTCCTGCATCAACGGCTACGACGGCTCGCTCATGGGCTCCATCAACAGCTACCCGCAGTACCGCGAGTACTTCGGCTTCGACCCGGAAAAGGGCACGCCCGAGACCGGCATCGTGTACGCCATCTACACCATCGGCAACATTGTCGGCTCGTTCTGCGCGGGGCCGTTCACCGACTTCAGAGGTGTGCCGCTGCTGCTCACATACTATACCTGTACAAGCTAGAACTAACCAACTAACCCCTCAGGCCGCCGCGTCGGCATGGCCCTCGGCGCCATCTTCATCATCATCGGCACCTGCATCCAGGCCACCGCCCACAACATCGGCGCGTTCATGGGCGGCCGCTTCCTGCTGGGCTTCGGCGTCGCGACCTCCGCCACGGCCGGCCCATCCTACGTCTCGGAGATGGCGCATCCGGCGTACCGCGGCGCCATGACGGGCCTGTACAACGTGCTGTGGTTTGGCGGCGGCATCCCGGGGACGTTCATCCCATGGCGGACCAGCTACATCGAGGGCACGATGAGCTGGCGCATCCCGGTGTGGCTGCAGATGGTGTTTTCGGGGCTGGTGTTGCTCCTCTGCTTTACGATCCCGGAGGTATGCTCTCGTGTGCCATCCATCTCTGCAGCGCGCTGACGACGCAGTCCCCCCGCTGGCTCATCTCGCAGGACAGACACGAAGCCGCCATCCAGGTGCTGGCCGAATACCACGGCGACGGCGACCGCAACGCGCCGATCGTGCGGCTCGAGTACCGCGAGATGGTCGAGGACATCTCCAACGTCGGCGCCGACAAGCGCTGGTGGGACTACCGCGAGCTGTTCAACAGCCGCGAGGTGCGATACCGCTCGATGCTGGTGATGTTCATGGGTGCGTCCCCGTTCTCTCCCTTTCCTACCGTGCATGCATACTGACGGTGCAGCCTTCTTCGGGCAATGGTCCGGCAACGGCCCCGTGTCGTACTACTACCCGCAGATGCTGGCGGGCGCCGGCATCCGGAACAACAACACGCGGCTGCTGCTGCAGGGGCTGCAGAACGTGGTTCAGTTCGTGGGGGCGGTGTTTGGGGCACTGATCACGGACCGGGTCGGGCGGCGGCCGCAGCTGCTCGTGTCGACGAGCATCATCGTGGTGCTGTTTGCGATAGTGGCGGCGCTGAACGCCACGAACGTGGTGACGGACGCGGACGGCACGGCCGTCGCGAAGAGCAGCGTCGTGGCGCGCGCGCAAATCGCCATGATCTTCCTCTTTGGGTTTGTGTATAGCGCCGGCTGGACGCCGAACCAGGCCATGTATCCGGTCGAGTGTCTGCGGTATGAGAGTCGGGCCAAGGGGATGGGGATGAACAATGTAGGCTGTCCTGACGGTGTCTTTTGTCGGGTCGCTGCTAACGGGATAGTTCTTTGTGAATATCGCCTCGTTCTACAATACCTTCGTCACGGGCATCGCGTTCACCGGCGCCGGCTGGAAGTACTACTTCCTCTTCATCTTCTGGGACACCTTTGAGGTGCTCGTGATCTACTTTCTCTTTGTGGAGACGTCGAAGCGCACGCTGGAGGAGCTGACGGCCATCTTCCAGCAGCGGCGGCCGGTCACGGCGTCGCTGAAGAAGGACACGATCTTTATCGCGGACAATGATGTGATGGAGATCCGCAAGGAGCATAACCGGTATTAGCCGGCAGAGACCTCGGTCTCGCTTAAACCTAGGTACTAAGCGTCGTTCTTTAATTGCGTTCTAGCGATCATCATTTGTTTAATTACGACCCACGTCTGTCAGAGCAGACGCCAATCTAAATCTAGTCGTTTAATTACCTTTTAGTTACTCCGTAGATGTCACAATTCGGACATTGAATGACAGCTACCGCCGCTCTTTATCCCGCAGCGCACTCTGCACAATCGTCTCATGCACCACCTTGATGCCGTCCGTGCTGCGCCGGCTCTGGTTGTCCCATTCGGCCGTACACGTCGGCGGCTGCTGGCCGCGCCCGGGGAGGATCATCTGCTCGTCGCTGACGGTCTGCCACTGCGTGTCCGGGATGGACAGCGGGTGGCGGAACTTGCGGCGCTTGCTGTGCATGGTGGAGCGGTCGTGGGCGTCGCTCTCGGAGAGCGGGTAGCTCTGCGAGTGCGTGCCGCGGCCGGTGGTCAGGGTGCTGACGTACCAGCCGGCGCGTTTGGCGATGCGCCGGACTAGCGGGTAGATCATGGGGGCGTTGCCGATGATCACGGCGACGAAGGTCTCGCGACAGGCCCAGCTTCCGGCCTGGGAGGCGCCGTTGGCGCCGGCCTGTTGTTGTTAGACAGTGTACTGCGCGGGAGGGTAGTGGGAGGGAGGACGTACGGTGACGATCAGCACGCAGCGGAGAATGCCAGCCGCCATGACGAAGATTCCGCCGCTGAAGAGAACGAGGAGCTCGCATTTTTCCCGCCAGGGGAGCCGGGCTTTGAACAGCATCTGTCGTCGTTAGCGATGGTGTTAGGGTATATCTGGGCGAGACGCACCGGAGTCGGAATGGTGATCAGATAGAGATCGGTAGCGACGTTCAGCACAACCGTGACATAGACATCGATATGCGACACTGCGGGCTGGCAGTAGTTCCCGGGGTCGGGATAGATCTGCCAGTTTTTGCTCATCGGCCGACAGCCCAGCAGGATGGAGAGGATCACGGCGATATAGGTTGCGCCGATGAAGGCGTAGGCGAGCTTCACGCGGATGCGCATGTTCATCAGACCGGCACTATCTGGTCAGCTGTGACAGCTTTCGTCAGGGAACGGACGGCACGTACGTCAGGCGCGAATAGAAGATCGCCATGCACGCCTTGAGCAGCCACAGCAGCGTCGTGTACAGCGACCACCCCAGCACCTGGGTCTTGGACCCGCCGACGCGCAGATGGTATTCGGGCGAGTCCGGCGAGAGCGAGGCACGTTGTTCGTCGGTCATGGCGTTATTGGCGAGCCCGTGCCACCACGCGCCGACGCAGTAGGCGGCGCCTGTTTCGAGGCCATACACGACCTGGAGGAGCATTTGTTAGCACTGTACTCCGTACGCCAGACAGACGGGTAGACGCACTCCGGCCAAGGGCATCAAGTAATCATCGAGCTGGAAGTTCTTAGGACCCGCCGTCGTCCAGCGCGCGACAACACGAATGGCAATGGTGACAATGGCAATCCCCAGGAGGGTGAAGGCCTCGATGGTGAAATCATCTCCGCCGGCCATGGTCCGACGCTGGCGACATAGGATAAAAATGACTAGAAAATACAGCGCACAACGAACGGAATACAACGGAAACCGATTCCGAGAAAGAGAAAGATGGCGAACGAACGACAGGACCAGCAAAGGAGCGACAATAAATAAACACCTACGGAGTAACTCCAGACGAAACGAACTATCAATCTTATACGTAAACTCCTTGCCCATCGGAGAGACGATCACACGGCACAGGTCTACCGAGCGATATCTCCTAGGGGCAGAAACCTGGCCATTATCACGGCAGTTAGTGACTGGCATAATTACCCTGACCGTTGCAGTCCGCCAGAGCCGGCCCGTTCGCCCCAGCTGGCCCCAGCTGTGGTGACGAACTTACCATATCCAGGAGGATCAGCGGCGGACGGAAGGGCCAGCCGTTTCATTTCGGCAGGGACTGTGGCTCCGTGAAGGAAGTGGGTTGAAGGAGTGGGCGGAGGAAGTGGGAATGCGGACAATCGGTGATATGTGTCTGGTGGCGAGGATGATAGATACAACAAGGGATAGTGTCTGGATAGAATTTGTCAACTACAATATAGTAGATATACTTCGGAACTCGCAGATAGATGATGTATAAACCGTTACTCTGTGCTCCTCGGTGCGATCATCTTGATAATCAGACAATCTTCCGATGTATCGCAATCGTCACGACGCTAACTGATCCTGCAGTAGTTCCGCTATAGATAGTGACAGCCACTAGTTCGCCGGATGAAACAACGGCCACATGGCCGGCCAATATCCAGGCCCATCATAGAGTTATTACGGGCCCTGCGGTCCACTGCGATGGAGCAGTAGTTCCCGATTCCCCGACTGACAGGACTGGCTGGACGGGGACGGAAGGTCGCTTGGGTTTAGTTCGTGGTGTACAAGTATTTTACAGGGACACAGACACAGACTAGACCGAAGGATCAACATAGGGGCTGCATTGGCCTGCACCCCTTGTGTTTATATAATATAATCATCCAGCGACGGCAGTGTCCACTCTGATTCTTCTCCGATCTCCAGAATCTACTGTACTATACTCTAGCAATCACATTGACCCATTGCCCGAACCATGGAGTCGGTGGACGTGACCGTGATCGGAGCAGGTATGTATCCGTGCACCAAAACACTCTTCAGCATCAACTAATATTGTATAGGATGGAGTGGCCTGGCCGCCCTCAAAACCTACCACCAAGTCCATCCCTCCGCCTCCATCCTCCTCCTCGAAGCCGCCTCGTCGGTCGGCGGCGTGTGGGCCAAACACCGCCTGTACGCCGGGCTCAAGTCCAACAACATGCACGGCACGTACGAGTTTAGCGACTTCCCCATGGACGACTCGTTCGGCGTCAAGGCCGGCGAGCACATCCCGGGCTCCGTCATCCAGGCGTACATGGAGCAGTACCTGGCGCACCACCAGCTCACCGACTACGTGCGCCTCAACACGCGCGTGCGCGTCGCCGCCCGCAACGACGACGACACCTGGACGCTGAGCATCTCATCGCCCGCCGGCGACGACACCACCCTCCACAGCAAGAAGCTCATCGTCTGCACGGGCATCACCTCGCAGCCCTACCTCCCGCACTTCCCCGGCGAGGAGTCCTTCGCCGCGCCGCTCTTCCACACCCACGACCTCCCCCGGCACCAGGACGCCCTCCTCCAGCCCGGCCGCCGCATCACCGTCTTCGGCGGCACCAAGTCCGCCTGGGACGCCGTCTACGCCGCCGCCACGGCCGGCGCCCACGTCGACTGGGTCATCCGTGACAACGGCCACGGCCCCGTGTGGATGGCCCCGCCGTACGTCACCCCGCTGAAGAAGTGGCTCGAGAAGCTGGTCACCACGCGCTTCCTGACCTTCTTCAGCCCCTGCATCTGGGGCGACGCCGACTCCAACACGGCCATCCGCCGCTTCCTGCACACCAGCTGGCTGGGCCGCAAGCTCGTCGACGCCTTCTGGGCCGTGCTCGCCAACGACGTGATCACCGCCAACGCCTACGACGCGCACCCGGAAACCGCCAAGCTGAAGCCGTGGATCTCGCCCTTCTGGATCGCCGCCGGCCTCAGCATCCTCAACTACCCGACCGACTTCTTCGCCCTCGTCCGCGACGGCCGCGTGCGCATCCACATCGCCCACATCACCCGTCTCTCCGACCACGCCGTCCACCTCGCCTCCACCGACACCCCCCTCGCGTCCGACGCCCTCATCGCCGCCACCGGCTGGCAGGCCACCCCCAACATCGACTTCCGCCCGGCCTCCCTCCCCACCACCCTGGGCTTCCCCTGGGCCCCCGACAGCCTGCCGGAGGAGCTGACCGCCGCCGCGGACGCCGAGATCCTGCGCCGCTTCCCGCGGCTGCGCGACCAGCCCGAGCCCGCGACGCCGGCGCCCTACGCGCCGCTGGCCGACACCGCGCCGGCCGCCGCGCGCCACCCGTTCCGCCTGGCGCGGTTCATGGTGCCGCCGGGGCTGGCGACGGCGCGGTCGATCGCGTTCATGGGCCTCACGATGACGATCAACACGACGATGGTGGCGCAGGCGCAGGCGCTGTGGATCGCGGCGTATTTCGGGGGCGCGCTGACGCCGACCCCGCGGGAGACGTGTCCGGCGGACCTGCGCGAGAAGCTGTGCGGGGGCAGTCTCGGCGACGGCGTCGATGTCGATCTGCTGTGGGAGACGGCGCTGCACTCGCAGTTCGGGGTGCACCGGTACCCGGGCGGGTTTGGGCGGCGCAACCCCGACTTTGTGTTTGATGCACTGCCGTATGTGGATCTGCTGCTGGGGGATGTGGGGTTGGATATCTGTCGGAAGGGCGCGATGCGCTGGTTTGAGCCGTATGGGGTGGAGGATTATCGCGGGCTCGTGGAGGAGTATCTGGCCCGGAGGGAGAGGGCTTAGCTGGGTCTTGTTCTTCCCCGCGAGTGCGGGGGCGTCATACCCTGGATACCTCATGTACTGTGCCAAGATACGTAACGCCTCTACTTCCATACATACGAGTACATACATAATGCCAACATTCACAGACACATAAACAGTAGCAGAAACACATAAACAGCCCATTCTCCATCCCGCACAACACCGGCCCGCAACGCCAACCTCAGATCAGTCGCTCAAATCAAACAGGGATATCTTAGCGGAGCCCGTTGGCCTCCAGCTCCTTGTCCTCTTCCTTGACCGTGCCGCGGTCTTTGGTGTCGTCTTTTCCGCAGCCTTTGACGAGGATGTGGCGCTACCTGGTGTTAGCACTGCTTGCATGTAATGAGGTGAAGGGTGGGGGACTACCTTCAGTGCGTCCTTGCGCGAGAAGCTCTTGTCGCAGTGCGTGCACGGAAACGGCTTGACCGACAGGTGAATTCGCTTATGTCGCTTCAGATCATGGTTCCGATTGAAGCTCTGCGGACATTGGTCGCACTTGAACGGCCGGTCGTTGGTCGGTCCCGGGCCGCCATGCCCTGGATGCGGATACAGATGCTGCATGCTGGCGACGTAGCCGCTGTTGAACTCGGGCATGATGCCGGGCTGCAGCGAGCCGACCAGCGACATGGGGCTGTTGGGGTGGTGCACGTTGGTGCGCACGGGGCCGGTCATGGCCGGCAGCGAGTACGACGGCCACGGCTGCCGCGGGTAGGCGAGATGCGGCGACGGGTGCGGGTTGGAGGCCACGCGGGGGGGATGCGCGCTGCCATTGTAGGCCGTCGAGTAGCTGCCGCCGCCGCCGGTCGGGCTAGCCAGCGGCTGCATGCTGCCGTAGGCCGGCGCGGACGACGACTTGGTCATGTAGGGGTCGTTGGAGGGGAGATGCGGCGGCGCAGGCCCACCGTGGCCGGGCGCGGGGGCCATCATGGCGTGCGCCATGGCGTGATGCTAGCGGATTGGAGGGCAGACTGGCCGCGGAGACCGGGAGC